CCCCCCCGGGCAGCTAAGCCCCAGGCACCAAGGCTTAGCATCTCACAGGATCCAGCCTTATCCGCAACTTATCCATCCAACATCTACCCAACTCGATATCATTCATGCGGTGTCTCGTCAGCAACCGGTTTTTCTTAGAGGGATACACTATGAAAGGTGTAGCGAGAATCACCACGCAGCTCACAAAGATGAGGATTCGCCCACGAGACAGACCCAAGCCAGAGACAAAGAGACTTTCAGGAGTATACAACAGCTCTCTCAGTCATAATGTCTTACTTGCTGTTTGACGAAAGATAGGTATTATCATATATCAACCATGTTGTCAGGTATAAATCTCCCTTTGTTTGCCAAATGTTCTCTGCTCAACACCTCCTGCGTATCTTGAAATCTTCTCACATCCAACCCCCGCAATCATATGGAGCCATCCAAGCGCGCAGCCAACGAGCAGAGGGTTTCTTCTATCGAGCCCAGCGACACAGAAGCATCATCCAGCGTTGCATCCCAGCAATCTGCTCCACCGACACCACATTCGGTGTCCGAGACAGCAACGACGCCAAGCTCAGACACTTCTTCTCTAGCAAGTGCACCACCTTCCAAACCGGAGTCTCCTATACCAGACTTCAACCCAGAAGACTGGAGCGCCCCAATCGCCCACACCTACGCCGGCTGCACCGTCCTCAACTTCCCAGACGACATGCACACCCTCACCATCCAGGGCGCGGGATTCCTCACCCACATCTACACCTGCCCCGTCGGCGATCTCGACTGGGACAAAGCCATCGCCAACCTGCTGCAGTGGTGTAGTTTCGAGCAGCACCGCCAAGATCCCCTCTGCCCCCAAGAACAAGCAGAACCCTCCTCCCCCCCGCCGATTCACGGCCTGATCCAATGCCCCCCCTTCATCCAGATCTTCACCTCCCTCCACCCCTCCACCTTCCCCACCGTCCCCACCAAACTCATAACCACAGGCAGATTCGTTCGCTACCAACCCGCCCTGAAACCACTGTTCCACATCCCGCACGACCTCCGTCGCGTCCCGGAGCTTTATCACCGTATCATCCAGCTCGAGGAGCCCGACTTCTCCCTGGCAGAGGATATCCCAAACCTCTCGTGGCTGTTCGCCGAGCAGTACGCGCACAAGAAGTGGCGGTGGTATCTGAATCGACGGGCCGTGTGGGAGGCCACGAGGCCGCGGTTGTCGGAGGAGCAGATGGAGATTTGGTGAGGTGAGAGGGGTTCTGTACTTTACTGTACTGTACTTTCATGTAGGTCGGTGCTGCTGCTGCTGCTGTTGTTTTCCCAAGGTTAGCTCCTGATTATAATCTAATATCTGATATCAAATATAATAGATACATGGCTAGGGCGATGGGATACACTCGCTCTTGAGTCTGTGTCTAGTTTTTCACGTGTATGGATGCATAAGATGATTTGAATTTATGATGAATGGGACTGTAGTGATCCTAATTTATTATTCCTTTCTTCGTGAACGAGCAAGATTCTTGCACCGGATACACTTGTGCTGCATTGAAGCAGAGATGATGCCTGCCTGCCTGCATGCACGGCACTAAACTGCACAGCCCTGTAAGCTGTTAGATGGTTCAATCGGACCGGCGGCTGCTCCAAGAATAGATGTGCGGGCCGGAATGTAATAACATCATGGATATGAAGTCAGTGCTGGAACACCAGGTCAGCACTAATGAGCTTCGCCCAGTAGTTTGGGGGGGGGGGGTTTATGCACCCGAGTACAGTACTTGCTTCGCAGGAGATTGCCGGGGTATGTCCCTGCCAAGGAAAGGGGGACGTTTCATCTCGTTGTTGGCCGTCATCCAGCCACACTCATCATCATCAAACAATACAGAGAAATGGAAAGGGACAGGTAAGTTATAAACTGGCATTAAGTTCGCTTATTGTATGCACACAACAGGTTCGATGTCTAAACTAGATTATGTACAGTACATGCAGGGCAGCGTCCTCATGCTTCAACAAGTATCCCCGTACCTGTCTGAATCATCGCTATGCTAACCAGAGAGTAAAAAGCCGCACTCATGTCATCCGGGGCTGAAACTTTGGATTTGTCCGAATGCTCTCCCCGTACTTCAGCAAGAACAGAGAGGTCGGAGCAAACGCGACAGCGATGAACGCCAGCACGCTGTTGCCCCAGCCCAAACCGAGCTTGTCATACAGCGGACCCCCGCCCAGCGGGATCGTCGCCCCGAAGATCGAGCGCAGCGCGAGCTCCGCAGATACCGCGCTGGCGGCATACAGCGTATACGAGTCGATCAGATATACCTGCGTCACCAGATGGACGTAGTATATTCCCGCGCCCACGAAGAAGGTCCCGACAATTGGGACCATGTAGTGCAGTCGGTACTCGGCGGTCCAGCCGTACCAAAAGAGCCCGATCGGGACCAGACAGCATCCCAGGACGAGGGGCGGGAGGCGGTCTTCGGGCTTCATCTTCCCGTGGATCATCTCCTGCTTCTTGAGATAGCGGTCAGAGTAATATCCGACCGTCACCTGTCCGAAGCAGAAGCCCAGTCCCAGCCCCATGTAGGCGAGTCCGGCCTCGCCGGGGCCGAAGCCATAGACGTTTTCGAACACATCGGTGAACGTCGTGAAGAGAATGTACATGTAGCTGTAGGTGACGGAGCTGTACAATGTCACGATCAACACGATAGGCGACAGCACGAGGAATTTGATCGGCCGTGTCAGTGAGACCCAGAGAAGCTGTCCAGCAGTCTTGTCCGTGTCGTACTTCGTCTTATAAGAACGGCCAGTCTCTTTGTGCAGCGTCATTGCCTTCCGCTGCAAAATTGTTGGGGCGTATGTCTCGCGAAGTAGGATCAAAGAGGCGATTGCGATGACCGCACCCTATGCTTGTTAGATACAACTTCTGAAATTGCATCGAAATGACTCACCAAGATAACTTCCAGCCAAATTGTCCATCTCCACCCAATACTTTGAACCATGTAGCCACCATAGATAGGGCCAGTCACCATTCCCTATGGCGAAAATTAGGCTTTGAGAATAATTGGATATTGGAGAGGTTACATACCATAAGTGGCCCCACTGTCCATATCGTCATTGCTGTTCCGCGTTTCTCCATCGGCATCATGTCGGCAACGAACCCTCCGCCGACAGTCACCGGCACTGAACTTGCGACGCCCATGATCAGACGCGACACGATCAGCATGGGCATGTTCACACTAGCGGCGCAGACTGCAGCTGCCACGGTGAAAAGTACGTTGGCCGTGTGTGTCATAGGCAACCTCCCGGTCATCTCAGTAATGGGCGTCAGAATGATGGGGCCAATTGCAGCCCCCATGACATAAATCGTAGTCAAGAGGGACTGAACTGAGGAGCTGGTGATGTGGAACTCTTTCAGGACGTCTGGCACACCGGGCGAAAATACTGTGGAAACCATCGATCTGAGATGTGAGTCAGTCGTGCTTCTCCATGGGCTACATGACAGGGGAGAGACGTACACGTTGAAACTGCTCGCGGAGATCAATCCTATGATGACCCATTTCCGCCAACTTGCCCAATTCATAGGATTCTGAGGGTCGTTGGGCCCATCCCAATATACAAAGTCTTCACCCTCATCTTGAGAACAATCGCTACTATTAACTGAGTAGATCGCCTCGGTTTCCACGTGGATGGCTTGCTTTTCACCGAAAATCGTGTCGGCACTCTCAAGGCTCGACTCCAGCTTCAAAGCATGAGAGTATTCGAGGTTATTTGGAGGGTCGCCCGGCATGATGGCCACAGACAATTGAAGGAAGTACGAAGAGAAAGATGCTGTGCGGAATGTCCCCAGCCACGTCTCACTGAAGACGGGCAAGGTAATAAATAATCTGATAGAAGACTGAGAGCGCACAATGCTCCAGACTGGTTGAAGCAGATCGGTTGGCGATCTCCTCGTTTGGAGGAGGCAACGCGCGTCCACACAAGCGGATCTCCCTGGTATGTGGCCCTTGCTGTGCAGTTGACTGGTTTTCTGGGGCTCCCCTCAGTTCCCTCTGACTTCCCCAGTCGCCGAACCTGCCCCGGCTGGCCCGTTGGGTCTTGACACGGTGGTGGATACATGTGAATGGGATACTACTAGTGTCTATCCACTACAAGAGCTGTATGACGACGGTCGTAGGGCCCTTGCATGATCACTCGTTCCATGCGTGTTATTATCAGGCAGGCTCAATCACTAACTTTGGGCTTCCGCTCCACTCGCAGCGAACCCCTGGGTAGCACACTGCGGTTGGCTCCACCGATCTGCAGGGCCCTGACTGAGCTTGTGGTCCCCTTTTTTCGGTATGGCAAAGCTAAATGTTAGGACTCGATCATAATAGTAGGCCTTGAAATCCGACTCCAAGTATTCTGCGGATATGTTTGTCTGTTGACGTGGCCACCCGCCATGTCCGACCACAGGAATGCGAATGGATCCCAATTGTGTAGGTGAGACCTGACGATAATCGGAGATTGGGAGCCCTTACGGATGTAGAAGATGGAAGCTTGACGTGTTAGGTACTTCGACATAGCACAGAGTGTCGTGGCCGGTATCTAGAGAGTTGATAAACACAATGAATCCATGGCCCGTCCCAGCGAGCGGCCAATTTCATTTTGGAGCACGGAGTAGCAGTATTCCGAACACTAAGTAACCCGAATATACGATGAGACGTCACGATAGCCCTATGCGATCCTGAAACACTTGTTGCAGCAGTTGACGCCAATCTTCCATACCAGAACGCGCACATGGTGAGCTGAGTGATGTGCAGGTGCGAATTGCAGATCAGGGAATCAGGAGTGGCAATCCTAACTATGAGTTAACTCCGACTCGGGAAATGCTTGGTAGTACCGCACGGGCGGTATCCATAATCGCCAAGCGATTTACCCAGCACTACTGGATGGCGACCGGGAGATCCTCCCGGGGCAACGTACCGACTGTCACGTCTGACGGTCGCACCAGCAGCAACTTGGCCACTTTCGATTTGACTAAACAGGTGGTATAATGTATCTTTTTGTGCTCACTTTCTCTTTCTGGCGAGAACTTCGACATGATTGTAGCGCTTGAGGTCTCACCGCAACAAAGACTGCTCACAATCATGGCAGGTATAACGGGTGAGGTCGGGTTGCCGGAGCCAGGGACATTGTTCTGGACCGAGGGGGAAAGGCAAGGTTCTCGAAGGCCTGGCTGCATGGGTGTATCCACCGAGGCAATGGTCTCGCTCCCTGGGCTGGCTCAGTGGCGGACGCGTGGCGGCTAACTTAACGGGCTGGCGGAGGTGAGAAGCTTATTTCGAAGCTCTGGTGTCTCAATTTTGGGGCGCCCTGTTATTGTTCATTTTAGTCCTTTGATGGCGATAACTTGAGAGGAGCTTGAAAAAATTCCTCATACAAAATAGGGTTGTTTGTTGTGGAGATGTGTCAGTGTGGATTATGGTCTCCTCTGTGTGAGGTCGAGAGACTCGAGACCGGTGTAATTTGATGTGGACTTGATTGGAGTCGGAAGCCATGACATGTCCACCAGACACAGTAATCATTGGAGACGGTCAATCGAGTCGATAAGAGGCGATATCTTGGTGTTGTACTCCGTAGTGGGTGGTGATGGGGTGGTGGCTGGATTGACGGCGGAAGTGGCGCCGCAGTCAGAGACTCCAACAGAGCCCCATGACTTCCCTCAGTCAACATTAGTATGTTAAGTCATTGCGCTAGGAGATAGGTAATGCGGGATCGCCTGGGTATCGGGAGTTATGGACATATCGATCTCATATCCCTCAGGCAATGTCGTCCGCTTCATCTTGCTTGTGCAGGCTCTCGATTCATGAAGCTCTTATAACATTTTGAAACCGTTTGCTATTCAGTTATCTATCTCGATCTAAGTTAACAAATTCTCTGCTCCATTAAATTGACGCCAAGAAAGCCAGTGCTCAGGTCCTTCCAATGCAGGGACCAGCCATTGGAGTCCTTACCGTGACGGATCGCATGCAGCTTTCCAACAGAAAGCGGGTGACAACATATGGCTTGAATACTCGGAGCCATCTGCCTCTTGGTGCTGGCAACCTGCCTTAGAATCATGCAACCTCTAAAGTTCAGGCAGCACACATAACAACTTGAGGAAGGGCAGTATCCACAAATCGACATTATTCAAATGTCTTTCAGCATTGATAGTCATGTCATCAAAGAACAAAGTTGCTGGCCAGGCCCATCTTGTAGCTTTCAACGAAGAAACGGCTGTTCATTCACAAGGTCATTCACCACCTTCTTCGCTCTTCCTTGTTTCAGCATATGTGAAAGACAATGGCCATTGTTGAAAGGAGAGATATCCCGACCCGCAGCATCATGTTCAAGCTACCAGCAGTCTTCAAAGAACATCTGAGAAACAGTGAGAGCCAAAGCTGCCAGCAAACAAAGGGGACAGTGAAACGATCCTTCTTTGAATGGTGTGCCAGAGAACTGAAAGACGCAGATGTCGTCTGCTGAGTTCTTCGCTAGAGGATTTCCTATATCTTTTCTTGAGCTCGCTATCCCTGGAACTTCCCTATTTCTCCAGAGGATTCAGAGCTTCTTCTAGCGAGCATCTACAGAATCGTAAGCCAGTCAGCCCCCGACACTGAACACAAACTTCGCAGAAGCAAGCTCAAAACCAAAATGTCAAACCCACAGCCTATTCAACTTCCCACTCCTCCTCTTACACCACTGCAATCACCGGTGTTTCCTCCAACGCCTCCTCCAACACCTCCGCCACCACCGCCAAACTCCCCTGCATTTTCCATCTGATCGCTGCTCTGGACAATCCACAGAGCGTGAGTCAAGAGCAAGCAGAGAGCAAGGCTGGTCTTTACACCCATATGCAACACATCTATATCGCCCTGGCTGGAACAACCGACCAGCTTGCATATGACCAGCGGGGCTTGCTTTTCCACAGTGTCTACCATTGCACTGGTCCTGGACACCAGAAGAGTGGAATCATTTGTTATTTGAGTTAAAGCACCTCTTGCTTGCCTCGTTTTGCGAGACAAGAAGAGACATTTGCCTGGGCCGGAATGAGGCGGGTAAGAAAGAGAGGACCATGATCCTTGACCTGGAGGATACGATACCATCTGATCTAAAGTTGTCTATCTTCTGATGATCGCTGATTCGGTTCTTTCTCTACCTTCCTGCTTGCTGGTCTTGTTGGAAGTAGGATAGCTTTAATAGTGTCAAATTTCAATGGTTGAGATTCATCTCGGTGTCTTCTCTCTGTCTTGTACATCCAAGGCTGACTCTCTTCTCTCGCACTGATTCGATAGCTACCAAGACTGTATAGGAGCACTGGCCAGGATGAGATGGCATTGTTCGTTGCGCTGCTCTATCAGGGTATATGGGTCGGAGCTTTCGAGATACGGTGGCCGTAGTGGCATAGTAGCTGTTAGTGGGAGCTATGCGTCTAAACCCGACATCTCTTGTCCATCGTCCTATTACAAGTAGATACTTGGGGTATACAAATTAAACATCCTTGGCGTTACCTCCTCCTACTTTAGGCCAATTTCACCCTCCTTTTTTCCTTTGCTACACGACAATACAATTTTATATAACCTCACGGATTTACTTGCACTTCACCCTCCCCTCCAGCCTCCGACCCCTCAACCAATAACTTCCCTGCTTCCTACTCCCCGAGCCCCTAGAAACCAGCAATATACCGATGCTCCGTCGTCTCCTCCAACACCTCCAACCGCATCCCCACCGCGATCTCCCCCTCGTGCCGGGGCGCACTCAACATCCCAAAGCACGGCTTATACTTCATCCCCTCATCGACCCTGCGATACGCCATCAGCGTATCCCAAGGCTGCTTCTTATGTTTCACCGCCGAGGTCGGCTCGACATTAGGCACCTGACACCGCGCGCAGCGCGCCACGATATCCAGCTCCAGACCTTTTCCGCCATTGCCACCATTCCCAGCCGGCCTACCGTCACCACCACCCTCAGAAGCAGAAGCAGAAGCAGCCACCACCCGCACCGTCTTCCACGTATCCTCCTCCCACGCCACCTGACCCCGCACCACCACATTCGGCCGGAACCGCTCCACCGTGATCGCCGCCTCCCCCTGCTTGACCAGCCGCTCATTCAACTCGCCCAGCGACGCCTCCGACGCGATCAGCACGGGATGTACGTCCGGGAAATTGGTGGATTGCTCGCGGCCGAGCAGCCGCGGGGCCCCGTTGCCCTGCAGGATGCGCGGGGTCGGTCCCTTGTACACCAGCGCCACCTCGCGGCCGAGGAATTTGCTGATGGGGGCGTTGATGTCGGGGTTGTAGATGTAGCCGTCGGTCGTGGTGTCCCAGATCTTGATGTCGGATGCGAGCGTGGTGTTTTGGGCGAGCCAGGTCGGCGTCGGGTGCGCGGGGATGGCGATTTTGGCCGCTGGATGTTGCGTGGATGCGGCGGGGAGCGAGATGGTTAGGTTCAGAGGTGAGTTATCTTGCGCCGTTTCGGAAGAGGAGGTGGTGCTGGTGCTGGTGGTCAGGGCGGTGGTGATCAACGTCATGCGCGGGTTTGTGCGGATGGTGAGGAACTCGTGCGTCGTCGCGTCGACGATCATCCACCGTCTGTCGAGATCGAGGCCATGCTGCAGCAACTTCGTGCGTGGGAGGGCGAGCCCACGGCAGGATTTGATGGGGTAGACTCGGAGGGCGACGATCTCGTGGGATTGTTTGGGGCGATGGCCGCGGCGGAGGGTGATCTGGGTCGTCAGGGCGTGGGGGAGGTGAGTTGCGAGCCACGTTTTGAGGCCGGGAAGGAACACGACCAGTGGGAGGACAATTATCGCGAGGAGAACTAGGCCGACCATTTTCAAGGGGGATGATGAATTCAGGACTATGAGATCATGGCCGCAGAGTATGAGAAGGAAGAGAAAAAAAGCCGTGAGGGGAAAGGGTCAGAAATAGTTCGCGATAAGCGAGCAGACCCCGGGGATCCCGCGGAGAGTCATCCCTTATCGCGATTATGATTATGTGAGGTCTGACCCACGCCGCCAATAATGAGCGCTTATTGTTCCCAGGAAGTTCAATTACGATTGATATTCCATCAAGCTAATCATGGCTTGGATCTAGGCGGTCTCTTACCCGAGATGACGAGGCGCGGAAGTCCAATTGTCATGCACCAAAACGAGGTGAAATCTTCTTTGTTCCCTTGATTGCAGCTCAGCTCAAGCTTAGCACCACATACACTTCTTCTGCCCACGCCATGTCTGACTATTTAACTGGATTTCGAATGGTGTCCACTGCCTCACGGAAGTAGTAAAACCAGGCTATGCCAAATGCAATGATGCCTCCCAATGCGTCTAAAAGGTTAGAGCATGCGAATAAAAACGCCTACGCCGGGCTGCCGCTGACCACCCAACTCGTCACCAGAGCCTTAATCAGCGCAATGGCGGCGTCCTTTCCAGCTGCAATATGCTCATCAGTGCAGGACCCAGGAACATGGAAGAAGACCACATTCCGATCCTGGTCTCCTTGGTAGGCCAGCGCCAGACTCGAGTAGAAGATGAACTCGCAGAGGTATCGTCCCGCATCGTTCGAGATCCGAACGTCCGTGCCTGGGTGGGCGAACGACTGCCACGCCATGAGGAAGTCGGTGTCTGGTGGATGAGGGTTGAGATACTTCTTCGCCGATGGCACCGATGCATTTCCACGCCCAGCGCTGAGAACGGTAGGCAAGTCAAGCTCCCGCCATATACGCTCTCCGTCCTCGTAGCCCGATCGCCCTTTGATATCGGACATGAGGTATGCGTCGCGGTGGGCCTGGGTCTCCACTGAGTAGTAGTTCCTTGTTGCCGCTATGCCCATGTGGATGATGATGTCCGGGCGTCGGCCATCGTGTGCCTTGGCGTAATCGTCTAGGATCACGGGCAGCGTAGTCCGTACTGTTGAGTAAGCAACCGGAATCGGAGAAGGATGGACATGGATTGAGACGCGACAGGGCGTCGAGTCGGGAGTGTTCGTTAGGAATGTGAATGAAGGAGGGAGCGATGAGGCGATTAGATAAGAAGCATTGACCAGATTCGTTTTGAATGGCTATGTAGAGAGCAACACATCAGACCGTGATTGCGCGATGACAGGAGCTGAACCTACCCCAAAGCCTGTGACCAGCACAGAGATCTCGTCGGGTTCAGTAGCGGTTGGAGAAGTGGTGGTGAGCATTCGTGTCTCGAGCGATGTCGCTCCTTGTCCGTAGTCGCCCATGATAGGTAGTTTGATGCGCCTCGACAATAAGTAAGCGAGTAGTGAATGGTTCAACAACAGGTCAGTCAGAAATGTATTCACTTCTCAGTGTGTTTATCAGCTCCAGAGCTCAATGATTACTTCCACTGAGCGAGGCCAGAGCTGTAAGCATCGAAGGAGGAGAAATGCAAGGTGGTCAGTAATTGAATTTCCAGAAGGTCTCCCTTAACGTTAGCTTCTGTTTCCCCCGCATTCATGGCCGGTTTTGGGCAGTCAGTCTTGGCGTCACACGATAAGCAAAATGACTGATGGGGGGAATCTTCACTTACAAATATTGGAGACGTTACCTCGGATCCTTCTGGAACGGGCCTTATAGGTCAACACTCTATGATTGTCTGACCTGGGACTCACAGTGGGCATGTTTCATGCGGGATTTGATCGACAAGGTCGGATCGGGTCGATTAGACCGGGATAAAGCTTAGATCCCGATCTTATGGGTTTGTATGGGATTGCTATGGGCTAAGGTCTGGCTCCATAGGCAACGGCTGCTATAATCGGCACATCACGGGCTTTGAAGGAGAGGCATAAAAGTCGATATGCATTCAATATATTTACTATCCAAATAGTCGCAACGCAACATCGTTTATCTGTCTAGTTGGATACTTCTAGCATTCAAGATGGCTAAACCCACCTTTATCTTCGCTCCAGGCGCCTGGTATCCTTCCACAGCGTTCGACCCCGCCATTGAAAAGTTGCCAGGCTATCGTTGTCACACTGTTGCCTTTCCATCCATACAACAGGCAACCACCGTTCAAGATCTCCATCCAGACATCAACGCTGTCCGGAGTCTCGTGCAGCAAGAGGCTGACGAGGGCCACGATATCATCGTGGTCTCACACAGCTGGTCCGGCCTTCCTGTGAACAGTGCACTGGACGGACTGGGCAAAGCGGAGCGTGAAGCAGCTGGCAGGTCCGGCGGAGTGATCAAGCTCGTTTTCCTTGCAGCCTTTCTTCCTGAAGTCGGTCAAAGTCTGCTGGGAGCTTTTGGTGGACAAGCTCCAGAATGGTATATCCACGATGTGCGTGACTTTGTTCGAGCACCAGAAATGTGAGTGCATACTAAAGTGTTTCCTCCAGGAAATTACCAACACCATCACCGTGAGAGACCCCGTCCAGGTGTTATTCCATGACGTTCCGGACGGTGGATCATGGGCGCAGTCTTTACGGCCTCATGCTTATGTTACTCACACAACACCCGCGACCAATGCAGCTTACTTGCACATCCCATGCAGCTATCTGCTCTGCGAGGAAGATCGAGCTATTCCGTTTTTTGTGCAAGAAATGATGGTAGAGAGTGCCCGGGTCAAGGGCGCTCAGCTTGAAACCGAAAAGGTCAAGACGGCTCATACGCCGTGGTTGGCAAACCCGGACATGGTAGCTGCATATCTGAGGCGACAAGCAGGGGAGGCAGCCTGAGCGGGAGGGAGGCTGGTGTATAGGCCCAGCCACGGAGGGGAAACCGGCCAGGGTTTAGGTGATATATTGCAGGGCCTTATCTTTCATGTTCCGTATGTATTACGACATTATTCAATAAATGCTTCCCAAGTCGACCAGGATGGAGGCACTAATGCGTGGTTGGGTCATATCTGACTATCTGACTATGTAAATTTCTATTTCTATCTTTGCAGCTACGTCACTTCTGTCAGGTACAGTACTTAGTACAGTACATGCTCCGGAGTAGTCGCATAGCAAAAACATTGATCTGTGCGTGATTGGTCGAAATAAGCAGTGACAGACACGTTTTTCTACACCTTCAGAAGCGAGTCGGGATGTGTTGGACATGACCTGAAACAACCAGCTCGTACTCAAATGTCAGGGATAAAGAGCCTCGGCGTCGGAATCGGTGGACAATAACAGCAATGGAAGTGACCGGGTGCAGCTCTGGACTGGGGCTGACCATACCGAAACCCCATCAAATACCATTCTCGTGGTTTTCATTGATCTACCAGCCGCAAAGCGGAGAACCTCCCGGGGTTAATTACCACTAGTACCTTTTAATACAACCTACTTGTCTGTCGCAATCTCCCATGGGTATGGCTAGCAATGACCAAGAATCGGAACTGAAATGAGTCTGTAGGGTTTGGTGGAAGGTGCAGTAGAAGAAGATGAAGGTTGCGGAGTTTGGAGCTTGAGGGTATCGCGACCCTGTATAGACACGAGAAGGGAAAAGAAAAGAAGAAAAATTTCAGTTTTAGAATCTGTTTTCTTTCAACTTTGCTTGCAACCTTGCAGACTGGTTGTTGTTACATTTTTGTGGCCACTCCTCCCGTTATCGGTTCCTCCGCCCGCACAAACTCTGCAGCAGGTCTTGATCTTTCAGCCTGTTGCTCTTCTCTCCCCCCTTGTGCGCGTACCTGCAAATTTCCATGTCTGAGTAGCTTCGCAGTTCCCCCAAGTGTCCTCTACAAGTTTACCGGGTCTTATCCCTGCCGAACTTCCTCCAGAGTAAGCTACCTGTGCTTCATTCACTATGATCGCCTCCGGATCGAGCTTCTGGAATTGCAGTCCGAGGCTTATCGTCCGCATTGAGCTAAAAACTGATCCCCACTCTTTCTTTCTCTAGGCCTTCCCGCGTATTTCCTACCCCTCGATTTATCCCGAATTCTACCTTTGCGCAGCTTAGCCCCAGTCCCGGTTTTTGGCCTACCTGCATCCTCGGTCATCTTGTCGCTTGTCGATCGCACCTTTTCCACACTGTCAATCAATTCTCTACTCAAGTTTCATCATCTCATCGCCTCGCGCGCCTACCCCGGCTCGCAACCATGTCCGACCAATCCAACCACTATGAAGAACCCGTCAACGGGCTCCGGCCGTTGTCCAACGCAGACTCGTTTTCCCTTCCCGCCACCGCGCGCGAGTTGTCCAACCATTCAGAGCGGGTAGAGGCTGCTCGGGCCAATGGTCTTCCTTTGGAAGATGCTGACATCGATGACGAGGACGAGGAAGAGGGCGAAGAGGAGGTCGACGGGGAGTATGTCTCGGTGGACCACGACGATGTCGAATACCCTTACTGGTTTCGCCGCCCGCCTGTGCACCAGCGCACCAAGTTGGACGAACTGCACCCCTTCGTGCAGGTTCTGACAGAGTCGAATGTCGAGGACTGTGTTCAGGTCGAGGAGGCTTTCCCCCAACACGAGCGCTGTACGAGCGAGAAGGTACATTCCCCCGTCGCTTACATCATGCACGCCGACACGCTACTCCGATGACTGACGCATTTCGTAGTTCCGCTACCGTCTGAGCCGGTGTCCTGAGCTCTGTCTCGGTCTCTTCACTCTCCCCATCCTTCGCGAGGGCGAACCCAAGCCTCGCCCCACTCTGGTCGGACATGTTATTGCCACGAGAACTTCGAGCCCCGTGGTGACGGACAAGTCGATGGCGATGCCGGCCAACTGGCAGACCGAGCGCATGACCGTGGAGAACGGCGAGACTGTGGGCCATGATGAGTACGGTAGCACAATCGCCATCCACTCGCTCGCCGTGCTGCCCGAGCATCAGGGCAAGACGGTCGGCAGCACCCTCATGAAGTCTTATATCCAGCGCATCAAGGATGCGCAGATCGCCGACCGCCTTGCGATTATCGCGCACGGTCATCTGATCCCTTACTATGAATCGTTTGGCTTCGAGAACCGCGGGCCTAGCAAGTGTCAGTTTGGCGGTGGTGGCTGGGTGGACTTGGTATGTGTCATGGTCTTCTGCTTTTGTTTCTGGACTAACCGGTTGCCATGCAGGTGTTTGATTTCACCCATGATTTCGCCCGGGAGTGAAGTATCCATGCTCGGGCTGTTTCTTATGATGATGATCTAGTGGTGGACGGCCGTGCGACCTTCCCTTTTATGATTTCTTGACTCGACTTTTTCGTACCCATTCCCTCGATGACGGTTTGATGCATCTTTATGGCTTGATTAAACGGGATTTCAGTCTTCCTGGTGGGTTTCTGATAAAAGCAAGGCGTTCTGTCGGGCTACGGCGGGGGGTTTTAGGGACGGGGATGATGACGACACGATGGCCAGATCGAAACACCGTGGGTGGTTTTGTCAGGACACGCATGTTCCAGTTGATGTATCATATTCCCGGATAGTCAATGTAAATGAAGACTCCATAATAACTACGTTAAGATGAGTGATTACATAAGAGAAGGCGTAGCTGGGAAATAAACCTGCACAAAAGGTCTTACCCGTCCACCGGAGAGCATCCTCTGCCTCCTCCTTCCCTCTTTCCCCCACACACCAGCGGAACTAAAATCACCACCCAATCAATCGCTCACCGCCCGCCAAAATCTGCCCAGCGACCGCCGCCCGCAATATTTTTTTTTTCGTTTGATCTCGATTTCGGAGGCTACCAACTCTTACTATCCATCCCCGGGGTTCCCTTGACGAGTCGCTTTCTGTTACGACTCTATTTCACAGGTGCCCATCATGAAGACGACGTGGAAAGATGTAAGCTATGCCGACAACCCTGAATTCATTTCAGATCACCTTCGAGATCAGCCGAACTGACACCTCATTTTCACCGCTTGATTAGATCGCTCCGGTGCCTACGCATCAGGAATTCTTGGACATCGTCCTCAGTCGCACCCAGAGACAGCTGCCCACTCAGATCCGTGCGGGCTTCAACATCAGCCGTATTCGAGGTCCGTGATCTCCTTTCTTGTTGACTTTGCGACATTGTTCGTCGAGTCGCTGGTTTCCATCGCGGAAGCCGAACGGGAGATAAATTTTGACTGACGGAAATCTCTTTCTACCGATAGGCTTCTACACCAGAAAGGTCAAATACACCCAGGAGACTTTCTGCGAAAAGTTCCAGGCTATTCTCGATGGCTTCCCCAGATTGCAGGACATTCACCCTTTCCGTAAGTTTCGCTACCCGACAGTGCCAGAAAATTTGCCCCTCGGCATTTGAGACTAGTCGGTCAGATAATCTAAACTTCCGTCAGACAAGGACTTGATGAACACCCTGTACGATGCCGACCACTTCAGAATCGCCCTCGGTCAGATTTCGACCGCTAAGCACCTCATCGAGACCGTTTCCCGCGACTACGTTCGTTTGATCAAGTATGCGCAGTCGCTCTTCCAGTCCAAGCAGCTCAAGCGCGCTGCTCTCGGTCGTATGGCCACCATCTGCAAGCGTCTCAAGGACCCCCTCGTCTACCTTGAGCAGGTGCGTCAGCACTTGGGTCGTCTGCCCGCCATTGACCCCAACACCCGTACGCTCCTGATCTGCGGTTACCCCAACGTCGGCAAGTCCAGCTTCTTGCGCAGCATCACCCGCGCGGACGTCGACGTCCAGCCCTACGCTTTCACCACGAAGAGTTTGTTCGTCGGTCACTTCGACTACAAGTACCTTCGTTTCCAGGCCATCGACACCCCTGGTATTCTCGACCACCCCCTCGAGGAGATGAACACCATCGAAATGCAGTCCATCACGGCCATTGCCCACTTGCGCTCTGCCGTCCTCTACTTCATGGATCTGTCCGAGCAGTGCGGTTACTCCGTGGGTGACCAGATCAAGCTGTTCCACAGCATCAAGCCCCTCTTCGCCAACAAGATTGTCTTCCTGGTGGTCAACAAGATCGATGTCCGCCGCCCCGAGGACCTGGAGCCTGAGTACCAGCAGCAGCTCGAGGCTATCCTCAAGTCCGGGGATGTCGAGCTTTTGCAGCTGTCCTGCACGACCACCGAGGGCGTCACCAACGTTAAGAACGCGGCCTGCGACAAGCTCCTCGCGGAGCGTGTGGCTCAGAAGCTCAAGTCTGGCACCAACAACGCCGGTACCCCCGGCGGTCGCCTGGGCGATGTCCTCGCCCGTATCCACGTCGCGCAGCCCATGGGTGGCGTGACGCGCGAGACCTTCATCCCCGATGCCGTCAAGACGCTCCAGAAGTACGACAAGAACGACCCCAACCGCAAGAAGCTGGAGAGAGATCTCGAGGAGGAGAACGGTGGTGCCGGTGTCTACAACATCGACCTCAAGAAGACCTACGACCTGGCCAACGACGAGTGGAAGCACGACAAGATCCCCGAGGTGTGGAACGGCAAGAACATCTACGACTACGTGGACCCGGACATCGAGGCCAAGCTGGCCGCGCTGGAGGAGGAGGAGGAGAAGCTGGAGGCCGATGGCTACTACGAGTCGGACGAGAGTGTGGAAGACGCCGAGGACGCCGACACCCGCATGAAGGCGGATCTGATCCGCGAGAAGCGGGCGCTCATGAAGAACGACGCCAAGCTGCGCAAGTCGCTCAAGAACCGGGCGGCGATCCCGCGCAGCGCCAAGGCCAAGAAGCTGTCCCAGATGGAGGAGGCGCTGGACTCTGCGGGCTACGACGTCGACGCCGCCGCCAGCCGGGCGCGGTCCCAGAGCCAGGTCCGCGGCCGCCCGCTCACGCGCGACGTGGACATGGACGATTCGATGGATATCGATCCCTCGGATCCTCGCCAGGCGATTGCCCGGGCCAAGAGCCGTGCTCGCAGCCAGGCGGCAACGGATCGTCTGCACGACGGTGTGACGGACGAGCAGGCGCGCAGCAAGGCGGAGCGGTTGGCCAAGTTGGGCCAGAAGAAGATGAACCGCATGGCCCGCCAGGGAGAGGCCGATCGACACACCACCGCCTCCTTGCCCAAGCACTTGGTAAGTCTGCTGTGCTCGCTGTGTTTTGTTCAAGACCTACTTACTAACAATGCTGCAGTATACCGGCAAGCGCACCATCGGCAAGACCCAGCGTCGTTAAGCGGACCAAGCAGATGGTCGATGACGAGACGAAGTCCTTTCCTCTTAATACACCTAACCTACCGCATCGCGTGCTGCATTGCGTATTGCCTGTGCGCAATGCGGACCGCGCACCAAGTCCAAAGCTCAATCCTCGTTGCAACATAAGTGGTCATGAATTGAACAGGGGTGATTCCAAAAAACTGCCGGGGCGTTTGGGGTGTTTGTTCCACGTCTTCTTTGTGATTAGTGATCTTGAGTGAAAGAGTTGTTTTCTTGTGTCTTTCCTAGAGTCTTTCCTAGATATACCTGGGTGTGTATCCAGTTGAATTGATCTGTTGATTGTTGAGTGTGTTCTATTGTAAGGTGTAGATCTGCAGGTGGGACCAAGCATTCTGGGTACTCGACATGAGTATACCTATTTACGGAGAATATAGAATGATGAGGCCTATTCTGCCTGATAACTCCAGGAGTAAAACACTGTACGGTTCACCTTTCCCTCCTCTATCATCCAAGGTCGATCCGACGACTTTCTTCGCCATCTCCTCTACCGAAGAGAAGCGATACTCACGGCCTAACAATAGCCTATACCTCACGCGACCTCCCTTACCCCACTCGATTTCATCAACTGTCAAAATTGAGGAACTCTTCAAAAACGCTGCACCCTTGTAAAAACTACCTACCACCTACCACCTAGCAAGCAAGCAAGCATCACGCCGCCCCCAGCCTAGAACCCAGCCTTCCAAAACCAACCCAGCCCGACAGATTACACAATTCCCACCATACCACAGCCCCTAGAGTCGAATGATCGAAAGAAGCAAAAGAATCAAGGCGGAAGACACCAGCTTGGCCCAACTCTGACCCCCTAAATTTATAAGGCACATCCCCAACAACTTTGACTTTTCTCGAAAGGTAGACAAGACCGACCCCGGGACTTGGATGTATACATCCCCACCACACCCGCATGTCGAGATCTCTTCTACAGAGTATACAAAGGACTTCTGAGCTTCTCCTGTTATAAGACTCTCCAGAGACCCATCCCACTGACGGACAGGCAGGTCATACATTCCGTGGAACTCCGGAGAGGAGAGAAGAGAAGAGCAGGGTCTGGATGCTGGAAGCCGTAGGCAGGGAGGTTGATACGCTCTCTACTCACCATTTCCGGGAAGAGGCAGCTAGATCCTAAATCTTGTAGATGATTGTGCAAAGACCGCCAACCCCCTCAATATTTCGAAAAGGGTATCGTTACCGTTTGAAGAAATGCAGACCATTGCAACCAGTCCCCAAAACTGCAGGGATTGGAAGACTTGATTTGCACAGACAGACAGACAGACAGACTAACACTATGCAGTGCCTCCCTCCTCTGGGGACTGTAATTCGGAGGGGGAGGTCTAAAGAATCAACAGTTGAGGGATTTACCAGCTTCGGAGTTTCTTTCTGCGTATTCTCTCTCCTTTTTCCTTTTTCGGCTCGTTCCTTTTTCTTTGCCTATGGAAGATACGATTCAAACCTAAGCATATCGTCATCTCCCCACAGGCGCTACGCTATCCCTGGAAGGATCATGCGCTCTGCGTCTACCGCCTAAGCATCGCTGCCTGTGAAGCGGTATTATCTAGAGATAGCTCTCACCCACTGGATGCATACATTTATGCATGGTATTGGGGGAAACTTATCAGTATCAATATCAAAGATCACCAGGAGCTCGAGGTACGAAGGCAACACGATCCTCCAGGAAGAAAGGAGAAAAGGATTGCTAACCCTCCATCTCCATTTCCAATATCCCAGCGTCCGTACGGGGTCCTGGACTGTACCGTCCCACTACCTCGGAATCAAAAGTGTACGATATCATCCTACTGGGTCACGAGACATGGGGTAAACGAAGGGCCGGCCCCGGCCCTGTTTGCTAGCCATAGCTGAGCTTAGCTGGTAGCTTGTAGCGTACGGCTGAGACTTCAGGGTGCAGGTCCTGGCATCAAGGTCCAGGTTACGTATGGTTTATGATAGGTGCTCATCCATGCGAAAAGCGATACGACCTTCCCCTTTCACTCACTCTTTTTCCGGGTCAGCAAACGTGGATGGATGGTTGTGTGTTCGATGAGAAGAAGAAAAGCCATATCAACCAACGTGGTATGAATGGCGTAGGATCGAAGTGTGAAACTGTTTAGGTGACGAGGACCGCCCTAGACGATAAGTCAAGCATAATCCACTGACTGCATCATATTCTCCTCAGAGTGCGTGCGTGTGTGTGTTTGGGGGGGGGGGGGGGGGGGGGGGGGGGGGGGGGGGGGGGGGGGGGGAAGGGGGAAGTGTATGCATTGTGCTCCCAAGGTAGGGATTAGAGATTAAGGATCGTATCGCAAAGCTAATCCTGACTGCATCGCGGGACTTACACTAAGAAGAGAAGCAAGGAGGCCAGATGATCTGCCCACACAACCACCGACTCCTATCAGGAAGTCAACCCCCAAATCAAAAATGTTCTCGGGGACCGTCAATCGCATCCTTGTTTACTCCGACAGCTCGTCAAGGCAACACCGCCACTTTCTCAAGGAATGAAAAACAATCACAAGATCAGAAATGCCACCACCAAAGGAGTTGAGGAGGTTTGTATACAAATAACCGCATCAGACCAAATATGCATGATAGGGATGCAAAGCTTAAATTTGAGACATGCAGATACGAATCAAGCGGGAAGTATGGAGAGACGGGATAGAACATCCTTGTGCTCCGTTGACCCGCAATCCAACACTGCAATGACACCGTTGACGTGGCAGAATCCATCCAATCACTACCCTCAAATTACGTGGAACAGAAAATGCTTGTGATAGTGTATGAATTTTCATTTCTTAATCAATCAATCAATCAGTCAATCGTACTTAGAGGTATCAACAAACGCCGAACATCAGATTCCCAGCCAGAGGTCAGGTCGTACAACCATGCCTTGATGCATTCATACCCATTCAAGAAGCAAAAGAAAAATTGCAAGCCATTGAAGGCGAGCCATTAAAAGCGATGTAGATGAGGTGGTCAATGTACAGGAACGCAGAATTGCAAGACGACCCGCTTACTCGCGGAGCTCAGTGGGCTCACTGTGCTCAGCCTGGCCCTCGGCCTTAGGGGAGGAGGGAGGGTGGTGCATGTCATCGACAATGCCCTCAGGAGGAACCCAGCTCTCGGACTTCCAGGGGAGAACGTGCAGCACGTACATGCTGTCGACCTCCTCGAGACTGCGGCCCTTGCTCTCAATGACGAAGAAGAAGACAACGAAGATGGCAGCGAAGCAGCATCCGGCGAACACGTAACCGTAGGCGAAGTGGATGGCGGAGTTGATGAAGGGGGTGAAGAAGGAGATGAGGAAGTTCCAGGTCCAGTTGGCAGCAGTGGCCATACCGATACAGGCAGCACGGTAGCGGGCAGGGTACATCTCACCACAGATGGCCCAGACGATGGGACCCCAGGTGGTAGCGAAACCGACGATGAAGAAGCAGGTGAAGACAATCATAGCCTTGCCAGCAGCAGGGGTACTCTCGGGGTTGTTGATGTCCAGAGCGAAGTTACCGACAGAGGCCCAGATCATGAAGCAGATGAACATCCAGGCGGCACCGTACATCAAACTCTTGCGGCGACCATAGTGCTCGACAATGTACAGACCGGGCAGAGTCATGAAGAAGTTGACCGCACCAAGAATGATCTGGGTGATGTAGTTGTTGGAGATACCGGTGGACTTGAAGATGGTGTTTCCGTAGTAGAAGATGAAGTTGGCGCCGGTAAGCTGCTGGAGAGACTGGAGAGCGATACCGAGCATGGTACGGTAGAACATGCGGGGACCAGTGAAGAGCTCGTGCCACTTGGCAGTGCCGGCGTTGCGCTCCTCGTCGAGCTTGTCCTTCATCTCCTTCATCTCGCGGAGGATGACGCTGTGGTTGGGACCAACACCGTAGAGCTTGCACATGACTTCACGAGCCTCGTCAACGCGGCCCTGGCGGTAGGCGTAACGGGGGGACTCGGGCAGGAAGAGGGTACCGATACCCAGGATCAAGGGCCAGGCGAAACCGATGCCCATGGTGATACGCCAGGAGGCAGTGGAGTGGATTCTCTCGGTTCCGTAGTTGACGATGTAGGAGATGAAGATACCGAAGGCGACGAACAGCTGGAAGGCACTGACCATGGCACCACGAACCTGAACGGGAGCGGATTCACTCTGGTACATGGGGACGACGCTGGACAGAGCACCAACACCAAGACCGGCAACCCAACGGCCCATGGCGACCTGGACCCAGCTGGTGGAGGTGGCGATCTGGATGATGATACCAACAATGTGGATGAGCGACCAGAAAGAGATGGACAGCTTGCGGCCGAAACGGTCGGCAATGGGAGCAGCAGTCAGGGCACCAATCATAGTACCGATAGAGAGCTGGCACGGCGGTTAGTTTAGGGCGATCTCGTAGCCGAGCACGGAATGAACAACATACCAGACCGACGATCAGACCGGAACGAACGTTGCTGAAGGCATAGGAGCCATCAGCCTGTTGCTCACCGAAGCGCATCAGGAAATCCTGCATGGTCTCGAAACCGGAGATTTGACCTGTGGGGAGGCGGGGTGTTAGCGGGAGTCGGGTGTCAAGAGGGGGAAAGGATCGCCATGCATACCGGTCGAGTAACCGAAGATGAAACCACCCATGGAGACACAGAGACCGAGGATGAACGAGCGCCAGGTGAGATACTTGACGGGAGTGTCATCGATGATGCCGTGGTCCTTCTCCGCGTAGGAGTCGGAGCGAGCAGGAGTGGAAGCCTCGGAGTGCTCAGTCGAAGGCTTGAAGCGAGACATAATGTTGTGGACACCCATGTTGTCGGTGGGTTCACAGACACAAAGGTAGTTTGAATGGAAACCCTCTTGACAGTTGTGGATAAGTGTGAAAGGGAAGTGAGAAGCACACACAAACTGATGGGTGAAGGGGAAGATGTCAAGAGCAAGAAGCTGGGGGAAGTGGAGGAATTATATACGGAGAGATGGAGAAGAAGACCCGAACGGACTCGGCAAGGATGACGGCGGCGTCATCAACAAACGGACTGAAAAGGGCAAGGAAGGGAAAGGGAAAAGAATTTTTGAACGCAGCACGCAGCACTCGATCCGTCGGCAATTCGCCTCCATCCCAGGGATTGGAGGAGACACCCCATGGCCCATTCTTGTCGGGGTAGGACCATGGGCATGGGCAAGGAAAAAACGGGGGCCCAGATCTCAGCGTCTCAGTTTGGTATTTTTTTGGGTTGTTTTTTTATTGCCGCGTGAATTTTGGACTCGGGATTTACCCCGAAAACAGAGCCGGGACGAACGAGGGTGGGAGAATTCGGAACATTGCAAAGCTAGGGGGGAGTGGAGGGAGAGAGATTCCGGGCTCATCATTGGGGCACAATGGGTAGAGTGGAGAGTCCGGGTCTGGAGACTGGAGACTGGAGAGGGCAAAGCCGACAGAAAGCGGCACTAACCCGGAGAAACGTGCCTGACTAAAGGCTGAAGACGGCGGAGTCGAGGAGGGAGGAATTTGGGGGGAGAAAGTGGGAGAGTGAGGAGATTGAGGAGAGAGTGAGGAGATTGTGAGGAGATTTGTTGATGGGGAAAGGCAGGAATGGAACCCTTCTGGAAACCTCCCGATCCGGCCATTCAGGTCACGAGTACCTCCCCGATTCGGTCATTCTGCACCTTATGCATTCCATTATTATTATTGCAGTACTGCTGCTGCTGCACTGCATAGTACATTACATGTGCGCCTAACAGCTATTGAATGACAGCAGTCTTCCCTTACACTATCGATTCTATCCTTCCATCGGCTCCGGAATTGACTCCCTTTTCGGCCTCGTGGTCTCCGTCATTGTGATGCCGCTTGCAATCTAAAATTCTTCCTATAGCCAGCCCTCCGTGACCAGGTTGAGGCCCGTGTGATGCTATGCGGATGCGCCCATCAACCACTCCTACTGAGGGCAATTCCATTGTTCACCAATCGGGCCTTATTCGAGACCGGCTGGTTTGCCACCCAGACACAAGACACTACACTCAGCTATACACAAAGAATGCCGTGCATGCCGATGACAGCTTCAGGTTGTGTTACGGATGGGTGAATAGGATGCTGTCGAAGGGCGGATGGGCGGGCGCATGATCCACCACTACCTTACTCAGGTTGCTACGTATAGACAGCACCTTAAGTCCAGTTACTAAACCCAGGATGGCCCAGGATGGCCCAGGATGAAGTAATCCAACACCGCAGCAGAACAAACAGAGCCTTCTTCACGACGAAAACCAGAGACCATGATCCACCAGCGATTCATCCCTCGTCTTTTTTCTGTGTCAGAGAATTGACGCGAAGGAAATGAAAAGATTTTTCTACTCGCCTCGCCTCGGTGCCAGACAAACCTCACACAACCCCTGATCCTGATAGTGAGAGTCGTAGTAAAGTTGCCGCAAGCGGTACCAATGAAGGGAGATCCGCGGGCGCCAAGTGGGGGCCTATCCAGTAGTGGTTAGTGTGCTTTCGCCCTGCAAGCAGAAATTTCCTGCTCCCAGCCGAATCAGAGAATCCCGTGTCGATCCCGAACCAAGGCCGGCGCACTCAGGAACAACACCACCACCACCACAGCGTCATCGCTCTCGGTCTCGCCGTCTGGGCTGATATACACAAGAAACACCATGCGACAAAACAAAGAATTGATCTTGCAATGTGTTAAGTATACCATACTATGAAACAAATACTCTAACCTTCTAGCGATATCACCATGCACCACCCCCTCACCAGCAAACCAAATGCAGCGTCAGCACCAACCCGAACCCCTCCTCTCGGCCACCCGATACACCCAGCCAAGTCCTACAAAATCGCTCGGAATCGGCATTGCACCGCCAAAACCCAGAAAGTTGTCTCGGTGTGCCGAACCCAGCAGGCTAAACCCAGCTAAAGCAGACTAGCCCACTAGACGAGGCTAGGCGAGGGGCCGCTAGCCAAGGCAGAATCTGGATCCTTCCCGTTTGAAGCTCACCGGTGGCGGGTGGAGCGCGCAACCACTCGACGGAAGTTGGCCGATCTGCACTTGGCTCAAACTGGTTTCGGCGGCCCGGTGAAAACTTTCTCGCTGGTCAGACAATTGATCTCTCGATGAGTTGTTATCGGCATGCCGGACGGGGCGAGAACGCCCAACACTGGCAGGCGCAACGGATGCCCGTCATCTATCTCGGCTTTACCCGTGCACGATGAAAATTCTCTTGCGCTACGTGGTGATTCGGCCGATATGGCCGATTCATCACTCCAGTGTGAACTGCATCCAGTATGCCATTTCTCTTTCGACTCGAAGAGTGTATACAGCCGCAAGAATGTAGAGCAGACTAGAACATCTGAATCCATCACACAACCACAGCAAAGCCTCACACCATCAAAAAGATCACCCAGTCCGGGTGAAGAAATCAAACCACCCAACCGGCAACAGCACCACCTGCTGTTCTCTAGACCAAGGACTCAACAGCCCACTGCCGAAAGCAGAGTGGAGCCGACCTCACCAAGGAATGTCTCCACTTCGAGTCGACGTAGACTAATCCTCACCCGTCCCGAATGCGGTTTAGCCAGCCTGATGTTTCACCCGAGATCAGAACAACAAACAATAGTCCTTAGGAATGATAGTCCAAGATAACATGCTCGCAGTTGTTTGCAAACAGAACACCTGCGATCTGGGTGTCTGGAAAAACACACTCCCGGCAACTATACTCGGTAGCAACACAATAATCCTATTCAACCACTACCTCAAAACAGCGTGCATGTACGGGTAAAAGGAAATCAAGCCTTAGGCATCCAGGAACCACCAAGCAGGCAGCAGGCGGCGAAGAAGAAAAATTCAGTCCTGGTTCCTGACCCATTCCCAATCCCAACCCAAACTCAAACTCAATTATTCCAGAACCAAAAAGAAAAAAAAAAAAAAAAAAAAAAAAAAAGAGAGAGAAAGTTTGATTTATTTTTGTTTGTTTCATTTTAGCTGTGTTCGGGTCAAACCAAACAACCACCTCAAACGCGAACCTCACTGTAAGCGAAGCAGACCGGACCGGGGGCGGGCAGACTAGCACTGCAGGCTCTGGTCTATAGCGAGGATCCAATTGACCAGTGAACACGTAAGAGGCCAGATTGTATGAGGGCATTGTACTCCGTCAACTGACACCCGTTCACCTTGTACACTACGGAGTATGCAACAAAAGACATTCCGTCCCAGTGGCTCTTACCCAGGATATCTGCAGTCATCGCAATGAAAGCATCAACACCAACATCATACATCCTGAAACTTGAAACTGGCCAGGGAAAGCCCATCAAAAAGGGAAGCAATCCCGACCACCAACACCAAGATCACGATGATGATAGTAGTTAGGTAGCCACTAGCCCTCCCTGGTCTAGACTCACTGGAGGAGATCTGTGTAATGCCCTACGGCTGCGGCTGATGAGATCATACCCTCACCCTCACCCTCACCCTTACCCTCAGACTATACCTTAGTTCCAGTGGATGCCAACAGTCCAGTCCAGTATAAGCGGTGAGAGGTGAGAATCCAAAACACAACGTCAAAGTTTCAGCGTCATACTCAAAACCAAGGTTTCAGACCTGGTAACCAACCCACGCATCACCACCAAAAGAAGTGGCGTCAGGAACGACGACATGTAGAAGCGCAAAGAAGCATAAGAATGTCTTGCAGCAACGATTACGACAACTACAATCTGCGTAGTATATACCTCGGGCACCAGTGCAATAGCCTCTTCATTGCAGGCTCAGACCGCTTCCTGCAGGGAATATCCCTGTCAGGTCCACAATGGACTTGCCCTCTTGTGTGCATGCCAGACATCCTGCTCAGGGTTCGTCCCAATTTTGAGGAGCCCATTCCACGGTCCACGCACTCTGACGTGCATACATCCCCGAACGGCGATGCGGTGGGATTGACAGCGGAAGCTAAGGGAAAGGGCTCCGACAACGACGGCGAGGCGTCGCCACTTGCTCAACTGTTTAGGGGAATGCTATCTGCGAACGTTCAGGAGAGCTGGAGTAAGAGATCAGATTCCCTATCTGTCGATCTGGGACTGTTGAGCATCCCCCCTTGTTCACCCTGATTGGCCCAATATCACCACGTGTAGGGGATCGATGGCGAGCGCCAGCCGGTTCCCGTCCCCTGCTTGGAAAAAGCCGAAAGATAAGGTTAAAAAAAAAAAAAAAGTACTAAACAAACCCCCCCCTTCCCCGAAGCCCTTCGGCAACCCGAGACCGACCGACGTCGCCAGATCCATCCGGCTCGGCTTGCCGAATGACAGATTCTCACACCGAGTCCGCTACCTTCGCTCTTCCGGCGCGGTCCCCCCCTCTTCATCACCGTTGCGGAATTCACGCCGAACTCCACACCCACCCCCTGCTCATCCCCCGCGTAGAAATTATCCCCCAGCCATAAGTCCTTTCCCCTCTCGCCTCCCTCCCTGAGTCATTCCCACATGGTCGTGCGGATTAGCTCTAAGAATAGAAAGGATCCGCGGCCCGCTCAGGTGCTCTTCTTCCCCTTCTCCCGCTCGGCCTTGCGCAGCGCGCGCTTGCGGATCGCCTCGTGCATGCCCTTGTTCTGGCCCACCACGAACTTGCCCATGGTGCCGGTGATGCAGGTCAGGAAGTAGGCCATCAGGCCGTGGCTCCAGTAGGGCGAGGAGCTGTAGGCGTAGCTGGGGGAGCCGCCGTTGCGCCCGATCTTGGCGAGGACGGACTTGACGAACGCGCGCGGGTCGGGGATCGTGGCGCTGGTGCGGCGGATCTTCGACATGGCGGAGGTGATCAAGTAGGCCTGGACCAGCTCGACCGTGATGCCGTGGGGCTCGAGCTCGGCGCCCAGCGAGGTCGACCACTGCTGCAGGAAGGCCTTGCTGCCGGAGTAGGTGGCCAGAAGCGGGGTCGGGAGCAGGCCGCCGAAGGAGCCCATGGTCAGGACCAGCCCGCGCTTGCGCTGGATCATGCCGGGCACGACCAGCTGGGTCGCCCGCAGGGTCCCCATGCAGTTGATGGTCACGATGTCAGCCAGCTCGTCCTCCGGGGTCAGCGCGAACGGCGTCGGGATGTTGTGGCTCTTGCCGACGTTGTTGACCAGCACCGCCACATCCAGCTCCGCCACCAGCTCCTTGAGCTGGTCGTAGTCGCTGTCCTGGTTGCGGGCAAAGTCCATCGCCAGGGTCCGGGTCTGCACGGCGGGGTACTTCGACTGGAGTTCGGCGCGGAGGGCATCGAGCTTGGAGGCGGTCCGGGACACGAGGACGAGGTTGAAGTCGGCGCGAGCCAGCTGCAGGGCGAATTCCTTGCCCAGTCCGTCCGAGGCCCCGGTCACCACGGCCCAGCTACCCTTGGGGCCGAAGGAGCGGAGCTGCACCACCAAATTATCAGTTTCCTTTCGCTGCGATCATCGCCATGCCACACTTATGGTCCCAGGAATCGACATACCGGCTTGCCAGGGAGTACGAACAAGCTCAACAGGACCCGAATGAAGAGCAAGGCGCGGGAGACAACGAACAAGCTCCCAGCACCCAGAAGCAGGGAGGCGCCGACAGTCTGCCATCCAGGCTGCAGATGAAGGTGCCAGTTGGACAGGCAATCGAGATGCTTGGTGATGAACTCCATGATTGCGATTGCCTCAGTGTGGCAGTAACCCTGAAACAATCCAAATGCGGAGGGGTTGTGAATGCTCAAAAGAGGGGGGGGGGGAGTGGGAAAAGACGCGGAGGATTGACGCGGAGAAGGAAAAACCGGAGCTGAGCTGAGCTGAGACGGAATTGTTGGGGTTTGCCAAGCCGGCAACTTCAACAAACACTACGCTGCATCCCCGGGGAGCTACCGAGGAGCTTCATCTTTTTATCGATCAGCTCTCTGCTCGGCGTCACCTCGGTTCAATAACCACGCACCATTATACCCCCCCGACTTACCTGAGCTCATTGAACCAGCTCACAAACCCCTCCAACATCAACAATGATCTCCCTCCCCCCCTTCGAGGGCTTCCTCCCTCAATGGCTCGTCCTGGTCCGTCATTCCGTCTACACCGCTCATTCCCATTCCCATTCCCAATCCTCATCCTCATCCTCATCACACAACAAAACCACCGCACTTCCCCTCCCAAAAACTAACCTCCCCCCCTCCCTCCCCAAAAAAACAGGTCTCCGTCGTCTCCGCCGCAAACAGCCTACAAGCCTACCGCTCCGAAGCCTACGCAGCCGAGCTCTACAACGGCCGCACCCCGGAGGGCTACGTCTTCACCAACCCGCTCTCCTCGCGCACCTTTGGCACCTGGACCTTCCTCTCCGCCGTCATCCGCTTCTACGCCGCCTACAACATCAACAACCCGGCCGTGTACGACCTGGCCCTGTGGACGTTCGGCATCGCGCTGGTGCACTTCGTCGGCGAGCTGGTGAAGGGGAGCGCCCGGCTGCGCGGCCGCTTCGTCAGCCCGCTGCTCGTCGCCTCGTCCACGTTGACCTGGATGTTCTGGGAGCGGTCGTGGTATTTGAGTAACTAGTTTACCCGAAAGGAAAAAAGGGAGTGGGGGTGAGAGAGGTTTCCTGGGAGGGAAGGGTTTATCTTGTTCGGTTCAGTGGGGTTCGTTCAAGCGGTATTACTGTATGTGGGAATGGGCGCAGGCTGGGGCGGGGTGAGGAGGAGGAGGAGTAATGGATACGGGCGCATGTTCACTAATGTTAGTTTATAACACCAATGATAATGAGTTCAAGTCGAGAGGATTGTCTATGTGGTGGGAGTGGAGGTTCTCGTGTCGTGCATGGCAGCAAGCAGGGTCTGCCGTATCTGGCGGATCCACTTATATATATCTGTATCGTCGGATCGACCGATCTCGCTCCTCCACACAATCTTGGAACAATAGATCCGTGGGTTTGCTTTAGAACACGATTTGTCGTGAGAGAGATTTTTACTTTTTTTTTTTTTGCATGAAAAAAATAAAAAAGACAAAGGGAGAAGCTCGAGGTTGGACTAGGTAGAATATACAGCTATTTATCAGAAAGGTATGTGCACTATCACTAAACCCCTATCTACAACCTAGACATCCATCTTCTTACGGTACAGTTCTCCTCCACAGCCACGGAGTCTGGCAGCCGCCTGCTCCGGGGTAATGTCCCGCTGAGGCTCGCCCAGCATCTCGTATCTAAAGCCTTGTCAGTTTACAGTCTGCATACAGATAGCGAGAATCATCACTTACCCCACCAAGAACTTGCGGACGGTCGCACTGCGCAGCAGCGGAGGGTAGAAGTGCAGGTGGAGGTACGAGGCCTCAACCTCCTCCTCGGTGCCCTCCAGCGGCGCCTGGTGGATACCCATGCTGTAGGGGAAGTGCGTCTCGAACAGGTTGTCGTAGCGGCGGGTGACCTCGGCGATGGCCTCGGCCAGGTGGGCCTTCTCGGCGTCGGCCAGGTCGACGAGGGCGCGCTTGTGCGTCTTGCTGACGACCATAGTCTCGAAGGGCCAGACGGCCCACCAGGGGCACACGACGAGGAAGCTTGCGTTCTCGAAGACCACGCGCTCCTGCTTGCGGCTCTCCAGCGCGGCGTAGTCCTCCAGCATGTGCTTGCCGCCGTGCTCGCGGCGGTACTTCTGCAGCTGCTCCAGCTCCATGGCGGGTTCCTCGGGCAGCGAGCTGGTCGTCCACACCTGGCCGTGCGGGTGCGGGTTTGAGCACCCCATCGCGGCCCCCTTGTTCTCGAAGATCTGCATGTAGCGGTACTGCTCCTTGGGCGCCGTCGCGCTGGCCGTCGGCGCGTCGGGCGGTAGCGTGGTCGCCGGCGCGATCGCCGCCAGCGGGGACTTGGGCGACAGGTGCGCCGTGTACAGCTGGGTCCAGGCGTCAATGACGGGCACGATCTCGGCGGGCGACAGATCCGCTAGCGTGAGGTTGTGCGCCGCCGAGAAGGTGAGTACGTAGCATTTGCCCGTGACCGGCTCGGCCTTGAGGAAGAACGACTCGGCTTCTGTGGGCAGAAAGCTTGTGAGTGAGGGGTTCGTCCACTATGTGAACAGTGTGTGTCAGATTATACCTTCGGTGCTTTCTGGAGTATACGGAGCCTGCTCCTCCTTGACTGCGCTGTAGTCGTTCACGAAGACAAACGTCTTGTCATACTTGGGGTTGGAATCACCCTGAGCGCGCTTGTTGCCCGGGCAGAGATAGCAAGCAGGATCATACGAGGGCAACGTGGTCTTAGACGGACTCTCCTGCTGACCTCTGGAAAGCGAGTTGATATTAGTTGCTTGATCTTTCGTGCGTTTCTCAAGAGCCCAGAGAAAGGGGGCTCCCTCAGAAACCCAACACCTGGAATCACGCAAGCTCAATACTTACTGCCAGGGACGCTTGGTCCGGTGAGGGGAGACCAGGATAGAAGAGCCGCGCAGAGGGTTGTATCTGCGGTGGGAGATGTCGTCGAGCACTTTTTCAACCATTGTCGCGAAAGATTTGCGCTGAATAGAATACAAGAAAGCAGAGAACCGAGAGTGTGAGAATCAGAAGAGAGGCAAAAAGGAGAAAGAAGAGGAAAAACAGCACAGAAGGCCGAAGCGAGCGAGAGAAGAAAAACCTGGGCTGGCTGGCGGGGCCGGCCGTCGCGGGGCTCCGGAAATTATGCCCACCACGGGGTAGATTAAAAGCCACTCGGGTATTTAAGCGATGGACCCTGACGCTGCCATGTAACGCCAGGCACCTTGTCGTTGACAATGCCGATGAGTGATAGACTTTGCGAAATTTCTCCGGCAGTATTGATCGAGTTACCAGGGGTATAAAATGCAAAGAATGGGGGTATGTACAATGGTTGAACCCTTTTCGGGGTCAGCTTCCCCGCGGTTAGCCGACTTGAGTGGGAGTTCATACGTCGGGCCGACCAGCTGACGTCATTCACGTCAACTGGTCAGTCAGCATCACATGGTCTGGTCTGGTCTGTTATCATCCAGCTAACTCGTGGGTCCAGTTATCACAGACAGCCAGTGAGTTTCATGCAGGGCACATACACAGGCATACGCATGTACGCACCGCACAGCAGCAAGGAGAATGCTATTAGTATGGCCAGTGACAACGACACCACCAAGACAAACCTCTTCTCTCTGCCTAACGAAGTACGCTTGAAGCCTTGACCTCTTATCATCCTCCCCTCCCCACCCCACTTTACCTCGCTAATCACCCTCCCTCCATTCACCGACGGATCCAGGTCCTCGTGCAAATTCTCTCCAGCTTCTCAACCCACTCTCTTCTCCCCTGGACATCAGTCTGCCACCATTTCCATGCCTTGATCCTCCGCATCCTGCACTACCGGCTCCGCATCGCCGCCTCCCTGCCGGAATACAAACTTATCCTCGAATGCTTCCACCCGAGCTCAAAACTCATCGAACCCCATGTCTTCTGTACGTACATCGGCACGGACGAACTGAGCAGCCAGTTCGATGGGAAGGGCTCGTTGTACGAGAATGTAGACACCGCAGAGCGGCTCGGCCGACTCGGTTCGGTGTATTCGCGGTTTCGCCCGGAGCGAACACCGGAGGATGGTACATCTCCAGGAACGCGATGGGGCTCTTATGGCACTGGTAGGTAGATCTCCATTCTGGTTCTAGAAGAAGGTTATGCAGGCATGACGAACTGACGCCGTTGATAGACGAGGAACTGGATCACGACCCGGACAACAGGACGGTGACGCGTCTCATCAACCTGGAAGAAGTTGAGGACTTCTCCCAGTTGTGCGTGGTGATCAATGTGGTGAAAGTGATGCCGGGAAGCGATCTCTTGCTGAGCGCCCACACGGTCGAGGATGGGGTGATTCGAGTGTTCCGGAATTGGCTCAAGGAACGGGAAGGATGGGATCGGGACCGGGATCAGACCCGTGCCCATGGCAATGATCCACCCAACAGGGCTTCTGTAAAAGATCGTGACGATGCGAGTATGCTCTGGGTTGATCCAAGCCGCAACGTCGGAATTAGAGCACGGGTTCGGGGAAGGCGATATCTCGACCAGCAGATGCCGTTGCTGGTCCACCGCGACGAGGAGCAGGGGATTACATATGAGCTGGACATTGAGGGTAGGTCACTTTCCTTCCGAGCAGTCCACTTGATGTATTTGCTGACCGGCCTAGAACTACATATTCGGACCACTTGTCTTCTGATGACCGTGGAGAAGTCGCAGGAGGAGCAGAAGAACTATCCGAAAGCCGTGATCTTCACGCGGACAGTATGATTCATGACCACCGAGCTCTGGTGGATAGAGTGGTCGGGATTCTGAGTTGTAGCGCATAGTCTCAGTGCATCGATATGCAGTACTTATCAATACGAACTGCCTGCGTCATGCATGCTACTGCATGTACTGTACAGTACCGAGTAGCAGCAAATGAGGCAAGAAAGCCGACCGGCAAAATGATAAGCGACACGCACTAGTCCGTATGCAGAGATTTTACCTCGGCACGTTTTCAGCCCCCTCGGCGCTGATTGGCCGGTGCCTGTCTGCTAACCGGATAAGCGGTGCCGAAGCTGCATGAATTTGAAATCGATTGTGTCAGGTTCCACCCTCAAATATCTGCTGCATTATTCATTTCAACTGGATTTTCTTGTTTTACTTATGCTTTGAGTCCTCTTGTTGCTTCGACATCACTCAGGCTGACGAGGTGGAAGGATGCTGGTGAACTTTAACGATCTGATACATCCTTAGAGACGAACCTCGAGCTAAACCTCTTTTCCGCTGCTCTCGCCGCCCTCCGATTTAGCCACGATGGGCACGAGCTCGAAAATCCCGTACTGGCAGCTCGTCTTCGACCAGAAGGTGGTCACGCCAGAGATCGTCGATTACCCCTATGACGGCGCCGGCACGGAGGAGTCGCCCTACGCGGTGACGTGGATCCCCAATGATCCCCGCAATCCGATGAACTTCAAGGACATGACCAAATGGCTGTACACGGTGCAAGTCTCCTTCGTCACGCTAACGGTGGCCCTTGTCTCCTCGGTGTACTCGGGTGGGATGGGTCAAGTGGTGCAGGAGTTTCAGTGTGAGGAAGAAATCGCCATCCTAGGAATCTCCCTGTTTGTGCTGGGATTCGCCTTTGGGCCCTTGCTGTGGGCGCCCATGAGCGAGGTCTTCGGCCGCCGCAACGTCTTCACCATCACCTTCGCCATCCTGACCGCCTTCAACGCCGGTGCGGCGGGCGCCCAGAACATTCAGACGCTCGTTGTCCTGCGGTTCTTCGCGGGCTTCTTCGGTTCCTCCCCCTTCGGCAATTCCGGCGGCACGATTGCGGACATGTTTCCGGCCTCGAAACGTGGCATCGCCATCAGCTTGTTCGCAGCGGCACCGCTGTGCGGCCCGACGATCGGGCCTGTGATCGGCGGGTTCCTGGGCGCCGGGGCCGGCTGGCGCTGGGTTGAGGGCTTTATGGCCATCTTCTCGGGAGTGGTGTGGCTGTCGCTCGTCTTCCTGCTGCCGGAGACCTATGCGCCGGTGCTTTTGCGCCAGCGGGCGGCCAAGCTGTCGGAGCTGACCGGGCAGGTATACCGCAGCAAGCTGGACATCGAGCGCGGGCCGGTGTCGCTGTCGCAGACGCTGAAGACGGCGCTGTCGCGGCCGTGGATCCTCCTCTTCAAGGAACCGATTGTCCTCCTGTTCTGCATCTACATGGCCATTATCTACGGGACGCTGTACATGCTCTTCGCCGCCTACCCGATTGTCTTTCAGGAGTCGCGCGGCTGGAGTGAGGGGATCGGCGGCCTTGCTTTTCTCGGAATCCTCGTCGGTATGGTGCTCGGGGTCGCCTACACCTTCCCGGACAACATGAAGTACGCGCGGCGCTGCCGCGAGGCCCCCGCGGGGACGCGGCTGGCGCCTGAGGTGCGGCTCCCGCCCAGCATCATCGGCGGTATCGCCCTGCCGGTGGGCCTGTTCTGGTTCGCCTGGACCAACTACCCCTCCATCCACTGGATGGCCTCGGTCGCGGCGGGCGCTCCCTTCGGCTTCGGCCTGGTGCTGGTGTTTTTGAGTGTCTTCAACTACCTGATCGACGCCTACACCATCTTCGCTGCCTCGGTGCTGGCCGCCAACTCCGCCCTCCGCTCGCTCTTCGGCTTCGCCTTCCCGCTCTTCACCACCTACATGTACGAGAATCTGGGTATCCACTGGGCCTCCTCCATCCCGGCCTTCCTGGCGCTTGCGTGCATTCCGTTCCCGATCGTCTTCTATCTGTATGGCGCGCGCATCCGCAAGCATTGTCCGTACGCGGCACAGGCGGAAGCGTTCATGCAGAAGTTAGCCGCGGCGCAACAGCAGCAACAGCAGAAGCAGGCCGCTGTTGGTCTCCAGGAGAAGGAGACGCTGGATGTGGAGAAAGGCAGTCCGGTGGCTGCTGTGGTTGGCGCGGAGGATAGTGTGGCGGTCGACAGCGACAGCGACAGCGATAGTGATCGATTGTCAACGATCCCATCGCGGGCGGCCATCGAGCGGCGGGCATCGCGGGCGTCGCGGACTTCACGCAAGTCGACGCGTTCGTTGGCGCGCACGGTCACGTATGAGGAGAATCCGTACGATATCGATCGGGTCAATACTTGTAACTCGATCAGTGGGCGGCCGGGGAAGAATTGAGGACGAAGCGAGATGATCTTTTTGTGATGTCTCTTGGCTGTCTGAACTGAGTCCCGCGAGCCGAAACAGCACCAATCCACACCAGGGGATGGCTTCTCGACAGGATCGACTCTGGAATTGGAGGGCCGATATTGCTGCCGTTATATAGAGCCATCTACGGCTATCTCTTGGCTGGCGGTCTTCACAATCCACCCATCAACCCCCAGAGCAACAGAGCTCATTACAACGAAGAAAACGGCAGGTGCTCTCCTGCATTTACACTACTTGCATAGCAGGCGTTGCGTTATTCGGCCCTCGAGGCTACGGCATAACTAGATATTTTTGACATTTGTTGATACCTAGACAAAAGCATAGATAGACTTAATGATAATCGTTACACTTACGATCTCTCAGCCCCTGAAATCGAGTATATCAGTTCTGCAAACGTGCCAACATGTTGTGCATTATCAATCAGCCGAAGCATTCTGTTGATATCTGTTAGGCGCCAATTCACCAGAGGAAGGATATCGTGAATTCAGTGAATGAGGACTCGTTCTATTTCACAGATCATGTATAAGCAATCCTCCTCGACCTGTTCCAAATGGTGCTATAAAGCTTCGCCGGTTTTCTATCCTCCATCCTCTCATCTTCTCGCCTCCTTCCTTACATCCACCAATCCTCCCATCCAAAACCACCAACAAAAACCCACGATACCTGCTCCAAACCGATTTCCAACAATGCCACCCTTCAACATCCTCATCGTCACCAACAGTGAACCAGACCAAGCCAACCAGACCCTCGCGATCGCGCACGAGTTCCTCGCCCACAGCCACAACATCCGCGTGCACATCGCCTCCTTCGCCGAGCTGGCCCCCTCGATCAAGCAACTAAACCACGACCGCACGACCCACCACGAAGCAACCTTCCACAGCCTACCGGGGCCGTCCAAGCGCGAGGCCTCCGACAAGAACGGTTTCTCCCAGCAGAACGCATTCCACGCCCACAGCAGTTTTATGGGTATCCTCCGAACATACACCCAGCTGCTCCCGCAATCCCGCATCCCCTGGACGGGGCCTGAGTACGTCACGCTCTACAACCACATCGGGATCATCGTGGCGGATATCTTCCCCCTGGTGATCGTAATCGACGCGACCCTAGCCCCCGGGGTGGATGTCTGCCGGACTCTGAAGTGGAGGCATGTGCTGGTGGGATCCGGATTGGCGCACGAGTATCTCCCGCCGTCGCCGGGCAGGGTGTCAGTGTACGTTTCCTTCCCTACGCATCTGCATAGCAGAAGAGATTCCACCAGCAACGCTCATCTTCATGGACTATAGCCTCGGACCCAGATTCCTCTCCCTGAAAAACCTAACCCTAGGCCTCCTCCTCCATCTAGGAACCACCCACTCCCCGCACCTCCAACAAATCCAAACCGCGCGGCGCGCAAGAGGTCTCACCGGCCTCATCCCCGACCCCCAGGCCTCCTTCCCCCAGCCCCGCGACGAGCGTCCGCTCCTCCTCCTCCTCCCCACCCACCGCACCTACGACCCCATCCCGACCCCAATTTCTGCTGGAGTCATCCACTGCGGCCCCATCACCCTTCCCCTCCGCCCGATAGGCAAAACCCACCCCGACCTAGCCCTCTGGCTCCGCCAGCGGCCCACCGTGCTCATCACCCTCGGCCCCGACACCCGCTACCCGGCGCGCGAGCAGATCGCGTTCGCCACGGCCATCACCGCGGTGCTGGCCGCCAAGCCGCTGGTGCAGGTGCTGTGGCTGATGAAGCCTGAACCGACCAGCTTTGAGGTTGGTTGCTGCTCGGACGGGCTGATGGATGCGAAGGTTCTAAGACTGAAAGCGAAGGTCTCCCCGCGCAACCGTCTGCGGATTTACGCCCGGCTGCCGGCGGAGACGCTGGCCATGCTGGCGAGTGGGAATGTGGGGTGTGTGGTGCATCGTGGGGAAGCCCGGGTGTTTGGGGAGGGGGTCAGGTATGTTCTTCCTTCGTTGCTTGCCTTGGCTGTTAGGGCAGGGGTGTGCTGACGGGTGACGGGGTGACTGGGTGACAGAGCGGGGATCCCGCAGATCGTGCTCCCGATGTACCTCGCGGACTATGAATATGCGCAGCGCGTGGAGGATTTGGGGATCGGGGTTGGGGTTGGGGTTAGGAGGAAGGGGGCGGGCGGTAGGGTTACCGGGGAGCAGGTGGAGAAGGCGATGCTGCAGGTGCTGGATGAGGAGGCAGGCGAGAACATGCGCGAAAGGGCGGAGGCGCTTGCGGTGAGGTTGCTGAGGAAGGATGGGAGGGTTGTTGCGCATGAGCGGGTTTTGGAGATGATTGGGTTGAGGAGGGGGGGTTGATTTAGATTTATGCAGCGCTGGTGTCAAGTATGCAAGCTGGACTATGGTAAGTTGCTTGTTGTCATCTCATCCAATCTGACTGAACTTGTGTTGGCTCATTGTCGTCGTCCATCCTTCTTTGGCCATTCAATCTCACCGGGCACTTCGGCTTCAGTGCAGTGCTGCCGTGCGAAGACCGAACTTCTCTCAAGTGCCCTCGTGGAATTGACGTTGACATGTTCTGTACGTGAGACTAAGGCGAGAATCGGAGTGACGTCGGCTAAGACTTTAATCTCTCGGATATCCGCAAACCGGGTAGATCGACGGGCGTACTCAAATCTGGCATCCGAGGATGCCCGGTTGCCGGATCTTCCCCGCAACTTAAATGCCCGCCCGCTGCATCCCACTACGTCTTGCCCCTCATCAACAACAATTCCTGTCTGCATTGCATCTGCATCCTCCCTTTCCTCTACGTTCAAAATGGCAAACGAACGCATCGCCTGGATTGGCCTGGGTAACATTGGCCGCGTAAGTTCTCTGCCCCTTTGCCCTTCTTCCCCTCACCTCTTTAACAAATCCTCTCCCCTCACATCACGTCCCCAAACGGTTCCCTCCCAACCAACACAACCAACACAGCTAACAAACACCAGGGCATGTCCCGCAACATCGCCACCAAAGGCCCGCAAACCAGCCCGATCACCCTCTACAACCGCACCACCGCGCGCGCCGAGTCCTTCGCCGCCACGCTGCCCGCCAACCGGGCGACCGTCGCGACCGCCCTCCCCGCCGCCGTCTCCGCGGCGACCATCATCTTCATTTGCGTGGGCGACGACCCAGCCCTCGACGCCATCATCACCACCCTCACCTCCGCCCCGGACCTAGACCTGACCTCCAAAATCCTGGTCGACTGCTCCACCGTCCACCCGGACACCTCCCGGCGCATCGCCAGCACCCTCACCGAAAGGGGGGCCAGCTTCCTCGCGTGCCCGGTCTTCGGCGCCCCCGCCGCCGCCGACGCCGGCCAGCTGGTGGTGGTCCCGGCCGGTCCGCAGGAGGCCATCGCCCGCATCGCCCCCTTTCTCGAGGGTGTCGTCGCGAAAGCCGTGGTGCCGATGCCCGGCGCGGACGTGGGGCGGGCCACCACCCTCAAAGTCCTGGGCAACACCTTCATTTTGAATACCGTCGAGAGTCTGGCGGAGGGGCTGGTGGCGGCCGAGAAATCCGGTCTCGGGGCCGGAGTCTACCAGGAGTTTATCCATCGGATGTTCCCCGGCCCGTTCGCGGCGTACGCGGACCGGATGGTCACCGGGGATTACTTCAAGCGCGAGGAGCCGCTGTTCGCGGTGGATCTGGCCCGCAAGGATCTGCGGCATGCGGGGAGTCTGGCGGCCGCCGCGGGGATGCGGTTGCGCAGTGTCGAGGTGACGGATGGGTATTTGCAGGAGGTTAAGAGGGAGAAAGGGGAGAAGGGGGATATTGCGGCGGTGTATGGGGCGGTGCGGAAGGAGGCGGGGTTGGGGTTTGACAACTGATTTCTTTTTGAGGGCGGGGGATTTTGTATATAGTGTGTGCCAGTAGTTCTTATCACCCAGTGTGAATTATTTGAAGTTATCCCCGGTCCCCTCCTGAATTAAAGATAGGTGTGAATATTTACAACCAAACATCCTGCCCCTCCCCGCCCACCTCGGGGATCAACCACGACTTCCGGAAATATTTCTGGAGGACCTTCTGGCTGTACGTCTGATCATTGACGCAGTACGCGCCGCCCGTCGGCCCGATGTGCGGACAGTGCACGGCCGGATCGTACTGCACCATGTGCTCGTGCACCTCGCGACACAGCAGGGTATTCCGTCCCAACTCGTAGTCTTTGCCGAGCGGGATACTCTGCGTGAGGAACGCGTAGCACGCGTCCGTATCGGCGTACTGCTGATTCTCCCCCGTGCAGTACGCGTCATGCGTCTCGCAGATCTGGTTCGCCAGCAGCTGCGTCAGGTACGCGGTGGCTTCCGTCGCGGTGCCGTTGATCTGCTGCGCCAACGCGCCGACCAGCGTGTCGACCAAAAACCCGAACCACCGGAATGTGGCGTCGTACTGCTCGATCTGGCCCGCGGAGTTCCACATGATCCACGTGTCGATGGTTACTGGCAGTAGGAGGTTGTTGAAGGAGGTCGCGTTGAAGGTTACGACTGTTGTCGCGGAGGCGAGGTTCGTGTTCGGGGCGGCGGTGAATTGCGTGATGCTGTAGGAGATGGGGACGCCGACGAGGCTTAGGTGCGTCGGGTCGCTGAAAAGACCGAAGAGGTATTCGGTGTTGAGCGTGGAGCCGTTGAAGACCCGGGTTATGTCGACGCGGCCTTGGATCTGGGATGCGTCAGTGGGGGGTGGGATGGGTTGGGGTAAGAGGTTTGGCAGCGTACGTCAGGTGCGAAGAGGGTCGAGTTGATGGCCTTGGTCTGCACCAGGTTGGCCGGGTAGAGGAAGTTATCCCAGAAGGTCTTTTCCAGGGTCCACAGCTCTTGGATGCTGTATTGCGTGGTGTTCTTGGGTCTGGGGCTGGGGCTAGGGCTGATGCGGGTGCCCTGCACGCTGGGCGTGAGCAGCGTTGCTGCGGTGAGCAGTGAGGTCCATGGGATGTGCATGGTGGTTGGACTGGTTGGGCTAGCTGGGTTGGTTGGATTGGTTAGGGTGCAGCAGCAGCAGCGAGCAGCAGAGGAGCTAGACTTATATTCCCAGCCAGCAAGCTGGCTATGAGTATGTCAACTTGGCCGGTCATGCAACCCTAAATTGCCCACTCAGATCCAGCTCTCAGGCAGCCACCGTCAAGATCTCCATCATATTGCTTCTTTCGCCCGCCGATACGAGCGAACCCACCGCGCGGCGCCCTGTGGCGGAATTGGCTGGGAGGTTCAGCTGACTAGGGGTGCAGTCTGCACCGAGTCAGTGGCGCTAGCTGGTAGAAAAGGAGTTATGAGTGTAATTCTAGCCGAAGGCTACGGAATGTGCTGCGTAGGAGGGAAAGTCCCAAGAATGTTGGAATGAGCGGGCTGGGCCTGTACGAACTTAAGATGGAAGCCACGCTCCTGTCGATCTATTGGGGATTATTGAATACGTGCATACAGAAAGTGAATTGAAGGGGAGAATCAGCAGGCATATCACATCGCGCAGCCAGCCTCGTATCCCGGTCCAAGACGAGTCATGCGGAGGGCCGATCCTTAGCCTTGGCTTTAGCCCTAAGTGAGGGTCGCGCGGATCAGTGGAATGACGGTCGCGCTGGTTGAAGCTTGTTGGTGCTTATAATTGACTCTGAGATTGATAGTGTCCAACTGGAATAGAATTGTGTTTGAAGTCCCTAATGCCGTCTGCTACCCTGCAAGAAGGGGGTTAGGACAGAGGTAAACCGACAATTCCTGTATACTCCGCAGCTCCGTCGCACATAGGGCTCGATTGCCTTTTTAGCGTCAGATCGCCGAGATCATCAGACCAGACATATCTACAGCAACTAACAAACAACAAACGCATCTCATCTGATATACTTAAATGGAAGCAAACAATCAATAATCAGGAGTAAGTACTCAGTATCAGTTCATTGTCTGTAATAATTGATCTGAGGGGTTAAATGGACGGCTTTTAACCGAGAATCACCTGAACAGCAACAAGGATAAACACAAGCAACAAATCACTCATCTGGACCCTGGCCCTACCCCGGCACGTACTACTCTTACAAAGAGGCCCTCCTTCCGCAAGCATCTCCGCTTGAAGCTGTAATCCATAGCCATGAAGTGGTCCCAAAAGCACCGAGTCTCTCTTATACGCGCCTCGCCCAGCACAGAGCGGTTGTGATGACGCCTCTGAGAGAGGTGGAAGATGCTTAGATTAAGTACGTCAGGCCATCTGCGAGAACTAGCTAAGGCCGCCGAGGTGGGCGGTGAGCTGGCAGCCTAAGGCAAGGCCACCGGGGGGGCCGTCAGGTTGAGTAATTGGCCCGAAGCAAACTGTAGCCCACCCGAAGCGCAGAGCGACCACCTCAGTTAGAAAGAAAAACCGTCTGCTCATCCCAAAATTGCCCTCATTCATCTCCCCTCGGCAGCAAACCCCCCACCCGTACGGTCCTTATCAAGCTGTGCATGGCGCACCGGGCCGAACGCCCACGAGGTCCTGGGCTACGACCAAGATCATTCCACAGAAGTACCGGGGTCGTCGGGCAGGTTATGGAAAACAAAGGCCACCTCCAAGCAACCCAAAACCAAGGGCAAGGAGTAACGTAATCCACATGCGGGCTGGCCACACAAGCGGCCTGGCCACCACTTCGCGTTCCTTCCACCCCACCAAAAACGAAGCCAAACAACCACCCACCAATCCACCAAAAATGGCTATATCGACAAAAAACCTGGTGGAACAAGAAGGCAGAATCACCTTGGCAATTGAGGCTTTAAAAAATGGTAAAATTCCTTCTATATGTTAAGCGGCGGCGTTATACAATGTTCCACGGTCAACTCTGCAGACGCGCCTCCAAGGAACCAAGGCAATCAGTGATATATGTGTTAAATCGTGTAAACTGACTCTCTCTGAGGAGGAAGTCTTAGAGAAGTGGATTCTCTCTTTGGATAAACGAGGCCTTTTACCCAGGCCTTCCCAGATCCGTACAATGGCCAATATCTTAATCCAAAAACGCGACTCGGCTGCCCACACGTCTGTCGGCGAGAACTGGGTATACAACTTCATCCGAAGGCATAATTTTTTAAAGACTTGTTATTCCCGTCGATATAACTATAAGCGTGCTCTCTGCGAGGATCCGGCTGTTATCGGAAAGTGGTTCAACCGAGTTTATGAAGCTATATTGGAGTACGGTATCTTAAATAAGGATATCTTTAATTTTGATGAAACTGGCTTTGCTATGGGCTTAGTGGCTACTGTGTGTGTGGTAACAAGATCTGACTGTATAGGTAAGCTATTTCTTATACAGCCTGGAAACTGTGAATGGGTGACCTCAATTGAGTGTATCAACGCTTCAGGCTGGGCCCTGCCTCCGTACTTAATTCTTAAAGGAAAAGTCTTTATAGAGGCATGGTATCAAGGCAAGGTGCCTTGTACTTGGAGAATCAATATCTCACCAAACGGCTGGACTAGTAACGATATCAGTTTACACTGGCTTCGTAAACACTTTATTCCTTTAACAAAGCCTCAAAGAGTTGGCCGGTATAGCCTCTTAATTCTTGACGGACACGACTCTCATTTAACGCCTGAATTCGACGAAATATGCAGTTAAAATAGTGTTATTCCTATCTGTATGCCAGCATACTCTTCACACCTCTGTCAACCTTTTGATATCGCGTGTTTCGCGCCTCTTAAGAAGGCGTATGGCGGCTTGATTGAGAAGTTGATTCGTACAGGCACCCACCATATTAATAAGATTGATTTTTTGGATACATATCCAGATGCTCGAACTGAGGCCTTTAAAACTTTAATAATTCAAAGTGCCTTCCGGGCTGCCGGACTGGCACCGTTCCAGCCAGATGAGGTTCTTGGAAAACTAGTTTATTGCCTCTGTGAAGCTATACTAATCAGCCGGCCAAGCACAGCTTCAACACTACCAAAAACGCCCAAGAACGTGAGGCAATTGAAGAAGTATAAAACTACAGTTAAAAGACTATTTTGTGAACGAACACAGAGTCCTCCGGAGTCTATGAAAACAGCTATATCATATATCTTAAAGGGTGCTGAAATGGCATTGAGCCAAGCCGCCCTGCTTGAGCACGAGAACCACCAACTCCGGGCTACTAATGAACGCCTGGAGAAGAAGAGGAAACGAAGCCATCGCCAAGTTCCAGGCCTCAACGGCTTGACCGCTGGCGAGGCAGTTGAGGCTTTTCAACAAGCCTGTGGAGCTGGGGAGGCATTTAAGACTGAAAGGTCCTTGGAGGTGCTCGGCGAGGAACAGCCTCGCCGCCGCGCGCCATCTCGCTGTTCTGATTGTAATCAACTTGGCCATATACGTACAAGATACCCTGCAAGAATTCAACACCAAGAAAAGGCGATTTAAACGGTGTAAATACGTTGATTTTTGGCTTCAAGAATGTATGTTAACTGGAAATCTTGGCAAGCCGGCCAGGCCGCTTGTGTGGCCAGCCCGCATGTGGATTACGTTAGTGCTCTACTTATTACTGATACCCCAGCCGCTGGCAGCCGATCAACCGCAGTAGAGGTGCCGTCACTCTCACTCTCCACGCGCGTCAGGAAGAATAGACTTTACGTACGCGCTACAGAGGCTGTCGAGTGGATTCCATAGAAGAATTATACCACATTTGTTTTTCTTTCCTTTCTTTTTTGTCTTAAAGAGGTCCTGCTCATTATGATTATTTCACAAGCTTGATCATGCTCGGTTAGAGCTCCGACTCTACACTAAAAGAAATCCTTTCACTAAGAGATACCTCTGATATTCTTGCAATGCTGATACAGATAGTCCAGCACTCTTTGGATCTTACCCGGGCTGAGTTCTATTGGTTATCCGCTAGAAAAGTGCCAATCAACTGTCAAAGGGCTTTGGAATGGCCCGTCACAGTTCCCTTGGGGTTTGGTCAACGTACACGTTTGTAGTACGTGTCGGGGTGAGGCCCGGGTATGGACGAGTGATTTGTTCTTTGTCTGGGTTTGGATTGATGTTAAGTTGATTCTCGGTTGGTAGTCATTTATTTGACCCTCCCCCGATGAAAATTTGAAGACATTATCGATAGCCGAAAATAAAAGAGCCAATCTTGCTAGGGCAAGTCAACCAAAGGCGGATAGGGTGGTATTGTCACTGAAATTTCTCTTCATTATGTGGTAACTTAGCGGCCCGTAGGTATAGCACAGGCTATTGGTCGGTTTGCTTGCCGGAGAACGAAGTATGCGGTGATGGGGATTGTGAAGACTGCTGGTTTGTTTCCCTTCTTTTAGCCCCCCACGCCACCCTCTCAGGGAGTGTATACGGGATATTGGACTTGGCTAATGGGCGGGAGGCACAGCTGTCCATAATTTCGAACATCAGATCCGGGTGAATGTCGTCTGTTCCGGGTATACGGATACAGCCATGATGCAGGCGACCCTGCGGCGGTATCCGGTTATGGAGCTCTTGATCCCCCGGATGAGTCCATTGGGAAGGGTGGAGGTGCCGGAGGAGGTGGTCGATACGGCGGTGCTCTTGTGTAGTCCGGCGGCGAGCTTTGTGAATGGGGCTGGGGTGATGGTGGATGTGGAGTTTAGTTTGGTGGTTGTGAGGAACGGTTTGTAGGGTTGGATGGGGTGGTTGATTGAGGGGTGCAAAGGGGAGGTATGAAGATACCGGGTGATTGCGGCTTTGATTCGGGTGAGTGGGGGTTGACAGTACTCCGTAGGGATGGGACATTTCTTCCGGGGAAGAAGTTGCATTATCCCCTCGCATATGTACTGGACTGAGGGTTTGGAACTAATGTGTGTTGAGAGAGCTACGCGATGCCAGCCATAGCATGAACCTGCTCTAAACATCCCGAGATAGTATTTGGTTAGGTAATATACAGCATATACAGTCTTTGGCCCCTGCACTAAGCCGCCGCAGCAATGGCGCGCATAAACGCCGGACTCTCATGACCCTGCACGACCTTGGAAATGGGAATCAAATGCGCCTCCGACCCCTCTGGACTGTCCTGCAGCCAGCGCACATACGACTGCGCCACGCGCAACCACAGCGCCCGCTCCGCGGCACTCGCCTCCAGCCCCTGCCACACCCACAGCCGATCCCCATCGTCAAAGAGGAAGATATCCTTGCCATGCAGATCCGCCTTGCCGATGTCACTCCCCTCCTTGACGAGATCAAACGACAATGAGCCATCCGCATCACTCAGCTTAAACAACTTGCGCTGGTAGCCCGCCGCCCCGGGCCCGGCCCCCGCTCCCTGACCTTCGTCCTCTCCATCCTCAACCGCACGCTTCCGCTTCTCCGAAATCGGCCGCGGCGCACTAAACGAGAGCTGCCCGACCTCGCGCCCGCCCAGCATATCGACCACGACCTTACTGCGGGCCTCCAGCTGCGACAGCACCTCGACATCGACATGCTTCGCCTGCGTCAGATCATGGACCACCTGCGCCGCCTTCCCCTTCTCCATGGGACTGCAGCTGCGGCCCTGCCACACCCAGATCTTCTCCCCGGCATCCAACACAAAGACATCCTTGTCGTCCAAGCTCCGCCACGTCGGCTCCACCTCATGCACGATCAACGAACCTGGCCGCGCCGCCCCGGCATGCTTAAACACGCGCAACAGCATCATCCCCTCCTCTTTCTCCTCGGCGTCCTCCACATGCCTAAACCCAGACTGCACCCCGCCCCTCCGGATGGAAATCCGGGGAAACAACCCCACAAACTCACTGGACGGATGCGCCTGCACCTCGCGGTGCTGCGTCGCCGCCCCGTGCAGGTACTCATCCAGCTCGACGGTCTTGTATGCGGCGGTGCCGGCCTCGTCCTGCGAGGTGTGGCTGCCCAGCCAGAAGAAGATGTCGTGGAGTAATGCGGGCTCTTCGTCGGTGTCGGTTTGCGGGGGCCTGGCACTGTGCAGCACGATGTAGCTGTCCCCGTCGTAGAACTCGCCGTACCGGTCCCGCGGCCACGGGACCACTTCGAATTGCTCAATGCGCCAGATGTATAAGCCGGGGGCCGTGCCGATGTCGCGCCAGGCGGGTTCGGTGGCCGCGCTGTTGTATTTCACTTGGTGGTCGAGGGTGCTGTTGATTAGTTCGACGTTGCTGTCTTTGAGGTCGTATTGTTTCGGGTGGATGAGGCCGGCGTGGGGGGGCATTTTGCGGTAGGTTTGGGGGGATTTTGTGTGAGTTGTTGAGGGTTTTGTGTGGAGAGGTAGTAAGTTGTTGCTGTGTGGTGGAAGGTGTAGGTGGAGGGAGGGGTTGTTGTGATGATTGTCCCCAAAGCCAGGGGATAAGTTATTTATCGATAGCCGATAAGGCGGGCACGTGATGTGGCGGGGTCCCTCAGGTTCCAGTCTACGGGGCGGTTATTTTTAGGATTGGGTGGATCGCCGTGGCTGAAATGGACGCCCTATTTGTTCGATCGATCAGTGCCTCAATAATGGATGGGCGGGATTGGCTCTCCCAGAAAAAAGTGATGCGGGCAGCCACGTTCTCAATTCAGGGGCGTAGGTGGCGTACTCAGGGCTAGCGACCGCCCCGCACTACCAGATTGATTGCCATCTCTCACTTGGGGGATCAACTTTGCGACGCCGAATCATGGGCACAAATCAAAGCAATAGTAGGTGATATCATGCTATACTGAGCCAGTGCTGGGCTGATATAGTAGAATTTTGGGGTCTCTGTATTTGCTTGATTGCGTCAGAGTTGCTGTTCCTTGAATCTATGTACATACTACGCAGTAGGATCTTCCACGCCGATTCAGGGGACTCGGGATGGGCATTAGGTACAACTGTGAGTGCCTGCTTCCTGAAAGTTCGAAAGAAGAATTGCGACAGTTGGAATATGGGCTCGCTTTTAACTCGATTTCAAACAGTGGCCACCGAGACTAACATAGCATGGAACTTGTGGGCTCTGAAATCGATTAGGCGTGCGGTCTCTTGGCTTTCAAATTGATCAAGAATGAATTAGTGAGAGGCCCACTGCTCGAGCCATATCCGCATCCACTCCTCATTCACAGGGGATATGCTTTCCAGACGATGATTTACCTCTTGAGTATGACAGATCTCCAACTCCAGCGGAGGACCCTGAAGCGGCTTGTAAAACTCGATCAACTTCACCCCCGGTGAAGACTGGTTACCGGAATTCGCGGCTCTGGCTGCATGATCCTCGAGCCTCCTCACCCAGCCAGACAAGCTTGTCATTCTGCACTCCCTTTGCAGCCCAGCAATCACGCTCGGTGCAATATGCCCCCACTTGGCCGGGTGCAGATTGACGAAATGGTAGTAAGACGTCGTCTCCTCCCCCATTTCTTCCGTCAGCGCGAGATCGGCAACCAACTCTGCCAGAATATTAACAGGAATCCAGTTGAGAGTATCCTGCGCCCCCAGAGAGTCCGGCAGATACCCGATGGCCTGGGAGCTGTCGAGGAGCGAGGGGAACCAATCCCGACGAGGCCATACGCCTGCGGGACTACCTACCGGTCCCGCAATCTGGCCTAGCGGCATGTTGACTCTCGCTCGCCGGCGAGTTTCCCTGCTCTATGCAGGAGGAGGCTAGCCAACAAGTTACTCTCTCCGTATCCGATCTGCGCATATCTTAGTGGGCCGAGGAAATTTTCAGGAACAGCGCGGTCTTCGTCCCAATTGGCCACTGCGGCAATAGAAGACAGGAAGATAATCCGCGGACGGTGCGTGGATTCAACAGCCAAGTTCGCCAATGCTACGCTGCCTCTTGCTGGGTTTGCGCGATCGAGGCAGGTGATTTTCTGGACTTCGGGACGATGGCATAGCTCCTGGAGCAGGTGGGAGCCCACGAAGCCGGTGCTTCCGGTCAGAAGGATGTGTTCGTTGCCATTCTTTCGAAGAGGTGGATGGCTGGTTTCTCTTCTTGGGAGCGATGCTGTATACCTGCCACCTTGTTAGTGAAGATAGTGGAGTTTTTGGAGTGAGCGTGCATAGGCGTGAGCGATTAGTTAGGGTTTCGTAAGGCGGAGGGCATTAACCTTAAATCTACGATTCTGAATAAGCCGAGAGGGACAGTTGAGCAGGTGAGTAGGCGTAGCACTAATGAGAAATGATGGAGCCTGTATTGTATCTCTCCTTCCAGCTATGATATACTCAGCCTCTAAGCTATTCCTACACACGTGTCAGCCAGTAAAGCGAATGACGTCTCCGAACAGCCACCAAAAGCAACCAAGTCAGTTCCCCGGGCCACCCCCTGGGCTGCTGGATTGTCTAAGAAAGGGTTCAATGCCTTGAAAAGCATATCGTATCGTTCAGATCATCTGAATTGTGGGACACTTCATGCCTCCAGACCTATGAAAAATCACCCTGAATCGTCCGAATCACCCGTATCCGCTGAATCCGCTAGATCCTCCGAGTCATCTGAATAGTCTGACTCGTCTGAATCGCCCAAATTGATTGAATCCTCCGACTCCTCCGACTCCTCTTCATGCCCGGAAAACTCTGATTCCGTTTCATAGGGTATATGCCATTCATCCGAGGATCCTGCACTGTCTTCCCCATGCGAATCGTCCACAAGATCCTCGTCCTCCACCCAATCCACCCCTTTTGCGTCTTCCGCAAACATCTTCCTATACCAACCCCGACTCCGCACCCGACGCTGCGCCTGCCACGCCGCATCGGGCGGCCACCGCGCAGCCCCCAGATCCCTGGTAAAGTCCAGCCACAGCTCGTCCCACCACGACTTTCTGAACTCCCGTTGCCACTGCGCTCGACACCGAGGGCAGCGGTTGGAATCCCGGCGTCCATGCCAATCGAAGGCGAAGCTTAGCAGCGCGTAATGCGGACACGCAAACAGGGACCACCCGACGTCCCACAGCCGGGCAGATACCAAGTACCGCGTGTGCGCGATCAGGTTTCGTCGACTGTCGAGGACGAGGACCATGCTTTGGGGGAAGACGTCACCCCGCCAGCCGGGGGGGGATGACGCAGTCGTGGACGAGGCCGCGGGTGGTGGGCCCGGTCTTGATGACCCGGAAGCGGGGGTCCGCGTCGATGGCGGGATACTGGCGGTTGTCTCGAGGGTCGGACTCATCCTTCGCCAGGTAGCGGGCGATCCGCATCTGGTGGCGCGCGGTGAGGCTGATGCAGGGGCAGAGGTCGACGATGCCCGCCTGCGCGGCGCACACGGCGCTGGTCGCGGGCGGGAGAATAGGGGCCCATCGGCGGTGGCAGCTGTGGCTGTCGAATTCGCTCCGCGGATGGAGCTTGAAGCATGCGAAGCAGTAGGCCCAGCGATCGTCTTGGAGTTGGCGGAGGAGGGCCTTGCGGTAGATCGTGGGCCGATCATAGCCTCTCTTCTGGTTGTTATTCACTATGTCGGAGGTGAATTTGAATTGGGGGCGGAGGTTTCGGATGGTGGCGTTGTAGACTTTGTGGTGGTAGAGACCGCGGCATGTTAGGAGGAGACACACTAGGGCTGGAGGGGGGAGGAGCTCCAGGATCATGTCGAATACCTCCCGAGGGAGGCATAGGAGGTGAGTGGTCGTGTTATCGGTGGATTCCATCGCGAGAAGATGTTTACTCAGGGGAGAGACAAGTATACTGAGAAACTAATGCTTGGCTTCGGAAGTCTTATTTCCTGCCAAGAAAGAGTATGGGGTAGCAGGCAAACTTGGTTTATCTCGTCACTGCATGATCATTCCGGGGAACGCCCATCAGCCCTACCTCAGCATGATGGTCTAGTCGTTTTCATCATGACGACCCTCTGGTGCGCCGTGACCACGGCTGGCAACTCGAACCTGCTCGCGATCGACATTCACCACGCAAGAGCCCGCCTACAATACAGTACTTCAACTGCTGGGACAGGCCTTATGGCAGGCTGCTATATAGTACTCCCGTCGCGCCTTCCCCTTCCCCTTCACCCTTGTTCTCTTGATTGCTCTTTCCAATATTCGATCAAGGCTCTCCCACCACCAGATTCGGCACGTAGAAGCCGACATTCACACTGCTCCATCACCCAATGGAACCGCCATTCTCCAATTCTCTTGCGGGCAAATAGAAGTTATCAGCTCATCTTTCTCTTCCTCCAGCACCTCCAGCTGTTCAAGCTGTTCAAGCTCTTCAAGCTCTGCACTTCTACTTCCTCCTCCTTCCCATCCAAGAACAACAGGGAGAACCCCATCACCATTTGAGCTCCCCGTCAATCGCAATTCGTATTCAGGAGAACTGTTTCCAGTCATCGAGAGGAGAGGAAGAGGGAAAACAACTTGTGTGTTGTGTGCTGACAACCCGTAACGCGGGTGAGGTTGGTTCAATGTTGTTGCTGGCTTAGGTCATCTGATCAGTCGCTCGGAAAATCCATCTTTCCGAAGAACGAAGTAGGTTGTTGGCACTAGAGAAAAAAAAATCTCCTTCAAGTTGGAAGATGCTGCTGATATTATATAGACTGAGTATGGTAAGGGCCAGGATCAAACTGTCTGTTTCCTAAATTAAGTCTAATCCATCGACTCCGTAACTGCCGAGTACCTTAAAAGCTAATAAGAATAGTCGGTTGTGGTGGGGTATACTAACTACGTATAGAAGGGAACTGGGAACACGCACCCGCGCCTTCCGACCCAGCTTGTACTCGTTGCTGCGGCCGCCCCTCCAATACTACGGAGATTGGGTTATTGCATATTGGCACGAGTAGCTTGCTGTACGCAGGTCCAGGCAATTACCAATAACCTTGTAGTTAGAATTTCCGCCGTGCCTTACAATTGAAATTAACCACCTCCAGCTTGATTGTCTTGCTTGGTTCGTTATGCCTTTTCAATCAAGGACATCAATCGACATCAGTCGATATCAATACAACCGCGATGCGGCAATCTCTAGATGTTCTGTCCACCCACCTGATCAGATCTGCGACCCTCTGTTATCCAGTTGAATAAGCCCAATTGAGTCTAGTATATACCTGATTGATGTCAGAGAAATCATAAAATTCAGATCGACCACAATCAGCCCTCGAGCTATTCTGGAGAGGTTGGAGAGAACTTTGGAGATTTGGAGAACTCCAACTCCGGCCGAAAGCCGGCGCGTCGGTACCTTAATCGACTCTTTCCAGGAATTCCTTTTTCCGGGGGCTTGGGTAGGAGACGAGGGTGGGGCGTGGTTATAGCAGATGCGATTTCCTTTGGCGCAGCCATGGGCGAGCTCGTCCCCAAGTAGGGGGTGGGGAGGGGGACCTCGCTAATTATGAGCTTCGTGCTGTAGTCTGAGATGTATGTCCGCGCTGTTCCCTGCAGTTCGAGCAGGCGAGACTGACTGCTGCAAGGTCAAGAAGACGTCCAGGGGCTCGCTACTTCTCATCGCACGTGAGCTCTTCCTTTACCTACAATTGCTTTACGATACGCATGTTCTGCTGTGCAGCTGTCAATGGCAGTGGGCTCGACTTGATCGAGCTGATCGTCTACGGCATCTTGACCCAGACATAATCCTTGGGCTTTCGACAGAGACTAGGAAGGCAATTGCCTTTTTCATACATCAAGAGGTCAAGCATCAAATGAAGGAATACTTTCTGGGGATCATTGTTGAGGCTTTAGGGCGATGAATGGTCGGCCCATTCGCTTTCGGCCAGTCATCAAGGTTTACGACACGCCCATCTCTTATGAGACGTTCGTAGAATCATCAATTGCCGCATCAGTGTCTCCGAAGTCGGTAGCCTAGTTCAAGAGGGTGATTGGTAAGAGATAACGAACATCAAAGGTTAATTGATGAAGACGAAGTTTTCACGATTGTAATCTCTAACTTATCCTTCTGCTCTTCGTTGCAAGATAAGTGAATATCTGCTATGGGAATTCACGGGGTGTTGGGTTGGAGTCTCCAATCCTCCGCCCTCCTCTCCAACTTCTGCAGCCAAACATGGCGGGAGCCGTGAGTTTTCCCTCTTCAACGCTGCCTCAGGACAGAGATAGAGCATGTTCCTCAGGGATGAGCGCACCCATCTAGCCGGCTGGTTCACCGGTATCGGTTGGTATCTAGCCTCCACCACTGAATCATAGGCAGAGTGCCACGAATTGAATTTCAGCGTCTTATCACTCCCAGACAAGAGTATACTTCGAGGTTGCGGCTTCGTATCTATACGGCTGGTAGACACCATGGATTGAAATCAGTATAAAGACTGCTCTACTGCACTCGTTCTCGTCAGCCTCTCACACCTCTCACACCTCTCCGTCTGATAATCATGCTTCTGGCATCTGTCGCTACCCTCCTGGCCACCGCCGTCGTCACGGCTCAGGCCGCCGCTGTCGCACCCCTTGCCTCGGACTCGCGTATGAAGCGTGACCCTGCGACTGGCTTTGAGTGGGATCCTGAGAATTTCAAGGTTGCTGCCGTCCGCAAGCCCCCGGTTGGATTTGTCTATCATGCCCTTTCAGACCAATCGACCTGGTGGAACTACAACCTCAACGCCATTATCGCTCAGTCGGTTGAGATGATCCACCAAGCCGCGGCTGAGGGCACCAAGTTCATCGCCTTCCCGGAGCTCTACTTCCCTGGGTATGTCTCATCCTGCACATATAGAACCCACAGCTGAACCCCCCGGACGCCCTCTAGTTACCCTGCCTTCCGCACTGCCAACGGACCCAAGGACTTTGAGCAGTATGTGTCGCAGACCATGGAGCCCGACGGCCCCGAATGGAACACGCTCATGCAGGCCTTTGCCGACACCAAGATGTACGGGGTTGTGGGTTGGGCCCAGAGGGCCAATGAATCGCTCTTCATGACCCAGAGTCTGGTTGGTCCCATCGCCAACGGCTCGGCCGGAACGATCTGGAAACATGAGAAGTTCCGGCCCTCGGGCACAGAGCGCTCGCTCTATTCCGATGGACTCCTCAACACGATCCGCGCGCAAAAGCTCCCTTTCGGGACCGTCTCCATGCTCCAATGCTGGGAGGTACGTTCTTGAGCCGGTGGTCGGGATCAAAGCTTCAAAGACCGACAACTGATGTGGCAGCACGTGTATCCCGAGTCGCACTTTATCGGATCTGCTCAGCCTGCCAACCTTCACGTTGCCTCCTTCCCGTACGTATCCCGGGCCTACTGCCTATAAGCTGTAAGACACCGACTAATCCCCACAGATTCGGCAACGACGTCCCCGAAGCCGACGGCGGAGACACCCCCTACGCGTACTGGCGTGCCGCAGCGATCGGATACCAAGCCGGCGCGGCCGGTTCGCCCGCCATGATTCTTCCCACCGCGGGGGCCGCAACCATTTTCGCTCATGAGGGCTCTCCCCTCAACGAGTCGCTGTCCAACGCGAAAGAATCGACTGACGCCATGCCCTACATCACCGCCGTCTACAACACGACCGCGCTGTGGAAGGATGTTTCGTACAGCGTCAACGACTGGTGCAGCTATGGCGCCCTCAAGCACATCATCGAGGGTCTGCCCGACGGAATGCCGCGTCGGAGCGGGCCCTTCTTTGGCCGGATCCTGTTTACCATCAAGCAGTTCACCACTGGGTACATCTGGCCCCCGACCCTGTCTTGCACCCCGACGTCGAAGTGGCCGTGTATCAAGATCTGGCCGGAGCGCGTCGAGAAGGATTTCATGGCTTGAAGTGTGTTAAAGGATTGGGATTATCGGGATGTAGGTAGTCTTGGTGTTCTTGTCAACAGTGATAATATGGATATTTCATGTATACGATAAGCGCATTGTGAATCTCAGGGTGTCACTGCGGCTTCAGCTAGACGATCCTTCAATGAACAGACGATAGCTTTCCCACCGGAGATGCTAGGGGGAATGAAGCACGAAAACATGTACTGTACTATCATTTCCCCGGCCCGTCTATTCTGTGATCTTGTCTCGACCATTCGGGAACCCAGTAATCCAGCCGGCCGACGCCACTTTCGACATTTCCGAGGAGTAGACAAGAGAAATGATTCTTCGTCTCCGTTGCCACTGAGGACGTTATAAGGCGGCATTTCAGATGAAGGAAAGGATAAGGATACTTACCCTTGAATAAGGGAAGGGAATCAGCACCTTCAATGGGCCGGCCATACGTGACGCGTCAGCTGCAATCGACTTTTTCCTGGGTGCATACAACACACACCGCCGGATGTTGATAGTTAGTATGATATAAGTTAACCCTGAGCGACGGCTGCTGGCTGCGCTCGACTGGCGAGAGGTAGTCATTGGCGTTTGGGCTGTGGGACTCAAACATCACGAAACAACTTTAAGCATTTTCTCGTATTGGTACGCGTGTTGCGTGTCTTGTCAAATATTGCGAGAAATGAACTCCGTGGACTGCCGACGGGATGCATTCCTCGGACTTGGATCCGAGGAGTGGCAAGACACCCCGAAAGGGGGAGACACGAGAGCTTGACCGAACTTTTAAAAACATGGCCTTCGTAATCGATGATGCTGCAGGGATGTTCGTACCGTTGTTTCTCCGAGGGCGGCAACGCCACCCGATTCGCTACCATGCCCACCGAGCCAGAAACAATAGTGGAAAAACAAAGAATCCCCCGCCTCGTCCAGATGAACTACTAGGTACGGCAGAGGTTAGTTCTTGTCTGTGACGTGGGAACGTGGGGGATGTATCACAGGCTGATTTGGAGCCAGCGACCGAATGTTCCCGTGTAACGATATAACTGGGAGGAGGCTGTGCATGTAGATACCACCACTGGTCTTGCTTAAGAAACCGAATGTCCGCTACTGAGAGTACCATTGCGAAAGTGCATCCTAGTCTCACAAGTAGTAATGACCCGAATATGGAGTATCCTGAGCCGCTCGATCTCAACAACTTGGACGCAATCAGCCCGCAGGAGCTGTGCCTTGCAGATGGTTTGTCAAGCGCCAACCAAGCCTAAGTGTCCAGACCTCGGGAGTGACATTCGCTCAGGTACGGATCCCACTCGACCGACCCTCTTCGCCATCAAGGGCATCGTCTTCGACGTGAGCAAGAATCCCGCATTCGCGCCGGGGGGGTGTTATCACGGTACGCAATCACTTCCTTGCCAAAGGTGCGTTAAATGCTCGCGTGAAATTGATGTTGGGTTGTAACAATGCAGAATACGCGGGAAAGGACCCTTCGCATGCCCTGGCCCGATCGTCAGTCCATAAGTCGTCCTGCACAGCTGAGTATCACCACCTCGGAGAGCAGGAGCAGACTATTCTTAATGAGTGGTTTGAGTTCTATAAGAAGCGATACAGGATTGTAGGGAAAGTGTCATGTGACATCCCTACTGGCCAGAGTGACCAATCATGTTGTGAGACTATGATACGGGATGATAATGTTATTTGAGTGCTCCGAATCATTCAATATCGTTCCGATGTAAATCATTCTCTCAGCTGAAAACGACGACGAAAACAGCACCCGAAGCGCTAGTCAAAACCAGTAGAGCCATAACCCCTAATAGCGCTGGACAGATTGGTACATTTTAACCAGCAATTCCTCGAGTATGTTTTGCGGAATTCTTACCAGCGTCCAATACCAACAGACATTGGCCGCCAGAGCGATAGGGGATTGATATTCTGTGAAGAGCAATGGCCATGAGTGATAAATCTTCGGTACCTTACTGAGGTCTACAAGGTTCTACTGCCCTAACTTTCATAAATCCGACCTGTTGTCGTCACGGCGGGTTGCCAATTCAGATCCCTCTTCTCGATGTTTCGCGTCGTACCACTTAAGCAGCTGCCAACAAGTCTATGTGCTCTATGGATTGTATGTATTGTAGCTTGTACACTCTGGCAGTAAATCAGGCTGCAGTTTGCTCATTAGACACCCTGGAGCTGACACACATCCAATGTATGGCAGGCTGTGAAGCCTTGCAGTAGAGCAATCTGGTGTGTGTACATTGCGCCTAAGATAGCGAGATGGAAGATCTGGTGCGAGCTTCCCCAAATATCAAACCTTCCAGGCGCCAAGCGTTCTGGAATCCGGGACAATACAAATTTGTCAGAATTTCTTTTTCTCTGGGGTAGAAAGTAGAGTGGGCGTGCAGACATACCGCATAAAGACTGACTCCAATGCCATAGAGACTCAGCTCGAGTAGGTACCATCGCATTCCCGAGTATTGCAGCATGTATCCGAGTCCGTATCGTTGAACTCCATGTAGCAAAGGTATAAATGATGAAGCGCCGAAGAGAACGAAAGCGCCCACCTTCACTTTCCGCCAGCGCGGTGTTTTGAGCAAAGGATTCGAGATTAGGACACCGGTGACAAATCCCGTGACTAGGACCTAAAGCTTGCGTCAGGGTACGGTTGCATTCCACTGGACTGTCAAGAGGGATGGGCTGTGTGGAGAAGCGCGCCAAGGGGCAGACTCACAATAGCCCAGTGCAATTTCTGCAAGCTCGCTTCGCAAAAGAAGACATAGTAGATGCCGGACGAAAATGTGCCCACCGTCACAACAACAATCCCAAGCAGATCCATTCCATGCCAGAACTGTTCTACTCTATGCGAGTGGGGTTGCATCAGGTGGTAGAGCGCGCTGAGGACCAAACAGATTTCCGCACACCAGAAGTAGATCCCAAACATAGCGTAGTCCATAAACGACACACCGAGAAATTGAGGCTGTGCCAATTCTCGCCAAAAAGTAGTTGCAACGAGTGGTAGGAGCAGAGCCCCGATCAGATGAGTATAGACATTGCAAGACTCATTGTGCAAAAAGGTCAGGCTGGTGAAGATCTCAAGATAGTCTGCTTTCGCGGGCCGGTAGCCACCGAGGATATATTTGTTGTCGAGCTGCCATTCGGAGATCTCCTGCCACGTAACGGTTCGTGCTTTGACCTTGGGCTGGCTCGTGGAATCGATCCTGGTGTTCATATTGACTTTCGGCACTTGCCGGCTTTTGAGTTTTGCCCCTGACATAATATTCTCCCCGAGATATTTGAGGATAGAGAGGCGGACCGTGACAGGATGAAAAATAACAAAAGAGCTTAGTTCTTAGTTGCCGATAAAAGAGTAGAGAAGCAGAGAGATGTCACCAAGGGAATTGTCATGTAACAATGGGCTTAGCTCAACCTAGAACAAGGCGATAGCCGAGGAATTCCAGCGCAAAGGTATAGTAGCTTGGATCATATCTTGAGGGCGATGGAACTGATTGTAAGCGAGAATTGACAATAGCAACAATTTGCTGCGTGCAAAAGTCCCGATTACCGGGTTAGGATGGCACGCATGTACTGTACAGCAGGGCTGGTATACGGTACCGTGGATGGGTACGTAGCCTTACCGCTGCCGCTTCAAATAGAAAGGAGGGCGCTCCTACAACAGCAAGGCTTCGCTTATCTCCAGGTAGAAACGGCAGGGCTAGCATCCGTAGGATGACGGATACATACACGTCTGTGGCTACTCAACGAGCAGACAAATGGTCATGCCGCTGTGGCGCCAGTGAGGAGACAAAGGATCGGATTCCTAGCAAAGTTTCAAAATGACCTAGGAACTAGCTATAGATTACTAGTTAATTCAAGCTCCAGGTCCACTTGATTGAGCCATTGCTATCAGCTGCTCTTATTCATTCTCATGCTAGCCGCCTAGTGAGTCGGGGCTTGTCACAGCTGAGGTCCGTAGTCTACTGCTGTTCATCATACTGGGTCACCGTCGATTGTGGCCCACCCGAACGGCTCAGAAACGAGGTAAGAGGTAAACAAAACGATCAAGCTTACCCCACCCTCGAGCCGGAGGACACCCTACTCTATAAGATATTGGCTGGAGAATGGGCTTATTGATGCGCTCGGAATAAACATAGGTAGATTGGAACTTGAGCTACTATAGCTGCGCTGTTATCATTGTCGTAATGAGAATCCACTGCAGCTGTTTCCTGGTCCTGGTCCAAGATTTGAGGGCTGAAAGACGCGCCGAACCGAGTGGGTAATCCCCACTTCTGTAAATTACAGTACAGTACATGGTCCATACAGTTATCACAGTACTCTCCGCTTGGTCTTCTGAAGGGGTCATCCCGGAGACTTCCGCGCTGAGATCCGCTATCTGTCACTCGCGATCCCATGTTCATGGAAAAGGGTTGTTTCTACTTAGACAATTGTACGCGTAGATATGGGAAAAGAAAGGGCCTGCCGTAGTGTAGTCTTTTCTGGCTACCACCCGCCCAGATCGGGTTGTGAATAAACAGCCGGTCAGTTAAACTCGGAATTGGTTTTTTTCTTTTTTTTTTTTTTTTTAAGTAGCAGGCTAGCACAGCCCCGAGGCCAGGTTTTGCAGGCTTTAATAATACATGGCTAAGACGCCTAGTTTCTGCCTTTCAATCCTTACATATTATAGCCGATTTGAGTCCCGGTCAAATCTTTCACTCCATTTGTGCTGATTTTGAATGATGGACGAAAACGATTCTCGAGGTCTTTTGAAGTCTGTGCTTGGGTTTTTCGCTAGAAAACGACCGGAAAGGTCTACGCAGCCCGCGTCGTTGAGATCGCGCACACGCGAAGCCTGGCTTCGGACGGATGCATATCTGCAGCATGATGCCGACGACTTGGACGAGGTTGAGCCTGAACGTCTTGCAAAGGCCTTGCGTGTATTTGAAGACTATGTTCAGTACGACTCTGCCCGAGAACCAGACTTTGTAAGCGCTCTTCATATACAACAAGCTTCAGTCTTCCAGCTCCTCATTTCCTGCTTGTTGACACGAAGTAATGCGCCAGCGCCTACAGCATGATGTGCCGTATCCGAAGCTTCAGACGATGCGCAGCGTGATCGAGCATCCGAGTCAAAATTCGCATCCCAGCCCTGAAATCTCCATTCGCCCTGGTAAACGAAGAAGAGAAAGTGAAGCTGTCATTCAAGAACTGGCGTACTTGTACACTGACGCTAAGAGACGCCGGGTTCTACCTCGCGAAAAGCCAGCTACGTGCGATGATCCCGAAGACCCAAATGCCGACTTCGCCGTGCTGATGAGAAGACGTTTGTTATTCTTGAACAATGCGTTACGAAGAGATTGGATCTGTGTTTGCCACAAGTGCTCAGGACTAAGCGTTCGACTCTCGCTGCCACGACAAAAGAAGGATCTGAAGGTCGAGACGTGCTTCGAAGTGTTCTTCGGTGTACGGTCTCTTCTTGCGGTAGAGTTGCAAGAAGCCAAAATAACCGTCAAGTAAGCCTTTAAAGCCTTCGGTAATCGGCAATGATTTTGACCTAACGAACTCGCGGCAGAGACGTGCATAATAACAGGATGAGGAGCACATCTGAGCCTCTAACTTGCGGCGCTTCCGATTTTGCCCACATATGTCAAAGTATTACAGAGTCTCTTGGCCAGGCTAATTGCTTGAACTTTGCTCTTGAAGATGGGAGGTTTCAGAGGCTTCGTCCGCAACCGAAGACCTTTGGTGGGGATCGCACGTCTGGAACAGTTTCCTTGTCGGCATTATTCAAGCGTCAGCAGGAACTACGCGGTAGCTCATCTGCATTGCCATTCAAGGGTAAGCGGATTTTGGCCGTCACCCTGGCTACCGCGCTTCTTCCATTTTTGGAGACACCGTGGCTGCAGCCTTCCTTCAATCACTCAAAGATTCTGTTCTTTGAGCCTCTGCAAAGTGGAGAACTTCCAGATATTACGAAGCCTTTCCTCGCCATGGAGCACATCCCAAATCATTCAAACCGCAATGAAGATACCGGCATCGGTTCGGAGAACTCTAAACACAGGGTGCATCCCAATGCCAGTGTGCTAGCGCTTGGTATCCTCTTGTGCGAGCTTCATTATTGCACACCCGTGGACCTGATGCAGAAGGACTCGTCCACCACCAGAAACGTCAATACTGACTATTATACCAGTCTTGAAAAGCTTAAATCTTTGGAAGCTGATGCTAGCGTTGATTACTATCTCGCTACCAAGGCATGCCTGCAGTGGGAGTACTTACCACCTGGACAGTAGGCTGACTTTGAATCGGTCAGCGTACAGCGACTATTTTACCAAAATGTTGTCAAGCGGCTGGAGGCTGAAATACTTAAGGGGTGGGGACTTCGATTGGAGGACCTGGGCTCTTTTGAGTCTCAAGAAAATAGGCTCCGCTGGGGCTCCATCGGCTGCGAGGTTGTGTGCCATCGAACAGACAAGGCGGACTCACATGATAAAAGTATCGGCGCCCAAGCACTTCCGGATCGTTCTAGTTCTGACGTCACGCCCGCGGGTTACACATCGTTCAGCTCAGATATGGCTCTACGGATGCCGGCACGGCCTCCTTTGAAAACGCAACTAAGCGGATATTTGGCGGAGCTGCCAGCGAAGAGCTTGTGTTTCTTTGATGCAAGCTACCAGGCGGGTTGTGAAGAAGAGTGAGGTTTCTTCCTAATGGTCACAATGCTTTGTGGTTCTAATAGGCAGACAGGAGTCAACTTTCGCAACAATGGATGGACAACCTTCTGTCTTCCATTCATCACTTTGTTGACCCTTACGAATCGATCGAAGCCGGACCCAGAGCGGTTGAACCGGTGCGAATAGCGATCCTAGATTCCGGGTTTGACCCTGAGAATCCACTTCTAATGATCGAAAATCGACAACTAGATCCACGGATCAAGGCCGCGCGAAGCTTCATCGCTGATACAAAACCAGAAGACATCCGAGATGAGATCGGGCACGGCACTCATGCTCTTGGACTTCTGCTCAAAGTTGCCACATGTGCTGAAATCTATATCGCCAGAATTGCGCATCAAGAGACACTCGATCGTAGCACCTACGGCGACATTGCAGAGGTAGGATTGGCCCTATGACAGAGCAGAATTTTGATTCGAGCTGATTCTTTCTTCAGGCCATCAATTTTGCAGTTTCCGAATGGAAAGTGGACATCATCTCGATGTCATTCGGGATTCGTGAACACAGCCCGCCAATAAAAGCAGCCATAGCCAATGCTATACACAGTCAGACATTGTTATTTTCAGCGGCATCGAATGATGGAGCGAACCTTGGCAGGGCCTTTCCAGCTCAATATCCCGGCGTCTTCTGTATACACTCAACTGATGGACATGGTAATCCTTCCATGTTCAACCCGACCGCAGACGACAAAGATGTCAACTTCAGTCTACTTGGGGAGTGCGTCTCCTCTCATTGGCCAGTTGGCAAAGATGGCCGCGGTCAAACTGTCAAGGTAATGTCAGGTACATCGGTCGCGACCCCCATAGCCGCTGGGCTGGCAGCATCGGTTCTGTCCTTTGTCCGACAGCAAGACCAACAGATCAAACCCGGCAATGAAGCACTGGGGCCGTGGCTAAAGGATGCCGGCTCAATGGATGCGGTTCTGAGGAGTATGGTCAGGCATACAAGAGGAGCAGGCTATCACTACCTCACGCCCCATGTAATATTTGATAGAGAGTCGACAAGGAAGCATGTCTATGAAAAGATTGAGGACATCAAGAAACACATGTATAGCTAGAAAGCTAGGTACTGAGAATGCCGCCAAAGTAGAGCTGTTCACTGTTCATTGGGGTCTCAAACAGATTGTAGCATATTTAAGCGGGGACGCAATAGACGTTGCCATGCTCGGTCACATCTGGAACGGCTTGAGCTGTCCTAATCTGTGACCCGTCCACTTCCTCGACCAGAACAGATGTGTTATCCTCTTGTTCTCCACCAATGGCCAAAAATGCGCCCTTGTTGTACTCTTCCACTTTTAGTCTGCGCCCGAATCTGAGCCTTTTCACGCGGAACGCAAACACAAATTCCGTTTCACGATTGAGTTCTGTCCCGTCCTCATTCCTGCTACTCCAGTGGCCCTTTGGGCCGATGGATGCACCCAGCGCAGTCACGTCAAAACCAATGTTGCCTCGAACTGTTGCACTCTGCGAAGTGGAGTATCTGATCCTGGCGCCTTGAACGAGTTTCATGCCGGTGACGAGAAAGAGCGAGACAACGGGAGCGAATCTCTGTTTGGGCTCCCGCAGCCACGTCTGCACGGCCGGTGCTTGGATAGCTTCTTCAACGTACTCTTGCGTTGGCTCAAATGATAGAGTCGTCACCCGGTCGAATGCAAACACCTCCGCCCTTTTTCTGGAAGTCTCAACGCTCACCTCGGGCCCAAGAGGTGATCCCCCGGTAGCCAGCTGCAGGAACTGTGCATAAACACCGCACCCGAGTCCTTGCTCGGTGGAGATGGTCTTTCTCCAGTCGGTGTCTACGACCGGCGGTAATGGCGCGGTCACGGCAACAGATCCCCCTCTATTCAGAGGGTATTGCGGTGTTGATGTGGAGCAAAGTATAGATCCAAGACATAGCGGACCCGCTGGCGGTGGATGGAGAAAATCCGATGTCGGACACAGGAAATAAGTCTTTGGAAAAGACATGACTTCCAGATGTTTGGCAATGCCGGAGAATATACTCCTCGCTGTCGAGAAGGGTTGGAGTCATTGACTAGGCCAGGCAAAGGTGAGACGAGATTGATCCCACGCCATCGCGGTTCATGCTGCTCCTTTTACTTGTTGCCTTCACTTAGTTGGTCATTTCAACCCCTCACTCACTCTTCCAATCCATCGACTAACCAATAGCAATAGGTATATAACTTAGTTGGTTGTCGTGAGTCCGAAAACCCGCACTCAGCGCCGGGCGCCATGCTTACTAGTCGGTACGCTTCTAGCTGGTCTTGTCATGGTCACGGAGCACTTACTGTCACATCAGTGAGTTTGGCCGCCTTCTTGGTAAGCCAATTATGAATTTGGTATTTTTGGTACAAGGTTGACCTAAACGACTCGGGGGTGGACCAGGGGGGGTACCAACACGATTGTACCTTTGCACTGTGACGCAACTTGTAATTAATTCCGGGCCGAAGTCTTAATTACAGTACAACTCAGCAAAAACCAACACATATGGCGGTGTCTCACCATCTGACATTCCTCGGATCCATGCGACATTATTGTACACCTTGGTCGCAATTGCTTGTCCAACAACATTTTTTTAGGATACTCTATTTTCGAATAGACGGGATCAGCTGCCTTGTTCTCGCAAACCGCCGGGACCGCATCCATCGGCCATGGAGGTGCTGGATCGTGGGAAAGATGAGACGATGGAAGATATCTTTCTCCAAGATGATCTTCACCCGACCATCGCAGAGCACGCAACAAAGTGCAACTCGCTTTTCCACCAATATATAGTATTGCCAGACATTGTGCCGGATCCTACTATCATGGATGATCAGCTGGCACGATTTACACTGTGGGCAGCAAACATGGACGTGTATGGACCGCTCAATGTTTCGCTGGACTACCGGCTTCGATTCAGTCCCACGGTCGTGGAGATCATACATCAGCTCCTAGGCCTTATTTGTGATACCATGGTGTCTTGCAAGTACCCGCCGCCCCCGGTCACCGAGAAACGAAACGTCGAAGAGTTTATGCTAACGAGAGTTCTTCATAAAAGTGAAGCCGATTCAGAACCCACCGCAGACTCCAAGCAGGAAAAGACAGCGTGTGTCAGGACACAGTGACTCGGATGTCTGGAGGAGGAGACCCGAGGATGACGCAAGTGACTCGGACAGCGACGGAGATCCAGCAGAAGAGAACATCTCAAAAATCACCGATATCATTGGCGGAACGGTCACACGGCTCTTTCGTCTCTCCAATGCTGTTCGAAAATCCGCGAAAGCCGACCGGGCGCGGAGGATCGAAAGATACAGAGATGATGAACAAGCAAACCAGGCGATCGCTGAATTGCGTCTCTACACAGATTGCTATATCCGGTTCCGTTTTCCAATGGCACCGGAATCCCTTCGCACAGCATTGATCGAAGCCAATGCGGTGCGCCTACGACGATTGTATTACCAGCGAACCCATCGAAGGCGCATCGGCTTGAGTTTGCAGCATCCGCAAACTGCCCCAACTGTTGTCCAACTGCCGAAGATAAACGGAAGTGCTCCAGCTGTACGTTTTGACTCGAGCATGCTCCCAAAGCCTGCGACAACTAAAACGATATTGGGAGCAGCAAGCCCCCCCCCTGTGCCCATAACCAATGCAACTACTGCTCGACAATCTGCTGTTAGAGCCCTCTACGCCAAATCTACGACCGAGGTGCCTCGAGCCAAGTCTGTCCTAGTGAATAACAATCTGTCGTTCCCACCATTACCGCCAACCGATGAGTGTCCATACTGTGGCGTCATTATTGAATTCAAGAGCAGAGCGAAGCCAATGCTGTGGCAGTAAGCAAACTGTTATCTTTTTTTTTTTTGGAGAGAAAGGCGGTTAACCTCTCGTAGCAATCACGTCATCAGAGACTTAGAGCCTTTCATTTGTGTTTCCGCACAATGCTTAGAAGCAGGTCGTCATGAGACCGGCCCAGCAACATTTGAGACGTCCGGTGCCTGGATCAGCCACATGCAGAATGCTCACGGGCATACATGGGAGTGCAGAGCTCCTTCTCATGATCCGATCACTTTCGATGAGGAGATTCACTATCGGGAGCATGCCATTCAGGAGCACGGCGTCCCTGCAACGCATGTCGGAACCCTCAGCCTCGCAGCACGAAGACCGTTACTTGATAGAATAATGGAATGCCCATTTGGCGATGACTTCCAACCCCCGGACAAGGTCGAGCCTAATGCTGTCTTTTCGAGTGAAGCTCTCCAGTCACACGTTGCCGCTCATGTCAAAGAAATCGCCTTGATCACGTTGCAAAAGCTCCCTAGCGATAATGAGGAAGACACCGAGAACATTGATAGTGATCAGCCGTTAGAGGATGATGTGCCGGGGTTTGCGAAATTCCGTGCATCCATGTACAGTGTCATGGATGATGAAGCTCTGGAGTATCGGGATGATGACGCCGTGGCTGCAGATGGTATCAAGGACCACGGCGAAGACGATATTACTGCATCGGTAACAAGACTAGACTTACAGGACAAAGAGGGCTCGAGAATGGCAAAGCTTTACCATGCCATACAAGCCGGTGATCTGATTTTAGTTCAGTCACTGATTCACGGAGGCGCAGGTCTGGAAAGCAAGGACGATGATGGGAGAACAGCGTTACATCACGCCTCCATGGAACAATCCTGTGGTCGTGATATGATGGCTTTGCTGCTGAATGCGGGCGAAAGGGCCACCATAGATCTGGGTGATAACCACGGCCAGACAGCCCTGCATTATGCTGCAGAAAGAGGCCATATTGATACCATATCTGTCCTTGTCGAACACGGTGCCGATATAGATAGAACTGACAATCATGGATTTTCTCCGTGTCTCTGGGCTGCGGTTGCAGGGCAAACCCAGGCCACAGACGAATTGCTAAACATAGGCGCCGATGCTAAGGCAGTCAGCGCGGATGGGAAGTCTGCGCTGCATTGGGCAGCGGGACTTGGCTGGTCTTCAGTTGCTGAGATGCTTCTGGACCACGGTGCCAGCATATCCCAGAAAGCAAATAGGCACAGAGCCCCATTAGAAACGGCAGCGGCTTCTGGCGACCTTCCCACTGTACAGGTGCTTCTTTTGTCTGGCGGGGATCCTAATCATCAAGATCAGGATGGCTGGTCCGCAATACACTGGGCAGCGGAGGAAGGCCATTTTGAGACTGTGCACTGCTTATTGGATCGAGGGGCTGACGTCAATGCTGTCAGCTCTTATGGTACATCACCATTGCACTGTGCAGCAAACGGTGGCTATGCTAATATTGTACGTTTGCTTCTTTCACGGCGAGCCAACCCACTTAAGTCAACATGTCACGGTTGGACTGCACTGCATCATGCCGCCTACATGGGGCACTCAGACGTTGTCCAGTGCCTCTTGGAAGACGACCGCATAAGATCCAGTGCCTCGCAGCAGGATAACCATGGCTGGTCTATTCTTCACCTAGCCGTTCACAGTCGGGATCTGGCAACTATTCAGGTCCTACTTGACAGCTTTGCTATCGCAGAGCCTTCAGCCCTGGTCGACGAGAATGGGCTTACTGCGGAAGAATGGCTAGGCCTCGAGCCAACCAGCTACTTGTACAAAGCCACCAGTAACTTAGCCTTTAGCAAGTCACGCTGTTGCAGAGCCGTCACAGGCTTACGACAAGCTGTTATCACCGGCAGTGTTCCTATGATCAGACTCCTCCTCAGACTCGGTCACGACGTCAACGGCATGGATTCCGGAAGACGGACCGCGCTCTATTACGCGGTGAAGACGAGCATGTTTGCTATGGTGGACCTTCTCCTCGAGATGGGTGCAGATCCCAATATCCTCCCCATGGGACGCAGATCTTGGAAGGAATTTATCGCGGATGACCGGGTGTTGCGACGGCTCAATCGAGCTGTTTGCGCACGGCCAGATGCTGACCCCAGCGTCCAGCGCCGGATCCAGATTGCACTCCGAGCGCATGGCCAGCCTTCCGCCCCGCGTCGATCAGGCCCGTTACTACCGAACCAGTCAATTGTACCATCACCATCACCGCCGCCGCCGCCAATGCGAGAACGATTGCTCTTATCGGCTTCCGCTCAGTCAGCGTCCTCTCCGCTGGACCACCCCATTTCGACGACGCCAACACGCCGACCGGCGCCTCAAGCCCAAGCATCTGACAAGAAACGTAAAGCGAAGTCCGATGGGTCTGGTCTGACGCGGTTCTTCAGGCGGCTGTTGGGATAGCGATTCCAGCGCACGGCGATGGAATTGGGAAGCGAGGGCTTGAGATTAAAATGCCTCGTGCCTCTTCGGGCTAATGTCTTGGCCCTGTCGTCAATCGCCTAGCTTGTGAAGATTGAATGTCAACAGCTCGTGCTCACATGACTAGAGCTGTTGATTCTTGTGCTATCACAGCGACACAGACTGCTGACATCATTTGCAAGTCAGCTTGTATCAAAGGGTTTGGCTATCCGGCAAAGGGACAAGCAAGCTGCCGGCACAGGAGGGATAGAGAAAGACTGAAGCAAGGTCCCGTCGCCCAATTCTTCATTTTGGAGGTGATGGGGCCATGGTTGTTGATTTCCGTAAGGCGTACTCAGGTCATGGGCATGAATGCTTTACGGAGCAAGTATTGCGGACTTCTTGCCGTAGCAGCACAGCCACTGAACAACAGATAGCCACTGTATCGCTATCCAATACTGCCCTCTCAGCACAGAAACAGCGAGAGTCTTCTTCGGCCCTTCCTGAGAAGCTCAGTTTCGACTGACGCTGAGAGCCATCGCCAGCCCGCCCGGTAACCAGTGGAACCTTAACCCGTCTTCCGACCGACTCAATCCCCTAATTCCGCCAAACCGTTACCCATACTATCATGGATATGACAACAAGAGGGAAATGAACGGTCAATGCCAATGGAAAAAGACGCTCAAAAGCGAAACCACGTTTAGTTGAACAGTCCTTAAGATTAAAATAGCCTCCGCCACGGAGACGAGAATTGTACTATGATTAGCGTACGCTACAGGATCCGCCCGAGACACCGCTTAGAGACGGACGTCAATGCGGAAAGTTCAGAGAAGACCTAATCAGCGTGAAGACTGAGTGACCGCCACGTGAAGCATCGAATGCTAGATCAAATCCCTTGCTATTGAACGGTGCATCCTTCCCAGTGTCAAAACACTTCATCAGAACCGGTACTTGAAATGCGAACCTCGCCTCGATGCCATAAGCAAGCAGACTCCATCAGAAAAGCAAACGTGGTAAGGCCATTCGCAACATGCAATCATCCACAGGGGCCCAGCTGTTCCTTGCAACCTGGCTTTCGATGCACCTCACCACCCTTTAGGCCAAGAGGGTGCGCAGTGCTTCATATATCAATGATCCGGCTTACCATCTCGTGGACGTCGGGCAGAGATTGCAGGCTTCCATTCACACTTCGTCTCAATTTAGCCGCTTGCAATATCACGCCATGTTGCTTTCCGATGATCAGGCACTCCACCAAGGTTTTGCACGCCCGCTTTCGAAGCGATCCTGGTGGTTGTTTGGAAATCAAGGTACTCATCGTCTCTGGTATCGCCTCGCCAATCAGCCACTGGTGAGACATGGCATTCTCCTGGCAGAGAATCAAGCATGCCGCAGAGGGTAAATTGAGGAAGCGGTCCCGTCCTGCCCCTTGCGAGCGTTGGGCAAATTGGAAGACACTTGTCAGGAAGAGAATTAATCTAGTGGAATCGCGGCTTTGGCTGATGCCGGCCAATTCCCCGGCGCATGCCTGATTTGCGTCATTGAATAAGTCAACTTCGTGCCCGCCACCGATGTATCCTTCGTAGAACTCGGCGATGACCCCGGAGAAGTATTCGATTGGCCGCGGCTCGTCATTCTCGATCATGGCAAAGTGCGATGTCAGAAGCACCACAGTCCGAGCCACATTATCCTCCCGGTTGCCGCTGCGGATCGAGGTATCGAAGTCGTTCAAGAAGTCGCGGACGCCGTAGTGTAAAGATTCCTCCGCGCCTCTCTGGCAGGCGATCGCGGCCCAATGCGAGAATGCTCTGGCTGTGATGGCATCGCCTTCTCTCCAACCATGTCGAACAGCTGCGAGCTTGGCCTCCGAGCCGACAAGGACTGCGATCACGAGAAGGGCTTGCAGATCCCCGGGGGCGACCTCCCGAAACACTTGGGTCGGCAGGTCGGTCATGGCCTGCAGCCCTTTATGATTCCTGGAAACGACCAGCTGGACGAAGAATTCACGGTACGTTTCTGCCCATTGGCGCATTTCGTTCATCTTACGCCTCCTGGCGACCTCCTGCAGTACAGGCATATTCTCCCAGCGGTCGAAGGCCACAAACTTCAGATAGAGGGTAACCAGGGGCAGAACGATGGGGAAGCGGAAGGAAAGGCCGAGGGCCTTCATGACGAGGTTGACCTTTCGCGATGCCTGCTTGTACCGGGCGAGAAAGATCTGTTCTCGAAGTCCCAGTAGCTCTTCCACCCTCTCTTCCATCGGGTCAGAAGGACTTCTCAGAGAGGCGACTCCTGAAGGGGTGGGCAGTTCGTCCACGCGCGCGCCGTGCTCAAGCAGCATCTGGATGATCTCCCTTGAGTTCGTTTGAATGGCTCGAATCAGCGGGGTGTCTCCATGCTCAGACTTACTCTCCAGATGGGCACCATGACCGAGCAGCATAGACACGATGTCCTTGTGCTGTCCATTGACCGCGATATGGAGTGCCGTCAACCGGCCTCGATCTTTGACATTGACACGAGCACCGTGATCGAGAAGCAGCTCCACCATGTGCCGATGACCTCGATTGACGGCCCAGCAAAGCGGGGTTCGGCCGTAGTTGTCCTTGCGCGAAACGAGGCGGACATGCTTGCTGATCAACCATCTAGCCCAGGCTACATTACCAAGATACGAAGCGAGATGAAGGAGCGTAAACGCGGGCGCATTTCCGCCGTTCCTCTCCTGCTCCCAATAGAATCTCCACCAGCTGTCTCGGATTGCAGACTTGGCTCCAAAAAATGGACGTGAGAACTCAGACGGCCCTTGAACCGCGTCATTGGCGTGATAGAAATGCACCGGCCAGTATTGAGCGGCATAAAGGAAGAGTGGACCGCGGTTGAACCTCTCCTCAATCGCCCCGGTGGAGACATAACTACGCTCGACGTGTGCGAGGCAGGTCCGCATGAGAGTCCTGTGGGTGCTCTGGTCCATGTAGAACATGCTGATCCCCTTGCCGTTGACTTGGTTGCTCTGGAAGAATTCTTTCGCCGACTGGTGGACCAGGTTCACTACATCTCCTTCGATCTTCACGAGCGGTCCGCAGAGCCTGAGCCGACCCCTGGTCACTTCGGTTGCGGTAAGGGTACCGGATGCCTTGATGTCTGTGGCCGCTGTCAGTTCGTCAATTGTGAGGGGCCGGGCAGCCAGAACCACCCATTGAAGAATGGGCACCAGCGCTTCCTTGTCGTCAATTTGCTGGAGCAGCCGTTGATATACTCCAGCTAGGCCTTTAGGAATCTGATGGATGATTTCGTTGATTCTGTCCCAACTCCTCCCCTGAAGCTCATTGGCCACAAAGCCCACCCACAAGAAGGTGCCGTCGGCGCCGGCCAATAATGCCTGCCGAACTTGCGCAACCATTCCGTCGGAGAGATTTTGCTCGGATGCCAGTTCGGTGACCTTGGCAGAGATGTACCTCTTGACATCATCTGCTATCTCCGCATTGGAGTCGTCCAATTTGATGTGCAGATACTGGCCAAGTCTGCTCTCCGAGATAGCTGGGTGGGGCCGGGAGAGCAAAATAAGTTTCAGTCGTGGCCTTCCCACTTTTGGGGTTTTGGACAAGTAGTTCCCAACGGCGTCGAGAAACTGGCCGAGCAATTCCTTCTCACATTCATCCAAGCCGTCCAGCACACAGACCACCTGGGAAGACCCACTATGTTGAAGCATCGTGAGGAATACACTCCACAGGGCGACAAAGCTGGAAACGGTGTACTTGGTCGTCTCAGTGCCCTCAAAGGAGTTCTTGATGTATTGGGCCAGGTGCGGTTGAAGATCAATCCACTGGTGTATGAGGCCTCTCAGCATGGTCAAGGCCGTATTCCGATTCTTATCGCGGTTGCTACAGAAGTAGTAGAGAAGAACATCGCCGGTGACACCACCACCACCACCACCCACCGGCTCTAGCACTTCTGTAATATAGATCGCCAACATGGTTTTGCCTTTTCCCGGGCCACCCGAGATCCAAAGCAGTGGTTGATTTGGGTTTGACAACCACTCCTGATAGCAGGGATGCTGTAGGAGCCATTTGCACGTGCCGTCGGCTCTGCGCCCTTTCAATACAATCAGCGACTTTCGGTCCACCTCTGGTCTGGTCAAGAGCAAAGCGCTGAGGATGGGCCCAGCCTCGGTGTTGGGTGTCAGAGGTACTGTCTTGGAAGCCTTGGGTATGAACGAAAGGACTTCCTTTGCGTACGCTGCCGCAGCCACTGCGGCATAGGGGTGCCAGAGCTTCGAGCGATGCGAATCTGCATAGTTGCAGATGCCTCGGATAATCAAGTATTGGGCAGCATCTTTTAAGCCGGTCGCGCCCGTCTCAGAACACAGCTCGCCTTGCTTGTGCGGCAATGTGTCTCTAGTTGCTCCGTGGCGCACCGCATGATGACCGGAGGCGATAAGGCCATAATGCACTGTAGGTCTCCGTGTCTCCCGAGGCTGCCGGGACCGGACCCTGCACGCGCTTTCTCCGGAATCAATAGTTGCTTGATCATAATTCGGCTCGAAGAGAAAGTCTTGTTCGGGACCTGGGCGGGAGAAGATGACGGGGTCTTTGCGTACGATGTCGGCGAAGTACTGATCTATCTTACTGTCACCGAAGATGGCGGCTGTCTCGGCTTTCCTCGTTGCTGTGAGAAACAGTGATGAAGTCGGCCGTCCTAACGCTCTACCACGAAAAAGTCGATCTTCCATTTGCTCTCCGTTTGCGACATACTGAATGGCACCCGGCCGACCGACTGCCGAATTGCTTACAACAATATCACCAAGACGAATATCCTTGTTCGTGTTTGGGACCGCACCCGCAATACCAACCATCAAAATGACCCGAACAGATGTGAAGATGGCCTGTAACTGCATGGCAACGTCCGCTAAGGAGGGTTTATCATCTTCTTCACCATCATCACACGCGCGGCAATTCGGATATGCCAGTACGACATGATGGCCTTGAAGACTTCCCAGAATATAGTTGTTGTTGTTGAGGTCCAGATTCGGAGGTAGCAAGTTGTCATGAATGCAGTCTAACGTAGCTTTGGCAGCCTCTACCTCGATGGGCAGTGTGCAAACCCACCCGACGGAGTAATCGTCAGGGGTGGCCATACCCAGTCGAAATGCAGTTCGACAATGGGAGTACGTATAGAAGGTTAATGCTAAAGTTTGCGTCTTTGAACGTAAGAGACGGAATCACCTCCCTCCGCTTGTGCTGGATGTGAGAAAGTATGCAGATGCAGTGGAGGCATTCAATCAGAGCAGAAAGATGTATGTAATGTATGTACACGGTGGATCAATAAGTGGTCAAACGGGGTCACACCTGGACCTCCTGTGGGGGTGGTCAAGGTAGGTACCAGATACTATACGATACGATACAGTACAGTACATCACAGTACAGTACGTGATGATACAGCCCGTTCGGACCGGGACGACGCGGGTATCCACCCACCCCTGTAAGATCCACCGTAAAGGTACAGTACGTGCGTGCGTGGTGGGAACGCATTGTCCTACAACTCCATGATACATGACTAGTAATATGATGAGCTTACCATTTACATGACTGGCGTTGAGGCTTGACCCGGCGGGTAGATGACTATCTTAAATTAGGTGATCTCGACTCTAAGATGAGGCATTTTTGTCATTGGGCGAACATATGCAGGAGAATCACGATGGCTCTTGATTTAGTGCAATGGCCATGCCGCCTGAGATGTGGGGCTGGGCAATACGACGTTGTTTGTTGGCTGTCATGCCGCTGGCATCTCTACATCCGAGCGCTTACGGCCTCTGGAAGAGCAAATAGGACGCCAATTAGGACGCTGTAGGACTTTTGAACTCGCATAGTCCAGCGGTACAAGCATTTACAAGGCTTATCGGGTTTAGCAGGAAATAAGAATCCCTCCCCCCCAACACGACGACTCTTACCCCCTTTCTTTTAACTTATTCCCACCCCATCCCCAACCACCACCATCGTTATCATCATGATCATTGCTAGACGTGAAAGCAATGGTATCTTCTACCCGTCTTCGAGTTACATCCCCTCAAATGCAGAGGTCACCTGATGAGCAGGCAACCCTCCGCCGACGGTCTTTAAGAAGTCCATCCAAGGCTGCCACGGGATGCAAAGTTCTTCTTGCGTTCGAGGAGTTACCGAACTGGCATCAAGACAACGAATATATCCTTCATGGCTATCGCCCAATTTCAGGCTCGGCTCGAGTCTCATTTGGCAGTTTGTCATACATCCACAATGAGTCGGTCAACATCTACTCGCACCTACTACCAGCGGTCGCCTTTTTCCTCGGCGAGTGGTATATTCAGCAGTATTTGACAAGTAGATACTCCAGGGTCACTGTGGCTGATTGCTTCATTTTTGCCTTCTTCCTTTTGACCGCCACTATCTGCCTGGGACTGTCGACGACATACCACACCTTGATGAACCACTCCCACGAGATTGAACAATTATGGCTGCGGCTTGACCTGATAGGCATAGTAGTCTTGACGATCGGGGATTTTGTATCGGGGATATACATGGTCTTCTGGTGCGAGCCTGTGCAGCGCAAAATCTATTGGTCCATGGTGAGTCAATATCTGCACACCCACAAGTCTTTCAAGGTTGATCCCGACGCTTACTTCGATTGCCAGATCGGGGTTCTCGGATTGCTTACCATCTTCATCATGATAAGTCCCAGGTTTCGGGGCCCGGAATTTCGCAATTTCCGGGCCCTAACGTTCGTGGCGACGGGCCTCTCTGGCCTCGCACCATTGATACATGGGATCAAGATGTTTGGCCTCTCGCAAATGATGATTCAATCTGGAATGCCCTATTATCTGATCGAGGGAGCCTTCCTGCTGATGGGTGCCTTGATCTATGCGGTAAGCCTCAAGGTCTCGCGCAGAATGGGAATCATATTCTAAATGTGAGGATCGTACAGACCAAGTTTCCCGAGAGTCGATTCCCAGGTCGGTTCGACATATACGGGTCCTCCCATCAGCTCTTTCATATATTGGTGGTCTTCGCTGCCGTGACGCAGCTGGTTGGGATACTCAATGCATTTGATTACAATCACCTGCATCGAACATGCTCATAGGAATCTCCACATGCCATGAACACAAGACCAGCTTCATGTTTTTCGGTTGTTGAGCGTCCTCTGGAAGCCACTGCGCTACATGAAGCGTGAGGGGTTTTCGACCACTGCGTTCCCGATGGTGGCCCATGCTAGACTCGAGACTAGAGGCCAGGTTTGGAGCCGAAGACCAGAGCGGATCGCAGACCGCCGGGCCAAAAGAAAGGGCGGGCGTGCGAGGTAGGCCAGCCTCATCAAAGAACGAGATGCCATAATTTCGGATAGGTTTGAGGATGAGATCCATGGCTTACTCTGCGGCCCGCAAACTCGATCCCTGCGCAGGGTATGCCACCCGGTTCGACATGATCTGTACATGACAGCACGAAGTACACGGATTGCTACAGGACACTTTCTGAGAAGTGATGCATAGAGATTTCATAAGGTGCTTTGCGTACAGTCAGGATAGAGATAGGAGGCTAACGGCAAGACGTGCAGGGCACCGTCTGCATCGTTCCTTGTTCAATGCATGCTTTATTGGTGTCCTGGGATCTCTCGAGCAATATTTTTGCAGGGCATATGAAGAAACCAGAAGTGATGCACCAATGCAAGTTGCTGAATCACAAGGCTATACACATCCATATCGCATCAGTCTGCTCTCTCACCACCCAATAAACACTTCTCAACTCAAAGTCCAGACTTGATCATCTGTGCGGACCCGACACTATCTCTGGGACTATTATGCCAGAAGGGAGTAGACGTTCAGTAATCACTTTTAGGGCCAGGGAGTAAAACGTCAGGGAAATCTGGCGCTGAGAGTGAAAATTTGAGCCGTGTATGGTTAAGGAACGACAATCTTGGGTGAGCTTTTGTAGCTTACCCCTGCTTTGTACAGTACATTGGCTAACTTTCCCTTCGCCCTGTGGAGAGTTGTCGCTCCAGCGCCTGCTTTAGAAGCCCCACCAGTGTCATCAGAAACAGGCCTCAGCATACTAAGGAGAGGGGGTGAGCCTAGACATTGGCATATCAAGCAGAGTGAGCTACATACATACTCTCCTCATCTCGCTCGCTGAACCCGAGGCTTCTCATAACTTTGAAGGATCAAGGAGGACCTCACAACGCCTGGCAACATTAGACATGAATGACACAAGTCCGGGTGCACTTTTCTTTTAGCACGCCGACTGCTTGAACCACAGAAATCTTTCTGACGTTTGTGTTGGGATTTGAGGAGATTCGATGACTAGCATGGCGACGATGCATACAAGCGAATGACGTCAGGCGTTCACCTGACCACTAAGGCTATTACCGCAAGCTACAGGTTTAAACTACTTGATGGAGCGTGAAGATAGTGAGATTCCGGGCTATCTAGGAGGAACTATCTACACGCGGCCGGCGCGGTGAGGTGCCCACCACTCGGAGGAGGCAGGGGACTCCGTCACTATTTCATCTTACCATCTCATCTGGTCTTGCCTAAAGTCCGGACAGAATGCTAGTAGTTCATAGTAGTGAAAGGATATCAACGGCAGATAGCGAAAGGCCAGAAGATGAATTACGCTATCAGTTTGCATACTTTGTATCTCATCATACCCCTCACAAGTAGAATCCTGCTAGCCCCACATTCCAGGCTACCTCGAGAGCGTACTGTCTCCATATTAGGCGTAGATTAACCCTTCTAAATCCTGCCGGTTTTTTTTTTTTTTTTTTTTTTCCTGCAGGGTATCCCACTCGGGGCTACGAGATATCCCGGAGAGAACTTGTATGAGCGTGTTTACAGCCAGGCCAGCACCAAGATGACGACCAGAACATATGGCAAACACACCCACGTCTACCAGACCCATTTCACCACAGACATCCAACTCGATGTGTACCTCCCACCCGACAAGGACTCGAAAACCCCTAAACCAATCCTCCTGTGGTTTCACGGTGGCTACCTCGTAAGTCTCCCCGACTTTTGCATGCCAAAAATCTCCACCCGAGAAAGCAACGCAAAGAGAAAAAGAACCTCCAGCTCAGCACCACAGCAGGTAACAGGCAGCCGCAAAGCCATCCCCGCCTGGCTCCTCCACCACGCGCTCACCCAGAACTGGACCCTCATCTCAGCCGACTACAGAGTCCTGCCCGAATCGACCGGCCTCGCGACCACCGAAGACGCGATCGCGGCCTACGAATGGGTAGCCGGAGGCGCTCTCCGCCGCCTGCACCCAGACTGCACCGCCGATCCAGACCAGATCGTGCTGGCAGGGGCCAGTGCCGGAGGCTGGTGCGCCTTGGTGACCGCGCTGCACTTTACACCCCCGGCTTCCACCCTCGCGGAGCAGACAGGCCAAACTCCCCTCCCGCCCCCAAAGGCGCTCTGGCTCCTCTACCCGCTACTAGACCTCGGGAGTCGGAAATGGGCCCAGAGCGTCGCACTCCCCGGTGCGATGGCGATTGACCCAGCGGCAGCGGAGCGGCTCTTACAACACGAGATTCCGCAGCGAATCGCGCGGGCCGAGATAAGCGTCGGAGAGGATTTCCCGTCCTCTGAAGAGGAAATGCGCACGCGACAACGGCTTCCCTTGTTGTATTCGCTTCTGGAGCGCGGGGTATTTCTGGATTTTCTGACGGGGTCGGCTGGGTTCGGGGAGAGGGTGGTGGGGTTAGGGCTGGACGGGGCGGTCGCGGGGCATGTGCAGGAGAATCGCGTGCGGGGACTTTTTCCGCTGGACGACGGCGCCTTTGGGCCTGGGTTCCCTGCGACGATTGTTGTGCATGGGACGGATGATCGGGAGGTTTCCTGTGGTGAGAGTGAGAGGCTGATGGCGAAGTTACTGGAGAGTGGTGCTGAGGTGCAGTATTTTCCTGTCGATGGCGCGGGTCATGTTTTTGATCTGGAGTTGCGGGAGGGTTTGCGGGATGGTGAGGGGGGCCAGGCTGGCGCGACCCTTGTACGGGCTTTACAGGCGCTGCAAAGATACCTTGAGGGGTAATTTAGAATCTGCTGAAAGATTGGTTTGCTGGAAAGTCCCCTGGTTGACAGGGTTCGCCACTGAACGGCTCGTTAAATGATCAGGTAGTATATCATTAATGAGTATCTACTATACGATTCGCCTAGAATAGCCCTCCTATCCCACTATACCCCGCCTTCCTTGATGCAAAAACCGGCATTTTACCTACGAAACCATAAGCAGTGGGAAACCCTGGCGTGAGGCAAATACCGAAATACGAAAAATCCCACTTGTCGCGAAGCACGCAACCCTGCAATTCACAGCTGTACTACTGGTGCCGAGTAGTTAGGACCAACATTTGACCAAGCATTGGCTAGATGGACCGGTTTGCTTGGCCGCCTGCACCGCAGTGGAGCCGCAAAGTAAGCACCAGCCGATCCACCGCCGGTCCTCCGCCGGCGAGTTTCAGCTCGCCGATCCACCCTTGAGGATAGCGGGGGTGATAAAAGTATTGAGATATTCTTAATGTAGTGTGAAACTGGTGCAATAAGAGGATGATATCATTCAAGTCCTCTGAGCTATTTAACTATGGTCCAGCGTGGACCTTTTTCTTTTCCATAAAGACGACGGCATATCATTGGTGTCAGTCTGTTCATATAATCATTTGAGCCAATAAACAGTAGGAATATTACTTGATCCTAGAATACCATATTAAGACAGAGCTCTCCTGCTCGCGCATTGAAAGCGCATATTTTGTGGCCATGTACCCTGACAACGTGAATTAGGTCCGGTTGAGGTATCGGACTGCCAGGTTATTATCAAATGGAACCAGGTTATCGATATCGGTTGGTCCGACGGCGCAAGTCAGCCCAGTGCTTGCGTCGGAATTAGGGAAATCGCCATCGGCACTGACGGCGGCCAACAGGCAATATCTGTCAAATGATGGATTGTTATTGGGGACCCAGGCGAAAGGTCCGAAGATGTGCTGTGCTTGCTTATTCCCACCGAGAGGACCGGTGAGGTTCGCCGTTCCCTGCACATCGAAGTGAGACGGCCACAGAGTGGCTGTAGAAGTGTTCGACTGATACAGAGCTACTCTCACGTCGTTTGCAGGTCCGGTGCCGCGGTTTTTCACAGCCACGTAGAAGTAGTTCGTCTGTCCGGGTCTTGGGGGCTGGTTGACCCGCCCACCGTCTGCTGCCTGGCGATTCCAGACGCCAGGAGTATTATCGGACACGAGAGTGTAGTCATACTCTCCGTCTCGGCCGTCGTCGATGTACACGTCAACTGCGGGTGGCGGCCCTTCGGTAACGACTCCAGGGTTCGGAATGCCTGGTGGATGGTACAGGCCCTGTTTCTCGAAGGCCCAGCGGATGACCTTACGAACAGCACCACCGGGATGACTAAGGACTGTGCCATTATCGGCAGCTATCATGGCCGAGACATACTGGTAGGGCATGTGCATCTTGGTGGTGATCGTTGCAATGCCACCAAGGATGAGATACAGCGCATACCTCGAGGCCCAAACCTGCCGATTGATGTCACCGATGGCGTCTCCTCCAATAGCTCGATAGAGTCTGAAGAGAGTGGTGGACAAGACCTGCTCCCGCATATAATATGCCTCGTCATCTCTCCTGTACTGCGGTCCATCCCATGCCCAACCTTCCTTGACTTTACGATCGTGGCGGCGACGAACCACGGCGCTCCAGGGAAAAGTGTCAAATCGATCCTGAGCATCACTTCCGGGGTCCGAGTATATTGCAGCCAGCGAGTCGCCCGGGCTGTGAGCGAACCCAAAGCCTGGCCAATGGATGGCATCCCACAGAAGTGCATGACCAAACTCGTGTGCTGCGACGCGAAAGTCCGCAGCGATGCCGACTTGCGAATTTTCGTCAGCCCGGCCGAAGATGAAGCCTCCAGAGCCAGTACCGGTTGCATTGCCTGGAGCCTGCGCATTGACATTATCCTCAAATCCACGATGATCGACCGGCACGGGGAATTTGGTTTCATTGAAAAAGTCTTGGACCGAAAAGCCCAGCTCACCGAGGAGCCTGAAAAGCCTGGTAACATGATAGTATGCACTAACAGCGGCAAATGTATCTGACTCCACGCTGTCCTTGAACTCGCCAGTGGTAGTGGTGGGTGGCACCTTGATGGGTAATTTAAAATCCTCAATTGCTGCGAAACGACCTTTGAGACTCTGAGGAGACGAGGTCACGGTATCAGGAAGGAACACTCTGTCGCGTAGAAGATTCAAATCGACTATATCGCCTGTGGGCAGGGGGCCTCTGTGCCCCAGCTTTGTCACGGGGTCCCTGGAGAACACCCAGCCAGTCAGGCCAGCCGTGAGCGCCTGCAAGTAGATAATTGATCCTGTCTCGACTTCGACAAAGGCTCTCCAATTGAGTTTGCCATAACCCGAGACAGGCAGTGAGAAGAGGGCTTCTCGGACCACATAGTACTTGCCATCCTCAATCTTCTCAGGCACTTCGGCGAAGGCTAGGATCGGTGGAGAATCGCCCGCCTGCTCTTGCCTGCCCTTCGCGCTATAGCGATAGACTAGAGTGCGCTGCTTTCTCTTCTTCTGCTCTTCTGAAAAGCTGATGCCATCTCTCCCGACTGGGACACCAAGCGACGCAGCAATATCCTGCTCCGTGACACTATTCTTAATGAACTTAGCATCATCCGAGGGTGGATCTGGTCCCGAGGCATCAGTGTGAAGAGTACTGCTGGAGCTGAGGACACGTTTATCACCGTCACGCACAGTGACATCGAGCTGCGCACCCCACACCGGCCAATCTTTGAAGGTCTGTTGGTAGATCACAGCCTTGCTTCTAAAGCGGGGCCTTTCTTGCTCAAACTTCAGATCGAAATCTGGGGCGGTCAAGCTGTTCACCTCAGAATTTATTTTGTACTCGCCTGCTATCTCCTGGAGGTATTGCTCTGCCACATCTTTCGCGGTGGCCAGTGCCGCGACAGCTTGGTCCCCAGACTTAGGAGCCCAGGGCCGCTGCGCATGGTCTACGCTCTGGAGTGCTCCACCAGGAGTGCGTGCAACCTCAACATCTGGAATATCGTCAAAGAGCATGATAACTATTGGGATTTGACTGCAGGTAGTCTGTTATCGTACGATGTGAGACTTTTCTGGGGAGGTGGACGAAGGGAAAGTGGATGATCTGGTCACTTTATAGCCATCATCGATAGCAATTGCGTGATGCAGAACAGCGTCGGTCCATGACTTCAAGGCCACTGCTCTTGTCGCCTAGACAGGTCCGGAGCGGCCTCGAATGCGTGCTTGGGGGTTTTCAGACCACCTTGGAGCATAGTCCTCGTGAATGCCGATTATGTAGACAAAGGCTTCGTCCTCTCTGATGATCATCCACACGCGAGCCAAGCCTTTGCATTGCCCAACCCGAGGCCACGATTGGGGCAACATTTGTTTCATACGAGAGCTTCCGTTCTCGGGTAGCTCTCGTTGAAGTGTATTATATGGATCTTCAAAGTGTGATTCACGATCTATACGTGGAGATGAAGCACGTCGTATGCGTTCCAGACAGCTCTGTCAAAGTAGGGTGGAGATGAAAGGTGATTTGGCACTTTTTCCCGAGCTCGGATAGTTCCCAAAGATAGGCACCATCGACCCAGAGTGTGAGGATGTCAAATTTATAACTAGGAAGCAGCTTTGATTGGAGGAATGGGACCTCGATGGGGCAATTTTCTGCTCGGGGTCGAGTATGTTTACTCCACTACGAGAACTCATAATGGTCTAGAAGTTGCAAACAATCTGGTCATTGATCATGGTAAACTTGACTTTCATTTCCATCAAAGATTAGGTTTAGTTGACATTCTCAAGAATTCCTGCGTTCCAAACTCCCATGGCTCTCACCAGCTAGGCCTAGTCACTACTACATAGCCATTGACAACTCCAGCAGATTTGATCCGGTCTTAAAGTGGCCCTTTGACGCCATTGACCTGAACCGGTTGCAACGATCGCATTCCATTCCTGGCTTTAACCAACTCGAAGCTTTTTCATTGCCCTAGTTCGATCCGTATGCCAGGTGCAAGGGTACCGATGATCCCGTCATGAGTTACCACCACGATATCAGTTCTATCAGGATTCTCGTGCAGATCAGCCTGTGTTTGCTCCAATTGTTCCAAGATATCTTGTTTAATTCGCCCTGCGGACGACGGATCGTGCCCGGAATCGTCGAACCAATCCGGATCCAGCTGCTGGAGCTGATGTAGTGTCGGAAACTCGGACATCAGCTCGCTGACTGGGGAGCCGGCGTTGCACGGCAAGCCGCCGCCGAACTCCCGCAGTGCTGGATCGAGCACCAGCCTCACTCCGGGCCGCACACCCACGCTTGTATTGGCAGGATATTGGTCCGCATGCAATACCCGTCGAAATGCGGCCAGGGAGGTCTGGATAGATCGGCGAAGTGGGCTGGAGACGACTGCACCGACGCTGTCGGAGTGCGCGGAAATAAACTTCTGGCCTAGCAGTTCGGCTTGGTTGAAGCCCCGTTCACTGAGAGGGGCATCGGGGATCTGGACATTGTGGCGCAAATTGTGGAGGCCTTCCGCATGGCGGACGAGATGGATGAGGGCTGGCATTGCGGGTTCCAATCCTCGAATATAGTTGTGCTTCCCAAATGTGGTATGAACAGAGATGGTTGATGCTGATTGACATAACCCGGACAACTAAAGCGTGCTATACATTCTAACTTCTTTATATTCTCTCAAGGCTGTCAAGGTCACATGCTCCTCGTGAGACTCGCGTGCACTTTGGTTCGTACTGTACATCGTGGCGGCCCAAATTAAGTTGCTCGTTTAACCCATGGAAACGTACAAGGCGGGTGAATTCGACACCCCATCCCTGTCGGCTTGGCAGTCGTATCTTGTACGGTGGGGAGGAGCATGCCAAGCCAGTACCAGGTTGATATGACACGGGAAGACGATCTCGGAACCTTAACCTAAAACCTTGAAGTAATCTCCGCAAACGGGCGATTACTTACGTGTCCGCCGTGCCGACCCAAGCATCAGTCTCATTGTCGCAAGAGCGGAGATCTTGCGAACATTACGAGAAGATGGCGTGCAAACTACGCCGAGCCTCAAACCGTCAAGCATTTGAGTTGTTGCCTGGTTATGTTCTGTCCGCGATACGGCTCCCTTTGTTTGAGAACTGTTGAATTCTTGCTGGCGCGACTAATTCCATGGAATTATGTTCTTGGCTTGTAGCGCAACAGCCATCTACACCAGATGCTCTGAGATAGCAAGTCTCTCGTATTGACCGACTACAGTGAACAAATTCTCCACTGCTTGCCAAAAGGATAACACCAAGATAACGAATACCCCACCTGAACCGGCGTACATGTTGCCTACAAGAAATGCTAGCATATCAGAAATGGAAGCGAATGGAATCCCGAAGATAGCAACATGGCCATAGGCACAACTGAGCTATGTGTTTACATGCTTTGCATCGGACCCCTCACTTGCCAATACCATAGAGCTTTCAAGTCGGCGTATTATAATCTCTTGGGGTTATGTAAATGGGAGCCACGAAAAGGATAAGCTAAGAACTGTACCGAGTCTCTCCAGAAAAAGCGTGCTCTATACTCAGGAACTGACAGATGGCTTGTTTACCTTGTGCACGCTGAGCCAGAAGGAAGGTCATATGAAAACCACTATCACCGCGGCGTACGCCGCTACAGACGCCAAAACATATTTCCCGTCGAGATCTTCTCCAAACCATGCGAGGCCCAGCGCAAAGAAAATGGTGGCTGCACTAGCCGTCGCAAGTGTCGTGGGCGTATCGCTGTGGAGGGCCATCAGCAGCATCAGCGCGATCAGGGCTAGACCACCACAAAGCCCCATCCAGAGCCGCCTCCATTGTTTTTCCCGACTGACGCTCTCAAGGTGCCTTGTACAGGACACACCTAGAAAAAATAGATTCTTTACAAAGTGAGGATAAATGCACTCATCAAAGTATCTGTGGTCGAATCTCTTCGGTAACATGAGATAATCGTTCATGAGATGATACCTGGACGGATCATCGGTTGTGATTAAGAACCAGTGTCTCTCGGCATTTTCGCGCACGAGTCTGTGAGGCCCGGTCGTGAAACCAAGATTGCGAACCGCAGCAACTGGGGCATAAAGACACATTAGAAATGTGGCCGGCCGAGATGAAGGTCGAAATAAGAGTGTCGTTCATGCGATAAACAGTGAGCAGATTACGGGTAGGGTATTTCAGAACTCTGGAGTAAAACACCTAGCCCAGCACTCAGACCGAACCCTACTGGGTTGATCGGTGTATACATGATTGTGGATAATTGCATCGCATGCTCTGTATCAGTAGGACTTGGTTCACCCAGAATAAATTTCCCGCAGTTTTGTGTACCTGTGTAGATTCCAAGAGAGACTGCTTTTGAAAATGGAATATAAATTTCTCGCAATCGCCCCAATAATTCATCCAAGGAACTGAAACATGTTAGGCATTTTTTTTATTTTTTAAATCAAAAATTAAGCATACCTAGGTAGTATCGATGATGCGGGCACGAGAGAAACATCATGAATCCGGCCCTTATAGCCCGGATCTGACCAATTGTCTTGCAGCACGTACGATTCTCCGCCAAATGGCTGCTTTCTTACCTTGAACTTTGGAACCAACCTAGTACCTAGGAGTACCTAGTACTTACGTGATAAACAGAACCTTTGGCTCAGTCTGATACGCTTTATGGTTACTAAGCACATAATCATTGAGCCAGCACTCCACAACTATCCGCTCATTCTAATCAGATATACCAGTCATGCCTGCTCAACCCCCACAAAGTAGTAGCCACTCCCCACCCCCTTCCCCACCGTCCCCATCCCCATCCAACCCGCAAACAAAGATATCACCCTACGTCCTAAAGCTACGCACCGCTCCTCCGAAATTCATCAACCACGCACCGAAAGCACAACCCGTGGCAGCACCCACCGGCCCCTACTTCTTCTACGGCACCCTCGCCGACCCCTCCCTGCTGGCGAAGATCCTTGGCTTGGTCGACGGAACGCCGCATCTTCGGCCTGCGTACCTCCTCGGCTACGCATGTAAGCTGTGGGGCCAGTATCCCGCCTTGGTGGAGGCAGAGCCGGGACCGGTGGTTCGGGGGTTTGTCTACGAGGTGCGCACGCGGGGGGATGGCGAGAGGTTGGCGCTTTATGAGACTGAGAATTACCGGGCGGAGAGGTGTCGCATCCAATTCTTGGGTGGGGAGGGGAAGGGGGGCAGAGAGGAGTTGGGTTATACGTTCAAGTTTGTGGGGGATGCTGAGGAGCTCAGTGAGGGGGGTTTTGATTTGGAGGTCTGGTTGAGGAGGATGGGGAGGCGGGATTGAAGTGAGCAAGGACAGGTGGATGCTGTGGGTGGTACCTAGTCTGTAGTTGAGATTTCCTTTCGGGTTGCTTACTGGAAAGGATACGCTAGCGTTAGATATGAGCTACAGCGCTGAGTGGAATGTGCTCTACCTTCTTGCAGACACATGTGTTCAGAGCACAATGGAAAAGACATAAACCCGACTCGGACTGACCACCACTTTCCAATCTGCTGGCACTGCTTCCTGGCAGTTCTTCACATCTTCGTACCCTTCCATTTTCGGTCTCTCGACGCCAAGGAGAGAAGCTGTCTTTTGGACAGGATCAAAGTGCAATCTCGCTGCGCCCGTTCTCTTGATCCCATCCCCAACATAGTACGCTCCCGTCGACGACGCCTCGTCGTCGGCCTCATCGTCCATCCAAATCACCGTTTTAGATAAATGACGCGGTTGATTCTTGCATTGCAAGACTATGAAGTCTTTGCCCAGGTGAAAAAATAAATGCGTCTTCCCGACCGTGCATTCTCGCGTCGTGCCGTCGCCTGCGTCCCGCTGCAGCGGGGCAGGCATGAACGCCCCGATGACCTGGGTGTGGTTCTCATTCGTGGCTAGAATCATGCGCGGAGTGTCGTCGCCTTGCACAGCTTGGGCCATCTCGGAGAAGGTAGGGCTAGTAGATGGTATTCCGATCTCTTGGAATGAAATGGGTTTCACACCGAAGGTTGAACCGGGATCCACAGGTGATATGTGCGGTATGGGAAGGAAGAGCGACAGGGCTGTGAGTATCCGCGCGGGAATTCTGTGCTCTGTCGCGTCCGGAATGATAGCCTCATCCTGAGAGTTGGGCCACGGAGGCTGGAATAGCACGGTCCAGAGTTGGTGGAAGGAGGGGAGGAGATTTGGCTGCGCCGGTGATTTCTGTTAGCTTGGTTTCTCGGTACAATGCTGATGGGAGGGTGGCCTAGCCCACCAGAGTGTCGAGAACTATGCCAGCGAGCTCGTCTGCATCGGAGTCCCTATCCTCTTGCATCATACCGTGAATGAGGCAGGTATCCAAGTGCTCATCCGCGGGGTCAGACGGTGCGAAGCAACCAAAATAGCGAGTTCGATCCCATTTTCTAGTCGGCGAGACTCTCAACTGAAGGAGCAAGGCGACAAGAAGCGAGACATCACGCCGACTCACACGCCACCGGGTTGGAGTTGCGGGTTCTTCTGTCAGGAGCTCCCGTGCAGTGGTGCCCAGTCGCTCTAGCGATGGGGCCTGATTGATGGAGTATGGCTGCGTGGTCGCGAGGACGTCGACTACGTCGCTGAGCACGGATGGGGTGTCTTTCTGGTGCTCAGCTGGAGGCAGCGATACTGTCTCGGGATGGCCGATGCTCCGGAGCATTCTTGCGAGATTTGCGCGGCGGATGTACTGCGTATCATCGTGGTTGCGCCAGTAGTACCCGCCATCGTCCTGGGTGCCTAGGAGACTGGTCCCGCCGTGCGCGAGTAATGCGACGGCGCGGTCGAATGCGTCGGAGTCGATTACTTCACCCGTGGCTTCTTTGGGGAACGGGTGGGAGGCGTAGTAGTGGAAGCATCGCCAGAGTAAGTCGATTACTTCGTCAGAAAGTGCGGAGGAGGGGTGGCAGCTAGAGATGTGGGCTTCTAGGCTTTGTTTGGTCCAATCTGCGGTTCTTAGTATCGGAGGTGCAGTGGTGAAGGGGTGGGGATGCGTACGGCGCTGGTGGTCGGCATCCTCGATGCAGGCCGGGTGATATGTTGCTGAAGATGATGGGTGGTTCAGAGGCTTGAGAACTTTTTGGAGGTCTTTTTGGATGGATCCTGCGAGGTTTTAGCTACGTACTGCGGGAACAAAAAGATGAATAGGAGGTCAGGTTACCTTTGGTGGCTGTTTCGAGGTATTCTTTTACCTGGCGCTCGTGGGGAGCGAGGTGGATGTGCTCAAGAAGTCTACTTAGAGCATCCAACATGATGTGTGGAGAGCTGTGATGTACGGGAATTGAGTGAGCCAAGGAGACGTTGAAGACAGTGAGCGAGTGAAGGTGGTGGGGAAATGCGAACTAAAACAGTTGTGAAAGACGCTAAGTAGAGTCTGGCGCCCATAGCCACCTTTAGTGCCCATTTAATACCGGGCATTATCTGAGACCCTGCAGTATGCCTACGTGGAAGACTAACTATTATCAGCTTTATTGGAAGGCTCTGACACATACAGTAAAATCAATTACAATCACAACAAAACCAATGAGTATCGCACAACTCCTTTTTCTTCACAAAAAGATCTCCGTGCCAAAGTCCTTCATCTGGATGAGCTGGGCCGGGGGTCATATGGACCAGGTAGCAGATCAATACCGAGCCACGCAGCGTCCCGCGGGAGCAGCCCCGGCAGCAGCAGCAGGGGCCGCGTTATCAGCAGGCTTGGGGGCGGCAGCAGGCGCGTCACTAGCAGCAGGCTCAGGAGCGGCAGCAGGCGCAGCGGTGGGAGCAGCCTTGGGCGCGGCAGCGGGGGCTGGCGAAGGGGCAGCAGTCTCAACAGCAGCAGGGCTGGACTGACGCTGGGCGTCGCCCTTGGAAGCCTGATCCGACCAGCTCTTCACACCAGCCTCAATCGCATCCGAGATGCCACCAGCAACGGTACCAGCCAGGCTCTGCAACGACTCGGGTACCTTGGAGACAATTGTATCGGACAACTTCTCAGCCGCGGCTTTTTGCTCGGCCAAGTCGTTGTAGGTCTGGGCGCCTTTTCCTGCATTCACAATCAAGGTCTTCTTATTGTCGAGATCGCTGATAACGGTGGAAATCTTCTTCTTCAGGGTGTCCACGGGCCCGGGGAGGCCGAGGGCGTCGGTTGAGCTGAGGGCCGAGGTGCCGCTAACCTGGCTGTTGCCGCTGTTGATTGCGCTCACCAGGTTGTCGGAGGCTTGCTGAACGCTGGCCACATCGCCACCGCTGTAGGCTTGGATGGCGGAGCCCAGGGCGTCGACCTTGGTGCCAATGCCGGAGAGGACACCGGTGACAGTGGGGAGGTCGCGCTCAACCTTGGTGGGAGCAGCGAGGGTACCGGCAGCGAGGCCGACGGTGAGGGCAGAGAGAACGGAGACCTTCATTGTGGATGGGCTGTTGATATTAAGGTGAGGATATTGAAGTAGATGATTTCTGGGATCGAAGGTGAATCAGGATGGTGGTTGAACGCTGTAGGAGAAGGTGGACTTTGAGGGACATTCGGGTGTCTTTATAGTTCCGTGGTACTACCGTGAAGACAATGTAGTGCCAAATCAGCACAATCATAAGAGCTTGATAGTATGGTTCATGAAGATTGTTGATCGAACCCCCGGGATATGATGATGTGCAAAAAGCTCAATTTTGAGAAATGATCGACAGGGACTGGCCCGGCGGCGGTCACAGATGGCTGAGTTTCCGGGGAAATCAATGCTCGGTCCCAGAAATCGGGTACTCGTTGCTCTCATTTTTCAGCTAACCCTGAACCCTAACTAAGTATCAAAATGTCTCATATGGCAAAGCCAATCTTTGCTCTTCGTCTGTGCTCTGCTCTCTCTCGACGGGCCGCAGCCCTATCCGCAGGTCACGTTCAGGGGCAAAAGACAGCAACTAGTTCGCAACATCCACAAACTTTCTTCTTCTCGCCAATTCACCCTCCACTTGACCACTGCCACGTTCAACAAGAATGGGATAATTATAAATGGAACAATGGGATAGAGGGGCCCGAGGGCCTGATAATCGGATGGACATCATGTGACCTCTATCCGGCCCTGGGTCGACGCCACCCTCATATCCCTCACCTCCAATTTAAGCTTCACCTGTCCTGTTACTGAGCACGAAACCGCGCTAGTGTGAGGCCGGTGCTCTCATCTCAACTGTTTGTCAAATTTTGTTGTGAAACGAGTTAAGAACGATCCTGGCGTACCTTGGCCAGTCCCTTTTCGACTAATGCTCGAATCTAAATCCTCCACTCCATAAAGCTGACACACAACCACACACACAATCAACAACGGCACCTCCGAGACAACCACTCAGATTCTGGGGCTCAGAGAGCGCTGGCCAAATTGTAGAAAGTTCATCCCAAACGCGGATGTCACAAAGGAGATAGGTAAGAAGAGAAAAGTAAGTCTGTTTGGTTAGCTTGGTGCGAGCTCGCCCTCTAATCGCGACTCTTCTGTCTAAAGTTCACATTCTGCGATGGAGAGATTGCTTGCAACTGCCTGCAATTGGGCATAGGCTTGGTCATACGCAGACTGAGTGTCACCAAAATCACACGCGTTTCTGGATCCGGGGAGCTCGAAGAAATGAAATCTCGTCACTGCCATGCGGAGCACAGTCAGCACCGCGGACACCCCGATCCAGTTAAGGATGTCAGCGAGGTGATGGGGATATGTATCATCACCTTCCCTCCAAGACAGCGATCAACGACTGCGCCACGTCGCGGAGAAGGACTAGAAGCGCGTGCACAACGACTTACGCGCTGGGACAAGACACCGTCCACCCGAAGTGCCAGCCAGTCGCGTTAGGGGTCTCTCCCAGATGAAGTAAAGTAGAAATGTCCTTCGCTTCTGGGACAGGGTTTGCGGCTATTGGTGCTGATAATATAGATGCCATCTACTAACTATTCATACACTGAGTTTATGATACTCCGGTAAGCCTCTGCAGTAAGAACAATTATGAGATTGTACTTGATCTAGTAGTGACCCTCAGTATTCATGATGTTGTTAGAATACTGCGCGGTAGGCGAGGCTGTCTCAATTCAAAGGGCTGGTCGATATCCACAACCAAAACTGGGCCTTCTCGGAAGCTTACTACTAGAAAGACGGGTGACACCAGCAAGATCCTCCTATTGTAGGGACCTTTGTGCTTCGTCGAATCGAATGCGATATACAGTACCTGGATCGGTGAGCAAGACTCGAGTAGACGTGGCTACGAATCACAAGGCTCCTAATAGTGCAGAACTCGGAGCTTGAGGAGTACTATACTAACAGGCACCTCTAGTGTACCAAGTGTCACGCACATGATCATAATGACGGTTGTAAACATCTGTTTACGAGTTCGTCCACGTTCTCATTGAATCCACTCGGGATGTAACGATCATCGTTGTGCCATGGGCCAATTCGTTGCTGATCGCACGCGAATACTACGGGGACCGGACGGAACCACGGGTCGGTGTTGAAGTCATCGACCCCAGCTTCTAAAGCCACACGACGAGTATTTGTCCAGTTAATTCTCTAGAGGCCCCTTGAAGAATGTTATTTAATTGACCCAAAATCTAGGACGACGGGATCATATACTGCTGGAGGTCGGATCCCAAATATCCGGTGATTCTCAGGGCAGCAACAGTCCGTCCCCGGCGTAATGGCAGGTATGCCAGAATGTCAAAGTCAAGGCGCCTTTCCACCGGTATGATTCAGCGCCAATGGGCGACGAGGATACAAATGCCAATTCTGACACCATATCTAGGGTGGTAAATCTAGTGAAGCCCAAGCAGCAGACAGGTAAGTAGTAGTCTAACTGGCCTGGTTGTATCTGACGGCCATAACGCTCACGGAAACACCACCCCCTTCGTGCTACAGTTACTACAGCAATGGCAGCAGCTTCATGGAGTGGGCCTGGGGTACATCCTTCCACGTGTGTCGTCGCTACCCGGGCGAGTCCGTGCACCAAGCCATGATCCGTCACGAGCATTATCTCGCCCTCCGACTGGGCCTCCAGCCCGACCAGAAGGTGTTGGACCTGGGGTCCGGCCTCGGCGGCCCGGCGCGCGAGATCGCCCGCTTCGCCGAGGTGGACATCTGCGGGGTGGAGATCAGCGCCGCGCAGGTGCAGCGCGCGACGCGGCTGACCCAGCAGGCCGGGCAGGCCGACCGCGTGCGCTTTGTGGCCTGCGACTTCACCGCCACGCATCTCGAGAACGACTCCTTCGACCGGGCGTACTCCATCGAGGCGACGTGCTACGCCCCGGACCTCGCCGCCGTCTACGGAGAGGTCTTTCGCCTCCTCAAGCCCGGTGGCATCCTCGCCGTCTACGAGCTGGCCATGACGGACCGATATCACGCCACGCGCGCCGATCATCGCGCGTGCCACCGAGACCTGGAACGCGTGGCCGGCTGTCCGCATCTCCGGACCACCGCCGAGGTCGTTGACGCCATGCGAGCGGTCGGGTTCGAGCTTCGCGCGGCGGAAGATCTGGCCGATGTCGCCGCCGCCGCAGGCTTGTTGCCCTGGTACCAGCTCATTGACGGTTCGTTCAAGTGGATGGGAGGAGCCGTTGAGACTCTCGCCGGCGGGCTCGTGGCGGCGTTTCTGCGGCTGTTTTCCTCGCGCTGGGGGGGTCACTTCCTGACAGTGGGTGAGATGTTGGGCGTCCTCGACCCAGGTTCCCGGAGTCGCGTCATGGACATGGTGCAGGTGATGAATGCGTATCGGGTTGCAGGGGAGAAGAAGTTGGTCACTCCGATGTTTCTGATGGTAGCGCGCAAGCCAAAGCGTGGACCAATGTCCTCGGAATGAGATAGGTGAAGTGCAGCTGGGTAAAAGGATGTCACTAAGGAATGGAAGACTGCCCTGAAGACAGTGCTGCCAGGGCCTAAAGAAGCGGCGGGCGGCCGAAGGGGAATCCTATCTTTGGTAAAATCTACATAACACAAGAATAGGATTGTGTCATAAAAGTATTCGCCTTTCAAAGATGGGCCCTGTGTCTCCTGGACCCCGCCTGGGCCAGTTGTCGGCTATTGCGGAAAGCCTGCTAAGCCTTAAGTTAGATGTAGAGGTTGGGGTCTGCACACGAGGGTTCACGCCCATCGGCGCAGTTGGGTGAACAAAGTGCAATCACTTCCATCCTTAAAAATAATTGAGCAAACCTCCACGGCAGCTGCTTCTAGTTATTAACTACCTGGTAGTAGGTATTTTGATGATGATGCATGATGACGATATGTCAAGATGTGTTACCGGACCCATCAACAGCTTCGATTTTTCAGCTACAGGCCGCCTTCTGATCGCCCGGTGGGAATACTGGGCTATGGCTGAAACATCTGGGCAATCGAGTAGCTGGTGAGAAGCTTCCCGTCATCTGCCAGGATCGAATGAAGAACCTCCAAAAACTCTTCCATGGAGCCGTATACACCTTGTCCGCTAAAGCAGTTGCCCATACCATCGGTCGAAGAGGGCTCCTTCAACTCTGTAAACGCCCCCGAGCCCACATTCCGTACCGACATCCTAGCATAGATGCGAGGGCCATACATGTTCTGTCTTCCAGTGACCTGAAAAACGCCGTTTCGAGCACCGCTAGAGGCTGCCGTGCGCTTGTATTGCCGTGCATGGGTGTTCCTTGAAATTTGTAGTCCTTCGGTGAGTTGAGGGAGATACCCGAAGTGCAAACGAGATTCTAACGATCCGGTCCAAGTAGCTAAAGAAGCATGGCCAAAGACAGAGACCGGGGTTGTGCGATGCCCCAGTTGATGGCCAGATCCCTTGGTGTGAAGTCTGACCGTCACAGAATCAGGAGTCGCATAGGGAAAAGATGCGAAAAGTTCTGCTTGTCCCTTCTTCTGTTTGCTCTGCCCGTGCGGCAAGTGCGGCAATCACGGATAACACAATGGTATGGCTGTAAGGGCCCACACCTCTAGTGGGTCCGAGAGGACCATGTCGATCCACATCGCTTGAGTGGGGCCGTCCAGGCTACCCCAGGGGCCATAATCGGTGGAGGACGACTTGTCTACGCTGTAATTATAACCTGGGAATATATTGAGTGTTCATTTCGTGGTCAAAAGAGAGCACATAGATAAGATACATTAACCAAGTGAGCTGTCTGAAACTATGTCTCCATATGGAGGGATTCTTGGGAGTTGCTGGCGACGACGACTGTGAGAAAGATAGACCCAGTATAGAAGTAAGGCTTGAGGTTGAAAATCTCGCGATGCATTGTGGCTCACGGCGAAGGAAGCTGTGATACTATACCTAACCATGTAGGTAGCTTAACTACCGCTTACGAGAAGAAGAACCTAGCTTCATAGATTTTGCAGTGTTCGAGAAGAGTGTGGTTGCTTAAATGTATGTCACATGCGTGAGCAAGAGTCAAGTCTCCTCAAATCCAAATCTAAGATAATCGACTTTCTATAGATATGCTCCAAGCTTAAGCACCATAACCTTTCCCCGAGCCGACAACCCGGCGCTGCCATCAATCCCAATGACATCACAACCATCCCCGGCCACACCCCCCAGCTTCCCGTATCCTTGCTCATTCTCACCCCATCACCCCCATAACCCACCCCAGCAGACAGAAAACACATACGAAAAGTATCCCAAACCCAGCAGAACATCCCCCAGAATCAAGATCCAAAATCTTAGCCCCCACAGTCCCGCTGTGGGGCCGTAGCAACCTAAACCAAATAGGGCAGGTGGGGCTATAATTTAGTTTCGAGTGCTACTGTACAACAACAGCCGCGGTGGTGTAGTGGTATTAACATTGCAGAGCCCCCGTACTAGCCTTATGCTAGCGGTGTGGAGTGCAGATTCTGGGTTCGAGTCCCAGTCGCGGCATTTGTTTCTTTTTGCGCCTGCACACCGGGGTAGGACGTCATTGGGGCGTCATTTGGGGGATATGTTGGAGTTGAGATGTGCTGTGGTGGGCTTGGGGGGGGACTTGGAGTCGAGATTCGGGGGTATGCTTGGGGTGTTAAATGGGATATTTGATGCAGTTTATGTGCAGCGGGATTGGGCTTGAGGGCTTGAGGTGAGAGTGGTGGACTTGTAGGTGTTCTGGATGAGTATGCTGGATATACATGATGGCTCTATGGTGTATACTCCTTATAAGGATTGATCTTTGTTCGACTGGAAATGTCTAGGGTTGGTTTATGATAGGGCTATCTTGCATATCATATGGCGGGATCTTGATTGGTGAAGATGCATCTGGCTATCCTGGAGCCCCCTGCGTATGCATCTAGATGTTTGGTTTTAGATTCATGCAGGGTCAGTAGAGTGTGGTACCTGAAGCAGTGATTTAACAGAAGTTCCCCGTTTGATGTAGCTCTATACAAGATGCTGCTAAAAGCATCTAATGTGTTTACACAAATAGGAAGCAGATGCCCAGGCTCTACATGACACTTACACTATGAGAAAAGGTGGGAATGGCTGCGAATCTCTAGGCTTATAGTACTCTTTGTAATGCAGTCCCTTTAATGCTATCAGGAATATTCAACATTACCCTTCCCATCTCAACTCGCACAGATGGCTTGCCTGTCGTTCTGGTGGATGATTGCGCCGGTCCGTCCCGGCCGCGCCCCGCCCCCACCGTGACCACCTCTTGAGCAGCTCAATCTACTGTACAAATAGAGTGAGCAATTGATTCCATCAGCCGGTTTTCCAACTTACCAGTAATTCGGTGGTTTTAAATAGGCTCAGGGACTGGTATGTAGTGGTTACATCGTGCTATCTTTCGCACTTCAAAGCTCTGAATTGAAGGTATGGGAATGACCCTTACTGGATGATTGCATGCATGAGTCTAGCAATACACAAGAAAATTCGGCCATTGGCCCAATCCTCACTCTCATCTTTCTATGAAGAACTTGAAACAACAACCCGCACCCCTTTCGAATCCCGTTTCGGAACTCCTACAAAAACATCATGATCGTACGCCACATCCTCCACGGTCGTCTGGTACAGTTGCGTTCGCGGGAGCACTCGCACCGCGAGGGCCGCCATCGCCACGTAGAGGTTACAGTACGCGAGACTAGTGGTCAGTGACATTAGCATTGAGCGTGAGCGAGCACCAACGCATCCAATTGAACTTATAGCAGGAGTGACACATACTTGATTCCAACGCATGAGCGGCTTCCCCTGGAAAACGAGGTCAAACTCGTTTCTAATCTACGGCGCTCAGCTTCATCGGCTTCGAGCCATCGCTCCACTCTGAAACTATGCGACTCGGGAAACACGTCCTCATTATGGTGATTGATCGCATTGGACATGCCGACGGGCGTGCCGGGGGGGATGTCGTAGACGATCTCCCGCCCCTGGAAGCGTCCTCGATAGATAAGATGCTCGTTCGGCGCGATCCGCGGGCTCCGCGGGCTGACTCCGTAGGACAGGCGGAGTGCCTCGGCAATTACTGCGCTCAGGTAAGGCAGTTTCTCGAGCTCGTTCCACGTTCGGTTGGTGGCGTCAGCGGCTTGGAGTTCCTCGACGAGGCGCGCAAGCGTCTCGGGCTGGCTCAGGAGGTAGTATGTTGCGACTGTAAGGGTCCACTGCATATTTGTTGAGTACAGGGAACAGATAGAAATGTTGACAGGATGGTACTTACGGCGGTTGTCTCCGTCCCGGCGGTGTTCAGCGACAAACCGTCTCCGGTCAACCGGTAGTCGGTTCTTTCAGCCTCCGGCAATGAAGAGGTAAGCAGGGCGTGAAAGATCGTCGGCCGGCTGGGGATGGTCCCCGTCTCGAACTCCTTTCTCGCTTGGCGGACGCGAGCCGGCATTTTCTCCGTCGACTCGTCCATGTATACCTGCAATGATCGGGGCAGCCATCTCCACAGGAACGGGACCAGGGGTACCATAAGTTTGGTTACAGGTATAAATCGAAAGAGAAAGATCGTCTCCAATAGACCCACAACGGCGTCGCGGAAGTTGGGCTCCCAGCCATCCTGCTCTACGAACCCGAAGGACTCGCCGAAGCAGTAGCCGGAGATGACGTCCGCGGTGAAGCAGCTATACGCGGTGGTAATATCGAGTGGCTCGTGATCCTTGGTGCCTGGAAATTGGGTTTTCAGCGAGATTCTCACACTGGAGATGGCTTATGACCCTACCGAGTCGGATAATCTTGTCGCAAAGCTGATCTGTCAGCCTCTTGATCTCAGGCTCCAACCGCGCAATCTGTGCACGCGAGAAGAATTTGTTCATCGCGCCGCGTCGGATGCGATGATGTTTATGGTCAATGGTGGCGAACATCGACTCGGCGGTAGGTCCGGTAGCAAAGGTGACATGATGAACCTGTTTGTTTCGCGTGCGCCCGCCGGTAGAATACACCTCGTCGATGAAGTTGGGGTCGTTGAAATGCAGTTCCTCTGGGTTGATGCGCACCACCGGGCCTGGTCTCTAGGCATCAGATACATCACTAAGTGTGGCAGCGGTGCAACGAACCATATATTTCGTGCAATCGCCTGATCTCGTGAGTGAAGCGACCCCTTCGAATTAAATCAAACCAAGCCTCATACAAAAACGTGGCAGCTGCGAGCTTCGGGCCTGGGATGTGGCTGAGGGGGTGGAAGGGGGAGACATTGTACAAGGCGCGGACGAGACGAGATGCAACCCAGATCCCAATCAAGTAGAGAAGGCCTGTGGAGCTGAAGACTGTCGAAGAAACTGGGAGCATAGTGAGAAGTGTGCGTGTCTGAATTATTGGAGAATCCGGGGTTTTCACCGTCAGTCAGGGCTTATATTATTTCACCACCGGGAGGGGAACATGCATACGTGACATCAAATATAAGCCCGTATTGTTATCGAATCCAGTATGTTCAATGCTGATCTGCAAGGATATCAAGCATGTAGACCAATCATTCATTTGGGATTAGCTCTCCTCCCGTGCACCAAGCGAGTGGCACTATAGCCGACCCCGCAGCAGTGGGACACTGAAGGAAAAAGAGTGGACGAGGATGATCTAAGGTATGAATAACTTGGCCCAGAACACCGCTTTGGAATGTCATTGTTGTTCGGGACACGCAGACGTGTGCATGAAGGATTAGCCAGCCCCCCTCCCCACATGCGGGTAGGCGAGTCTGGCCTTCGGTAAAATCATGCGGCGGAAGGACTGCCCCTCCTTGTTATCTCCGAGTCTTCTCGGATATAGCCGCTGACCGAAGCCACTACTATAAAAATATGAAGCATTTACTAATGTCAACCACACCTTAGCTAGCTCTGTTCTACTTTCGTGCAAGCAGTGTATCACGTCTCAGACTATGTATGAAGTCACAGCATGTGCCGAGCTACGTCTTATACAAATTTTCATCCAGGCCCATCTCTCCAGGTACAAAACTCTACTGGGTATGACAGGCCAACGGGTTGCACTGTATTGCATCGCAAGTGCTACCACCACAGGTCTTCGTGCTATACTCTTCTTCAATTGTAACCACTTGACTTTGGGTTCTAAATACAACCAGCAGCACCGGTCGCGATTACCGCCCACTTTCTACTAACTGACTTGATATCGATATCCAGGCTCAGCCACCACAGTCCTGCTTTCTCTTGTATTCACATTTCCACGCCCAAATTCAACACAGTTCATCAAAATAAAGCTTGCTTACACCATATTCACACAGATTGTTCTAGCATCGAACCTGCTTGGGCAACCTAGCTCCGAAGGCAGCTCTCGACAAGACGTCAAGCCCGCCGCAACCCCGCAGTTGTGATTTCCTTCCTGAGCACTCAGAGATTAATGAGGTGCTTTCTATCTGGAGAATTCTTTCACAGATGCTGTGCCTACCTTGCAGGTATTCTAGGAGGCGCTTCCCGGATACTAATCTCTTGTATAGTCTCTTTACCGACTGGGTCACTTCAGCAGCCCCAGCTCGGTTGAATTGCTCTTCCAGGCTTTGGTCCGCCATATTTTTACGCTTGAGGGCCATTTACATACACATGTTCAGAAATCACCCACTGTCTTCAACCTACACTGTCGATTCCTCTTCTGGCTAGCCTACGTCTGCGACAAGGAAATCTTTCTAAGAACAGGCCGCCCCCCCCAATCTGCGACGATTACTGTGATCTCACCTTCCCAAATTAAGACGAAATTGCCATGGAATTCGGCCTCCACGGCCCTCAGACGCCGACGAATCGCAACCTTGCACTCTTCTTCCCTACCGACCTCAGGCTCAGCCTTATTCAATCAAAGATAACCAGAAAATTGTACTCTCCTCAAGCCGCACTAGCATCTGATGTGGAGCTTTTGAAGACCGTTCGGGAACTAGATGATGCAGTGAGCGGGTGGCATCGAAACCTGCGATTACCAAGCAACGGCCTCCACCTACTTCGCGCCCATGGGCTGGTCTTCACCCAGAAAGAGGTCTACCTGCGCTCGTCTTTATTGAAATTACAATATCAGTACTGCATAGCTGCCATTCATCAGATGAGCACTGGATGCGCGGCATGGATTGCCGATCCAAGCGGCCGAGCCTTAGGCATTACTTTGAGTTTAGAGGTTGCGGCCAACGCGAGCCGCGCCCTCTTGCGACAGTTCCTGGATATGCAAGCAGCATTAGCACAGGAAGTGTTTTGGTAGGATCCGATTCGTTCCGCACGTCCAGTGTATGATCTAGATGGGTATCTAGCTAACAATTCCTTCGTCTACTCTCAGGTTCGAAATCTTCTATGTTCTATCAGGGGTTATGAATCTTTTCTGTAAAGTACTCAAAGACACCTGTGACTCGCAGAGTGAGGACGATACCCACTTGCTCGACACAATTGCGGCACGTTTCTCTCGGGCGGCAGGGTCACACACTTACTTCGGCTTGTGCGGTGATCTCCACTTGATGCGAGACTTTGTGTCGGAGCTATGTCGTCTTGCTCGGTGTGCCATGTCGAAAGGAAGATGATCAAGGCGGCTTGGGGAGAGATGGCAATCACAAGTCCGATAATGGGAATATTAAATAGCTCCAGGAGTTGCAGGGGTAGAACGCCCAGTTTCCTCTGCGACAATTTTACACAACAAACAATACATCCTGTCATGCTTTAATCTCGTTCTTGAGCGGATGCTCCCAGCTTACCAGCGCGTCAGGGTATGGTTCGTCCGCGGGGATATAATCCAGCGCCAAGGCTTTTCTCATCTCTCGTGCGCCGAGAAAGTTCAAGAGGAACCTCATCACCCAGTCCCGACACATAACATAGCGAGCCATAAATTGATAGAACGGACTCGCCCAGGCGTGCATGCGCGATTGGGACAGCGACTGGTCGGCGTCGGCCTTCAAAGGCGCGGCCCTGATCTTCTGGTACTCCTCGAAGACCTTGGCTAGGGCGGTCTTGGGCGGTGCCACGTCGGGACCGCTCGATTGCAGTAGCGCATGCAGCCCGTTGCACAGCGCCACCACATCCTGGATCCCATTGTTCAGCCCCCGTCCCGCGTTTGGGGTGAACTTGTGGCACGCGTCGCCAGCCAGCACGATCTGCCCGCCCCAGCTCCACTGTGCCAGAATCCCTTCTTCCAAATTCGCCATCCCCTCGGTCAATCGCGTCGCATACACGTCTTTGACCTTCAGCATCTTCGACACGGGGAAGTCGGCAAAGCGTGCCGCATACGCTTCCATGTCGGCTTTGCTGTAGTGCATCCGCTTCCTCGTCGGCCCCGTCGGTATCCGCTCGTACAAGAACACCCAGCCTCGCTCCTGCCCGGCCAGGAACATAACAGACATGTCTTTAGACTGTGTGTCTGAACCGTGGCCCACCTCTACGTCAGCGGCGCTCGGCCGGGGAAAGCTGCACCAAAAGCATCGATACTGGGCCGTGAACGGGTCCGCGTCATCCCATTGCGGCTGTGGCGGCGGTCCCTCGGCCAGCGCTAACGCGCGCATCAGTGTCCGCGTCTTGCTGTGCACCCCGTCGGCGCCCAGCACCATCAACCCCTCATACGAACTCCCGTCGGTGCACGTGACGCGCACACCGTGGTCATGCGTCTCGATACTTCCGAGTTTCTTGCCGAGAAGGTACCGTGACTTCGCAGCGGGGGGCAGTCCGTCGTAGATGGTCTCAATGAGTTGGGCGCGATGGAAGTACACCGGCGCGGTTCCGTGGCTGGTTGAGTTCGGATGACCCCCTGTGTCAGTGTACATTTTCCGAAGGGCGGTGCTGTGTCTGGCGCACTCACTTCTTTCTGAAGATCCGAGGGAGGGTCGTGGACTCAGCAAACTGGTACCCGTCCCGCGTGAAGGAGGTCAAGTGGGTCATCTCGCCGCCTATCTCAGATAGTCGCTTTGACAGGCCGAACTGGTGCAACACTCGGAGGCTGTGTGGTGCCAGAACCAGGCTGGCCCCCTGGTCGAGGACGACCGAGTCGCGGGCTTCGAGGACCACGAAGTCGATGCCGGCGTGGTGAAGGGCGTGCGCAGCAGTGAGGCCGACAGGGCCTCCGCCGATGACGATGACTTTGAACGCTAACATCATCAGCAAGTATGGCTATGGTTGTTGATGCAGGATTTCAAGCATATGTGTTTTGGCGAAAGAGGGAGACGGATGAAATGAGCTGAGCTGCGACGGATTTATAACAATGCAGCCCCGAGTATGGCCCCCCCGCCATGATCCCCCCCCCCCGATCATCTCTCTTAGATGCATTCCGCTTAATCATCCGATGTTTCAATAGACGGCAAGACGTCTCATGACTTTTGTCGGGACATTCAGTGCATCGGAACCCGATGATCCCATCCGCTTCTAAATAGGGACTGTGCGCGGGCACCTGCGGTACTTGCCGTTTCCTAACCTGATTGGGTGTGATATCCGCTTATGCAGTCGCTGATCTGCTTGGGTAAGCGGACGCTAGCTTGCTGGTATTTCGGTCAATTCGTCTGGTTAGGCATTTTTAGACCATTATCTCCATCAAGAGTACTCGACTCCAGTCCGTTGCCTCCACAAAAGAACGGTCTTGGTCAAGATTGCAGTTGAAAAGCGGATTGAATTAGGGGTCATTCTGTGAAAGCTGACGGGAACACTGCTCGCTACTACTGGGCTGAAATGATTTGCGACAATGAGATCGAGGCATAGCTGCAGAGATGGTCTAGACAGGGTCAAGATTGAGTGTGAGTCAATCAGCCCCGATATACGGACTACGTGCGTTTTACTCCGTAGTTTGATTCGAACTTCACATCAGCATTATTATTGAAGATATCTCCGATGTCACGCCACACCATCACTTGTCATGTCGCCGATGTCTTCGACCTTGATAGTTATAGAATCAGGTCTTCATTTTCGTGTACTGCCTGGTCTCCCGCAGCTGGCTTGCCCATGACTCTCGCGCTCCCATTTACTTCCTGGTCAATCCACTTGTCAAGCCACTCGGTCCACATCACTAGACCATTACAGCGCCAAGATTCTCTGACTCCCCGATTGCTCCTCCATCACAAAGACTAAAGGGTTCCCAACCTCATAACGCCGCCAGCTGACTATTGACCGCAATACACCGCCCCTCATACCCTGGATCCTGTGCCAACGCGTCCCCTACGAATCGCGAAAACGTTAGATTCACACCGGGCTCAAACAGCAGACAGAATGAGCTGCCCCCGTAGTGGAAGCTGCCGATCTCCTGGCCCTTGACGACACGGTCCCCGACTGCGACGGTGGCCACGCAGCTCGACACGTCCGCCATCCCGATGGCCAGGAAGCCCACCGTCCCCAGCGCCGGGTTATCGGCCTGAATCAGCACGGCGGTGCGGGTGGCCGTCGACGAGATCATCGTCAGCGAGAGATCGGGCGCCTGGCGGTCGGGGCACGAAGCTTTGGTCGCCGGGTCAACGTTTTCGAAGCCCTTGGCCGGGTCGGCGGCGAAGTAAGTGCCGCGGAGATTCAGGACGTTGACGACTGTTCCGGTCACCGGGGCGTGCCAGCGGTGGTAGCTGAAGGCGGAGAGCCAGGCTTGGAAGACGGTGCCTCCTGTAAATACTGCTGAGGGTTGGGCGGTGGTGGTGTCGTTGCCGTCACTCAGCATGTCCCGCAGCGAGTAGACGGTTCCCTTGAGCGAGAAGCGGGCGCTGGCGGGCACATTTTTGACCAAGGCGAAGGGCTGCGACTCGCACGGGTTGGCGATGATGCGGTCGTCCTCGGGACCGGCGACGGGTCGCATCCCGGGTCGGAATCGCCGCGTGAAGAAGTCGTCCCACGAGTGGAAGCCGTAGTTGGGGAGAGATGGGTCGCAGATGAACGCTTCGGCGAAGGAGGCCGGCCGGAAGGTGGTGTTGTGGGCGTGCACGACGACGTCGAGGAGTTCCGTCAGCGCGCCGGCGGATACCCACCCGCCCTTGCCGTTGTGGATGGCCTTGGCGGATTCAGCGGACGCGAGGTACTGGCTCCATTTCTGGAGGATGCCGTAGAAGTGCGCGTTGATGTCCTTGCGGGCGAGGATGTCGGATCCTGTTCGCGTGTTCATGAACCATATCTTTGAGTTGGAAATTAGCAGGTCTGAAGTCCGGCGTTGTTGTTATGGGTAAAAAGAGGGAGACTCACCAGCACTTCATTCATGGGACAGGCAATCACGCAGTTCTGCTCCATCGCCGACGTCCACGAGGGTACCGTCTGGATCACTTGGTCGATGTTGTCGAGCAAGGCACTATAGTCGCGGATGTGGGCAGGCCCAATATGCTTGGATCTGTCCAGAAACTCCTCGGGGATCTCACTGAATGCCGTCGCAAACAGCTCGATCAGCTCTGCGTCGCTCTCGATGTGTCGCCGCAGCGCCTGGACCGTCGGGTCCTGCCGGTGGTCGAGGCAGAACATGCCTGCTTGCTTGCTTTCTCGGTGGCACAAGGTGAAACACTTCTTTGAAACCCTGAAGCGTGGATCAAGAGTGCAATGCAACCGGCTGTTAAAGAAAACCTAAGTCTTGTTGAACTCGTCAACCCATGCTCGCGTTGCTTCAATTCCGCGACTCTCGGCGAGGGAAAGAGTTTTTCTTTGCTTTCAGTAAGTGGTCATCTCCCAGCTTAAGGAATGGGGGCAGAGGAGAAGGGAAATGGCGCCTTTCGTCCTCATGTTGGCGGCACGGTGGTCCAAGTTCAAGGATTCAAGGCGAGAGGAGATATTTCGCTCGCCTTGATCCGCAAGGGATGCAACCCCGATACTCCATTCGTTGGGGTTCGGTGAAGAGGATTGGTTCGGTACTTCGTCATGAGTCGATCAGATCATCAGATGAGGCATGTCAAGCGCAGGAATGCTGCTCCTGAGCGGTAGTTATGTCGCTTGACAAAGGAAGTTTCCAATAAACTCCAATGCCCCCTTGCATGTGCAATTCCTCCAGCCACGCGTATATCTCTCAGTTCCTCGATTGGGCGCGCTTTCCTCGCATCCAGACTGTCTTTGTGCTTGGCAAGGATTGATGAGCATATGCTTGTACGTAATCCGGAGGGGTCAGGTCTTCACTTTGATGCCGTCTGGAGCTTCTGATTTGGTTGCCAGTGTCGATGGGGAAATGGAGGGGATTCAAGGTGTCAGGTCTGGCCTGAGTGGCTGCATTGAACACCCTGACCGCTACTCTGCTATTTTTGCTCGCCTTGCAAAATGTGTCTGTCTGTTCTGGAGTTCGATTTTCGATGGGCTATTGCTTTTTCTCGTTCGAGGGCCGATTCGGCACTTTCGCTGGGGCTAGACTTTCTCCTCACGAGTTAGAGTCTACGCTTCTTTGCAGCTCTGTCTTACCCAGCAGATTTCGACCTGCGAGATTTTCCTTACATTCAATGAGTATGCGGCATATAAGCACTTGAGAAATTTAGTATGGTATATGAGCCACCCCTCCCATGCATACTACGTATCACTTCTGCCCGCGGGTGTCTGTCGAAGTGACCTGGCTGGCTAGGGCCCCCTTTGGACCTATCTTATGCTAACCGCTCACCTACCGCCATCCATATGATTTGTATTGCTAGGGAAAAGCATATGCTTCTGTGATTCTTAAGGTCGTTCAACAGGGCTTAACACTTGCGGGGCGAGTTCTTGCTTGAACGAAGTACCTACATACTGTAGCTACGGTAGCCAGCCGCACTAGGCGGGCCCATCCAACTAGGTCAATAGAACCTGAATTTATTTGAACATTCGTTTGAATTTGTATGTAGCCGCGCCCTCGAACCCTATCTACCTCTACACTTTCATTTTTAAATATCAGGGGAATACGGGATACTACGTGGGTTCGGGGGGTTTTGGCGCAAGGTAACGACTGCTGTGGAGGGAGTCACTCCCACACTGAAAGGATTTCCGCACTATGCAAGCTCACGGCTTGCGGTCGTCTGAGCGGCACGAGCCCATCGAGACTGTCTGTCCCCTCTTCAGTGCACTTGGTTCAAGGTTCAAGGTACTTCTATTCGATGTTTTGCTATTTGGTGAGAGATTGTGGGAGTCTGGCAGCTTGGTCTCGAGTGGGGCAGGTTGTTCGAATAGTGAGCTCCAATTCCTAAGTACAGCACGGTACTTATTCAGAACATTGAGCTCGTTGATCTTTATCCTTTTGTCATCTGACATGAGAAAGCCTTCCTGTTAACTGATATGGCGGATCGGTTCTGGCTTTTGTTGTCACGCTGCGGATGAGTGCGAATGATACACTAGGGCGAATGTAGACCAAGATTTCATTGTTGTTTGAGGATTGTTTACATACTCTCTCTGTACATTTACACTTAATTCATCTTGGCAGGCTCTGTACTGGCATGACAGGAGCTCCACCTCTTCTATCCATGACACCGCATTTCGAAGACACAGATGTCCGCTATTATACCATCATTCACCTGCAGTCCCTGGACGTTGGAATACAGAATATCGTGTAAGAAGAGTGTCAAAGGCATGTCCCATGAAGTCTTGGCTAACAACACATTCAGAAGTTCATCCTCAATGCCACATCACTGGATTTAATCCTTGCCCCTCTGAAATTGTCATAGGCCGTGCTACAAATCCTCGGAATATAAATAATGGCAACCGAATCAAGAAACAAGATATTTTGGGTCCCATCTCAACCACTACCGCAAGAATGAAAGCGAAATGACAACCCCGAGCTAATCCAGCACCCCCCGAATGAGGTTCTTGATGCCCAGATCAACCCTTTTACCCATCTCACTGCTTTGCCGGGCCGACGCCACATGATGCGGTAGAAAAAGAGATATCTGCAAGCCGATCTAATGAAAGATGCTCGCGAAGCTTCGATAATGCCCGAGTCATGTCACAGCAGATCAAATGCAGAACCATGCGACTAGCATGCGACTAGCAGCTAAACTATCTGCATAGATCCGGACGGCTGCGTGTGCTTGACCAAATGAAGCTCGCTAAACGTGCTCACTGGCTCATAGGCCCATTGCCCAGCACTCTGATGGGAAGTGGAAATCAGGGCCTTGGCACAACGCCAGTCAGCGCCCCAGCTCTGAGGCTTCGAGACTCGCACATGCATTGGAGGATTTGCGACAATCGCTGAGGCTCAGATATAGAGAGGTCGTGCATTCTTTTATGGGTAGTGTTCCTATCGACCGGATTCATAAAACAGGGCAGCCAGCATCTTGGATAGTCTTTTCGGACAGGTCCTTGCATCTGTCCGGACGATGAGGATCTGCTGGAGGTAATTCCACTCAGATCGAGGTTGAGAGCAATAATGACGCTCCAAGCACATTGCACACAGTTCAATCTCGTGCTCAGTCTGCGACTGTTGTGGTTCTGCGTCGTCGATAATCTCGCTGCTGAGCAAACTTCTGGTGGCACACGCACGTGGCTACGCCGGTCGATTCGCCGGGTGCAATATCATCAGCAGATACGGGGAGTATAGGTGTTGAAGCTGCATGTTGCTTCTTACCGCGTCATTACGAGATACAGCAAAGTTGTATGGAAGGTCAGAAAGGCTTGACGTGCCCCGCACACTGCCTCGGACAGGACAGGAGGGTTCACATAGATGACGAGAGATGTGGAACCGGGTAGGCCGGTGAGTGAGCTGGCCCAAATTTTGGGGTGAGTGGCTACTAGTGATTGAGATGAAGGACGTAGATCCTAGCCTTGCTAGGTCCTTTTGTGACTGTACCGTGCGCAAGTGAGAAGTACGATGTGCAGTTGCTTTCTGCGTCTTTCAATTGCTTCATTAGGTTATTCATCCGCTCCAAGCCAGCAATAAGAACGTTTGCCTCTCCCCAACGCCTCGCCATTGCCCTCTCCATAAAGAATTTCCCAGTTCAAGAAATCTCTCTCTCCCTTACCGAGCTCCGCCGAGGTGTCGCCCGGCGGCGGAACTTTCGGTGCAATGGTACGACTCCACTTCAGCAAAGCGTTGGCACGCTAGCGAAGAAAACCGGGGAGAAGCAATCTAGGCTTCGCACTTTCAACACGCAGACGGCGACGTAGTCGCGGATGGAGTCGTCGTCTGACCTGGCATCTCACTATAAGTGTGGTGCGGCGAAGGTTGAGCCCACCTGGCGTACGATGAGGCACCGAGGGCGGCCTTTACAGGTCCACGAACAGGCATTTGACAAGTGGGAATCAGAGACATTAGAAGAGGCGTGAGGGTACAAAAGAAGAAGACGGGGTAGGAGAATAGCTCGAACCAGCTTCAGCAGAAGCAATATTGTGGATGAGCTATGTACAGTAAGTGATTAGGGCTTGGGGAGTGGGTGGCGGCAGTCGTACGGAGGATAGAGCCGGCAGCCCGTGCTGTACCTCGTGAGGGAGACCTTACCTGATGTCTTAGACAATTACATCTTCGATCTTAAATTAGACATTAGCAGCGGCAGCATCCGCACACCAGATGTGGTAGGTGGGGAGGCTGTATACAAACAATCCTCTATCCCCATGTCCAGTATGATGTCATGACTTTTGCCCTACCTCAACAACGCCCGCGACAAGCAACTGCTATCGCTCAGCATTGTCTGTTCTAAAATCAGATGCGCGTTTTTCTGCTTACCTGCCAGAGGCTCGAAACTTGTCACTATTATGTAAAACATACCGCACCGATGGATGATGCCCATCAGCATGGTCGACGTGTTCCGCTTTGAGTGTTCGGGATTAGGTTTCAGGCGGTGCATATACGGCGGCGGATGCTGTCAATTCCCCGGACAAAGACGGCGATGGTCGAGATAGAGTTTGCCTTAATAAGCTGTGCATGCAATCAACACGAGGCTCTGCTCGTAATTGACTCAGTTGTGTCCGGGGTAAAAAGCTCAAGCCCTGGCACGAGACTACACTGCCGTTGCTGGTTGATACATGGAACCACCACCGGAGGGCAGTGTGTCGGGTGATAATTTTAGTACCGTACATGGTACTCTCTAGGTTACTACACCAAATCCGGGGCCATTGCCCTGAGCTTTCGTCCAACGAGCCATGGGATTTCTCGGTCTCCCGACCGCAGCCGAGGACTAGCTATGAGGGTTCTGTTGTTGTAGGCCGGCGGAGTAACTACTCTCCCACGGGTCGTGTTGTATAGTTCTATTTTAGGGAAATGTGCTGTATACCCAACTTATACTGCACTGGACAGAGCTTTAGCAGGGCACACCATGTCTATATAAACCTCTCAGACGTCCCTCTCAGCCTGGCATCTATTCTCATCAGCATCAGACAGAGTCAGAGTTCCAAAGCAACAGCATTCTTACTCTCGCTACACTTTACCTTCCAAGTTTTTCTTGATTGCAAAAGATAGACCACTATCACATCAACATGCATTTCCTCTCCGAGTCCACCGTTCTGTTCACCCTTGCTTCCTCCATCTTCGCCGCACCGCTCGCTGTCCGCACGCAGAACGAGGTCCAAATCACCTTCCTCGGCGCCGCAGATGCGCAGTTCACCGAGAGCTTCCCCACCGATGGCTCCACCGTCGCTATCTGTAAGCTGCCTGAAGCCCAGCAAGCATCACCCACCGATCACTAACCAAAATCCAGCCAACCCGCTCAGCATCTCGCACATCGCCTCCAGCACCGCAGGCGTCACCTGCACCTTCATCGGCATCGACCACTCCAGCACGACCGTCAGTGGCGTAGCAACCGTGGACGTGGGCCCCCCTCAGACCCAGACCCAGGGCTCGTGCACCGCCGACGGGGGCTCCGGCTCCACCCCTACCCCGGACCCATCCACCCCGGCCCCGGCCCCCGTTGAGCCCTCAACCCCCAGCACCCCCTCCGGAGGCCAGGGCTCAGCAGTCACAATCACCTTCCAAGGCGCCGCGGATGCGCAATTTTCGCAGTCGTTCCCGCTCGACGGCACCTCGACGGCCATCAGTATGTGATCTTATCCCTGCTTCCAAAGTAGCTCCTTGGCTAACACTGAGGGGAAATAGCCAACCCGCTTAGCATCTCGCACATCGTCTCCAGCACGGGCAATGTGCGCTGCACGTTCAACGGCATCGACCACAGCGTCACCACCGTCAGTGGCGTGCAGACCGTGGATGTCGGACCGCCCCAGACTCAGGTGAATGGGGCTTGCACTGCTGCTTAGGTTGGCTGGTGCATCCGCTTAGCTTAGGGTCCTATATGACGTATGGGCCGGGTAGAGTATCCGTCGTTTATAGCTTAGGCAGATAGGGCTTTCAGGACTGCTGTCGGATCCCTTGTTCATTCTTTGCCTCTCTTTCCTTCTCCTTCTTTCTCTTCATTTTTTATGTTGTTTTGTTTTGTTGAAAGTGGACAGGTTCTAACACTAGCACTGTCTTTCTCTTGCAGCTTTGGTGTCTAATATTCTTCATTCAACAGGGCTAACTAATAAGCATATATTGTATTTATCTAAGGCAGACAAATAAATGAGCGGTTTCATTCCGACGAAAGAATACTTACTTTCCCACTCTAATGCCAGATATTCCCTTGTAGTCCTCTGGTTACGCCACTCTAAGAGGCAGCCAGTCCAAGTTCCAAGAGTCTTGTACCGATGCTTTGAAGTACTGGTGGAGGTCAACATGACCAAGTTAGAGATTTATTCTTCTGAAGGAGCTTTTGAAATGAGGGACACTGGTCTACGTCTACTTATTGTTTGAATATCAAAGAAATTACAAAAGCACGGAGTCTTATTCTAATCAAAGCATATCGATTTCTCGTACTACGATCACTAAAAGACAGTTTTTTGCACCCCCAAGAGCAAGCCATACCACCCACCGAGCAAACCCCAAAGGCTCACTCCACTGACCGAAGATTAGCCTAAGGCATAAGACAGAAATTAAGAAGCATAGTCAAGTCGCGGCGCGCAGCGTCATCATCGCCATCCCAAGCAACATTCACCACGATATCGTCCTGGCCCAGACGGCAGTATCATACAGTGCGAACATGCACAGCAGATGGAGGTGCATGATCGCGAGCGTCAGGCCGTACATCTGCCCGACCACCCAGCCGTTCAGCCCGGGCATGCAGAACACGCACAACAGGAGGCCGAGCACGTCCAGGCACAGGGTGGCGCCGAACCGCGTCGTCCGGTACCCCTGGAGGATCATCTTGAATAGATACTGGTGCCACAGCACCAGCACGATGAGCAGGGCGCCCATCCACTCCATCTCGGTGAGCTGGTCGGTGAAGCGGAACCGCAGCGGCCACTCCGCGTCGTCGTCGCGGGTGGTCAGATACGAGCTGATGTGCGTGGCGTGCAGCGCGTACATGGCGGGCGTCGAGGTCAACATGGACAGCGCGAGAGCGCCGGCCGCGGGCAGGGCGCGGTTGGTCATCCAGCGGAGGATTCCGCCGTGGGTGTGCCATTCTTGCTGGAAGTAGGCGTGCCATTGCGCGACTTCGTGGAGGAAATCGTCGTCGTGGGTGGCGGTTGAGGCGGGCTGGTCGTTGTGGTCGGCGGGATGGTCGCTGTGCTCATCTTCGGTCTGAGTATCGGTGGTTTCGGTCTGAGCGTCAGTCCCAGCATCGTTTGGTTCGTCGACCTGCTCGTCGGCTTGCTCGTCGGCTTGCTCGTCGGCTTGCTCGTCGGCTTGCTCGTTGTCGTGGTCGTTGTCGTGGTCGTCGGTCTGAGGATCAGTTTGAGCATCGTTTGGCTCATCGATTTGCTCGTCCCTATGGTCATCGTTCTGATCCTCGTTCTGAGCATCGCTCTGAGCATCGCTCTGATCTTCATTGTGGTCGTCGCTTGGCTCATCCCTTGGTTCATCAACTTGACCATCAGACAGATCATCATCATGATCCTCTTCGTGATCATCATCAACCTTAGCATCGCAATCAACACCGCAATCAGCATCAAGAATAGACGCAGCACCATCAACATAAACCGGCGCAGCCTTATCAAACTGAGACACAGCCAAACCGCCCACCTGCTCTGAACTGAGAGAAGACATTTTGAGAGATAGTCACGTCACAAGATGTGGAACAAACAACAAGGTTACTTCGAAAGGGTAGATCAAGATGGTGAAACCTCAAGGATGCAGTGACCTGTGAGTGATACACTTTCTCCAGAGAATGATGATTTCCAAGCTTATATAGTGCAGGAACCCCAGGACCATCAATTCCTGACAGTTCATTGAGCCCGATCTTGTTTGTACACCTCCAAAGAGAAGAGCGGAGATCTTCACTCCCGCGGCCTTATATGATTGTATGTCTTAGACTGCAGATTGGAATATTGGCTCCGCTTCTTTCTCTTCGTTTCTTTGCACTTGGACTGTACTTACAAAGCATGTCTTGCTTGTCTATCAAAGGGTTTATCTTGGCTCTAAGCACTGTGGTTAGACGAAGGGGTTTGTTGTGTCGCTGTCAGAGTGGTCCATGATGGGTAGGTAAGCATTCTAGCAACCCTAATTACCACCGCCTCACTTGACAGAGGCATTCACACTCTTCTGGCTTCGGCTTTGAACGTTAATCAAAGTAAACAAAGCAAATTCGCCTCCAGCCCCTATTTACTCGTATCTGAATCCTCACTCCTCTTGTGTAACCCACTAATCCATCCATAATCCTAGCCACTTCCCAGCAGCCAGTTTCTATCACCCTCTGTACTTGGGGGGACGCAGCAGGAAGCTGGATGTCTATCGACTCAGCACAGAGCATGGTAGTGCGTAGAAGACTAGTTCATCGAAGGAATGTAAGCCTCTAGGTAGAGCCATACCCCCGCACCCTTACCCTAAGACTGCCTGGCAGCTTCCTTAGTTTCCGTTCGAGCGTGCAGACAACACAACCACAGGTTACAACCTACGATCCTCCCCCGAAACAAGCTCAAGCTCATACTCATAACAATACTGGATATCTGAAACTAAACCCAAACGAACCACCGTCTATGTACTTTTGACCCACCCCCCTAACCTAATTCTTCATCTTCCCAAACGAAACACACCAATTATTCCAATCCGTGAAGAACGACGGCTGCACATGACACTTGCGACTGAGCAACTGCTTCTTGCGCGTCTCGCCATACACATCCACGACGCCGGCCACATTGCCACGCTCCTGCGCCACCAACACCTTGACCACCAGCAGACTGGCCTGACTGCACGCCGTCGCATGCGCGGGGGGCCCGCTGTGCGTGGCCTCGGTATGCACGGACTTCAGCAGCTCCCACACATTGTCCACATCCTCCACTCCAATAACGGGCAGCGCCGTCGCGCCCTTGCACTGCTTGGTGTACTCGCGCAGGACGGCCGCGGCGCGCGTCGAGATCTGCTTGTTGGCCGACTTGCGGGTCAGGCGCAGCAGCGGCAGCAGCAGATCCAGGGCCAGCAGCTTGGCGTGGCACTTCTTCACGTAGATCTCCAGCAGGTCCAGCACGCGGTTCTTGAAGTGCACCATCGTGGCGCGGGCGTCCTTCTTGTCCTTCTTCTGGCCGAGGGCGTCGCGGCGCGCCCGGAAGACTTTCACGAGCTGCTCGTCCAGCTCCTCCATCTCGTCGTCGTTCATGTCCGCGTCTGAGTCCTCATCCGCTTCGGGCATGTCGGCGCCCAGGCGGTGCGTGCCCAGCGCCGCGGCCAGTTTGGCTTCGAAGATCGCTTCCTCGTCGTCGTTGCCTTCGTCTTCATCACCTGAAAGTTCCTCGTCGGAGGAGGAGGACTCCGAGCCACCGGCACCGGCTTCCACGACCTCGACGTCGCTGTCGAGCTCGTCGTCATCCCCATCCCCGTCAACATCCATCATATCCGCGTCCCCGTCCTCATCCTGCTGGTCAAACATCTCCTGCTGGCCCGCCAGACTCTCCTTGGCCTCCAGGATGGAGGTCAGCGACTCCAGGCCGTTCTCGGTGATGGTCTCGGCGAAGGCCCCGAAGACCTGCTCGCTCATGCGCCGGAAGAGCTGCGACTGCTTGGACGCGAAACTGAGCAGGATCTCGACCAGGGCGTCCGAGGCATCGGAGGTCTTTTCGTCGTCGTCTTCCCCCGCCTCATCCTCTTTCTTGGACTTCTTGGACTTCTTAGACTTCGTCTTCTCCTCGCCGAAGATCTGCGTGTAGCAGAAATCCAACTCCTCCAGCATCGACGCCGCGTCCGCGTCGCCGTTGTACACCTGCAGGATCGTCAACGAGTACAGCAACCGGAACGCGTCAACGCTCGCCGCGTTGTCCTTCTTCTCCTGCACCACAGAGGTTAGCCAGGGCTCACGCACACACAGAGACTGGGGGAAACATACCATACTCGCCAGCTTCTTCAACGACTTGAACGCATTCTTGACCGCACCAGCGATCGTCTCGTCCATGCTGACGATGAACTTGCCGCGCTCCTCGGACTTGGCCAGATCCCGGATCTGGCGGACCACCGCGTAGGGGATGGCGGCGTAGCGGGTGGTGGCGATCAAACTGTTGATGCAGGAGTTGATGCGGCTGCGGAAGAGCTCCTGGGTCTGCTCGGCGAACGCGGGGCTGACGGCCGGGTCCTTGAAGTAGGCGAAGCGGACGAAGATGGAGAGGATCTGCTCGAGGATGCTGTGGGCATCGTCATCGTCCTCGCCCTTGGGGTCCGTGGACGCGCGCGCGCGCACGATGGCCAGGAGCAAGCCGGCCAAGAACTGGCGGCTGGCCGCCGCGGTCTTGCTGTCGTGGGGCCCGCAGGGGGCGGCGATCAGCGACTCGAACAGCGGGACGATCTCCGTCAGGGCCTCGACGTCGGCCTCGACGACGATCTTCTCCACGGTCTTCGTCTTGGTGGCCTGGTCGAAGGTGACCGAGCCGCCGGTGGCGGGGCCCATCAGGCCGCGGACGGCGGCGGCGGCGAAGGCGGGCTCTTTGGCCACGCGCGTCTGCAGGGACTTGGCGGCCTTGACGGCCATACGGTGCAGGTAGCGGTCCTCGACGGCCAGCTGGTTCATGAGGCAGCGCACCAGATTCTTGGTGAACGCCTGGCCCGCGACGGCCCGCGGGCTGTCGGTGATGACCTTGATAAATAGCGAGAATCCCCAGTACTTGCGTTCTTCGGAGGAGGCCGCGGCAAACAATCCATCTAGACGCAAGCGTTAGCTGTGCCTGCGCTCTCTGCTCAATCACCCTTCGAACCACATTCAGAAAAAAAAAACAGGGCCGGGGGGGGGGGGGACATACTATCCACAACCTCGGTCCAGAACTCCGCAAACCCAAGCCTAGACGATTCTCCCTTAGCCTTCGCCTTGGGTACCTGCGCCAACCGGCCCAGAACCACATCCCACGCGAAATGCAACTTGGAATTCCAGACGCCGGAGTTGGCCGCCGCGCCGCCCTTCTTGCCCTCCTCCTCCTCCTGCTGACCGGCACTGGCGCTCGAATTCGACGACGAATCCTTCATCACCTTCCCCAGGGATACGCGCTCCTTGGCATCCAACGGATCCTCATGCTTCCACACCTTGGCCGGGAACTTGGCCGACGGAAAGCCCTCCTTGGCCGCGAGCCAGACCGCGACGCCCTCGGGGGTTTTGGCCAGGTCGTGCGCGCACAGCCGCTCGAGCGCGACCTCCACCAACTTCACCTTCACCTGCTCCTCCTTTGGGGAGGAAGCAAGATCCAGAACACACCGAAACACAATCCAACCACACTCCTCGCGCAGCCACGGCTTCTTCTTCGCCAGCTCGAATACGCGGTCCAGCAGACGGGTCCACTCTGCCCCAGGAGCGGCTTGAAACAGAATCCCGGATTTGATGATCGCCTCGGCGCCAAAGAGCCGCCCGAAGTAGTGATCGCGTTGTTCCTGGCCCGTTCTATCAGCTGGCGCCCTTGCCACTTCAAACCCCCCAAGAAGAGAGAGAAAACAAAAAAAAAACATACCTGCCCCGACTCCCCCCCCGACGAATCCGTCAACCGCTCCCAAACCCCCAACACAGCCCCAACATCCTTCCCCTCTCCAGAAGCAGAGACAGGCGCACCAAAAACCTGCACCAGCACCTCCGTCAACGCAATCGAGAACCCGATCCGCGCCGCCTTGCGACTGCTGCACAGACCGCGGAACAGCCGCGCCAGAGCGCGGTCGATGTGCTCGGCCGTCGGGGCCTGGTCCGGCGTGAACTGCGCGACCAGGGCGGCGGCGGCCTGCAGGCGGACGGCGTCGGTCTCCGAGGCCAGGTCCTCGTAGATCTCGATCTGCTTGCGGTCGACGCTGACCAGGAGGGCCTCGCGGCGCCGTTTTTTGGACGGGGGCGGGCCACCTCCTGTCCTCGTCGCCATTTGTGGGTTGTGGGGGGGAATTGTTTGGGTGTTTTACGGGGTGTACTGTCTGCTCTTGAATTACAATGGTTCAGATAGGTGATAAGTAGATAATGGAAGTTTAGAAAGGGACTTGCGGTGGGGGTTCATACAGCCTGGATGTGGTTCGTTGGTGTTGCACGCATAAAAAATTTGATATGATGGCCGGGCGCTCTTCGTCCCAAATCGGGTTAGTGCAATCTCCGCTGCAAGAGACTAACGCAATGCGGTCGCAGCAGTCAGTGGTTGGTCCGGCTAGCCTCAGGCTGCGAACTTATCCACTGCCCCTACTATGACTATGAGCATGCATCCTACTCGAACTACCAAGCTTTTCGAAATTATGAGCATAGATAAAGATAATCTTCAATCTCCTATCAATACTCTACTCTTACCACCGGGGACCTGCCCCCCCCCCCCCCCCCCCCCCAACTAGACTACCACTACTTCAATCCAAATCCCTCACTGTTCAACACCGCATCCCAGAGCACCCGTTCCAGCTTCTCCCGCGTCTCATACCGATACAACCCCAACTGATTGAAGCAGGTCCGCGCCGTCGGGAACCGGGACGTGTCATCCCCTAAGCACCCCAGCCGAATACTCAGACTCGTCGCCCCCATCGCTGGGATGCGGTCACTGCCCGTGATAAACGACAGGATCTTCCGCTGCGACTGCGGCGCCGCCTGCCCGAAGATCTCCCAGAACCACCGCACCACAGGCACCGTTTCCGGCCGCGGCACAGACCAGTTCTCGTACGTGGCCACCGCCCGGAGCGAGGCCACGTCCAGCGGCTCATCCGAGCCTCGCACCAACAGCTCGATCTCCTCCGGCCGGAACAAGGACAGCGCGTTGCCGCCGCACACCGTGAAGAACCCCCGCTTGAAGGGCTCAAACTGCCGCGTCACCGCCGTGTCCAGCAGGTGTTGTACGTACAGATCCACAAACTCCCGCCGGTTGGCGTTCGTCACCGGTCGGTCCTCGCCGCCCGCACACAGGGGCACCGGCACCACCTCACCATACCGGTCGACCTGCGCGACAAAGTCGTAGCAGAAGGTCTCCGCCACGTCCCCTTCGAAATCCAACAATGCCCGGAGCCCTTTCGCGAGCTGGGGTCGAAACTCCGCCAAGTCGTCCAGGCTAGCTTTGTACACCGATCGGCTGGTCGACCACTGCGGGGCCGCAGCCAGGAGCTTCTTGAAAGCGAACGGTGGGAGAGCAATGTCGAGAATGGTCGAGTTGTAGATGGCTAATCCCAGAAGGACCCCGACTAAGAAGAACTGTTCCGACGACTCGAAGCAGTACGGGTTGAAGTAGCAATATCGTGAGTCTTCGTCATAAACGAACAGCCCTGCGACGTTCAAGTTAGTGATTGGTCGCTTCCAACAAATCCAGAAGGCTGAGCATACCATGGTGGGGATCGAAGACTTCCCGGACGAGCAGCAAGAACCATTCTTTCCGCAGACCACCCGCGTCCACTCCCTCTTCACCGACAAACTCGATCCGCAGCCCCTTCTTGATCTCCTCGTGGCTGGATCCAACGACCTCACTAACCCTCCGAAGGCTGTCCTCCACCAGACAATCACGCCGCACCTTCAGCACAAAATACTGACTGATCGCCTTCCGGCTGAGGATACTATTGAAGAACGCCTCTCGCGCCTTGACCTCCATCTGACGACGAGCATCATGCTCCAGGATATGGATCTTGGCCCAGATGCTCAGGAAGAAAGGATACTGGCAGAACGAAAACTTGCTCGACTTGGACTCCCAGGCCTCAAAGTCCGCCACAAGGTCGGAATAATCCAGCAGCGTGTTGTAGAAGGAGCTGATCGGTACTATGTGGCCCCGTCGGTCACTCGGCGATCGACCAACCGTCGTAGTCCCTGGTCCATCTGGCTTGCGAGACACCGTGGCATTGTTGGCCGTAAAAAGCAGCGACATCACCCGTGCAGCAGCCCGGATCTGCCAGTCATCAGTATAGACCACCGGCTGGTCCCGGTCGTCCTTGGCCGACTTGTTCGGGCTCCTGCCGTTGATGGCGGCATGCAGCTCGGCGGGTGTGTTTCCAGCCGCGCTGGAGAAGCTGGGTATTAGACTATCTTCCGGCTGCGCGGTCTCGCTGCGTTTCCGCCCATGCTGCCGAGTCAGACGATACGTCACAAAACTACCCACAATATCCACAATTTTCTCGAATTGTCCCGTGGGAAAGCGTGAGAACCAAGAAACCAAGTAATGGTGACAGTCGTTTGGCAGATTGGCAAGCAGACCCATGATTCGTTTGACAATGCCGGGATGATGCCCGGGCCCTGCGCTTCGCAGTCGAGTGGAAGGTTTGATATCTCGAGGAGCGGGTCGTGGGTTGCCGAGGACGGGATGGGAAGGCCTCCTATCACCCCGAGGGGCAGAGGGGGCCAGTGTGTACGAAGCCAAGGACGAATTAGAGGGATGAATCAATGGATTCACCAAGAGCATCAGGAGAAATCTGATGTCTTCTGGCTTTTTGAGTGGTCGTCGCGGCCGTTTGAGGAGATTCTCCGTCGCCTTGAGCAGTGTTCGATGCAGGTGCAAGCGCGACTCGACCACCTCCTTCTCAACCATAGCTAAATCAGTAGCATCCCACCTCTGAGCAGCCACAATGTCACCATCCGTACGTAGTTCGGCTGGCTTCATCGTGGACCACAGCTCAACCCAGGAAGAACCGGCAGTCATGATCATGTGGTACCATTTCGCAAGCTCCGCCCAGTCTATACGGGGGCTCCGCGAGGACACGGCTCTCGAACCAGAGGATTTCTCCCGATGGTCTTTGGAATGAGATTGAACGGTAGGATCCACCTCGTTCATCCACCAGGATGAATTTTCTGCTATGTCGCCCAGGAGGAGGAGCTTAGCATCCGGCTCAAATACATGTTCCGCGGGCGCGGGCGCCGCGCTAGTACTCTTGTTCTCTCTCTGCCTGGGGGGAGTGCTATTATCGGTGGAGCGAGGCGCGTGCTGTACTGTGGTGAACGAGCTATTCAAGCAATCACAGCCCTTGAATGAATTTATTATGTAGTCTTCCAGCAGCCTAAAGATATACGGGCGGCGCGGCAGTTCCTTTGCGTCCGACGTGTTCCCCTGGCCAGCCTCTCGAGGCGAGCGATCTCGCCGGGGCATAGTTTGCGTGTCTCGACTCTTCATCGGCGAGCTCTTCCCTTCTCCGTGGGAGGAGTAAGGACTCAGATTAGGCTTCGAGAAGTTGGGCGGACCATCCAGCTTGCCTGGCCTCCTGGAATTCGAGTAAGCCCGCCCGCGCGAGTCGCCGGTCGCTCGAGGATCACACAAGTACTCGCCGGTCTGGCCGGGCGAGTGAGCCAGATTTTCATCCTGCGCGATATCCTGGGACTTCTCCGGCTGGATCCTCGTTGGTGTCGCTCGCGGTCCGGTTTCGTATAGGAGTTGCCGAAGGTACTCCGTCATGCAGTCGTCCAGCAACGCCTTCGTCCGGTCGAGAGACAGTGGTACTGCTGCAAGGAAACGCCAGTCAGCTAGCTGCATCAATCACAGGCCGGAGCCCGATCAACAAATATACCTTTCCGTAAAACCATGGGGGTGCGAGGCTTTCCATCGACGCCCGAATTGCCGTGACCCCCGGGTTTGGCCGCATCCACGTACGGCTCCAAATCGTTGACCGTCAAGCATTCCGTGCACCGAAACACCTTCAGATCGCGGGGCCACCGCACGGTGCAGTTGCAGGCCATACATTTCCCTGAGGCCATCGCGCCGTGCTGCGGGGGTCGGTTGCGGGGGGACGATGAGCTCGGGTCGGGCACGTAGCCTATGAAGTCGTCGTCGTCCGAATCCAGACCCGGTCGACCATTCTTCTTCTTCGCGATCGAGGGACGCCGTTTGCCCACGGCGGCGGCGAACGGCGAGGGGAAAGGGTGGCTGATAGAACGGGAGTGGCCGCGCCGGGTTGGGGGTGAAGTAGCTGTAAGTCCCGTCATGGCGAACAGGTCGGGCGCATCTTGGACGATCTCGGCAGGTGCGCTCCTCTCGTCATTCGCGTGGAAGGAGGCCAGGGATGGATGGGGATGGCCAGCGGCTGGAGTGAGTGACGGGTTACGTAGGAACCGCGACGGCATAGGGGCGCATTGGTTTAGGGGCGGTGATCCGTAACGACCTTGAAATGGCGGGATACAACGGCGTTTGGGATTCAAGCAGGTGAGATTTAGGGACTCTTATCGTCGGAGGATTGACTGCAGTAGGATTTCAGGGGATGGACGGCGGAGGAAGTGACTCGTGCACAAGCGAGACGGCAACGAGGGACGATCCTGCCGCAAGGCCGTTCTTTAATCCAGGATCAACCGGGGTAATTTTGCCGAAGGCACGAAGAGGCAAGTAAGGACTAAGAAGATTTGACAAGAAACCCTGGTTAGGTATCCCAAGTTGGCGGAGATGAGATGAGGTAAGGCTGAGCGAGAGGAAGCCTGAACCGGTTGTAGTTATGGAGTAGTAGGATATATGTAACGTGAGGGGGAGGGGGGGGGGATGTAACGTGAGCATGTACAGTACAAGTAGTTACAAGGAAAGGGACAAAACAGGACCACCACCAGGCGAGCACAACCGGTGTGATGGGTTGGTAGTAGGGGGAGGAAAAGGAAGGACAAGAACAAGAATAAGAAAAAGGAGTTATCTCGAAATATGCTTTTGATTGTGAGAAAGGAGAGGGAGGGAGGAGGGGGGAGGGGGAAAGGAGGGGAGAGAGAGAGGGGGGGGGGGAAGTCGCAAGAGGATGCGCAAGCCATAATAAAGAGACCACAGTCAAGACCTGGGTTGCCTAAGGACCTCAGGCTTCCCCGCTTGGCAATGAGCCACTGCAGTGACCATAGCACCGTACGGTAACCGTACCTTAACAAACCAGGAACCATTCCATTTTCAATTACTCTGTCTGTCAGTGCTACCTTCAGCTTCGCTATCCACTAACCCTCCTTCTGGATCATCTACGACCCTACAATCCGTGACGTCTATGACATGAATAGACTCAGTCATCAGTCAGTCCGTCCGTCCTGCTTTAGGCGCCGGAACGGGGGTTCCAGTTTCAACTTTCCAGCCGCGGATACTGTACGTACCTAGCACTGAACTGTACTATTTTTACCTACATTTTGTCTTGTCGATGGACAAAACAAGACTTTCGGGAACTAAACCAGCTTCTTGGAATCGGGGGCTACGTAGTTCCAGCTTTCCAGCTGTCCGATGGGGCAAGCTCGCATCCTGCAATGGAAGCGCGCCCGTAAGTCGCCGTACATGTCTTAGACCTGTCCATCAGCTTGGCTGACCTGACCCTTTTTTACGAACCAACACGGGATGCGATGGGGACGATTTGCCTCATGGAAACGACTTTCACGACCATTTCGTAGTGGTCTGGGGCGAGAGAGAGACTGGTGTCGGTTCTATCTCTATTTGTGTACTGTATATATCCCCAAGGGGTCAATTTGCAGGCACCAATGGCAAGGGCTGGCTGGCTTGGTCTTCGTAATATCGGTTCTTATGCATGTGTCGAGAGGATGCCCAGGCCAGGGCACAGGACAAGGCCTCGGTGAATAGCGAGAGGACCTCACCCGATACATTCCGTAGCAGGCTAGCTTGATGATGTATGAAGTGATGACCGTCGATGAGACCATCGCAATGAAATCATGGTGGCCGGTTTCTGACACTTGGTGGGGTGGGGTGCACAGCCATTCTCTCCGGTATGTAGATCCATGGCCTAACCCTCCTAGACGTAGTTCTTGCAATTTCGAGTCTCTCCGTAGAGTTCTTCTCCATAGCTGATGGGTCACCAAGAGACTGCGGAGGGAGTAACATGCAAGACAATGTCGCTAAGGACTAGATCGAATACCACGGATTGCGGATGCTAATGCAAGTACTTCAAACTAGCCAATAGAGGCAGCCATGCCAATCTACAACCCGGAAACTACAAAATCTACACTACGAACCCGCCAGCTTTCACAAAGAAAAAAACAAGATATAACACAAAAGAAAAAAAAAAAAAAAAGCATACTTCGTTAGGGGGAATAAAAAAAAACCGATGAAACCGAGAAGGAAGAAAAATTTTTGCTAACATCCGATCATTGAAGATCCGTTGCATTATGCTCGCACCACGACAGTCGAAAGACCTGCACACAGAAACGAGTTTTTGTATCGGAGTAAACACATCCACAAGCATTCCAGCATGCGTTTTCCATTTCCAACACTCCCCTCCACACCACCGCTCAGCAGCCCCGGGGCTACATTTAACGGTAACGCCAGTAGCTCTGGGTGTTCTGGAGCTTCCAGGTGTGGCGGCGGCCAGCCTTGGTGTTGTTGTAGCGGTGGCCCTTGTTGATACCACGGGACTTCTTGCCGGTGGCGGTAAGACCACGGGACTCGCGGTGCTGGCGATGGGGTTAGTATCGGACTGAATGCTCGGGACGAGGGCCAAACCAACCTTGTGGACGGGGTTGCAGATCCAGTTGATGCGGGCATCGCGGCGGATAGCCTTGTGCTGGGGGTCGACGAGGATGACCTCGAAGTACTTGTAGGTGGAGTCCTGGTTGATCCAGTAGGAGTTCAGGACGCGCAAGTTAGCGCAGCGGCGGCCAACACGCTCCTCAGCGGTAGCACGGAGAGCGCGCTGGTACTTGAGCTGGTTAACACCCTGGTTGGTGGGCTTGCCTGTACATCCCTTGAATTAGCTACGTCTTCTCGAAAAGTCTCCATTCATGGGAGGGGGAAGGAAAGAGCATACCGTAGGTGGCACCCTTGGGGACGGGGCGCTTGCGGCCACCGCGTCTCACGCGGATACGGTAGACAACATAGCCCTGCTTGGCCTTGTAGCCGAGACGACGAGCCTTGTCGGGGCGAGAAGGACGGGAAGCACGGTGGATGGCGTTCAGTTGACGGAGCTATATTGATGCACTCTCAGCAAAGTTCAACGAGTGTATAGCAAGACACACAGAGGCTCCTGGAACCCTCCTGGTTGTGCCACATCCATCATCCGCCGGCGATGAGAAGAAATTTCTTTCGGTGGGTCGTCTTTTTTCGAGCCGCCCAGCAAAAACACTCGTGAAGTGTATTCCTATGGCATAGCATACGAGCGAAAACCACCCTCCGGCGGGGAGATGTTAAATCGACGACATTTGGGGGGGAATTCTCACCTCCCAGCAACGGACACGCAGCAGGAAGCGGATCACGTCGGACTGCTTCTTCTTCTGGATCTCTTCCACGTACTTGAGGGCACCCATCTGAACGGTGAAAATTCGTTAGTTTGGAGTTTTTTTGGTGTATCGATGCGATTCAGACGGTTGCGATGGGATTGCGGGCGAGATTGGAGGCCGTAACGTACCTTGTCGGCGTGGCAGGTCGTCGATTGTCGTCGTTGTCACGAGTGAGAAGTTCGAGAAGCAAGATCTCTTCAACCGTTCAGCGACCTTGTGTGTGGGACGCTAGGAAATTAGGCGAGCCCCACCCGGGCCAATGAAGTGGTGGGTGGCTTTGAAGCCTGAGGCAGAGATAAGATCACGGGATTGCTGAAATTTCGCTTCGCCTCAGGCAACAAGGCACGCATCTAGCCCACCTTCTGGGGCGGACTGGGTGATTTGCAGTAACATTAACCATTAACCATTAACCACTAACTACCCTCCTGTCTACCTGAATCACAAATAAGTAAACTTAACTCTGCGAGAAACTAAACATTAGATGAACAAGTGATCAATTTACCAGATCCAATCTAATATGGCACTCTCAATACTCAGCCATTGTCAATCGAACCATATCCTCAACATCATAGCCTGCAATAAGTCAATTTCTTAGCAAGTTGACAAATCAGCGGGCCAGGAAGGTCCGACAATTGCATCTGAATACATCAACCCGACTTCAAAATCCTAACCCCCTGAACTTTTCCCATCTCAAAGAGTTGTATCAAGTTTATTCACTGTCTTTGCTCGCTACAAAGTATTCCATAATCTCGTAGCTCGTCCACGCAACTTATCGTCTCTGACTCCCTTCTGTACTGTGATCTAGATTTGGTATATATTTGCCGCTACTAATAGCGGCAAATAGAGAATTCAAGTCACATTCTGCAATTTGACTTTGAAATCAAACTTTGCATCTTAGCTAGATCGAGTCCAGATAAAACAACCTGAAGATGAATTAGTGGAAGCTATTGTATATTCTCACTACCCCGGGAGGCATGCATTTATAGATCGATTGATATCCCAATCCACCCTCCAAGGAAAAGAACACCCCATAATACTCATAATTCATAACATTGACCCTCTCCCATCCACACTAAACATCCAACACCCCCCAAAAAGACCGCTAATACCCCCACAAATCCCCACCCCCCTTCACCATATCATCCTCCCTCAGCACATGCAACCCCGTCTCCCTCCCCTCCTTCCGCCGCTGCCGCTTCGTGACCATCCGACTCGGCGTTAGCGGCGTCACGGGCGTGAACGGCATGTAGGGGCTATACGGGGTGGGGATGCCCGTCCGCGGGGCCCCATGGGGTTTGACGGGCCGCTCGAGGACGGTCAGCTTGGTGGCCGGCGCGCTCTGCAGCGGGTAGGCGTCGCGGAGGGGCAGGCTGCGTCCGGCTGCGGGTCCGCCATCGAGGCCTGCTGCGCCTGCGGCTGCTGGACTGAGGGGCTTGGTCAGTGTGAGTGGGGGAGGGGCGTTGCGGGCTGGTTTGCGGGGGTTCGTTGCGTCGAGGTATTCAGGATTAGTGGAAGAGAGGATTCCTCGTGGCGTGGGGAGGGGCGGGAGACCGGTCTGGGATTGCGGGAGGTCGTCTGTGTTGTAAGGGTCTGGATGCTGGTACTGGTACTCTTGTTGCTGCGGTGGTGGTGGGTGGGTGAATTGTCTCCGTGCGCCGGGTCTTTGTGCACCGCCGACATGCATCTGCGCCGGCAACGGCGGAACTGGCGGCGGCGCTGGGTGATAGATCCTCGGCGTTAGCGGCGAATGCGCGTACGGATCGTCCTCGTCCTCGTTCTCTCGCGCAGCGTGATTCCGCGGCGAGGTGATCGGTGAGGAGATCGACATCTTCCGCAGGGGCAGCCCCAGACGCGGCGAGCGGAGTCCCAGTCCCCGTCCGCTGGCTCCCTTGGGAGAGGAGACAGTTGCAGCACTGGGGTTGGCGAGCGAGGTCGACGACTGGTCGCGACTGCTCGAGAAAAGCGACAATGAGGAAGAGATCCTCGACAGTCGAGACGGCGTGCGAGGCGAAGTCGGCACCTGCGCGGGCGCCACCGGCGGGTCGATGAACGGGTTGCTGTTCACTGTATCCGTGGGCGAGACGTTGCGGTCTTGCGGGCTGCTGCTGCCGCCGCCGTTGGCTGCCTTAATCTCGTCGTGCTCCATCACGGCCGCATACAGCATCTCCAGGTCTTCCTGGGCTTTGCGGCGGTCGGAGGCGACGACGCCGTCGTCGAAGGTCGCCAGACTGATGCTGCTGCTCGGGTTGGAGAGCTGGGACTGCGACTTCTTGTGCGAGCCGCTGTGTTTGCTGAAGGTGCTCCAGGAGCGGTTGTTGTTGTTGCTGTGACGAGTACCGGTGTTGGTGGTATATCCGGGCATCGGGGGGATTGGGCCAGGCCCAATCCCCCCGGGACTGGGGAGGTGGACACTGATCGGGGTGACGGGGCTGGGGTCCATGCTGGGGGGTGGTTTCATGGGTTGCATCATTTGGACTTGGAGGGAGAAGTTGGAGGAGAGGACGGCGCGGCGCAGACGGCGTCCGACGACGAGGAGGAGACTCAGCAAGAAGATGACGCTGAAGAGATAGGCGGCGATGATTCCGCCGATCTGGACGGCAAGCAGTGGTTCGTCGAGGGTGAAGGTGGTGGTGTCTCGCTCGGAGACAGGTGATGCTGAACCAGCAGCGGTTGTTGAGAAGAAAGAGAGACAAAGAAAGAAGACGAGACTGCCAGTACTGGAGATCATTCTTCGCCTCCTTAAGTCAACCCGGAACGGAGCTGAGTGTCTATTTGAATATCACAGATCAAGCGGTGGAGGGGAAGGTGATGGATCATGTATCGACCATCTTCATGTAGAGTGATGTGAAGAACAGAAACACAAAGTCGGGACTGAGACCGCCCATCATGTTTGAGATATGACAGGGAACAGGCGATACCCTTTATTCAATGACCGTCCCGAGTGATTGGATGTGATGGCGTGAAGAATTGGAGGAGGAGGAGCAGTGCCAAGGGGTGATGGTGATGGGAATGAGGGCAATCCCCCGCTATCGTTGGCCGCATACGCGCCCGCCCTGCAGGCCCCGGCACATTTAGCATTTAGTGACCAGCTAGTCACATTCGGCGCGTGAGCGGGGAATTGACTGGCCATGATGGCCATGCAGCTATTTTCTGTAAACTTTCAGATGCCGTGTCGGTCTGTGCAGATGCCCTGTCACGATCAGGAACTGAAACTCCGGGTTCTATTTTGGCGGGAGACGTTAAAGAGTGGCCCCCTAAACAAGGATGAGTGATGGGCAATCGGTGAAAGCTTAATCGGTCAAGAAGTCGCAGACTGGTAATGGCCCACGACGGCAGAAAACAGCGGTAGGTCTACATTTCATTAAGATATTGAGTTCGTTATGCTCTCGCGTTCCCGGTTTCATTACTAGGTAGCTAGATAGGTCGTAAATAGGTAGGCAGAATCTACCTTGTCGTAGACATTGATCAGGTATCGTGAAGAACCTCTCCTCGTGTATCGTTTCTTTTGGGGGACGCATCCATCATGAAGCACACTCCTAGGTAGCAGGACTCTCCCATGAGTCCCGCTTGATCTTCATCAAAGCCGACTGCTTGTGCGGGAACGTCACCTCCCCTTCCTTGTAGAAGCCCGCTCGGTGTAGGTATCCAATAAGCCTATATCAATCATGTTAGCTGAATGCCTCTGTGAAGCAGGCGAGAGCAACCCTACTTTTTATTGTCCACTCTGGGCTCCAATATCACCGTCTGCGTCCGTGGATCTGCCAAGAAGCAATAATGCACCAAGGCACTCAACCAGACCCCCACACGATGTGGCCCGCGAAACTCCTGCTCTCCCACCAATACATGCAGACCCCGATCATAGTTGTCCACACCCCCGGGGGCCAACGGCCCCAGCCGGTCTTCCTTGACCCAGTAGATCTCGAAGTAGCCGAACGGCTTACCGTCCCAGCATCCGATAACGGGGAAACTGTGGCGACTTCGGAGATTGTTGCGCAGAAACTCCTCTTGGTGACTGGCCGGGCCTGCCTCGCCCCAAGCGACGTTGACTCGCGGCTCGTTCATCCATTTGTGTAGCAAGTCGACATCGGAAGGCCCTGGCACAGGGGTCACCGGTTGGTCGATGCTACTGTTAGATGAAGTGTGAGCATGCTTGGCCCCGAATTGGTCGGCAGCGGAGGGCCCCAAATATGGTACGCGGAACGACAGGTACTGCTGTAGGCTGGGAATGTAGCGAATATAGAACACATCACCCTGGTGCGGGGGTTTGGGACGGATGGGATGGCGGATCCCGTTGGTGAAGGTGTACTGTGTCGGGGCGGGAGGGAAGTAGGTGGGGAGATGGCTGGTCGAAGCAAACGGGCCCTCGTTCGGGGTATAGTGGGCGGTCTCCTGCCCTGCCGGAGTATTGAGGTACATACTCGCGCGCGACGGCGATGCGACCCGCTGGATGAAGGGCGAGCCCGATATCGCCGGCGGGATATTCATCTGGGGAGTCAGCGTGAACACGAACAGCCTGGGGTCGATCTGCCAGAAGCTGCGCCGGCTCACGAACATACGCGCCCACGCCTCGGGGTTGTAGGGTTCGGTCCCGACCGACGAGTCCTCCGAGGCGATCAGACCCATGCGCTCGAGCTTCTGCAGCAATGTGCGACCCTTGAAGAACCCTTCGCGCCGGATGGAGATCCGCCAGTCGCCCTGGGGCCGGCCCGTGGTAGGAGTTTTGGCGCTGGCCTCGGTGGTCAAGTAACGCTCGGGCTCGGGTTCGTGGAAGTACCACCACAGCGTCACCCAGAGCATCATGGCGATCTGGCGCGTGGGCGAGCTGACCGGCTTGTACTCACTACTGGGTGGGTCGACAATGTACGAGATGTAGAGCGAGTCATTGCGCAAGGTGGGGGAAGTGAATCGGGTGTGCACCAGCTCCTCCGGCGATTGTCGCTCCCGGCCGCGATGCTCCTCCGATCCATCGATCATTGTCGAATCCGCATTCTCGACGGGTTTGCTGGTGTTCAGAACGATGCTCCAGCCGGGGAGGACCACATGGTGGCTCTGTTGACCGTCGTTCGACTTGAAGCTAACCCCGCCAAAGACGGGTGACACAGTGAAGGTCTGCCCGTTGGGCAGATGGCACATGCGATTGCGCATCTTGAGAAGCCCGTAGGAAGCAGCGACCTACATACAGAGAATGAAGAAGATCTGGGTCAAGAAGGGAGGACGAGAAGGAAGGGAAATTTAAAAGGTAAATAAAATACAAGCACGAGACTGAGGGGAAACTAAGGCAGACGGACGGTGGGATGATGCGTCGCTGCCCCTCCCCCCGCCTGGCGATCGCGCCGTCGTCGGTGAACGGCCGCTATCAGCCTCGCAGGCGTGTTTTGACCCCAACACTGCGATTCCCAATCAGGGTTGCTGGCAATCGCTCTGCGACATGGTCCAGCCTGGAGAGAAGACACCGTGCATTAGAGGACACGGCAGTGAGAAGTCAAGTCGAGTCGTGAGGATGGATTGAAGCCGGAGAGGGCGGAGAGAGGGGAAGAGAGAGAGAATGTCTCTCGGAGAATGAGTCGAGACGATAAGAAACGACTGGGTTGGTTGATGTCATCGGCCGGATTCTGGATTACAGCCTTCGTTACCGCCCACGGCTCCAAAATTACGGCTCTAACCGCATTGACCAGCCAGATGGAGGACTGTGTCTCCCTCCGCCGTATGACAAGCAGCGCATTACCAATCTTCTCCTCCATCTCTCCACTCCCGGGCTGGATATCAGTTCTTCGCTCGAGTATTGCCCTGTAAAGAGCCTAAAAAGAGCCTAAAAAAGTCTGCTCACCACTTCTTCTGGACTCCATCTGCAAGGCATCGACCAGTAGAACACATTGTATTGTCAACATGAAAAGTGTAATCGCTACCTAATTAATAATATGAAACAGAAGAAGGGGAAGCAAGGCCTAGGTAGGTCTCGCAAGGTAGGTCTCGCAAGGTAGGTCTCGCAAAGTAGTGCCCAAGAAGTACAAGTCCGAAGGGCGCTCGGAGAGGTCAAGGTTCACAGAAGCCGAACCAACGCAGTAGCGAGGCCGAATCGAAGACAAGGAAGAAAAACGAGATACAGAAATGCGAAGAAAGAAAAAACAAACAAACAAACAAACCCACAAACAATGCAAGTCATCATTGGATATCATTTCGCTAGAATTCCGCAATCGTCGTACCAATATTCTTCTCACGTGCCAGTTGGATCAAATCTCCACCAGTCACCAAGTCCATCAATCCCATCCCCACGCTCTTGAAAATCACATTGCCCCGTTCTACCCACTCGCGCAGACTCTTGTGGTCATCGCTGTCAGCGTCACCGTGCGAGGATTCGCGCACAATCAGCAGTTCACCCAGTTCGACCACCTGGTGCGGCTTGATCCCCGCTTGGACGATCTCGCCGGCCTCCTTGAGAGCGGCGTCGAGACTGTCGACCACCACGACCCCGCTGCGCTTGATATGCTTGTGGAAGTGACGATGGCCCGGAGTGTGCACGCTCACTTCATCGCGGAGCAGATCCGGCGGGAGTTCCGTCATGTGTGGTTTATACGATCCAATCGCGCTGATCAGCCGACCCTTCTGGCGGCCTTCACGGGCCGTCAGGATCTCGGCGGGGAACAGCGGATCAACGGCCGGGGTGCAGCAGAAGATCGCGTCGGCTTTCCGCAACGCGTCATGCAGGATGCGGGGGTACTCCACAAAGTCGGAGCTGACGGCGGAGAATTTCACATCCCCGCGCCAGCTCGAGTTCTCCGGGGAGTAGATGTCCCGGAGCAGCTGCGCCGCTCGGTCGAACGATCGATTGATGATGTAGACCCGCTTGACGTCCGCGCTACGGAGGACCAGCGCTAGCCGGATGTGCCAGTATGCCTGCTTCCCCGCCCCGAACACCACAATGGTCCGCACCCGCTTGCGCTTGTTGAGCGTCATGAGGGAGGTCAGCGCGGTCCGGAAGGGCGTCAATTCGTGTGCGTTGATCAATCCAAAGGGCAGACTGTTGCCGTCCAGCAGCGTGACGCTTCCCTGGGGCGAAGTATCTCGGCTGCCCGCACTGGGCCAGGCCCCCATCGTCTTCGATAAGCCGCCTGCGACCGGTTGTTGGTTGACGCAGCCCGCCGCCAGCGACTTGCTGCTACTACTGCCACTGCCACTGCCACCGCTGTTCGTCATGGTCAAGGAGTTGCTGGTTGAGGTGCCTTCTTGCGAGGAAAGGGAGAGTTCGCTGACGTCGGAGGCAATGGAGGCCAGGGATTTGCGCTTATCGATTTGAGCCACGCCGGTTCGATCGCTCGGGGAGATTTTTGACGCGGCGTCGACGGTGCAGCCCACCTGGGAATTCTTGTCTTGTAGCGAAATCACCTTCATGCCTAGCGTGGGGCCCGTGCTTGCGGGCATGAACACGGTGGTGCAGCCATCGGGCCGAGTGATAGCCGTCCGTTGAGGTTGGTAAGTGGCGGCACACCCTTTCTCTTGACTGCCGGTCGAATAGTCACGAAGCGCACGGGCAAGGTTCTCCTGGAGGGAGACAATCTGGTCGCGGGAGAGCGAGAGGAGAAGGGAACGGAGTTGCTCTTGGGAGAGGATGGTGAGAGGCATAGTGAGTGTGAGTCAAGAATGTCGTCTGATAAGATAAGGAGTCTTGGGTCGAGAAAGCGAGAACAAAGGAAGGGAGGAAAGGAGGGGAGGAGGAGAAGTTGGAGTGAGTCGAAAAGAGAGATAGAGAGTTGGGCTTATAGTTGTGGACGGAGTAAATAGTTTGCAAGGATTATGGTAGAGAGGGGGGGGGAGGGATTCGTGAAGGGGAGCGGGAAGGATGGGAAGTGGAGGGGGAGGATGGAAGGAGGAGGAGGGGAGGGGAGAAGAAGGAAGATAATCAAAGCACCATGTTGACACCGGCCCGGAAGCGGATTGGATTGGGTCAGCCTTCAGCCCTTTGACTCGGCGGACGCAGGCGATGACGCCAGCCCAGCTGCTCGGCGCTCCACCTCCGGCTTCGGTGATTGGCGTGTATCAAGCCGATCCGAGGAGGGCTCGAGCGTGGAGACACTGATGCTCAAAGATACTCGTCCATAGATTATTCAGTATAAGATAGAATGTCAGTTCCATTGATTCCATTGACCTTATCTTCTACTTCTCTGATCACATGGTCGCAGAACATGGCCGAGGGAGGAAGAAAACCACTGCGGACTGTTATCTCTTGAGGAAGACATCTCCGAGTGCCCCAGATGCCCGCCAAGCCGATCCGACCCCGGGTCTCTTGGCCGGTCTCGGTCGGGCCCGTGTTCATTGGCCCGCGCTGTGCTATTTCCGGCCACCCTCCATGGTTGAAGTGCCTTGGCGAGGGCAACTCGGTGGGAAAAAGTACGAGCTGCCAAAACAGGCACAGCCACAAATAGCCGCTTTCGGGAGCTTCATTATTGATCCGTGATCCATTATCTTCTTGACTAAACAGCTAGGTATACCGTCAAACTAACTTACTTACTCCATAACTGATTCCAACCAGAGTATATATCCATCCGGCCCTGCGTTTCCATTCTGAAACACCAAATTCCAAAATAAATAATCCCCCCCCCTCCCTCCCAAAAAAAAGTACTTGCCAGAACCTCTTATTCCAGAATGAAAAAATACAACCTCCAAGAGCAGAAACACGATCAACGCCAGCGGAATGCAGAAGGTAAAGAGTGTCAGGGTATTGAAAGATCGTTCGTGACGGGGGTAAGTGAGCAGCAGACCCCTCAAGTGCTTTTTGCAAATCAATCATCGGAACAAAACATTAAGACATCATCATATAACAGAGGAGGAGGAACCATCGAGACCAGCTCAATGATATCTAAGTTTAGTGTCGACGACCGCCCATGTACGACCCCGCGGCCGTGGCGAGAAAGCGCGCCACGAACCCATGACCGCCAGCGGCGACCGGGTGGGCGGGGCCGTGGGGATGAGCTGCGTGTCCAGAATAACCGAGACGCATCTTCTTGCTGGGCTGCGCGGGCGGCAGACACTCCTCCAGTGGCAAGCCACCGCCAATAAATGATGAGGGGCTGCGACCACCGTCCACCACGCGCACGGGCAAGGCCTCGTCAAAGCTGGTGATCGAGCTGGAGTTTCGGAGACTCGCCGGAGTGACAGCGCGCGAGCTGGAGGACAGGCTGGATGCCCGCGAGCTCAAGGAAGTTGCAGTATCGGCTCGTGACATTCCGGGCACATCCTGCGCGCCCGGAGGAGAGCCCGACATCCGACCGCGGGATGTAGGACGCCGGCGGCCAGTCGGGTATGGGTGATAACGATCGGCCGCAGCATCAATTAGCGAGGGGGCGGGAGATGCGCTTTGTGCGCTTGAGCTTGAGCTTGAGCTTGAGACGGACGACGCAGAAGACATGGATGACAAAGACACAGATGAGGCCGGGCTGGCTGCCATCATCCGTCGTTCGGGTTGCTGATAGGCGGCATCCACCACTTGTCGACGGGCATCCAATTTCTGACGGCGCAGGCGGGAAGTCAGGAGATCCGTGGAGGAGTGGAAGCGACGCCAATCTCGGGATTGGCGACGCTCCACTTCTCGCTGTTGCTGTTGCTGCTGCTGGTAGCGACTGCGGATCGGGGCCAGGAATGGCTCTAGGTGCTGCAGCAGGTCGGCTTCAGTGACGCGAGTGTCCCAGTCAAGCAGGAACAGCAGCTGGCGCTCCATGAGGTTGACCTCGGGCAGAGGGAACGCGAATCCGTCGTAGCCCTTGACCGCCGTGTACCGGGCCCAGTGCTTGTTCTTGGGACTCGAGTCGTTCAGGTTCTTGGCTGCAAGGATGAGCGAAGCGAGGAAGATGCGATGGACGGTACAACGCATGCCCTTGGCTACTGGAGGCAAGCGGGAACGCAGTCGCGCCAGGTAGACTAGCGAGGTCATCAAGGTGGGCACCTGAACCTGTGATCGAGCAACCAGGGAAGCAATGAACGTCTCTACTGAGGGGAGTGGTGGTAGAGTCGCATCCATGGGAGGTGTGCTGGGAGGTGTCGGCTGTCCGTGGGCTTGTTGTGCCGTCACATGCGCTTCGCAGCGGATGACCTGTGAGGCCTGTTCGGCCAAGTGCGCAACCATCTGCCGCGACACCGGCTGCATGATGAATTCATGCAGGGCTGCCCGGTTCAGATCCATGGTGGTCGTCGTCGTCGCTGTCGTAGTGGCAGCGGAAATCATGTTGGGGGCGCTGTTAGAGTAGGCTAGATAGGGATGAGCGGTCATCGTGGGCAAGACCGTGCAGAGCAGAGGAAAGGGAGAGAAACAGGAACACTATTTCGTGTGGCAAGCAATACAGTCGACCGGATATTGTCGAGGATATATCAGAGTAGTTGAATGAATGTACGTCAGTCCTGCCGGCAGGAGAGGAATGCGTGGTTGTCGCGTCAACTGTAGTTGGGGAGCGATCGCTATGGGGGTGCGATGGGGGACCGGGACTGAGACACGCTTTGAGACACCAAGTGGATGCCGGACGTATCTGGAGGAAAAGTGTAAAAGAGAGAGACCGACTGAGACGATGAAATTAATTTGGCTAGTAGTGGTGAAACCCCGGTTGAAAAAGGAATGGAACCGTTGACGATATTGAGAAAAGAGAGCGCATTGAAGAAATCCAGCGAAGAGGGCTTGATATAAGGAAAAGCCCTAGGGTGGTGCAGGATAGAAGAGGGGGTGGGTGGGTTTGAGGAGACAGAGTATGCGCGCAACAGAAAAAGGCTGGCGCTGCAAGGACGGCGACGCGCAGAGTATGCATGAGGGGTGAGTGGGATGAGTGGATGAGTGGATGAATGACTGATTGCCCTGGCTGACTATTTTTTTTCTGCTCCTGCAACAAGCTGCAATACCCTTTGGGCATTGAGAGTTGAATGGCCATGGTCTCATGAGCTGCATGGCTCACGCAGGCCGATCGTCGGGGTTTGGCGCGCGCGAGCCTGAAATGCGGCAATGATTGGAGCAGCCACGAGATGCAGGAATCAAGGGTTGGCAGGTCAGCGCGTCGACGCCACGATCCTGGCACGCGTAAAGATCCGACTGACTGGTGGACAGTCGAAGACTCGAGTACCTAGGTAATGTCGAGAATGGTCCAGACAGGAGCGCCCACGAAGGGCTGTCATTCCAATGAGCTCAGGGTTGCCGTCTATTACCAGGAGCGGAAATGTCTTGAAGTGTAGCTGAGATAACTTACTGAGTACGAGTACCTGCGATCCAAATGACGCCGCCGGCTGCACTAATTAGTTAGTTGCTGCACCTGCACCTGCACCTGCACTTGCCGTACTTAAGCGCCCGCCCCGATGTCTGATGCTGCTATTCTTATCGCCATGCCAGATGCAAGTTGGTTATAATTAGATAATGTTGAAGAATTGAAACAACTGAAGCTCCGGCACGCATCCAACCGCCGGACTAATAACTTAAGCTTAGTAACTAGAAGACTAGTAGATAAATTTGGACCATAGTTGTATGTCTGTTTGTACGTATAATCTGTATGGAAGTATATGCATTGTATGTACAGGATGTGGTTGGATCGAGTGTAGCCACCGTCCTGTCTCATTCATCCCTATGCAGCATCTCCTGGGAACCTCTAAACCTCCTATCACACGGTTTTCTGGTATCCTGCCTAGGGACTGAAACACGGCGCCTACATTCTCTCCCACCTCCATCCCCACCCGTCTCCCGTCAGGCTCCGTCCACGCAACACGGTCGGCCATCCGTAACACTCAACGTTTGATTTACTCAATGGAGACGCTGTACTCGGAGACGGTCAACTTGGCGTCGGAGCCAGTGAAGGGCTCGGTACCCGCCTCGAGGGTGGTCAGGTACAGCTCATCGGACACGCCCTCGTGGTCGACCAGGTAGGTGAAGAAGTCGTTCAGGTCACCGGAGAAGCTCTCGGTGGTCGAGTCAGCGACGAAGCTGTAGACGGTGGTGTCACCGTTGGGGCCGGAGTACAGCTTCCAGTTGACGCCGGCAATCGTCGGGGTGGCGATGGTCGATCCGGTCGACGAGATGGGGCCAGCACCGCCCAGGGCCGCGAGCCAGACCATGATCTCGTACTTGGAAGAGCCGCTGGCGGTTTCGGCCAGGAATGTGTCGTACGCGACGTCGGCAACGATGCTAGAGCCGGAGTATCTATCCATTCGGGTCAGTTGCGTCTCTCCCCCGCTCGGGACTGAACAAGCCACTTACGACCACTTCCAGGTGGTAGGAATGCTGGAGATGCAGTTCAGCTGGGTGGGGGTGAAGGTCAGAGCGGCGTTGGCATAGCTCTTGACGCTGCTGCTACCTCCGGACCAGGACCAGCTGGTGTGCCAAGCGATGGTATCGCCGCTGGAGGAGTCGACTCCAGTGCACTGGGAGCCGGTGCCGGCGCTCTCACCCCAAAGGTCGTTGTACAGGGTGAAATCACCGGCGGTGGTGGTATCCCACTGACCGCAGAAGTCGCTGCGGCGCTGGAGGCTGGCAGCGGAAGCCAAAGTGGCAAGGGAGAGAAGGGAAAGCTTCATGGTGAAAAGATGTTATTTGGTGAGGGGGTAAGGAAGGACAATCGGTCGGCTGGGTTGGTTCAATGTGCGATCAACGTCCACTGTCCACAAATGAATGATGCTGGTTGGGAAGAAATCTGGCATGATGGCAGGTCGATGAGCTCTCTTTAAATAAGCATCCCACATGGCACAAATCCTGGATGGGTTCGCTGAGAAGCCTGTTCGTCTGAGCTGTGGCTTTGGCCTCAATCAAGCAGAAACAACGGGGTGGATTAGTCCCTCCAACTTGCTCCAACTTAGAGGGGATTGAGACCTGAGCAGTCAGCATGAGCAAAGCCTTCTGGATTCTCCGTCCCCGCTGGAGCCGGTGGACCACGAGGGAGAAGACCGATAGGGTCGAACACCGGGCTATTTCTTCATTTGAAACGGTTCCACGGGATGCTCCGTGCAGAGGAGCGGACAACGTTCGACACATCCAGTCAAGACGGGTTGGAGCCAGAGGAGTCGGTGGATTCGTCACCTTTTCATTTCCCTGGGCCGTTTCGAATGCGATAAGGGGAGAAGACGGATAAATTATCTGGGACTGATCTGGGAACCAATTCCGCCCTCGTCAGAACGGGGCGTAATTAAGGCGATCGAAGGCCCGACCTCGACTTGGGCTATTTTTATGGACGGAAAAACCGGCAGAGAGGGGATTAAATTAATGCTCATATCATATAGTATCCACGATGGGGATCGAGGGAACAGATGAGGAGACTGGAATTTCGCACGTGCACGAGGTTTGAATTATAGCATGCGATGGTCGGGATTTTCACCGCCTGGGGGGAGCTTGCATCATGATGGAAACAGATCATCACATCGAGACAGCTCTGCGAATCATGGAGATATCAGACATATCGTCGAGGGGCCAGGTCGGCCGCATAGAACAAGGTTCCGAGTTGACATATAGTATAATTGGCAGTGGACGAGATTTTTCCTCGACTCTTGGGAGAGAGACTAACGGACCCCTATCTCATGATGGCTGCAAGCTAAGCATTAATGGAGCGGCCGAGGTACAGCCGTGGAAGACGCCTCGAAGACGCCTCCATGATATTGGGTGGGTTTGGTCTGGTTGTTACGTTATTTCGGGGGACAGCGCTGAGTTGACACCGGCAGTTTGCACTTTGCACTTTGCGCTTTGCGCTTCTACAAAACATATATCCGCTGCCCATGTGTTCATATGCAGGAGAGATGCGGTAGCACGGCATAGCAACATGACTACGAACAGTGCAGGACAAGAATCCTGGGGTCACTAGCTGCAGACTGTCGAGTCTTCTAGCGGCAGGTTGCCTCAAGTCTATTGCATCTCTGTTGGTTGAGCCGAGTGCTTAGCGACTGGCTGGCGGCGTGGATTCAGGGGCTCAGCGCACATGCGTTAATATCCTTCAATCTCCACCTCGAGTTCTGGGAGAAGAGAACCGAGACTGAATCGGACCCTAGATGGAGCAACTGGGTCTAGAGCTTGTGTCCAGAGCATGTATCCACTGGCGTCCAGATTGCCCGTGGGTGTCGACATGAGCAGGAACAAAAGAGTAGAACGATATGCTCGCATAGCATGATGGATGAATACTCGTGTGTTTCTTGGTGGTTGCCTTAGAATAGATGAAGTTCAGGCAGTGAGATTGTGGTTGCAGACAGGCACGGTATTACTAAGCTGAGCATCCCCGGCTTCACCTCACATCCACTAAGCCCGCTTAGGGATTTTACGGGACTCGGAAAAGAAAAACAATCCATCGGCCCATTCAACCAAACACCATCCAAAGCTGAACAAATCCCTATTCCTCCCTTCACCATACCCACCTGGCCAGGCCATATCCTCTCTCACAGCCATGCGCGCCATCAGCATCGCCGTGGCCCTCCTGGCCCTCTTCTCCGGCCTATACAACTACCTGAACGCCCGGCTGGAGCAATTCTACATCTTCGACCCTGACCACCTGCACGACCTCTCCCAGCGCGCCATTGCCGCCCACGGCAACGACACCCGCTCCGTGGTGAACTACATTGTGGCCGAGCTGGACGAGAAGATCCCCGGCACCCACATCAACCACGACGAGGAATGGGTGTTCAACAATGCCGGCGGTGCCATGGGCGCCATGTACATCATCCATGCTAGTGCGTTTTCTTCCTTTCTCTCTCTCTCTCAATCACAATATATACCATTGATCCCACTAACCTATTTATAATCCATAGGTATCACGGAGTACCTGATCATTTTCGGTAAACTCCCACCCACTTCCCCACTCCCCTATATTAAATTAGCCAACCTCATAAACCTCATCAATATCACAACCACAAAACTAACCACCCCCTCACCAGGAACCGCCATCGGCACCGAAGGCCACACCGGTCGCCACACCGCGGACGACTACTTCAACATTCTGCAGGGCACCCAGCTGGCCTACGTGCCGGGCGCCTACGAGCCCGAGGTATACCCGCAGGGCAGCGTGCACCACCTGCGCCGCGGCGAGGTCAAGCAGTACAAGATGGACGCCTCGTGCTTCGCGCTCGAGTACGCCCGGGGCTGGATCCCGCCCATGCTGTTCTTCGGGTACGCCGACACCTTCTCCAGCACGCTGGACTTCCCGACCCTGTGGGCCACCTCGCGCATCACCGGCCGGGAGATGATCTCCAACGCGCTGAAGGGGAAGATGTAAATGTTTCTCGGTGGAGATGAAACGATAGGGTGGATGTAAGCTGAAAGCAGAAAATGCTGTATATTACTACGGGACACGTGAAGTGAAGTTTAGGGGGTCCGAGATTAGACTAGACTTTCGGCGGACTCTTTCTGTGGAGCTCGGTTTTGGACTCTGCCTATAGATGATTCTTACAGGGTATACTTATTAATGCATGATCAGATTTTGCCTACATAGCAGTACTTCCTTAGAATCAGCGCCATTGAATGGCAGCGCTCCACGCTCAGTAAACACCCAAACCAAACAAATCAAACCCAAAGAAAAGCACATGACTAATCCCCACCCACCATTCCATCCCCAGCTTATCGATAAGAAATTCCATCCCTCTCCTCTCCCTCAAACCCAACCCGCGCTCTCCAGGAAAATTGCCTCTCACCTCTTACCCCTCCAATCAACTCGACCAAACCAAGCAGATTCTCCCAGCAAAATCCCCTCACCCTTCACCCACAAAACCTCTCAGCGCAGGAGACACCCCAAAAAAAAATGCCCCCCACGCCGTGCGCAATCTGCCACGCCGACCGGGCGGTGATCATCCGGCCGAAGAACCGGCAGCGGCTGTGCCGGGGCTGCTTTCTGACGATCTTCGAGACCGAGATCCACGAGACGATCACGGCGACGACGCTGTTCCAGCGCGGGGAGCGGGTGGCAATCGGGGCCAGCGGCGGCAAGGACAGCACGGTGCTGGCGTCCGTGCTCAAAACGCTGAACGAGCGGTACGACTACGGGCTGGAGCTGACGCTGCTCTCGATCGACGAGGGCATCAAGGGCTACCGCGACGACAGCCTGGAGACGGTCAAGCGCAACGCGACGCAGTACGACATGCCCCTCGTGATTTTGGGATATGGGGAGCTGTACGGCTGGACGATGGACCAGGTGGTGGCGCAGGTGGGCAAGAAGGGCAACTGCACGTACTGCGGCGTGTTCCGGCGGCAGGCGCTGGACCGCGGCGCCGAGCGGCTGGGGATCCAGCATGTGGTCACGGGTCACAATGCCGACGACGTCGCCGAGACGGTCATGATGAACCTGTTGCGCGGCGATCTGCCGCGTCTCGCCCGTGGCACTAGTATCGTGACGGGCTCCGCGGCCAGCGACATCAAGCGCAGCAAGCCGCTCAAGTACGCCTACGAGAAGGAGATCGTGCTGTATGCCCACCACAAGCAGTTGGATTACTTCAGTACCGAGTGCATCTACTCGCCGGAGGCGTTCAGGGGCAGCGCGCGCACGTTGATCAAGGATCTCGAGAAGATCCGGCCGAGCTCGATTCTGGATATCGTGCGCAGCGGCGAGGAGATGGCTGAGTTAGTGCCGGCGGAGGTGCGCGGCGGGGCTGCGGCGGATGAGGAGGCGGCCGAGACGACCGGGTGCGGGAGTCAGGGCGGCGGCAGTGGGCGGACGCGTGGCGGCGAGATGGCGGAGATGGAGAGGAAGTTGGCCGAGGATGAGGTCGCGGCGGAGCGCGAGACGGAGGTGACGCTGTCGTCGCTCCCGCAGAAGAAGCAGGCAGACCGGAGAAAGGCCGCGGTCAAGTCGCAGGTGCTGGGCAAGTGCGAGCGCTGCGGGTATATCTCCAGTCAGCGGGTGTGCAAAGCGTGCACCTTGCTCGAGGGGTTGAATAAGAACCGGCCGCGCACGGCCATTGAGATGGAGGTGGGCGCGGAGGAGGAGGAGAGCAGCTCGACGCTGCGGCGACAGATGGAGAAGGTCGAGCTGGGAGGATGAGGGGATTGAAGTGTGGTCAAGCCGAGACCACCGAGTCATGAGGCACGAGAGACGAGACATGAAGATAAGGATGCCAGATCAACTGCTAACTGGGTTCTATTTGACTAGGACCTGGTCCACACCACAGGACAGTCACGCATCCCGCCAAAGGACCCCAGTTGATGCAGCAAGCGGTCCGCTAAGGTACCCCGACCAGACATAGAGCCACCAGCCACCAGCAACTCATATACCACTATACTATACTTTACACAAATGATAATCATCACTCCAACACAACCTCCACACCTACATAAACCACACCCCAGAAAGAAAAAAACAGTATAGAACAAGAAATGAAATAGACATAATCCCCACCGAAACTCCAGTCCCACATGCAAAACCACATAATATACAAGTACAATCCACCCACAGCACATCAAACATCCACCAAACCCTCAACCACCCCCCTCCCTACCTATCCAATAGCTTAACCCCCAACTCCACGTAGCTGTCCCACTTCCTCCCTCGAAAAAAAAAAAGCCATCGAAATCATTCCTCCTATTCCTTCTGTCCCTGCCCCTCAACCGGCAAATCCAACCCCACCCGCCTCGCCGTCAACCGAATCCGCTCCTCCTCATCCAACCAGCTACCGGGGTTATACCGCTCGACCAGCGCGGCGTACTGCCGCTGTGCGCGGGCGTACTGCGCGAACTGCTCCGCTTCCTGGCGCCGGTGGGCGAGCGTGTCCTGCTGCGCGGCGTCGGCGTCGCTGCTGCCCCCGGTCTTCCCAATCTTCGAGGCGGCAGCAGTCTGTTCTTCGTACATCTTCCGGACGCTCGCGTGCAGCGGGGTCGGGGTGGCCAGGCTGCGGCGTGGGAGTTCGCGGAGGAGGGCGCGGTAGGTGGTTTTGGCGGAGATGGTGGACATTCTTTTTTTGGGGGGGCGGGGGGCTGCTTGTCGCGGGATTGGGTTTGGGTTTGGTTGCGGTTTTTGTTGTTCTTGGGGTTGGGTTGGTGAGGTGTGGAGATGGTTGGTTGGGTTGTGTGTTTTCCGGTTCCAGGGAGGTAGGGAGATTGTGTGTTGAATGTGGTTGTTTTTTAAGAAGGTGAAATTGCGTAGTGTAGGTTAGTTCTAGTTCTACCGGGTATGTTATCGGAGGGCGAGGTTCGGGCCGGTGTAGCTTCACGTGATCTAGTCGTCCCGCCGGAGTAATTATCCTCTACAGTACTCGTAAAAAGGTAGTTCAAACTAGCCAGCCTGGCCATCTAGTAACAATGGTGATACTAACTACATGGTGTCTTAGAATAAAAGTATATGTATGTATGTATGTACATCATCAAAACGACGATCGTAACATTCATGGTCCTCGTCAGCCTGCACTCTTGCGCATGCTGTATCTCCGTAGTGGTCATTATACGCTCTCTCGTCCCTTTAGGACCGCAACCAGCCAAACTTCTTCCGTCCTGTGTCACCGCCAGCGGAGGGCTCTACCTGCATACTGCGTGTATACAAATCCTGTTCTCTGTCAGATCCTGCTCATTCAACACACACACAAAAGGAAAAAAATAAAAAAAAATACCTCGTCATCACCAGACAGCTTGATGTCCAGAATCAGCCGCGTCACTTCGTCGTATCGCGCCAGGTGCGGATATGGTGTCTTCTGGCTTCGTTGGATCCCCAGCACCACTTCGCCCATCACCTCAAACTTGCGCCAATTGATTCGGGTCTTCGTGTCACCCACAAAGGTCCTGTTTCCTTCCTCCGCCGAAACCAGGTCGCGTCGGTGCAACGGCAGGAACGGAATTCGCTCTGCGAATGAGTTGTCCCATGCCAGGCGGTACGCGAAGTGGCTCTTCTGTGTTCCCATGAGGATGACCAGCCTCATGAAGTCTTTTTGCGTTTGCGTCGGCACCAACTCCCGAGTCTGCGAGAGTCGGTGCACCGGGGTTCCATTGATCCCGGCAATGAGAGCCCCGAGGGAGTTGTAATTATTTAGTCGTCGGAGTTTCTAGCCATCCAGATTAGTTGCAGCACACAAACAAGATATCACCTATCACCCCTAAGAACTTACAAATGCGATGTTCATGAACTTCTCCAGCGCCTTGGCCCGGTGTTTAGGCTTGTCTCGTAGGAGAATGACGCTCGCAACAAAGCATGCCACGTGGTTGAATTGTTTGATCATTCGATTGACGTTCTTAAGACTGTGGATTTTGTCTTTGTCGGCTCCGGTGATGCTGACATGACGGACGAGGTCTCGTGGTCGGAAGGAGTTGAACATGATCCAGTCAATGCGCGTCAGTTCCCGAGCGAAGTCTTCATCAGGGATTTCCATGAATTGTCGCCATTGCACCTTCGTCAACGGCACGCGGGGTGTCAGATCCAAGTGCCGAGCCTCCTTCTGGGCCGAGTCGATGTTGAGGGCCATGAACGACTGGCTTGCCACAGTCCCGGGCTTTTCGGCGGTGAAAGAATTCGTCATGGACGCGGACAACCTCGACCCTGACTCAAGTGCGCCCTCGCTGAGGTCCAACGCACTCATACTGTATATAGGATCCTCTTCCTCTTCGTCACCCTCGTCGCTCAGCGGAGGGGGTCCAAGGAAAATCGACGGGGAGCTTCGACCCGAATACTGAAAAGCAGGCTCCGTTGCTTCGACCTCCTCCACCTCGCCATCTCTGAACGGCCACCCGATGTTATCATCTTCCGCATTGGCCTCGAGGTAAGACCCAATCTCTTTGGCAGCAAACATGTAGAAATGGCTTTTCTCGAGGTTGGCAACAAACTCGGCAATCCGTTTCTGCGTTTTGGGATAAGCCAGGTCCCCCGGGTACTCCGACACCCACTGAGCCATGACGGTTAGCAGTCTCAATTGGTCGGCAATGCGCGTAAGCTGATCCGAAATCTCTCGCTCATTCCGCTCAAACCGATTGATCAAGGCGGTCAATAAGGAGGAAGGGGCGGCGAATTTGCGGTACAAGCACAGGAAGATGGATGCAAACTTGGAGTCATGCTTCGACATCGGCTGAGCGACCAGCCGGTCTACCAGCTCCTCGAAAGTGAAGCCATTCTCATTGGAAGAGCTCTCACTCGGCGTCTTGTCTTTGCTTCCAGGACTCGAAGGAATGCTTCGGGGCCCGTCCATCTCTTCCTCCATTTCGATGAAGCTACTGAAAGCGTCCGATCCGCCACTGTTGCGCCAGGCTGCATGAAGTCGATGTTGTCGGTTGAAGTCCTTGCCGGGGGATGACTCTCCCGGGATGGATTGCTTGCGCTGGTTCAGTCGTCCGGAGGGAGGGGTGTGAGGTCGTAGAGGTTGAGAATTGCTTCGGGCATAGCGCGGGCCTTGACCATTAGAGGCGGCTGAGTCGGTCAGTTGACGATCTACACCGTACCCATCGATCCCCGAGTCCAGAGCTCCTGTAATTGGGCCGCCTGCGGCTCCCGAGAACACGGCTGTGGGGTTTTCTGAGTTGGCACGACTATGACGCCAGCCCGGTGTGACGGTCTTGTCAGAAGAGTGCTCTTCAGCTAGAACCAGCAGTTAGCATCGAGACAGAAGGTTCTAGGCCAGTCGGAAAAATCAATGGGAAATCGGGGTGGCGCTGTTGCTGCTGCGCCTGCATTCTGGGGACGGGCGGGTCTCCGAAGTCCGAACGCGAACGCTAGGCGCAGCCGAGCCGCGAACTAGCGTGACATGCGGTGGACCATTGCTATGGACGGGCCACAGCCGACATAATCCAGAGAAAAGTGGATAATCTGGGTGACTCATGGGAGACAGAGACGCCGTGGGCATACGGACGACACTTATAGTGTGAACCGCTGCCGATAATGTGGACTCGTTTGCAGGCTCAGGGGGAAAGGAGAAATAATTATCACTAGACCACTTACCATTCCTGTCGCTGATGACTGATCGCAAAACTAGAGCGATGCACATTTTCTGCGACCGTGGCGAATCGGGGGAGGTGCGGAGGATTTCATAGCCATCTAAGACTGGCCCAAGTAGACCATGGGGCGGTTGAATGTCGCATTTACTTGCGACCAGTCGAAAAGGTATGGATGAGGCGTCCAGAGAGGCTGCAACCGTTAGCAGACACATTTTCATCACGACCGAGATGCTCTTGTAGCTCGGAACAAGAGAACAGACCTAGCAATCCTTTGATGTTGGAAAGGCTCCCGGGCTGTGTTACATCGTGGAGGACAAGCACCCCATCCACAGAAGGAGGTGAATCGCCTCCTAACTTTGGCCATTGGATCTCACCATTGCCTCCAATCGAGATCTCCAGTGTATCAATCTCCAGTAACCGAACGAGGTAGACCGTCCCATCGAGGGACATCTTCTTTGTCGTTGCCCGGGAGGAGAGCGAGTGTTTCATATCCAGTGCGCTTTCAATGAAAGTTGATTTACCCACATGGTCTGGGCCAACCACGGCGATGCTCACGTGTGGGAAATTCGGTTTCGGAGCAGGCTGCGTCAAAGCCTGCGGTCAGCTATGCCACGAGACGTATTCGTAGGGTAGGCTCACCTCATTGCCGGTGTGATTTGACGGAATTCCATTTCCTCCGTTTTGCTGCTTCATCTGCAAGGGCATTGAGTGTCAGACAACCTTGCCAAAGAATATGTCTTGGAATAAAACCACGGTGAAAGGAACCGGCTCACTTCTTCACCCGGGAGAGCAGGTGAGATCCTGTTCCCTCCCACCGAGGGCAATGATTCATCTTCCTCCACCAATGTCCGCTCCGTTTTGACCGAGTCCATGGCCATTCTGGCCGAATCGAGCTTATATAGGCCCCCAGCGGGAGCGGAGATGGTGCGGTTGGGGAGCCCCGGTCTCTGCGGGACGGGCGCAGCCTCGGCTCTATCGCTAGATACCGCTCGCTCTCTATTCGGAAGTTGAGAATTCATGAGGGGTCGTTCAAGGGGGGAGGACAGTGCGCGAACGGGTAGACAGTGGCCGCGGGGCAGATGAGGGTCCGATCGAGCAAACACACAAGGTGCGACAGCGTGAGGTTTCGACGGCTAGGTAAGTGAGGGAGGCGGACACAGCAGCTCATCCATTGTCGCTCGTACAAGGTCGGTAGAGGAAGGATCAGCAATTGAAATCCGTTTTGTATCGCAATCAATTGAGCAAACAGGAGGTTTTCGAAAAATGAAATAATAAATGATCTCAGAGTAAGAGTAATGCGTAGGACCGGTTCAGTCGAAGAGGAAGGGAATCTTTTGTTTGGTCGTTTTTCCGCCGCCCGTTGTCTGGCCCGGAGGGATGTTCTTTTTTTTCTCTTCCGCTTCTGATTGGTCTCTTCTGCAGCCGTAACAAGATACTTCCTAGTAATCCACCAGCTGAACCCCTCGTGGGAATACGATTCACAAATCCAGGGCAGAAGGGGGGGGAGGGAAGGGGAAGCAGACTGAGGTAGCACAGTCTGACGAGAGATTGATTGAACAGATTGATTGATTGAGAAGAGGAGGGGAAGTGGAAGGGGGGGGGGGGGGGGGGGGGGGGAGGGGGGGGGGGGGGGGGGGGGGGGGGGGGGGGGGGGGGGGGGGGGGGGGGGAAGGGGAAAGAGGGAGAGGGAGAAGAGGGAAAAAGGAGGAGGGACCGAGTCGGCGATAGGTAGAGTACAATCAGGTCGGAGAGGGCAGGGAAGAGGCTGGAGGGAGAGAAAAAAAGAAAAAAGAAAGAAAAAAGTCGGAGACGACGGATAGACAGCACACAGTACGGAGTAGTTAGGTACTGTAGTCTAGTACAGCACTCGTGGTAAGTACTAGGTACTCCGTAGTAAGTAAGTAGAAGTAACTTGATAGTAGTGACAACTGGGGGCCGACGGGGCAGTAGACGAAGACGTACGGAGTGGTAGACGGGAGGAAGAGGCCCTCTGGGGCCTAGTCCTACCTGGCTAGTTAGCAGCTACTTATCTAGCTAACTAACGTTACTGCGGAGGATTGCAATTAAAATTAGCAACACGAGGCATATGCTGACAACTCGGTACTCGGTCGCCGAATAATCCTGTCTAGTCACTAGTCACACAGAGGTCGGTCATAAGGGAACAGAGGGGTTGATTGTTGTTAGAAGAGAAGAAAGGAAGTGAAGTAGCAGTCAAGGGAATTGTTAGCATGTGAGCTACGGGAAGTTCTCATCCCAATCACATCCCCCTCCCTTCCTCTTTCCAACAACAACAACCACCACCACCTCCTCCTCCTCCCCCCAACCATCTACGCGACTTGAGCCAAGAGTCCGCCACCATTGGGAGAAATTGTGACATGATCTATTTCCAAAGAGTAAGAAATCAATCCTTCCTTTTAGATTAACCTGCAGCGTATCCCAGTTGGTCGGCATGAACAACCGCGGCAGTGACTACTAGTACCTTACTTGAGTTCTGAGTACGATCACTCCGTTGAATACGGAGAAGGAATCCATCCACAGCGATCTCCCTCGCTCCCACTTGTCGTGCGGGTAAATCGCTCGGGATGGGATGTCCATGGACAGCCTGATCTTCAACCCCTAGAAATGCGACCAGCGACCAGGGCAATCCCAATGATGCTATTGGTAGGGTGACCCCAGATTATCCGCACGATACGAGCAGTCATTGGCCCTCTGGTATTCCCCAGAGTCTGGATTACCTACGGGGTATGATCATTTGACTGCTCCATCCACGACGATCGGCCTGCGTGGCGGCAAAAACAGCTTATCTGGTCGACAGACTATTGCCTGTAGCTCCATCCTGAGTCAGATCTACACTATAGAACACGTGGTATCTCCTCCTTTCTTACCAAACCGGCTACCTTAGTACACGAGTGTTTTAGATCCAATTGCTTTGGTGATGGCCTGTTAGGGAGGCTATACTGTTTATATACACGCAGCTTCTTTGATGGAATTGCTGTGCTGTAGTAGCGATTCGCCGGACAATCCCGTCTCTCCAGCTAGTTTGCTCACACGTGTCCCCGGGGGTGAGAAGCAAGGCGGCTGGCTTCTCGGTGAAGCAGCATTAACCTGGTCTGGTCGGCTTGTCAAGCTCAAACCTGCACGGCGTGCAGTCTTGGCACCTTTCCGGTGGGAAGCGTAGTTGGCCACCTTGCCTCTCGCTGCAAGACGCCACCAACAAAACCAGACGGGCACATTCTCATGCAGCCTCAGGTAGCTGATTCCCCGTGATCAAGGCCATGAAGCGCATATAACCTTCTGCTTTCTTGCCGACTTCATCCCCCTCTTCACATCGTTCCCGAAGCTTTCTGACCTTGCCCACTCCCCTGTTGAACCCTTTCTCACGCGTCCACGGTCCCCGATGGCGATGCGTCGCTCTGCCTCTCCCAAAGCCCCGTGGCCGACCGGCATACGGTTGGGTCTCCTGCCATTCCTCCTCCAAAGTAGCCTGGTAGATATCCTGAAGCTGATCCCGCAGAGAAGGAAAGCGATCGAGGAGCTCCTTGAGCTGACTGGAGGTTCCTAAGGATTTGATATCGAGGGCGGTCTCCGTCTGAGGCATTTCAGCCTCAGAGGTGTCTCCAATGGCTGCAGCAGAGGGTTCTTGATCTTCCGACGGGTTCGGCGGCAGTGCCTTCGGGGCGCAATAGATCTTGTGTGATTGAGTGCACGCGAGGGAGCAACTAGAAGACTACAATGAGTACTTGCCCGTGGCCGAAGGTTTTGGTTCATCCTGCGCTGCTTGAAGACAGCACGAGAGAGAAATTTGCTCACATACCTCATCAACCCGCAAGTCGGGCATCGGTATTTGGAAGGCTCCGACACGCAGACCTCGCAAGTCCCCGGCATTTTATTGCCAGTCTGTTTTCGCAGTCTTCAGGCGTGCTAGTAGCGCTATGACTGAGTCTTGAGGACCATCGTCCTGCAGAAGCCGGTCACAACGTAAGGTGAACCAAGCAGAAATGTCACGCCGGGTCGATTCGATCTCCACGGGGGAAAGATTCGACCATGTGCTCCGCTGCAACTTGCATCCCGAGGGAATATTTTGGGCTTAGCGCGGTTTTCTCGGGAAGGCGGTCACACTCGCCCCATTGTCAGATAGCGTACGGTGCTATTGCGATCACTACAGAAGCCATCACAGCCTAGACCATTGACCCAAGCTTAAGGGCAAATATAATTGAGAATTAGACTCGCATACGCACAGGAATATAGAACATGATACAGGGTAAGGAATGGTTATTCATACTTCAAGCCGTAGGAGGAACCAGCGTGCGAATATATAAAATTACAGCTTCCGCTCCTAGTAGCTTCATGATCTAACTCTCCAATAAGCTATCACGCCAAAGACTCAATCAAATTACGCTGTCTCCTTATGACACTAACCCCTTAGATCGTGCAGTACTTACAGGACAGCACATGGCAGGCAAAGCTTGAAAACTCTCCCTGATCTTTTTGGGTTGGGAGAAGCCTACTCTTGGGCTATAACCATCGCGCCTGTCATCACCGGCCTCGGTACAATGTCAAAATACAGAATAAGCAGCGATTTGCTGGGAATAAGACACAACAGAATCGGTCGGAGACAGACTCCTAGGTAGAGACATTTTAGCCCCCACCGCCAGGTGAGAAAACCGCGCTTGCCTCAATACCATGGGTGCCTCTGTACTCCGTACCCTGCTGGAATCTGATGAGAGCATAAACCGATTCAACTCGTCCCTACCGGAACTCATCGCATGGATTGCACATGTGCAAGGGCTGCAACAGCAACCTCAGTCGGTGTGCCGGGGTAAATACGAAAGAAAGCCGTGGCCGGGAAGTTGTTCCACCGTCTGTCAGTTCCCTTAACCCTCTGGGTCCAGAGGGTCAATTGGCAGGCCGCTTGCCGTCGTGTAAGCTTCGAGCGGCTGATGTTAGATAAAGTGGCTGCGTGATGACCTTGCGAATAGAGCCGTCGTGTGGCGCGGTGCAACCTGAGCCCGTGGAAGAACTTACCGACAGGCTGGCAGGTCGAGAAGGGGTGGCTACTAGTAGCTACACAGCTCTTCTTCCACCAGCTGGGTATACCCACAGTTGCTGCCTCACTGTTTGCCCTCACTACTCAGTCCGCTTCTTCACGCGTGACATGCGTCTTTCAACCGACGTATCGCCTGGTTCTTGTTACTTCTCTTCCACGAGGTGCGCGAAATCGCACAGAATCAAGAGGATTAGTCTGATCTTATTGTTTTCTGGTGGTCAACCAGCTTCTTGAGATCATCAGTCACCCTGGTGCCGATCATACAATTGGTTGACGCGTTTGTTGACAGACAGAAGACAACCACAATTTCATCGACTTTAGCTGCGGCTGTTCGACTTGACAGCTCTTGGCAGCCACCATGATAGTAAGGTTGCCGCCCAGTCATGCACTGGGCATGGAAGAATCCGACGTCCTCAACAACACGTCTAGACGTTGACTGCTGTCGACTCGCCACTCATGGCCAAAGATTTACAGCAACTCACTGTACACCAGTATATCGTAACCCTGTCCCATGCGATTGTTTAGATACTTCACTTGGAGAGTGCGATGGCCAGTTCAGTGATTCTTTCCAGGAGATGATAATCTTAATGTTTTTCACATGCAGTCTACCTCGCACGAGTATACCTTTGTGAAAGGCGGTCGCCATAACGATAAACGATGCCGCGTATAGTAGACATGGGCATTCAGTCAACTACTCATACAAATCACAAGCAGTATCAATCCAAGTGACACTTTCTGGCCTATCCCGAATCACACATTGCTCAGTTCCCTATAATCTAGAACAGCAAACCTGGGCTTCCCCGGCATCGGCAAAAGATGTCAAACAGTAAGATTGTGATTGGCCACCAACAGTCCTGGATTTGTCATCAGTTCTATGCCGAAGGTCACGTGTAGCTCATTGCGTCAGAGGCCGAACGGTCGGAGAAGAAAGTATTATCGATCAGTCCTCCATCTCTCAACATCTCCGAAGAACGGTTTTTAGCCACCCACGGAAGACCATTCGACCAGTTGTTGCGCCTGAACTCACCCCAAAATCAAGCAAATCTGCACACTATGTCTGTTAGCTCTACATCCGGGAGAACCATGCTTCGACGCACCGCCCTGCTGGGCAGCAAATTGACGAGCGGTGGTGGCAGCGGCGCTCTCGAGGCCTCGCGCTTCGCCCGGCCGGCGGTGTTTGGATCCTACCGCAGCGTCCACCGTTCAACACGATTGCCCGCGATCACTCCCTCCGAGACCCGTCGCCGGCCTACTCTGCAACCTCACCACCACTCCCTCGTGCAGGCGCGAGTGAACGGCCCGGCGCCGACGAGCAAGCGCACGATATTTATCCAGACGGAGAACACCCCGAACCCTGATGTACGTGACTTGTCCTTTGGGACCTCACTCGCCTAATTTTCTGGAGGTATCGTGAAACGGACCATCTCACAAACCATAAATGCAGGCCCTCAAATTCATCCCCAACCATCGCGTCCTCCCCGAAGACTTCCCCACCACCTTCCTCGAATATCTCTCCCCACGCTCGACCCTCGCCCCCCCGCACCCGTCCCCACTGGCGGCGCAGCTCCTCAACGTCGAGGGCGTCACCTCGGTCTTCTACGGGCCGGACTTCATCACCGTTACCAAGGCCGCCGACTCCAACTGGGCGCACATCAAACCCGAAGTTTTTAGCCTGATCACGCAGGCCGTGACGTCGGGCGAGTCGATCGTCAACACCGTCGCCAAGGCGGGCGGCGAGGCTTCGCAAGGTGAGGAGGCGGACTCGCTGCGCTTCGACGAGGAGGACGACGAGGTGGTCGGCATGATCAAGGAGCTGCTGGACACGCGCATCCGTCCGGCCATCCAGGAGGACGGCGGCGACATCGAGTTCCGAGGGTTCGAGAATGGCATCGTCCTGCTCAAGTTGCGCGGTGCCTGTCGGACCTGCGACTCCAGTACGGTGACGCTGAAGAACGGGATTGAGTCTATGTTGATGCATTATGTATGTCCCGTCTTTCCCCACTCTATCAAGGTATGGCAAGGTCATAGGCGGGTTGGCTAATAGACTGGCAAACAGATCGAGGAAGTCCAAGGTGTTGAGCAAGCGATGGACCCCGAGGAAGAGATCTCGATGCACGAATTCGCCAAGTTCGAGCAGAAGCTGCGCCAGCAGAAGGGACCCGATGCTACGGCCTCGACGGGGGGTAAGGGGACGTTGGACTCGGCTCCTTGATGGTGGTGAGATTGTTTGTATTTTTATTTATTTTTGCAAGATTGGATATATACCGAGCATATTCTTTATTATTTTATGTGGCTTAGACTAGAAGGAACTCGACACATTTTTGAGAAGTGCCATTTTCGTAGGGTTGCGTGCTCTCTCAGAAGAACCAGCTAGCGCATCGTGAGGTACTGTACCTGCATTGGTCTGTCTCCTTTGCGTTGATAGATAGAGAGACATCAAATGAACCAGAAGAAACCCTCATTCCATACCACCTCCACCACCCGGATATTTCTCATATCCCTACCCCGAAGCCATCTCATACAGTTTGAGTAGCAAAACGACCCTCCATGCTCCCTGCCCATTCGAAAAAAAAAAAAAAGCCGCGGGGCTTTTCACAAACATGATTTGCTACCTTCACCACCGCCGTGTAACCATCTTGACTTCGAGCATGTAGCTTGCCCGCTCCAGTACAGTACAGCAGATAGCCATTCTTCCCCCACCCCAAACTTACTCAGTACTGTACAGTATGCATGCTATACTCGGTGCTCCCGCCGAGGCGCGGCGCCGAGAGGGGGGGGGGACGGAAATTCCACCGGACCCCGAGGAATAATTTAGTCTTCAATTCTGACGTTTTCTCTACTCATGGCAAGAGTTAAGCTTCCGAACTTAACACCCCAGAAAAACCCGGGAAAGCCTCGAGGTTAACTGGTGACGGCTACCTATCCAACCGTCTGCTCCGCTACCGGACCCAACCGAACCGAAGCATTAGTGTGGGTGGGTTGTTGGAGTTTTTGTCCTGCCTGCCTGCAACAACCCCTCAGTTCTGCGCACCCCCTCTCCATATCGAACACAGCCATCTACGTCGATATCAAGACCCGGAGAATCCAATGACATCATGCTCCTCATCGTCCGGAGGGAGGAGGGGGTAAGTCGAATGGCATTCTCAAATCGAAATGAAAGTGAAAGTTGGTTGGGGGTATGGGGTTTGGGGGTTTGGGATCACCCTGGGAAAAAAAGGGTGGACACAATGTAGTAGGAAAGTGTTATGGCAGGTTTGGCCCGCCAATGAAGCTCGACTCGGTGAGATATGGTCATTGAAGGGTTCAAGGTTGGTGCTGCAACTCTCATGCTCCTTCCGTCAGCAGGATATGCTGGTGCTGTGGTCTGGACATTTTTACCGTAACCTTGAGGGAAATGAAAGAGATGGAAAAGTTGCCACGCTTCGGAGCCGGAGGGAGGCGTGCGTTACTACACTACACCATCAACCCTACCTTATTTGATTGAGACGGTAATGGCAACTCTGGTGGTGGTACCTGGCGGCTTTGGAGTCATATTATAGTTTTTGACTTTGTTGGCTGGCGGGCACTGGGAGGCAGTATGGATGTCATGGGTTGCGGGACGCGACAGGAAAAGCCACATAGTAGGTACAACAGGGTGTGGCGAGCTTTTCACCTGACTCTGGGTTGTGGTTGAGGTGGTGGTTCAGGTTGGGTTGTAGAGTTCTCGCCATATACTACTAGGGTAACGGACTTCGGAGGGAGGGTGTGTGAGGAGAGGTTTGCGCAGTATGATAATCCGAACCAGTTGGATAAGAGGGAAAGGAGTGTTGTGTTTGATTCCATTTCCATCTCGCCCGAGTGGGGGAGTTTAAACTGGAAGGTCGCTGGTGGCTCACGCTCTTGAGCAAGTGTAACCAGTTGGCCTGGCAGGACCGGGGTCTACTACCTAGTAGTCTAACAACTAACAAGCCCATCGCTTATGAGAGGCTGGGCCGCAAAGCCTATGAGCCCGAGAACCACGGATGGGGACCGGTTCACTATCAGTTTCTCTTTCATCTTTTGCGCGAACTCTGTTGCTCCACTGTCATCACCTCACCACGTTCCAAAGTCCATGAATCATTTCTGTCGATGCTCCAGGCATGAAGGAATCCAGGACTCAAGAAACAGCGAGGATGCAACCGGTGAAACTGAGAAAAGAGAAGTTGAGTTGATGCGATGCTGGGGGCAAAAGACAAAAAGACGAGACGAGACGGAGGGCTGACGGGGGTTTTCTCAAAGCGGGAAAGCTCTCTCCGCACTTTCGGACGGAGGCGATCCTGCATGGGCCTTAAAGAGGCCAATGAATTGCCACTCCCCGCCCCCCCTCCCTTCCTCCCTTACTTGCGCTTGTACATGTATGGGCATTTAGGGCCTCTGGAGCACTTGGAAGGGTGATTCTCCCCCCGCAATCCGACGCATGGCGTCTGTAGGGTGGTCATTATGTAACGCAGGCACGGCTGATGTCTGGTGGAGGTGATTTCTAGTCAGTACGTGGGTGGAGGTACAGTACGTACTGTACCTAATGCTGACTTACTCAGAGCATAGCAGAGGAGGAGGGTTGAACCAAGGGGCAGGGAGCTCCCAGTTGCTTGCTGGCTCTGCTGGTTCCATACTCACATTTCTTTTATTTTTCCCCCCCTAAAGCTCTCCTGCCTGTGAAACTTGACGCCAAAATGACGTTGACGAGTTGTCCCTGATGACACCCAACCGGTCCTGAACCCCCCTGAAAGGTTCTTTCTTGGGCAGACGGGCGGATGAACTCTGATGGAAAGAAAGTCCGCTATCTGAGCATTCTGAATACTTCAATAATACCATCGCTCGTCTTATTGCATGCATGAGGCTTCTGCAATGCTGCACAACGTCATTTATTCTCTTCTTCCTTACCGGCCACACTGATGTAAGATGCGGTTTGGCTGGCTCGGGGTGATGGCATAAGCGCGGGGACAGGTTCTTTGTTCACCTCGAACCCAATTGAGTAGGACAGTTTGGTTAGCCCGTGTCATTTGTGTACAATCCGTTCGGTCCACGCTATCTGAAGAGGCTATCGTTCTGGTTCGCACGTAGCTCGTTCCGTTGAGGAGTTTCAACGACGGTTGATCCGGATTCAACCATAGCCCGCTGCTGGTCTTTCTGGCCGAGTTCCGATTGATGTTGAGAAGATGTCGTGAAGTGATGGCCTATGTGAGAAGAGAGCAAGAGGAAGGAGGAGAATGGAAGGAGGGAAGCCACCGAAGAAGGTGTGCGCGCACATACTTTTGCTTGGAATTACAGAAAAGAAATAATGACCGGAGCATTTGGCGATCGATGTTAGTTGTTGCTGGAGGGGCCCGCCCGGCCCACTTGCAGGCGTTCCATCGATGGCCGAGCTTCTGCTCTGCTGCCTGTCATGTTACCTTCTTTCTCATCAATTCGCTTTTGCTTTCTGTTTCTGTTTCTGTTTCTGTTTCTGCTCTTTTTGTCTGATGGGCTGCTGCTTATTCTTGCCTCCTGCCCGCTCAGTCAATTACTCGCCGGAAAGTCAATCCGTCACGACCAAATGCCTCGGTCACGGTCATTGTTTCCCCTCCCGTGTGGCCCTTGGCTCCAGAAGGTATCTAGACTCCCGTCGATTTGCTACCCCGCCCCAAAGCGAGCTGGGTGCCCCTTAGCCGTGGTTTAGTGTGCTTGGAGCTGTAGAAAAAAAAAGTACCGGCCCATCATCCTCAAGCTGGGTCGGATTCGAATGGAGATCGCGACCGAGGCAGAAAAGGATATCGTACAATGGAACCAGATCTGACTTGAAGAATGACGACTGTGGTGGACTAAAAGGTGTAAATGCTAAAGAGCAAGCAAGAAAGAAAGAGAGAATGCAAGAATAGACAATTAAGCGAACAGATGACTAGACATAAGGAGCAAAAGGACAATCCCATCCCATCCCATCTATCGCATCTCATCTCATCTCATCTCATCTCATCTCATCATTCACCCATCCACCCACCCATCCATCCATCCCTACCCTGACTCGACTTGACTGACTCTTGCAACTAAACTCCCTCCGGCCTCTAGTACTTAGCAGCAGTTTTAGCTGCTTCTTGACCACTCACTTTGCGCCACTTTCTGCTGGGCTGTCCCCCCCCGACCCGTGGCTCGTCCTCTCCTCTTTCTCTTGTTCTTCCTCCGCCGCCGTCGCCTCCTCCTTTCGTGTTCCAGTCCCAGTGGCCTGAGGTTCATTTCAAGCCGAATGAAGAAGCTCCTCTCCCTCCCTTTAGCTTGCATTATTCTCCCCTTCGCATCCTGACCCCAACCCACTTGCAACTTACGCAACTTACGACTGTACAACCTCTCTTCCCTTCTCCTCTTTTTTCTTCTACCCTGATAATTCCCACATCTCCTTCTCTTCCTCTCTCTTTCTTACATCTCTCTTCCTCCCCTCCCCCTCCTTTCTTATTTACGTCTGAAACCCAACTTTGTTACCCTCCAATCCCTTTCTTGATTTCCCTTCCCGCCCTGAACGATAAGGTACATCCGGTCACACCACCACCACCTCACTCCACACATTCCCCCCGACGATCGTCATCGATCAAGCAACGTTGCAGAAGCCCGCTTTCCCACTTTGTCCCCTCCAAACGCCTGTGCAATCTACGCCGCTCTGCGCTCGGTACGTCTTTCACCATCACCATTCTCTCCGTCATTCTTCCTCTTCCTCCATTTACTTCGCCCGACCCAGAAGACGTTCCTTCGTTCCTTCGAAACGTGCTAACTCAAGCGGAGTCAGAAAATAGTTCCCTTGCTACAACTTCCACGCTTGCCGCTTGCTCGCTGCTGTGATCAGGTTCAAAATGCGCTGCTCCTAAGGCAATCTGCCTAGAATTACTGGAGCCAGTTTGCTTTCCAACGCCATTCGTCTATGGTCATACAACCCATTCCCAATCTCCCGCACCTGGTGGTCCTTCCCGTCGCGACTCGAGGCTCATCCTCCACATAGACCAGATTCGCGCCACGGCCAGAACTATAGCCCAACTTCAGACTGCGATCGCATCCGCAACGGCAAACAAGTACATACCAAAAAAAATATCCGTCGATCCGTCTCGTGCGACTTGCGACATACATCCTTTCTCCTCTTGCAACCGGTCGCACAGCGCCGATTTACTCATCATCCTCTTCGTCTAGATTGAAGCCTGGTTGCTTCGTACGAAGCACGATCTCTACATCGTTACTGAAACAATAACTCGGTCGGGAAATTGCTGCGTTGCTTTTATTGGATAGAACATAAAGAAAAGTTTCGTTTTCTGCATAGATTGGTAAGTCGGATGTGGCTATGTCTATTGTCTCGGGTATGTGCTCATCTGAGAAATGCGCCAACAGACGCGATCACGGATCATTGCGATCTACTCTTGTCTGGGACAGTCGGTGATACGGGTTTCGGTCTCGAATTGAACTTGGGCTCATTGAACTCCAAGGTATGTTGCCAGGATTCGCAGCAATCGCCATCGCGTGCCATCTGCGCATGAGACTTTTTTTTTTTTCCCTTTTTTTTTTTTCTTTTTCTTTTTCAATCCTATCAAAACCACGGGAATCCCGGTGTATATCAGTCTTTCTCTTTTGAGAGATCCAGACTGGCGTTCGATGGACGGTTGTTTTGCGCAAAATCAACACCGAAAGTGGCCCGCTCCCAGTGTATGAGGTTATCCTCCAACCGTTCATTTTACAGCTCGGTCTGGACAATCCAGTGAAAGAGGATTGCACCGACGTACCCGAGCTTATGACCTGATTCTGTTCACAACACGAGAGCGAGCTGTGAGTTAAGCTTGTCTTCGGGCCTGTTCGGTCGGTCATACCTTATGATGTGGGGACATCCAAAAGTGGTTGCCCGATTCAATGGGTTCCGGAATCGCCACCGGCAGCTGCTCTCCAGCTTACATGAGCTTCACCTATAGCCTTACTCCCTTGACTTCCTATTCATGTCGCCCACGTTTCACTCAAGACCTTCTTTCCCTCAGTCTTTGTTCACTTCACATCTTGTTCCTTTTTCTATCATGGATTTTGCCGGGGATGGGTTTCTCACAACCTGTTGTCAGAACAAACTTTACTAATTAGTCATGCGACAGAACAGGAGGTCAGCCTTGTCTATTCTTCGTGAGAGCTAGTATTTTCGCGCAGAATATTTGTGCTCCTAATAGAGTTCGCGAATTTGTATTTACTTTTTATCCGAAGCGAGTCCCAGCCCGGTTCAGGTGACTACAGATCCCATCCATTTCTTTCGCCTTCGACTAACGCTCGATTAGGGACATACCCCACACTTTTTCATTGCGGGGGCCAATATCCCTTGCTCCCTGACGTCAGTTTTATCAATTTTGGTAAGTTGCATTTGTTCGTATTCACTTGCACTCATGCTGTGAACGGTCGCTGCAAGTATTCAAATGACCTTCTGGTCTTTCTACCGATTTGTTCATTCAACTTCGTCTCATTCTATCCAATCCGAGCAGTCGAATTCTCTAAGCTCAGGCGATGTTGTTCCCTGCTAACAGAATTTCGATGCGCAGTGCTCGTCTCGTCCTGTTTCATTGCTCATCAGACGGCAGACAGTCTTTACGCCTCACACAGGCCTACGGAAAATAAGAAATCATGGCTGCACAATCGACCAAACCCACCCCTCAAACCCCTAAGTCGGTCGCCTCTCCAACGCCGACAAACAATGTCTCTGCTAGACTGGAGAAGACCCATCTCGGTGTTCGTCGCTCAACTCCAGACTCAGAAGCTCTCGCCTCTTCAGATGATGATGGTGATCACTCCCACAATATTATTGCGCCGACGACTGCTCCAACAGCGAAGCCTGCTCGCCGTACCTCTTGGCTGAATGAGGTTCCTGCTATTGCTCCTCGGAAAGCCTCCCTGACCGGCCTTCCTCTGTCTTCGGGCGCCTCCAACCCAAGCAGCCCAGCTACCGACCAAGCGGGATGGCCAAGCAGCACGAGTCCTGGGATTGGTAGCTCCATGGGCTGGAACAATGTTGGGAATAGTACCTTTGCCTGGGGCACTGGTATCTGGAATACCGAGTCTCGAAAGGAGCCACCGCCCCGCCTTACCGAGATCATCCCTTCGCCGACTATGTCTAATCCATCCACCGCCAGTAACTACTTCACGGAGGAGCTACTGAGCCCTACTCGTACAACCGCTGGAGAGGCTGCAATTCCGTTCTCGATTCCTCTCCATCCGACTCCCAAAACTTACCGCTCACAGTCATATTCCGTTGGCCAGTTGGACCCCGAATTTCTGAGTCTCATGGCTAATAAGGCCGCCTCTCCCTACTCTGGTGGACGAGCCCGCAATGGCGGTCAATACACCTCCCTCCAACACCGGTCGTCTCGTCCCAGCCTTCTTGGTGAGCTTGGCCATGATCCTGCTACTCTCGGACGTGTGCGCGAGGACGAAGATGACGAGACCGGAAGTCCGGATGGCTCGGACGGTAGCTTCAGCAATTATGCCGCCAACCAAGCCCGCACAATCGAACAGCTTTCGAGGGAGAACGCTCTCCTGCGTCAAGCCGCTGGCCAAATCGACAACTCTTTCAGAGACCGTGCCATGTCCACAACATCCGCGGCTAGTGGCTATGCGATCGGAAGTGGCATCCACAACTTGCATCGTATTCGCGGCAGTGTCCCGGAGGAGACGATCGGCGATCTTGCTGTGGAAGACCTGGACGAAGTTGGGGACATCCCTGGCTACAACAACCTCCATGGCGGTCCCCGCCGGAGAATGTCCGAACACTCGATCAACTTGGAGAAACAGTTCCCCAACTACGAGAATCGTGCTCTCGAAAACGTTCGTAAGGCTCATTGGCAAACCTCCCTCGGATTTGGTAGCTTTTCCGAAATCCCGCAGAGCCGACGCCATTCATTCGCGGATATACCTATTCGGCATGGGCCCATCTCGGGCGAGCCACAGGCAGCCCCGGGCACAAGATCCGGATTGGGAGACCGGGAAGAGGACTTTGATGGCCCCCTGTCTAATTTGCAAGGCCAGAACCGTGAGTATCCACATTTTCATGCGGCCCCTCGCCCCGAGGAGCATGAAATGGAGTCAGAGTATTTACGAGCTCGACGATTTGCAGAATCCTATTTCGCGCGCGACCAGGCTCTCCGCAGTGCCGAGGGGTCTTCGATGGCGACTTCCCTTCATCAAGCATACGCAATGCCGAACGCCTACGGACGCCATCAGCCGGGTCTTGCGCATCAGAATCAGCTTTTGTATATCGTCACATTCAAATGTCATCGGGCAGATGTTTTCTATATCCAGGAGGACACCGGACTTCAGGTGAAACCAGGCGACCTCGTCATCGTTGAAGCTGATCGTGGAACGGATCTTGGCACCATTCAACATGCCAATGTGTCGATGCAAAAAGCCCGGGAGCTCAAGCAACAGTATGCGGAAGAGCATTATAAGTGGTTGATGATGTTTTCTCGACAGGGCCAGAACGGTGCGGCAAGTGTGGTCAACCCCTCTGGAAGTGTGCCGGGCCTGAACAACAGAAGCGCCATCGGCGGGATGGGCCCCCATGGCTCGCATGGCATTCAAGACTCCACCGCCGACATCAAACCTAAGCTGATCAAGAGGCTCGCTCAAAACCACGAGATTTTGGCGCTTCGTGACAAGGAAGGGAACGAAGCCAAGGCCAAACGCGTCTGTCAGCAGAAAGTGGCAGAGCATCGGCTCAACATGGAGATCTTGGATGCTGAATTCCAGATGTAAGTCGACCCTGCCCAACACTGGACCCTTGATACTAATTCTCGCAGGGATTGGAAGAAGCTCACCTTCTATTACTTCGCCGATTCTTATATCAACTTCAACTCACTGGTGACCGATCTCTTCAAGATCTACAAAACTCGGATCTGGATGTCGGCCATCAACCCTGCCTCTTTTGTGACGCCTCCAAGTGCGGGTCTTCAGGCACCAAACCCTTTGGCTTACAGCCATGACACGCAGACAGATCGCTCGCACCAGCACGATGGTAGAATGTATGGCTCTGTCCGAGATGGCCACGATGCTGGGCGAGATGGCCAGCTAGGCATGCTACGCAGTGCGTACGCGGAGCCCTATCAATCTCTCGGCCCGTCCTCCCGGGCGCCAGAGTCCGGCCTCGGGGGACACGCGTCTCCGGACCCCTTCTCTCCTTACTCACCTAGCGGATATACTCCCTTGGACTCGGGATATGTCGACTACGCGGCAGGCACTGGCGCAAGCGCTGGATCCTCCCGTATGCACCCTCAAAATGAGTGGATGAGTCGATTCCAGGGCTTGTCGCTCAATTCTTGAAATTGCAACGCAACTCTCATGAGTCTAAATCGTGGATTTGTCGCAATACATTGAAGAACAATTTGCCACTGTGATATTGTGAATTTCACCATGGTCTTTGAGACCCAAATGTGCAATTCTGCATCGAGACCACCTTTTCGGGGTTGTCATGTACTCAACCTGGACTCTATGCTCGTTCCGATTTTTTTTTTCTTCATTTTTTCGCCAGTTCTATTCCCCTGTTTTTACACTCGTACACTCGTTTCCTGACGCGACTTTACAAGAGATAGAATCATGCGCAACGGATCAAAAGAAAGAATCATGACATATCGTTAGTGCGGATACTTAATAATAGACTCGGCCTTGATGACCTGACAGCACAGTGACTTGACACTCTTCTCTGGACTGGGGATAAAGACCATGATGTCAAGATATGCTGCTTAGGGTATTTTCCTCGTTCATTGTATTATTTCTGTTCCCACCCCCCTGCAACGTCAGCTTCTCCTGCTCGAAGACGCTTCTGCAAGTTGTCTTTGATACCAAACAGAAAGGATGCAAGGGAAGTTGACTTGTGCATGGAATGTTTCCTTTTTCTATTTCATATTCTATGTGATTTATGCTTTGTGGAGGCGTCTCTTTCTGCCGAGGGCTTCTGTTTCTGTGATTAGTTAGGCTCAGGGTACAAGGGGAGTTGCATTCATCATGTATGGGGAGGGAGATAAGAGATGAGGTTCTTCCCTTGGGTTAGACCATGATTCTTCGAAGACTTAAATTGACTGATGTTGTAATTATGTGCCTGGTAGTGCAGAAGTAAATCGTTGTGATGAGTCGAAGTATCTGGTTCGTTTGTATGTCCGTGATCTGTATGTAGCCTCTATGCAGTATAGTAACAAGAGCTGGAGATGCTCATTCGTGATAAGATAAAAAGCTTTCTGTTCGTTGACTGTCCTGCTCTTATGGCTGATTCCCTTCCAGACTCAAAAGTGCTCAAATGTAATCAGTGCGGTATGTATGTAGTTTGGAGCACACATTCTGAGCTGTGTCACACACACACACACATACACACCCATCGGCACAGCCTACAGCGCAACGTAATGTTCCCTGGCTGGATCGTGGACAGGTGACCTACCTCGCTGCAGAGACAATTTCTCAGGATGATTGGTATGCCGAGGAAAGATAGGATTGGTTCTAGAGTCTCTAGTAGGCGGAAGATTCCTGCTATGCCTCAAAGTCTAACACATCCAAACCACAGGGCATATTGTATCTTTCATGATGTCTGGTGCAATTGGAGTTGGATTCGGCTGCTTTGCTACTACTACCACTTAAGGCTTGGCTGCACCCCGGCGCGGTTACAGTCTTGTGGCCCCTCCATTCGCACCGTGTACTGTACTGTAATCCATCAATCCATCCGTCTTGAGCAACCATTGCGCGAACACAAGCCCTTCCGGCACTGCACCCGGTCCCTACACTTATCTCCACTCCGATCCGCAATCTCTAGCGGTTCTATCTCCATGCTCGGCTCAGCCAGTCCAATAGTGGAGTAGTCAACCTCTGAAAGGGTGAGCTCGCGGCGGTCTGCAACCACTACTATAGCTGGTCCAAATCTCCGGCGAGTCCCACTCTAGCTCCTGCACCACAGATGGTATGTGTTAGATTGTCAGACGGGGCGGAAACTCCTTGAGAGGGTTGGCGTAACAATCCTGGGACCTGGGACGTTGAAGCTGCCGCGTCACTGGTGTTGGTATACCCACGCCGTTGAATCCGCGCTCATGGTGCCTAAGCCCCGCAAGAGGCCGATGCGTACGTCGTAAGGAGAACGCTTGAAGCTCCTTCAAACAGAAAAACAGAATGAACAGCCTTGGCATAGTAAAGCCACTATCCCAGATATCAGGGCTCCGCTGTGCTTGTTGCCGAAACCATGGCAGAGGTTGAACTATTGGTTTGTTTCGTGGCGAAGCCTTGTCTCTCGCTCATAGATCTCTGTTCCTTATGGTGCGCGAAGTATCGTGATGAGCTTATGGATTGCACTGGTAGGCAATCGGAAGATTGGCGATACCAGATTGTCACATGCAAGTTTCAGTGCCATCAACTTCATACGACGTGATCCAATGATCGCGGAAGTCATGCTAAATGTTGTTCAGCCATTCATTGAACAAAGATGGAGTCAGAGCTTGTTTGAGCCCCAGACCTTTGCAATAAACCACGTCATTCATAGGACGTTGGAGGAAGGTTCTTGATCAACCCCACATCTCAATTTCTTGCCATCTGCACAAGAATATCTGGCGCAGGAAAGCGCTCAACTGGCAGTACACTCTTCTTGCAGAGTGGACACAGACTGCTGGACTGGGTCAATGCAGTGTCGATACAATCGGGGTGGAAGATATGTCCGCATGGTAGTTCTCGCACGGTGGACTCCCCCGGCACATAGTCGTCCAAACAGATCGCGCAGGTCGTCTGTGATCGGCTTAGTCGATGTTTGTGCCATCTGTCATTCACCCGCGGCGGGGAGTAAGTGCCGCTGCCATTTCTGGAGGAGTGAATAGATGCGGCTCTGTCTTCGACTTCCTTCAACCTGGCGGGTTCTGGTCTGAGTACGATTGTTTCTGAGGAGAATTGGGGTGGGGTGTCACGGTGGTCGGCTTTGACGTTGGCGACGATCGTTTCTGCAGATCCCATTGAGGCGGGATGAGCGTGCGAATGGGCTGTATCTATAGCAGGCCGTTCCTCGGGTTCGTGGTCATAATCAGCATTGGCCTCGATTCCATAAACATATATTGGCATTGCATCCAAATAATCCGGCGGGACTCGCAGCTGATGCATCCCCAGATGCTCCGGATCTATATCCCCGCTCTCCATGCGCCGTTGAAGGGTCTGTCGATGGCGCCTTTGTACAAGCTGGTAGAACACGAGCAGGACCACACTCAAGACGAGGATGGTTCCCAAGATAGCTAAAATGAAGCCCCAGAGACTAGGCATGGTTTGGCTTGTGCTTTCTGGTTTTTGAGATTAGGACCAATTACCCGAGACCATCCAGCAGGGACGACCCACCTATATCAATCACGGAAACCAACTGGTAATCGGACTGAAACCCACCGTCAGAGTCGTTCACAGTTCCGTACAACGATAGCCTCTCCATCAGAGTGACACCCGCCGGCCCGGGTATCGCATACACCGGATACTTGTTTGTGCTCTTCCAGTCGTCTTCATCCCCTAAGGACCATGTTGGATCTCTTGCCGGCGGTGGTTGAGCGTCATCGCTCTGGGGCTGAAAGAATACCAGCGCATCGGTTCCAGCATCTTGCGAGGCGTTGAGGAACGCTCGCGTGCAGTCAACGCTGATCCAGGGCGCCAGGCCGATCTTGCGGTTCCCAAGCGGGGTGATATCGTCGAGGCGGGTCACATTGGCAGGAACGTATGCAGCGGTGGCATTGTTGCACGCGTCGGCGGCATCGAGGCTCGGGACGAAGAGAAATCCTTCAATTGGGCCTCTGCCAGGGGCGCCTTTTCTCGACAGTGTCTGAACAGTATGATCGAGCTTTAAGGAGAACGCGGCGCTGTTCTGAGAGCATTTCGACGTCCATCAGTCTTTCCTCTCCTCCGTGGTTTCTCGGGATTGGGACAGAAAACAACCTACATTGACTGACGGTGTTGCGTTAGTTGCTTGCCCCGGATTGGCAAAGAAGACTTCCGTGAACGTGGTAAGTGATTTTGCAGCTATGGGCAAGTGAGTTAGCCGCAGCCCTTACTTAGGATGCATACCTTTTCCCGGTGCTGAGACACTTACTCATGATGAATGTGATCGCATGAGGGCCTACCGCCCACTCGAAGGGGAGATCTAGCGACTTAAAAGACAACCAGCACAGCCAACATGGTGTGCCGGGTTTGGCTAGGCGGGGCGTAGGAGGTTCGTATCCATGTTGGCCACTGGAAAAGAAAGAATGCAAGCAGTGTCCAGGCCGATAGCCAGGAGGAATGCTGACAGTAGGGCAACTGAGGGAAAATGGGTCGGATTTGCCCGTCAGTGACAGGATTGCAATGCTGCTGCGGAAATTACTGCATCGGACATGGAGCTGCAGTGCTGCAGAACTGCAGGGGCAAGTCATGCAGGGCTCCGAGGTTCTTGGGCTGTCTCAGCTCCTCAGCTCTGCGTGTGAATGTTCATTGCGGTTGTTTGGGTGACCTGGTTGCCGATCGGTCCTGTTTGCAGCAAACGTTTGCGGGAGGTTGCGGCTGAAATATGATGCAGACCATTATCGCACTGGGAGCGAGACTCATTCTGAGCACGATGCAAGCATCAATGGTAATGTCGCAACTTTGCTGGCAAGTTTGCAGCTACATCATAGATAGATTGATCTGTGCGGAGTACCACAGAGCGGTGCCTAGGTAGGCAAACCATGCAAACGCGAGAAACAGGCTTTTTGCCTACCTATTCGCCTTATTCTATACAGTTGATCCATGTCGAAGTACGGATGGAGGTAGCTGCATCCACTCTTGCAAATCAGCTTCGCTGGCATCTTTTAGTACAATGATATCTGGACACAACTTGTGAACAACATGAAGCTGCCGTTAGCTGCCAAGTGCTTACTGTACTACTAACGTATGTACTCTGTGTGTAAGTGATGAAGCACAACTAATCCTGAAGAGGAAAGGCTTTGATCCACTGTGATGGAGATCATCTTACTAGTCACGTGATGCAAACACCTCTGACTGACTAAGTCACAACACGTGATAACACATGGTTGCTTCCCCTCACGTGCTGTCACCTTCCCCAGGAACGATGGATGCTACAGGATAACTGGCACAGGTACAACAGACCAAGCCCACCTCGCCATAAACATCAAATAACCGCGAAACCCGATCGGCCAGCCCTCCCAATCGAGCGTCTACAGTACGACGCTTCAATACCCCGAGTGGAACATTATGGACCATTAGCCCGCCGACCTCGGACAGTTCTCATCTCATCTACCCCAGCTTTCCACTACCGACCTCCATAACCTCACCCTCCGAACATGCCCGCCGCCAGCAAAGGCAAGGGCAAGGGTCGCGACCGCGATCGTGATCGGGACCGTGACCGTGAGCGTGATCGCGAAGTGCGCCCATCGCGCAGTCGCAACACCACCCCCAGCTCCAGTTTCAGTGCTGGCCCAACCGCCGGCGGCCCCGTCCACAGTTATCTCGACAACGATGCCTCGAAGCTGATGATGAACGCCTCGATACAATATGGGGAGCTGTTGGAGCGCATGGGCGGGGTGGGGCCGATTCCCGATTCCAAGTCGCTGGAAATGTTGATGGAACACCTCAAGACGCTCAGTCAACTGGCTGAGACCCGGGGAGACGTGTGCAATGCCGGCATCCGGGAGCTGTCGCAGAAGCGCAAGGAAGTGGCGGATGAGCCCGAGCCAGGCGATCTCGAGGGCGGGGGCAGCCACCGACTGAAGATGAAGCGCGAAGCCGACGAAGAGGATGAAGAAAAGGTGTTCAAGGGCGGCAAGCTCAAGAAGAGAAAGGACCGAGGCAGCAGCTCCAAGGAGGATCGACCTCTAGCCCATGGAGCGCATGGCCTGGCGCGACAGGACGGCGCTGAGACGAAAGTCGAAGGAGGTGAGTCTTGGCCGTTCTTTCGCCTTTCCCCTCCCCCATTCCTGTCGCCACCAGCATCATCACTGACCTGACCAGCCGCGTCCCCAGCTTCCAAAAAGTCCAAGCACGCCGCCTCCGACGATGCCTCCCTCTCGCCCAAATCCCCCCGCGAGGCCGCCGAGGCCGCCAAGGGTTCCCAAGGCGAAGATTCCGATGAGGATTCCGATGACAGCTCGAGCTCGCACCAGCCTGAGCCCGCCCCGGCCGTGCCTCAGGTGCAGGTGTTCGGCCCCAACCCGCTGAAATTCGATGACCCGACCATTTATCACATTCGCGAGGTCACGCCGGATATGACCGATGAGGAGAAGAAGTTCATCTACAGCGTCAACCGCTTCCCTCGCAGCGATCTGAGCCACATGATGGCGGGGGTACCGCCCGACCGCGACTTCAGCAACTCCAAGCCCACGAACCAAGTCAGCGCCAATACATTCCTCGCCTACGTGGACCCGTACGTCCGCCCGATGACAGAAGAGGATATGGCATTCCTCAAGGAAAAGGTACATCCCCGCTCTCGCCCAGCGCCATGCAAACCATAACTAACAGTCCCAGGGCGACCGAGCAAGCCCTTTCATCATGCCCCGACGCGGCAAGAAACACTACGCGGAGACGTGGGCCGAAGAAGACGGGTTCGGCAATAGCGACCAAGCGAACGGCGACAAAGAGCGTCTTCCGCTGAACCAAGGCCGCGGAAACATCGACCAAGTCACGGACGAGACCGTCGAGACCGACAAAGTGTCCGTCGGCCCCCTCGTCAGCCGCCTCTACTCCCTCCTCCGCTACGAGCACCGCTCGAGTCCCGACGACACCAACACCGCCATTAACGGAGACGGCACGACGACCACGAGCGGCCTCAACGGCTTCGGCGACTCCATGGACCTCGACCACCCGTCACTGCCTCCCCCGCTCCCCAACGGCAGCGGCAGCGGCAGCGCCCCCGCCGACGCCGACGCCAACAACAACAACAAACCCCTCGCCTCCGCCACGGCCTTCCCGGACGCCTCGCCCAACGGCTTCAAGACCCCCGCCGCCAAGCTCGACCACGCCCAGCTCGACGAGCGCCTGAAGGCGGAGCTCCGGCACGTGGGGTTCCTGGGCGCCGACGACAACCCGGACTACGACGCGCACTACGACGACGACATCGCGCAGCGGCTGCGCCTGCTGCAGAGCGAGCTCAAGAAGCAGATGATCATCAACAGCGCGCGCAAGACCCGCCTCCTCGACATCGCCCGCGAGCGCATGGCCCACCAGGAGTACATGACTATCCACGACGACCTCGACTCTCAGGTCCAGCAGGCCTACCTCAAGCGCACCCGCACCCTGGGCAAGAGCAAGAAGGGCTCCCAGGCCAAGCACCGGCCCGGCGCGGGCGGCGGGGCTGGCGCCGCTGGCGCAGGCAGTCACGTCGCCAGCGCCGCCGGCGTCGGCCGCCCCGCCATCGGCGACGTCGCCCGCACCCTGATGGACCGCCGCAAGCGCTGGCGCGACTGCATCGGCCCCGTCTTCCGCGAGAGCAAGACCAGCGTGCCCGGCAGGGAGGAGACGGTCTTCGAGCCCGCCATGATGTCCGAGCTGGAGAAGGCTGAGCTAGAGGGCTGGGACGACGAACAGGAGTAGAAATTCCTTCTTCTTCTTCTTCTTCTTCTTCTTCTTCTTCTTCTTCTTCTTCTTCTTCCTCCTTTCGTTATCATGACCATAGGATTATGACGTCGGTGTATGCATGTTCGATGTATATCTTTTTTTTTCTTGACTATCTTGGGCTTCGCTGAGCGAATCATGGAGGGGATCTTATCAGATGACGCGATATTTGGGTTTTTTCCTTGTCATGGGGCTTGCAGCGAGTTTTACTTCCGGGATATTACGGGATGTCGGTTCGGGCGTTATGACATGATTACGCGGGTGAGGATCTTCTTTCTTTCTTGTCTACGGAGTATACATACAGTACATGGAACCTGTGGCTTACTGTACGTCAGTCATGTTGCTCACGAGGGCGTTTTAGCACTCTTCATTTGCTCTAATAAAAAAAATAATTCTCAAGGCCTGGTTACAGGAAGTAGGTACTGTACATGGGTTTAATCCTATCACAGCTTATCTTCAGCCTCGGGCGGGAACTACACTGAGTAATGCCCGTGGAGTGCAAACTGTCTATCATTTCGTAATCTCTACAGTATACGACGTAACATCTAAAACCACAGGGTATCAATCAATATAACCACCCAACCTCTTCATTGTCCCCCACGTGTTCAAATGACCCTGTTCAAGGCATCTACCGATGGATGATCAACACCTCCCCGGGGAACCGCTTCAACCGCGCCGTGAGCTCGCGCTCGCTGATCTCGAGCTCCGTGCAGATCTGATCGAAACAATGCATCCCGTCCAGATACTTGGAGAGCATATTGTCGTCGATCTCGTCCTCGTCCTCGTCGTCCTCGTTGTTGTCAAGCGTCACCACCGTCCCCGGGCGACTTCCGCTGTGCACGGAGGTCGAGTGCTGCTCCCGTCCTCCGTCTGCATGGTGTTGTTGTTGTTGTTGTTGTTGGCGGTGCTGCTGGTGCGAGTGCGGATGCGGGTGCTGGTTATGCTGGTTTTGCTGTACAATCGGCGCCGGTTCGTCGCCTGCGCTCGACGCGTACGGGGAATTCGTGCCCGTGCCGGGTCCGCGCGAGGAGGGGCCGCTGGAGATGGGGATCTGGAGCGTTCCCCCGCCTGCGGGGGTGATGGCCGGGTTTTGGTGGTGGTGGTTCTGGTGGTTCTGGTGGTAATGGTAGTTGTGGGAAAGGGCGGAGGCCTTGAGTGGTGGGGCGGGCTGGCCCGTTGCGATGGCGTATTTATGCACGCGGTAGATGAAGCCCTTGATGACGCCGAAGGTGATGAAGCGACGGATGTCGACGTGCGAGAGTTCGCGGCTGTGGTGGAGATACCATTGCTTGACGTTTTGGCCTTGTTTGAGGCTTGCGTACAGGGAGACCAGCCCGGCGCCGTCTACCACCGGGCGGCTGTCGTAGGGTCCGCGGGTTGAGGAGGTGCCAGGGTTGGGTTCGGAAGATACGGAGGTCGCGGCGGCGGCAGCTACTGCGGCCGGGCTGGCGGTGACGGTCACGCTGGATGAGGTGGCCATCACAGCGTTAGAGAGGAGGGTTGGGCTTGGAGTGCGGCTGGGCGCGGTCACACTGGCGCTGCTGGTGGTGAGCACGTCGCCTACTGGCGGCCAGACGGCGTCCGGGTCGGAGCCGGCGGCGAGGGCTGCGGACGCGGCAGTGACCGGCGAGGCAAAGGAGGTGTTGACATAACGTGCACATTCATGTTGCATGTCCTCGTCCATGGCGATGGTCGAGCTGAACTGCGCGGTAGGCGCATAAATCGCCGAGAAGGAGAAGATGTCGAGCAGAAACAGACACCCGTAGTATAGGAGGTGCCGGATGGCTCGACAGGTTAGGGAAAAGTCGGTATCGGCTAGGATTGAGATGATCCGTACACTGTTGACTCCGTTGATGTGGGGCACGATCTGGATGAACGATTAATCAGGGTTACGCGTTGCTGGGGGTGGTAAGGAAAATGCGACGTACGCGTTGCATGGTCAGATCCCAGTTCTCATCCATGAACGTCTGATAACGGACCGTGAACAAAGGGACCTGCCAGGCCTTGACTGGCGGAGGAGCCGGGTAGATTGGGAAAAGTTTGATGTTGAGTGTATTCAGCTCATCTGGAATCCCGTCAGCATCCCTCTATATAGCCGGAGTACGCATGAAGTGTAAAGCGCGGGGCAAGAAATACCAATAGGGATCATGCATTCGCAGTAGTTGTTCAGGTCTTCCATCAAAGTCTCGCACAAGCTGTATACCTTGCCTTCGCCAGATTTGGAATGATCTCTGGACAAGAATCCATTCTGTTCCTCCAATCCGTGCATCAGATCCGCGAGCTTCTGCACAACGCTCTTGTAGGTGCTGAAATCCTCCTCTTCCGCCAGCACCACACAGAAGTTGAAGATGAACTCGTTGCGGTCATACCGGAGCGACTTCATACAGATCGGGTATCCCAAAATACGATAGCCATTGGTGCAAACCTGAATCAGGTTTCCGCAAAGTTCTTGCCGAGGGATCACGAAGAAGGAGATGTCAGAGAAGGTCAGGAAGGGGGGCTGCGAGGGCGCAGCGGCGGAGGGAACGATAGCACCGTCTGGAACCTGGTGAACAACCTTAGGACCTAATCAAAATCAGTCGTTGCTAGCAAGTGTAACTTCAAAAGGCTAACGTACCCTCTTGGGTATCGAATTTGCTGTAGAAGATGGCTTTGATCATGATGACGGTGGGTGCGGGGAGAACAAGGGGCGGGAGGATGAGGAGTTAGTATCGGCTAAGAAGCAGAGATTATACAGAAAGTCAACCCATTCTGCATAGATATCCAAGCGCCTTTCAACCAGCGCGGGCCCCAAAGAAGTGGGCGAAGAACGACATTGATGAAGAGTTGGGGAAAGGAAGGAGGATGAGGTGCAAGAGAACTTTGGGTGTCGCAGGGAGTCGCGGGGAACTTCAGGCGCGGCGCGGAGAACCTTTCCGCCCGATGGACTACAACACTACAATAGAGTCACTTGGGTCGCCTCCTGTCTATCGATTATCGTGTATATTGTAATTAAGCTATGATCCTCGACAACCAAATAAGTATCTATGCCCAACATAAGTAGCAGGTTGGTCGGGTATTAGACATTGTTGAGGGACAGATTCACACCAAGAAGAAAAAACCAAGGAGATCTATGAACAACCAGTCAATAGAAATATCACGCTTAAAGACGCCAGTCCACCGGAGCGCTGAAAATGCATCGATCAGAAAAGCCAGGCCCATTCGCTAATCCGAAAAACAAAAAGAACATCATCTAAGAATTTCTTCCTCTGGCGGCATACTTCTCTTCTAACGAGCAGCTCGGGAGGGTGCCTGGCCTCCTGCTCGTCGAGAAGCGAGCAAAGTGGATGGCGATGGTAGGGTGAAAGGCTCTGATAGGGAGCTGGAGGGACGAATGCCTGCTCGACCCATGTGAGGCATCGAGGATGGTATGTCGTATAGGTATCCCAAAGGCTGGCCCATTCGGATTGCATTCACCACGTCAGTATAGCTTCCCCGTTCGCCAGCTTCCTTCAACCATTGTTCCCAATCTTCGTCTAGTGGTACGTTGGCACCTTGTTCGCGCGCAGCGCTTGCGGCCAGTAGACGATGGTTCAGCTCCACCCCGCAGCTTTCCATTTCATCCTCGCTGTAATCTTCCTCGACGGTTTCTTCGAGGATACAGTCGATGCCGCGGTCATCAATGACGTCGCTTGGGGTGCGTACTTCTGGGGTTGGCATCTCTGCCCTGCGTTCCGGTTCTTTGGCGGGTTCCGGGCCGTCCTCGTAGTGCACTTCGACGGACGGAAGAGGAGAAGGGGATGCAGGTCGGATACTGTCTGCAGTTGTATCGCGTACCTTCACGCCCTCCTCGATCTCATATCGCTCCCGGGCTGACTTGGTTCCCTCCCAGCGGCAGAGGGATGAGATCTCTGCCTCTGTCAGGCCCAACTCATCGAAGGCCCTGAACAGTCTGCGGTGCCAGGGGAAACGGCTGAGCCTCATCCGGTGAGGGCCATGTGAGTAGTCTAGTCCCGGATATTGAGCTTCGATGCAGTCGAGCGATCCATAGAAAGTCGACGTTTCAACGCGAACTTCAGGGACCAAGTTCCGGGTGATATGAGCTGAGAATGTTGCCGGATCGCTCGCACGCGGCCGTGGGAACAGTGCGCTGTGCACGATTTGAGCCAGCGATGGTTTGTGCATAGTGAAGATGATTGATGAAATTCAATTCGGGCCAAGTCGTTAAGGCGGAAGGTTGAGGATAAGTGGCGAAGATGGGGTTGGAGGTCAAGGTGTAAGAAGCAAGCAGCGAGGGAGAGATGCGGTGAAGGATGGGAGACGTAGGAGAGTGTATAAAGAAGATGATCCTAAGGACAGATATGGGGTAACAAAAGTGCACGGATACTGGGGTGAGATGAGGAGAACAAAGAATGAGGGCAAGAAGGGGGAATGCTCAGACGGTGAGGAAGATACCAGAGATGTATCTGGTTGCGGAAGGGGGTAGCCGGAGATTGTCGATCAACAATAGTAGTGGTCGGAATGAGCGATCGATGATGGGCTAGAAAGCCTAGAATAGGAGACAGGAGGTGCGTGGACGCAGCCCGACTTGGTCAAGGTTTCAGCCAACGCTCCGTACTCATACAGTCTCTAATAAGGGAGAACAATGCAAGCCGGCATGTCTCTCCGGGATAATCGCATGGAATCCCTACCGTATATACACGTGGAATTGGAGGTGTTGCAGTCGAGGCGTTGTCGAGGTATGAATGAAGAACAATGGAAGACGCGATCCGAGAGCCCGGTTGATGAGGTGAGGAACGGAGTCAACTCTCTTCTCCCTCCCTTCCCTTTCCCTTCTATGATCTGTCGGAGATATTCCCAAATGGAAAGGGAGCGATTCTTCTTGGAGGCGAATAATAATGTGACGTACCACCCGACGCCTTGGCTTCAGGTACGGTACCGTTAGAACTAGAAGCCTAATCCGTCCCGCTTGTCGATCAGAAACGATGGGGAATCGGGCCCATTCTAGTGGAATGCGGTCTAATTCAAGGCTACCCAGATTCGGGCGAGGAGAAGCAGCGGAGAAGGAAGTCTGACGGTGATCACAGGAGGACAAAAGGAAGAGAAATTCACGAGGAGGAGTGCCTGTGTGATCTGGGTTGACCTTTTTATACTTATCGGCCGTTCAACTCTGAATCAGTCGGCTGACTCTGGGATCGACGAAACCACGCAGGCAAATGACCAGCGCATCGCATCGGAGACCGACAGCGTGGAGTCGTAGCCAACCTGAATCGATGACAACAGGTCGATCCATCACCGTAACTGTGTAAGACACTCTGGCCGCCTCACGTCGGTGGTGGTGGTGGTGGTGGTGGTGGTGGTGGTGATGATGGCATGGCATGGCATGGCATGGCACACCAGCCCTGCGTTGGCGGGCGGGTCCGTTCTGGCACTCATTCGCGTCGCCCGCTCGCCTCACACAGGTTCAACAGTTCAACATCTCAACTGCAAGGCCACTTGGACTGCCTGGGTCCATGTAGGTACTCGAATCGAGAAGGATTCTGGGCCAGCGTCATGGCTTTTTGTTTTTGCGTTTGTCTTTTTTTCGTATTCCTCTCTTTGAAATATCTCCTTTCTCGTTTCCGTTTGGCGGGTGGATTGAGACAATCGACGGGCCAGACAATGTCCGAAAGGGTAAAAATTGGGCCCGGGGCCAAAAAGGCGGTATGATCTGGACTACCGTAACTATGGAGTACAGCAGATGCTGATGCTGATGCTGATGAAGGGTTATTGCAGCAGAGCCAACGAGTTGGCGCCTTCAGGTAGGTAAGGCAGTAATAATAGTAAGCAATAGTAATGCGTCAAGTGCAGCAGCATTCTTTTTCCTCTTTCCTTTCCTAGGAATTCCCATCCATTTCCCATCCACGAAACGCCCAGTCACGTTACCACCCGTCATACTTGCTTCTTTCTCTGCCTTTTCGTTTTCTCCTCTTTCCCCCTAGTCTCTCTGCAGCACAGACTCAAGTAACTCCCCCTTCATCCATATAAAATGCTCATTATACTTTAGCATGAACCCATCCGATCTTCAGGAGGATAGTAAAGATCATGTCTACCTTTGATGGAATTGTCCAAGGTTCGTGGTGTACACCACACAATAGATTAATATGGGCATATCTGATGACGAGTAGAATTTCCCTATATACAAAGTAAATCATCTTGCAACCAACTTTCTCTTCAATGAATAGCCTTGATGCTGATGGTCATTGCCAGTCGATTACTTCCGCAAGAGCCCAGACAGACCTCCCCCGCTGGTCTGCTTCCTGAGCCATGTGCATAGTGACCACCTGCAGGGACTCGAGTCCTTCCGAGCGCCCTTCATCTACTGCTCAGCAGCCACACGCGAGGTGATTAGACCTGTTTGAAGGCCCCATTGGCGCAGTATCTTATGGCATGGTCAGCTACTCCTACGGATTGAAAAGTATCCGCATCGGATGAACTTCAGCAAAGGCATCCTCGAATCGCGCAGACTGCACTACAAGCACCTGTCCAAGCTTCTGGTATTTTCGCTCGACTAGCCCTATCCTGCCCTAGACTGCTGACTCGCTTGAGCAAGAGGCCTATCCCACTGAACACGCCAACGGAGATTGACCTGACCCCACGGCTGTCCATCAGGGTCACCCTCCTCGATGCGAACCATTGCACCGGTGCAGTGATGTTTCTGATCGAGGGCGATGGGAAGGCCATCCTGTACACTGGTGATATCCGAGGTGTGTCGGTCCTTTCCTTGGGAACTCTCCTCGGTTCCTGACATTGCGATGTAGCTGAACCCTGGTGGGTCAACAGCATCATCCGGTATCCGATCTTGGTTCCCTACACGTTAGGGACCAAGCAGCTGGACAAGATCTACCTCGACACCACCTTCGCCCGTCCATCCCGCATCTGTCGCGTGTTCCCGTCGAAAGTGGAAGGCCTGGCCGAATTGCTGCGCAAGGTCGAAGCCTACCCCGAGAATACGATGTTCTACTTCCGTGCATGGACCATGGGGTACGAAGAGGTCTGGATGACTCTTGCTGCGGCGCTTCGATCCAAGGTACTTTGGTCTATCCGTAGCATCAGGACTGCTCATGATGCTAACCTCATAAGGTTCACGTCGATCGATACCAGATGGACTTGTATAGGTCTCTCGCTTCGTCGCGGGTTGAAGGGGGCATCAACGAGGTCCCCTCGCTCTGTGGGTTTGAACTAGGAAACCGTTACGTTCCAGGCTGTCTGAGCGAGGACGAGCGCGCTCGAATACATAGCTGCGAGCCCGGCGTGCAGTGTTCGGTAGCGAGATCCAAGGACACCGTTTACATTATCCCGGTGGTCAATCGGACCAAGGACGGCTCCGAAATGCCCGAGTTGGGGGCTGGGGGAGGAGGGGGTGATCTGTATCAGATTCACGAGCTCGAGCTGCCCGACAAGTCTGCCTTGGAGCAGCTGGAGAAGCTTTGTTTCGAGCGGATCCATGACACCCAGGCACTATCGCACACTAGACAGGCTCTTATCGAGGCCTTCGAGTCGAAAAGACAGGTGCTTCCATTGGACAGCTTTGGATTGAAGGACGCAGATGAGATGCCTCTGGAGAAGTTGGTCAAGATGCTCGGCCGGGGTCGTGCTGAGGAAACACAATTGCTGGGTGACGAGCATCCTCCGGAAGGCGAGGCGCCTCCCAAAGTCATCGTAAGTAAGATCCCTATAGCGCCGCTTTTGCATTCACTAACAATGAAGCCAGCGCTTCCCCTACTCCCGACACTCCTCGTATTCGGAATTGTGTGATCTAGTTGCCGCGTTCAAACCGAAAGACATCCACCCTTGCACCGTCGACCCGGTGACCTGGACCGAAGATATCTCGATGCAGAACCTCTTCGGCCACCTCTGTTCCGGCACCGAGTTTGCTCACGACCAGGTGATGCGCGACATGATTTCCAATGACGAGGAACTGGTCCATCGAAGGAAACGGTCCAGGCAAGCAGTTCCCTCGGTGACCCCACAATCAAGCCAACAGTCATCCGGCATGACACTCGACACCCAGCAGTCCGAAGCACGCGAGAAGCCACCACCCTCACCGTCACTGCCACCTCCTCCGCGTCCACCACGCAAGAATATTCCGACACTCTCCTCGTCAACGCCTTCCACAGAGGACCTCAACCTCCCATCCTCCTTCGCGACGATCAACGAAACCACCTACAATCCCACCACTCCCTTCCCCAACCCAAGCCCCACTGCAACCACCACGCCATCCCAAGCCCCCATCATCCCCCCCGCAACACCCCAAACGGCCCGAATCCACCGCAACACAATCCGACAAGCATGGACCTTCCTCCACGCCATGCCCGACTCCCAACGCGAAGCCTACAATCTGAGCTCCCTTCCATCGTCGTGGCCGATGATGACCCACGAGCAGGCCTCCGATGATGTAGCCGACCACGACCTCTCCCATTCATCAACCCAGCTAGACCCGCTACTCGAAGACAACAACAAAACCATCCCCGCGTCCCCAGACACAGACACAGGCACAGGCACAACTCCCCCAGCACCAGAGCCCCAACAAACCCGAGACAACCACACTCTCCCCGCCCCGGGCAACACCACACCCTCACCCACCACCACCCATTCCCAGACAAACCCCGACCCCACCTCTTCCCCAGAGGAAGAAGAAGAAGAAGACGAAACCCTAATCGACGACCTCCTCACCTCGCCTTCACCCTCACCATCCCCATCCCCCTCCTCAGCCAGCTCCACCTCCAACCGCCCCCACAGAAGCGATAACCAACCTCCCACGAAACGCCACCGGAGCCACCGACCCTCCACCACCAACCGCCGCACACAGACCCGGACCCAACGCGAGGACGCCTACCGCGCCGCGCAGGCGGACAGCTACGAGGCGTGGGCGACGGCCGTGGCGCTGATGTCGACGGGGAATAATCATTCGGAGGTTGAGATGGAGCTTTAACCTCCGACCTTCTCCTATCATTTATGGAAAGGGGGTGGGTTTAGCTTTGCGCGAGATTAACAGGGAAGAATGGTTTGCGGTGTTGGGGAGGTTGGGATGTTGTGATGGATGTTGTTTCCCTTGTTGGGTCAGAATGTAAGATAAGTTGGGGTAGGGATTGGTTTTGGGACTGTAATGTAATTACTTCGTGGATGGCCTCCTGATGTTATCATTGATAAGCCTAACGGAAGGAAAAGAACAAGAGTGATTGATCTCGGGCTGTCGTTGACATTACCTGACCTACCTCCCCTCCTACCTCGGGTATCTACACCATTCCGAGATCGAAAGCCACCCACCCACCCACAAGCAACTCCTAAATAAGCCTCGCCTCCAGCTTTATAATAAGTAAATAGCCCTCCTCCCCTCAGGCCAAAAAGTCTGTACACAAGAATGACAAAAAAAGGCTAGTCTGTATATCACCCATAAGAAAAAGACAAGCAAAAATAAGAGAACCCAAAAGGTATCACTGCATCATCAAAGGAAACTCGTCACACGACTACTAGGTATAATCCTACCCCACCCCTTTTCTTTCTTTATTTCCATCATCCTCACCTTCCACATAACCGGACTACATCAGTAAACAAAGTAATCCTGCGTCAGCGGCAGAGTCTCCGCCGGTTCCGCGTCACAGAGCATCCCGTCGGCTTCGACGCGGTAGCTCTCGGGATCGACCTTCATCTTCGGCATGATGTCGTTGAACTTCATGTCCGCCTTGCCGATGTTGCGGCAGTTCTTGACGGCCGCGATCCGCTTCTGGAGACCGTAGGTCTGGACGACGCCGGCGTCGATGGAGGCCTGCGAGACGAACATGATCGAGGTGCTGGGGACCATAGCCTGATGGGGGTTATTAGCTTACTATCACACGGTTAGGAAGAAAAGCTTACCCCAAATTGAGGACGCATGATCACGGGTTGCACGGTGGGGATGGAAGCGTTGGGGTCGCCCTAGGATTGTTGTCAGTTTGGCTGATGATTTAAACATGCAAGAGGAACCTACCATCTTGGACATCACGATCATTCCACTCTTCAGCACCTGTGCAGGCTTGGTGCCGAACGAGCTGGGCGACCACAGCACCAAGTCCGCGATCTTGCCCACCTCGATGCTGCCGATCATGTGCGCCATACCCTGCGCGATGGCCGGGTTGATCGTGTACTTGCTGACGTAGCGCTTGACGCGGAAGTTGTCGGCCCCCGTGCCCTCGTCCTCGGGCAGGAACCCACGCTGCGCCTTATTCTTGTGCGCCGTGTTCCATGTCCGCAGGATCACCTCGCCGCAGCGGCCCATGGCCTGCGAGTCGGAGGACATCATGCTGATGGCCCCGAGATCGTGAAGCACATCCTCGGCGGCGATCGTCTCCGCGCGGATCCGGCTCTCCGCGAAGGCGACGTCCTCCGCGATGTTCTTGGACAGGTGGTGGCACACCATCAGCATGTCGAGGTGCTCGTCCAGGGTGTTCATGGTGAATGGGCGGGTCGGGTTGGTGCTACTGGGGAGGACATTGGGGTGCTCCACCACCGAGATGATGTCGGGGGCGTGGCCGCCGCCCGCTCCCTCTGTGTGGTAGGTGTGTATCGTGCGGTTCTTGAAGGCTTCAATCGTCTGCTCAACAAAGCCGGACTCGTTCAGTGTGTCGGTGTGGATCATGCACTGCACATCGTACTCATCGCACAGCTCGAGACATTTATCGATCGCAGCGGGCGTAGAGCCCCAGTCCTCGTGTAGCTTCAATCCCGCAGCACCCGCCTTGATCTGTTCCTCAATGCTCACTCCACCGCAGTCGTTACCCTTACCCGTGATACCGATGTTCATCGGGATGCGATCGCACGCCTGGATCATTTGGCGCATGTGCGTGGGTCCAGGGGTGCAGGTGGTGGCATTGGATCCGGTCGAGGGACCCGTACCTCCACCCAGGAATGTCGTGATGCCAGAAGCCAATGCCTCGTCCGCCTGTTGAGGGCAGATGAAATGAATGTGCGTATCGAAACCACCAGCAGTCACGATCTTGTTCTCTCCAGCAATCACATCTGTCGAAGAGCCAATAACCATACCCGGCGTAACGCCATCCATGATGTCCGGGTTTCCAGCTTTGCCGATGCCAACGATAATCCCTTCCCTGATACCAATATCGGCCTTGAAGATGCCAGTCCAGTCAATGATCAACGCGTTCGTAATAACCGTATCCAGACACTCCGCGGTGGACTTGTCCGAAGACTGGCCCATCCCATCCCGAATCACCTTGCCACCACCGAACGTGCACTCGTCTCCGTAAGTCGTGTAGTCCTTTTCAACGCGTACCCAGAGGTTGGTCAACCCCAAGCGCACCAAATCTCCAGTCGTGGGGCCGAACATGCGCACATACACCTCCCGCTCCATGGAGAAGGGCGTAACAAGCGCGGCGTCCGCCGTAGGTTCGGAAACATGAGCGAATCCGTCTGCCTGCAAGCGCATCATAATCTCTTCGGCACGGCTGAGATCCACCTTGCCGGAAGCCAGACAGTTTCCGCCCCGGATGATCTGGTGGCCCCCGATCTCCACGAGCGTGACGACCTTGGTGTCACCCGGCTCGAACCGCACGGACGTGCCAGCGGGGATGTCCAGCCGGTATCCATACGCGCGGAGGCGGTCAAAGTGCAGCTGCGGGTTCGTTTCGATAAAATGATAATGGGAGCCGACCTGGATGGGCCTGTCACCCTTGCTCATGACCTTGAGCTTGATGCGCTTCCTTCCTTGGTTGAGCGCGATGCGACTGTTCGGGACCGGCACAATGGCTCCGGGCATGCTCTCGGGCGTATAGTTGGCGGGGTCCGGGTCCGGGAACGCGTCGGCCGGCGGAATGGGGAGAAAGCTTCCGTAGAGCGCCTTTTCCAGATCCCCGTCGTCGCTGCTGATCGGGTGGTGCACAGTCACAAGGTACGTGCCCGTCGGGAAGGTTCCCTCGACTTGCAGTTCGACCAGGGTCGAGACGACCGAGGGAAGGACGTGCCGGCGACCCAGCATGGTCTTGCCGATGGACATGAGATCGGCCACGGAATACTCTCCATCACGGATCAACTGCGCAAGCATGAGGGTAAGTCACGGGAAAGGTAGCAAGCCTCAAGGGAATGAGTTACCTCCTGCAGGTTGGATGAAATCAAGGCCTGAAGATATGCGATTAGCCGCTTCTCCTCGTCAATCGAGGGTCAACTCTGCACAGGAGCAGTTCTTTTATGCAACGTACCGAAGCTTCCGCATGGTTGAGTCGCACGCCACGTGCGAGACGGCGCTGAGCCAGGAATCCCAACTGAGAGATGACGAGCTTGTCAAGCTAGAGAGGCGCGATACTGATCAGCTTGGGTATAGACTTTGGGAGAAGATAAGATGGGGCACAGACCTCCTTTGGTACCAAATGCATGGTTGACAGCGGCGGGCAGTGGGCTCTTGTCTACCTAATATAGTCGCAGCGCCCCTTCACGGCGACAGAAATGGCAAGGCAAACAGTAGCCAAGAATTACCCCGTGGGTACAAGAGAGAGGGCGAGAGCTTTCGACTGGGGACTCTACGCAGATGGGCCACCACGAGGGGGGGAAATTCCAGGTTAAGAACGAGAAATAATGTGGGGAACGAGAGATGAGCTGCCGATAAGCGGCGGGCAAGGAAAGTCGAAGCTGGAGCTGATAAGCCAGCGGATGACCTATCGCAGCGGCGCGTCTGCCGAGTGACTAACGCTTTCCAGTCAAGCTGTGGATTCCATCGGCAGTCACCGGCCACTGCCATTTATCACGTTCATAAGAAGCTCTTATAAATTCTCAAAGCTAACAGAAATAGAAAAAAAAAAAAAAAAGGATTTCAGGAAGTAAAAAAATATGATTCAAACTGAAAGGGAAAGAAAAAGACAAACACACCCACTAATAACCCCACCCGTCAATCCGCAGACTCCGTTGACATCAGGCCCGCAAAACAAACCCAGCAGCAACAGCAACAGCAACAGCAACAGCATCAGCAACAGCAACAGCATCAGCAACAGCATTCCATAAGAGAGCGCATCAATCCAGAAATAGATCCAATCCCCATATGCTACATGCAGCATTCAGATCAAACATCTCATCCCATATACATGGTCATCGTCCCGATATAAACAGATCCCTCGGGACCGAATTTACTCCTCATTACCAACCTCGCTCTTGCGCTTCTTCTTGGTGCGCTTAGCTTCTGCGCTCGCGGTCTTGCGAGCCGAGGCGGGGGGTTGCTCATCTTGCGTCTCCTTCTCTTTCCGGGCAGAGGTACGCTTCTTCTTCTCGGGAGACTCCTTCTTGGCGCTGGGGGTCGCGGTCTCCTTGGTCAGAGAAGGCTTGCCTTCGCTGCGGCGGCGCTTACCGCTGCGCGGCGGAGTGGGCTCCCGAACAGGCTCCGGCGAGGACTCTTCTTCCTCTTCCTCTTCCCCTTCCTCCTCCTCTTCCTCCTCTTCCGACTCATCCGAGGGCTCACCGGTCTCCATGCCTTGGTGCAGCTGGTTTTCAGCCTTGAGGTCATCCTCATAGGGCAGTCCAGCCTTGTACGCCACTACCTTTTTCCTGTACTCAGCCAGGTTATCCGCGTAAAGTTTCTTCCAGATCTGTCCCGCAATATTAGTCTAGTCCTCTCGGGGGAATCGATAGTAAATGGCAGACGGGCAGCAACATACCTCCTTCTCGGATTCTTCCATCTCGGCCCAGCGGCGGGTACCCTCGTCCGAGACCTCCTTAGGCTTCGCGTTGGGACCCAAGTCCTTAGCGATGACGGAGCGGTTGTGTTGCATGTAGAGGAAGAAGGGGGTCAGGGCGCGCTTGGGAGCGTTCGGGTCCGGAGGAGCGCGCTTGCGCTTCTTCTTCCCATCCGTGTCCGCGTTCGCGCCAGGGCTCGTGCCGCGAGCACCAGAGCCATAGAGAGCGCCGGTAATGCCGCTGGTGAGGTGGCTCAGGTCAAGCAGAGGAACGGGATCCCGGCCCAGGACAGTGTTGGCATGGTTGATGTAAGCTTCCTGCACGGTGGTGACCGCTTTGGCCAGTTGCGCGAGGCTGGCGATGACCTAGGAGATTGTTAGATTAATGCTGAATCAAAGACATGTTTGCAATAGGGCGCCATTGAACGAGTGACGATTGGGGGTGGGCGGGTCAATGGGGGAGGTGAAGCTTGCGGTGAAGGAGGGATGCGATGCGCCGGGGCGGGGCGCATCGGGCCGTGGCAAGCAAGCATTACCAATGCCAAACAAAGCAGGAGGCGGTGGCGCGCAAAGTCAGAGGAGGGCTGAGGAGCCTAGGCAGGGTACAAGCCCACTGATGAATGGATGGCTGGTGTAACAAAATGAAATTCGAATCAAGCAGGCCTTCCCGACTCTCGACTTTGCATCAGGAAAGCGCCGCGTTGTTTACTGACGCGTAGGCGATGGTTGAGAGGAGCGCGGCGGCCCAAGTCGCCCGGGTTTGGGGGCAGCCGGGAGGAGCGCCCACCGCTCACCAGGCAATCAAAACAACAAAAAGATGAAAGAGATCAGCAAGGAAACTTACATTATCACGAGTGCGCGTGAAATCATCTACATTGACAGTGATAGTGGCATCACTGGCCTTGGAATCCTCCTTGGGCGACATGATGCGACAAACGGGTGGTGGCGAATACCGCGACTTCTGAACGTTTGGAGGAGGGGGGGTTGGGAGGACAGGTGGAGAGATGTGCAGTTTTGGGGGGTGGTGGTGGGAGGGGGAAGAGTGGGAAGAAAGGAAAGAAAGTGTGGGAAGAGAGACGGGAGGGTGGGAAGGGAAGGAAAAAGAAGGAAGAAAATTCGCTAGCGGAGTCCCGAGCTTAGCGGGAAGACTCCCTTCTAAATAGTGATGGGCCGATGGCCCGGGGACGGGGGGGGACCGGTGGACGCTGGCAGTGGTCGCTGCTTTGGGCTTAGGAGACACCAACTTTCGAGTCTGCTCTGGCCGAGCGCTGAAAGTCCTTTTCTTCAGGGCTGGGGGGGCTGAGCACCCTGAGCACCCTGAGCACCCTGAGCACCCTTCACCCTAGCAGTCTTTAGGGGAGGGGGGGGAAGTAAGCAGCGGGAGCCGCCGTCCTCCCCAACTCCCCTAAACACTTGTAAACAACTTACCAACAAGCACCACCCCCCCCCGCTTTCCCCCCCGATCCTCCCCCCGTCAGGCTTGTCGCTAATAGCGCCCTGCAGCACACACACACACCCTACGGTTTCGGGCCCATTCGGAAACTCGCTCACACTCGCACCCCGTCCAGTCTCAGCTGCTCAGCAACCCGCTGAAACCCGCTGAAACCCACTACTACCCAGGACACCCAGGACACCCAGGACACCCAGGACACCCAGGGCACCCAGGACACCCAGGGCACCCAGGGCACCCAAGTCCAGTCCCCGTGGCCACAGCACAACAGCCTCCCTTCCCCGCCCGCAGAACATGCTTTTCCTCTCGCTTACCCTCTCTCGCCGCCTCGCCCCCCTCCCCGCCCAAAGCACCCACCACAAACAAACATGATGTATCTGATGGATTTAGGCGCGGCTACGTCGCGCGGACGCCTATTTCTTCTGTCAACCCCCCACAGATAAAATTGACTTCCATAAAGAATAACTATCATAAAAATACAGTCAAAGAATACACTCAACCCAAAATACAAGCCCTCCCCAGATAATACACCCCATGCTCAATAACCCCAGGGACAAAGAATAACTATAGTAATTCGTGTCCTCATCTCTTTGTCCATGTCCAGCAACTCCGGTTCGAATCTCCCCTCACCGCTGGTACTCGCCGTACAGTACATACACTCCCGCTCCGGGCGCGTCCGCTAGGTTGGTACAGTACCCCGCACGCACCCGCACCTTTCACCTCGCTCTCAGTGCAGCGCACTTGCTTCCCGTGGTCACCAGGCTAGCTAAGCTACCATGACCACCACCAACTGGAATAGAAACCACCTTCCGTAAATCAGTCGCGTTGGGGTATGTAGAATGTAGGTGCGTACATGAGTTTTCCTCGAGACTATACTTTTCCATTGTTGAAATTAACCCCAGTACGTACTCGAAATGCCACCAAGATGGGATTCGTCGTAAGTTGGGTGACTGACACAGCTGGACTTGTCGGTGAGGACGGGATAGTAACTTAAGAGTTATATCTTGTCTATGGGCGCTGCCGCCCCCCGCCAGAAAGAACACTGCCCCGTGCAGCATCACTCCCCTCCCCCCGCCCAGGCCCGCGGCCCAGGTCTGCTGTCCATGTCGCAACGTACTTGGTTCATATATGGCTTATGAGACACACAGAGTTATTTTAGAAGTAGTATTGTTTATTTGGAATACTATTCAATGGCACTAGAATGGAACTAGTGAGTACGGTGCAGCACATCGAGACTCAAAAGTGTGCTGAGATCACTCAGCAAAGTGATTTGGTTACAGTCATGCTGAAGATCGAGGTCATCCGAGAGTGGTATCTGCAGAGCAAAACTGCGGTCATACACACGAAACACACTTATCTTCGAAGATCAAGGCTAGGTATATCATTTCGCGCCTACTCGCAGGAAAAAATCGCTGCTCGCTAGATCCAAGGTCTCTAATATAACAAGGACGTGCCTTCTAAACCCCCGCAAAGGGTCCACATTCAACTCCCCGTGGGAGAGAACGAATCGCCGAAAAGAAACAGAGAAAGAGAGAGCTTCATAGTTATCATACACAGCTGGCTTAGAACTTGAATACCTGGTCCTTGCTGTAGCCCAGCTCGGCCAGGACACCGGACAGCTCGCCCTGGTCGGCGGGGCTCTTCTTGGGGCCGCTGATGGCCTTGTACAGGCCGGGGGGACCGCACACGAAGATCTTGATGTTCTCCTCCTTGGGCTCGGGGAGGACGGTCTTCAGGAGCTCCTTGCTGATGAAGCCCTTGCCGCCGGTCCACTCCTTGGGGGGCTGGTCCAGGACGTAGAAGGCCCGGAAGCGCCGGGGGTAGGTGTTCTCGAGCTCCTCGAACTCCTTCTTCAGGAGGATGTCCTGCTCGGTCACGTTGCCGAACACGAGGGTGACCTTGGTCTGGTCCTCGGGGTTCTTGAAGATCTCACGGGCCAGCTGGTACATCGGGGTGATACCGGTACCACCGGCAATCAGGGTGATGTGCTTGTGCTTGTTGGTCTCCCAGGGGTACTTGACGATGGGGCCCTTGAAGTCCAGGCGCTGGCCGACGTTCATGTTGTGCAGGTAGTTGGACATGGCTCCGTCGGGGTAGACCTTGACGACAAGGTCGATGTACCCGGGGGTCTCTGCATATGCAGGGTCAGTATTCCCACCAGAAAAAAAAAAAAAAAAAAAAAACAAGGGAGAGCGCGCCACTAACCCTCATCGCTGGTAGGGGTGTAAGGGCGGATCACGGCCTTAGCATCGACGGGCTTGAACTTGGTCAAGAGGGCAGCTAACGGAGCACATCAGTCGTCTGCGAAGTTTCTCCAGTATCGTTCTACTCACAGGCAACCTGAAGACCAGAGACGGCCTCCTTATCCTCGAACTCGAAGCGCAAGCGCTTGGTGTTGTGGTTGAGAACCTCGATCTCGGACAGCTTCAGGTCGAACCATCCCTGGTCACCACCCCTGAAAACCTTCTCGCGGACGACGGGGGCCTCGGCGGTGGCAGAGGAGGCCGAGTTGTAGCGGTACAGACCAACACCCAGACCGGCAAGACCGACACCAACGTAGATGGGAGCCAAGGAGGCCTTGGCCTTGGGCGCCTCCGTAGAGTACTTGCGGAAGCCCTGTCAAAACAGCAATCAGCGCAAACTCATTCTTCCTGGGGGAGGGATCGGTCCCAGGAACGGGCGGAAAAAATTGCGACCGCTAGACACAACAATCTTTCGGATGGAAGTGCTTACCTGCTTCAGAGACTGAGAGCAGCGGAAAGCTTGACGAGCGAACATTTTGAAAGTCAGATTGAGGACAAATACGTGCTCAATGGGACTGTCGGGGGGGGAATGGGTGTGCAGAGAGTAGGGAAAAGCTCGGACGGGTGATGGTGTTATTTGAGATCCTCCCTTCAACTTCGGACTCCGAAGCGCCGTTCTCGCACATGACGCAATGTCCGTTCCTGACGGTAATTCCGCATGTATTACTAACCCAGCCCCGGCAATCGGGGTCGGATCATAGTAGGCAATTTTCCAGGCATTGTGTGCATCTTCGCATACCTGAGACTAAGAAACAACGTGCCACTTCATCCATTGAGGCTCTTTTGTGATTTGCACGTAGAGCAAGTCATCTTTGTGTCCTCGGGGCCAGTACGCCGTTGGTTCTTGATGGATATAGTCCTTGGCAAACTGCAATCTCGGCATTCGATATACAGCAGTCCGGACTCGATTATATTTACGTCCGAATCGACTTTGAGGCAACAAGAATGGCTACCTAGGGGCTCATCTCAAGAAGACGTACGGCTGCTGATGCTTCAATTAGATACGTAACCGTGCATGTTCACCCACAGAAGCAGTGCACAACCACTAGACTGGGCCGATGGCGTGCTCATCGAACGGTGAACGATCAAGTGGCTGTCTTTCTATCTGCATCCTGCAGCCGAATCAAGGGTGGAAAGTGGATGATGTCAAGCCCGGAATGTCTTTTCCCACATCCTCCCAAGTGTTCATCCGACAGATGTGCCAGTTCTCGTACCCACTATGCATAGATCCGAGCCAGGCCCTGTTTGCTGTTTCTGCTGTCACACTGCCATCAAGATCTGGACCCGGACTTGGCGTAAGGCGAGCACACAGCGCCCAAGTGCTCGAACCGCACGGAGCGGAAAGGTTCAGACTGGCCGTCACCCCGAGGCCGACTGTTCTAGCCACCCGCCCTCAAGATTTGGTCACAGATGGGATAGATTATCTTAATCCAACTAAGAATGAAGATCTACGAACCCACAGAACCAGAAAAGTAGGTTGAGTGAACAAAAAAGAAATAACCCCGGTATTTTTGTGAAATAACTTGAAAGGGTCGCTGCAGAGGACTACTAAAGAGACATAAAAACCATCCGTCCCATTTTCTGGGTTGTAGATACACGCCTTGTTCTCCGCGTGATCCGTGTCCTTCGTGCATGCTATGGCCATAACATAGTCATTCATTCCTACACTCCACTTCCCCACACCCAAATCCTCACATTTACGCGAAGGTAGAGGGGCGAGAGTAAGCGTACAGCTTCTTGCCAGGCTTGACGGAGCGGTGGGGCAGGGGGAACTTGAGGTCCTTGGTGAGGAGCTGCTTGATGTAAGGGCGGCGGATGGTGTCGGCGTTCTCGATCTCAACAACCTTGAGGATCTGCGGGGATTCGTTAGAAATTGGTTGTTGGGAGCCTCCAGAAAGCAGGCAAGAGTGATGGAACGTACGTGGATGGAACCGAAACGGGCACGGTGGCGGGCAGCCATGTCCTGGTAGAGAGCCTCAACAGCCTCGGTGCGGCTCATCTCACGGAACTCCTTGTACATGTTGTGGGTACCGGAGCGCGAGTCGTAGCGGAGCCAGATACCGAAGTTCTTGACCTTGAGGGGGCGCTTCTCGCTGATCTGGAGAGAGGTGGAGTGTCAGCCGACACTTGCCATATGACCTTTTTTTGCGGAGGCATCGTAGACATACCACGTTGAGGCTGACGATCTCACCGTTGGCCTTCTTGACCTTGCGGAGCTGGGTCAGGAAGTACCAGAACCGCGACTTAGCGACAACGGTGTTGGGCGCAAAGATGCGCATGCGGTACAGCTTGGGCGTGGGGTTGGCCTCGGTGGGCAGGTGACGCCCGATAACCTGGTACTCTTGGAGACGCCCTATTGATTGCAGTCAGAAAACCCATCCGACAGCCTGACTATGCGGTCCCCTTGGTAGATTGGCTTTGATCGATGAATTGGTGTCTGCGTGGTGAAGATTCGAGTATTATGCATGGGTGATCGAATAGTGGCGACTCGAGTAGAAAATCATAACGTGCCCGTGCTTTCCTCAATTGTTGTTTGTCCTCCCTTGTCAAACCGAGTCCCCGTCACATTTCTCCTCCGTTCGCGCGTGTCAAGAAGTTCAATCGTGGTCGAGCAAATTTCTCTCTCCGTGGTGTGTCGTTCATCGATCGCAAAAAATATTTCATCGCAAAAAAAGCCGAACCGCCAAGGGGACCATGTCGAAAAAAAAATCCAAAAAGTGTTAACTCACCCATCTGGTAAATTCAGTCAGTAACAATTTCCTGGCAGTAAAGAGAGGGACAAAAAGGGGGGGCTCACTTTGATTGACGCTGTAGTGGTTAGTCGACGAGAGATGTGCCGGTTGTACTCGTCGCGGAAGGGAGGATTTTTGGGAACCGGATTGATTGTGAGCTAGGTTTAACCCTCCTTAGGGCTAAGCGACCGTGAGGCTTGGCCGGTGCTATTCCTGATCGGGACACTCAGCCACAGTGATGTGGCGGTGAGGATTAGATAAGGCCATTCGGCGGGCGGCATCCGCTTCTTTTTCCCCGCCTTCTCCGATCGCCGTTTCATCATCGGGCAGGGTCGTTTGTTGTCTGAGTCTCATCGTCGCTTTATTGAATCGTTCAGGCCACCCCTCGAGTGCTTGTCATATTGTATGCACCTACTTGCTGCTCGGGACTGTTATACCTTCCCATTTTTCACCTACTCAAAATGGGCTCAATCTTTGAAGAGTTCAAGGATGGCCAGAAACTTGGCTCTGGTCACCACCTAGCCGCAGCTCTTACCCCCGTCTCAACCTCTGCGAACCCCGGCCGTCTACAGTCATTCTACTACTTCTCCAACGCCGCGCGTTTGTCGCCCGACCTTCGCTATTCCCTCTTTCAGGCCAATGGTATACGACTACCAAAACAGGAACAGAACTCATGGGTAGACATATTCGCGGCCTACTGGAGCGCTGCCGGGGAGCTGGTTCGGTTCGAGGAGACACCTTCGCGCGCCAGCTGGGTCAAGGTGTTCAATGCGTGGAAGGAGACGGCCAACCAGCTTATTCGGGGATACTCGACGGGTGGTCTTCAGGCATGGACGATCCCCTGTCTATATGTGGTGGGGAGGTATTTGCGACACTTTGCGAGGAAAGCCGATGCCGAGCTCTCTTCCCAGGAATCCGATGGGTTCGGCGATAGCTTCCAAGACGACGTGGCCAGTGGTCTAGAGAAGAATGCAAAGCTGGAGGAGGCTACGCGAGTGCTCAACCGGATGTTCACGTTGTGCCTTACTGACCGGTAGGCTATCTGGCACCACATGTGGGTCGACGCCATCTTGCTAATCGCATCGTTGTAGGTCTTCGATCGAGGAATCTCGCAAGTGGGGGGTATACGACACGACCAACCTCCTATTCAAGACGTATTTCAAACTCAACACCATTGGCCTGTCCAAAAACTTATTGCGTGCTCTCAATGCGCAATCCGCCGACCTGCCCGAACTAGACGCCTTCCCCAAGGCCCACACTGTCACTTTCAAATACTACGTTGGAGTCATTCACTTCCTCGATGAGAACTACGCCGAGGTATGCGCGCCCAGACCTGTCGTTGATCAACCCAGACTGACACGTGGCAGGCCGAGCAGCATTTGGCGGAGGCCTGGAGGATGTGCCATCGCAGCGCAATGAAGAATCGGGAGTGAGTATGCTCCTCCTTTCCCCGGGTCTCCCTATTAATGTGTATCCAGACTCATCCTCACCTACCTCATCCCTTGTCACTTGGTCACGACACACACGCTACCCAGCAAAAAGCTCTTGGCGCCCTTCCCCCGCCTTGAGAAGCTCTACCGTCCACTATGCAACTGTATCAAGAAAGGCGATCTGGGAGGCTTCGATGCGGCGATGTCGGCTGGAGAGGAAGAGTTTGTCAAACGCCGTATCTACCTACCTCTGGAGAGGGGACGTGACATCGCCTTGCGGAACCTCTTCCGGAAGGTGTTCATCGCCGGAGGTTTTGAGGAGTCCAAGGACGGCCAGCCTCCGATCCGCCGGACCCGAGTACCTGTCGCCGAGTTCGCAGCTGCGGTCCGCATTGGCACACATGCAGACGAGCGGTCCCGGGTGGATATCGACGAGGTGGAGTGTCTGCTCTCGAACTTGATATACAAGGTCAGTGTTTCCCCCCCCCATTAGCTATCATGCAATACGCTTGGCTCGATGAATCTATCTGACTCGCCTCCCAGGGTCTTATGAAGGGATATATCGCGCGCGAACGTGGTATGGTCGTGCTGAGCAAGGGCGGGTCCGCATTTCCCGGAACCGGCGTCTAAATTGTGCTTCCCTGTATTCGTCCTTTCTTGATATGAGACTTTTGACCATAGATTGAGCGATGCCTCGATCCAGACGCCATCAGCAGCCGTGTACAGGCGCATCGGACCTGCCTGAATCAATGGCCCGTCCGTCAGTTGGTCACGCGAAAGTCACAGCTTAATTTCCCGGCTGATCTTACCTCACTCGACCTGGCATGAGATCAACAGGAATCGCACACCGGCATTTGACCAGGTCCATATCAGAAGATCTCTCCCTCTCTCTCTCTCTACCTACCACGCGATGGTGACACTCGAGGGTACGGGGCTATCTTGATCAACGCGCATCATGATGCTTACTTTACGGGAAGAGAGACTTTAGACGCTGGAGTTATGCAGATTAGCAGGCTGAAGATACCCCTTTGTATACCTTGTTGCAGGAGAACCCCCAAGATATCCAACAATTGCATGAGATAACTGTTTAATACACACATGCATAACTTTCCAAAGTACAGCAAATGATTTTGAGTTATACACCCACATCATACAAAGCCTTGCCTTACCCATGACGCAAATGAAATTATACAGTCCTACAGTCCACATGCCCGAAAACCTATTAAGCCACATCCACTCAGCCCTGAAAAAATACCAGCAGGGAAGGTGATCATCCTCATCTATAGTACCTTACCTCTCCCCTCACTCCCATTAAAGACACCTCCCCCCCCCCCCAAAAAAGAACACAAGAAACTACGTAATCGTACTCGCCATAGACTGCTGTTGTTTCCCCGATGAACCCGTCAAATCATCCTATCCCAGACACAACAAGAAGAGAAAGTCAGCGTCCGCAAACAAGATCTCCCCGAATTACCTTATCCGTTCTACCCTGAAGGGAGGAGGGATGCTCACCATATGATTACACATCGCGACGAACAGATCGAAGAACAGTTTCCCGCCTTGCTCCATCTCCATCTGCATGGTGCCGCTGCGCTTGAAGGTCGACCGGCTCCGGATGATGAGGGCGAGGTAGTGCGCCCGCAGCTTGGACTCGGTGTCCGGCGTGTGGGCGTAGGCGTAGCGCGCGCTGGTCAGGATGGTGCTGCACGAGATGCCCGCGTGCAGGCCCTGCTTGCGGAGGGCGAGGCGTTTCAGGGTCTCCAGGCCGTATTTTTGGGCGGCGCAGCTGGTTTTCCAACCACAGGGATTAGTTTGGTGGGGGTTCTTTGGGTTGGTGTTTGGGGGTTATGAGAGGGGGTTCTTGGGGATACAGATGGATTTTGGGGAGGGACTAGAGGTTGGATTGGGAAAAGGGTGTTTAGGGGGAGAGCGGGAGCGGGAGAGGTGGACAGGTTATACAATCTGTACGGTACATGTAGGCATGGATATTGAACGATCGAAAGAGGATATACTTGGTTACAAAACACATAGAGGGACAGAGGCACACTTACTATACAGCTGTATCTCGCAGGATCTCCGCGCCTACCCCCGGGTGGAAGATGGTTGCGCCATCGGGCTCGGCATCGCTACTCCCCGTTGTTGATGAGGCCGTCTCCAGCTGCCAGGTGTTTCGAGTTTTGTTGTGCAGGAGTCGCGGGAAGTAGTCGCCTCGGTAGAGGTATTCGAGGATGCAGGAAAGGATCTCGGGCTGTTCGTCGGGGAGGTAGATGGGATTGTTGGAGGTGTTGTTGTTCGGATCTGTGGAGGAGGCAGCACGGGCACGGGCGCACACGGCGGCGAAATAAGGGGAGACGCAGATAATGTCCCTGTGAGCAGCGAAGAGACGCTTCTCGGTTCCTACGCAGAGGGTGACTGTCGCTGGGGTGAGGGAGCTATAGCGCTGCGGGTTAGCTGGGTGGAAGTGTGAAGAGAGACTGTATCATGGGGGAAACAGACCTGCCATCAGGGGGACTATCAGGGGGCTCCCGCCGACGATGTTGTTGTTGTTGTTGTAGTAGACGGCGGGAGGTGATCGATTGTCGTTCGCGAGATCGTGTTCTCAGGACGCGTGTGCTGGATTTCCCGGCTCCATATCGTGAGGAGAAGGCCTCGGGATGGGCTTGCTGTCGTCTGGTAGAGAGATTTCGAGGACTACCACTACTGCTCCTGCTTCGTTGTTGTTGTTGTTGTTGTTGCTGTTGCTGTAGAGCTAACATGTTTGTGGATCAGGGGATGGCGGAAAGTGAGGGGGATAGGGAGTAGAGAAAGAGACGAGAGTCTTGCGCTCTCAACAAATGAATGAAGGGTAGGTAGGAATCTTCCAAGGTTATGAACTTCCTTGGAAGTCATGAAACGATGAGTAAAATGGAAACCTGTATGTAAGTATTGTCTTTCCTTGACTAGTTAGTGGCAGAAGTCCCAAGTCCCAGGGGGAAAAGGAGAGTCTCCCCCCCCCACGCATCCGCACGGAGGGTGTTTCCCATTGGCAAGATCGAACAAAGAGAAACCATCTAGTCTCGATATCCTTGTAAAAGCAATCTGCTGCAGGTTGGGACGACAGGGACTCGATAGGCTTTGAGATGCAGCAGCTGAAGGCAGCATGGATGGCGGAGGGGCATGCAGCAACACGCGTAAGATCCGGTAATGCACGCGTAAAGTGGTTGAGGTTCCATCGCCAAAAGACCGCGCAGTCACGGGTGAAGCCATTGCCCAATGATTGAGGGAGACGAGGCGGAAAGGGGGTGGACCGGAGAGGGTCGCCCACCAACCCAGCAAATCACCACCACAAACACCGTCCGCACCTGTCCGCTGCTTGCCGGCATCTCGCGATCTATCATATCGGCCTTTTCCTGCTGGTGACAGACAGGTCGAAATGACCAGTGCGTGTATCGCATCAAACATGCATAGAACCGAGTTACAGGATCAGCTACGAGGCGCAAGTTTCACACAGACAGACATACAATACAGATTCATATTCAGAGAAGCGTCCACACTGCAGGACCAACAGGGAGCACAGCTATGATGGATAGTTCTACTAATTTCAAGTTTACGGTGTATCATGTTCTGTTTCTCTCTTCTCTACAGGCTTCCACAAGGGAAGCTAACAGCAGTGAAAAGAAGACCGATTGGCGAGTACAGCCCATGGAAGTCAAGCTTCACACAGGGAGACAACAGCAAACATACAGTCATCTACGGACTCTTGAAACTGAGCCCAGAACATGACAGGGCTCAGAGCAGTGTTTTTTTTCAAAAATTCCTGACCGACCCGAAGGCCAGTCAGAGCGGTCAAAAAAGTAGTTTTCAACTAGCAAAAACACGGTCTCGGATGTCTCCTCACTGACACGTGTAAAACCCGTGCACCAGGATGGAGAAGAAAAGAAAAAAAGATTCTAAAAGTTGGGCGAGGGCGGGAAGCTTATATACCCCCGCCAAGCCTGACTCACCCGCGCTAGGCAGAAGCGAGAGGCGTACTGAGATCTGATTGGGTGAATTTGGTGACCCTTGCCGTGTCTTCAACGTGAGGCCTCAGGCCATTCAGGTTTTTTCTGTTAATGCCTGGGAAACAAGCCGTTGGCACACAATCTACAGTACGAGTGGAGCAGAAGATAACGGTTGTCCTGACCTTCCATCCCATCTTGAAAGTTGAGCCATTGAATCCCATGGCTTTCTGAAACTGGACCTGACTGGCTCAGGGGTGGTTCTCGTCATTGTGGTCAGGCTGCTTAACCTGCAATGAACCAAGGCCTAAGTGCCTCTTGAGCGTGTCGGGCACCTTACAGCCTGCGCCAAGTGAGGTGACACTCCGCATGAGAAAGACGAGGGAACTATAGATCAGGTATTGCACAGTGCGTGAACCCCCTCACACTGAAAGTACAGTATGGCAGGTATCGGCGATAACCCGGTAGCACGTGATGTGACATGTCGTAATTGGCTGGGACAGCAGAGTGTCGTATTACCACGGAGAGGAGGCCCGAGTTGCTAAGTTGCTCACCTGCTCCGGACACTCACCTGCCCATGCATTCTGACCCCCTCCAGATCCCTCGTTCTCTTCCTGCGTTTTCTTCTACTTTCCGGTCCATTGCACTTGTCTCCTCAGTCCTGAATCCTTTGTTTATCGATTGCCAGAGGCACCAGGAAGCGAACGCCTGCCTTGGGAATCCCCAATCTATGGCTATTGCCAGCTCCGCCCTCAAAGAGCGGTAACTGTCGGATACCGCTTTCATACGCCCGGCCTCGAGCCTGCCCCCCTCACCATGGAGCTCGTGCAGAAAGAACATGAGAGACTCGTAAAGAAGACCAACGCCGCTCAAGGCCTCAGGTCGGTACAAAACTCGATCGATCTATTGCAAAACGCGCGGGACGCTATTGCTGCAGGTTGGTTCCCTCCTCAGGCCCACCACCCCGCAGTCACCGAACTATACTGACAAGAGGATCACCACCAGATCCGAGTCAAGCATCAATCATCCTCGCCAAGCTACAGCATCCGGTCAAAGCATCCTTCGATTCCATCAATGACAGTCTCAAAGAGACCCATAGTGGCCTCAACAAATACTCGAAGGCCTTGGACAAGGTAGCACGAGCCCGGATTCGTCCGATCTTGACGCTCCCGCCTGGATGTTGGCTGACAGACCTTCTAGCTATTCAAAGACAGACCCCTCCCGAGCACGGAACATGACCTCCTCTCATCCCAGGAACACCTCATCAACCGGGCCATCGCGATGCACCTGCTGAGGGAGGGGCAGTTCTCGGTGGCGGACACCTTCCTCTCCGAGATGGCGGAAACGAAGGCGGCGGAGAAAAAGCAAGCCAACACGACAAACGCCACCGAAAATGCCGCATCCCTCCTCGACATCGACGAGGTTCCATCTGGCGAGGTGCACAAACAGTTCGCCACGATGTACTACATCCTCCACGAGTTGAAAGAGAAGAACAACCTGCTGCCCGCCATACAATGGGCCCGGGACAATGACGAGGCGCTGGCGGCGCGGGGGAGCAACCTCGAGTTCGAGCTCTGTCGGCTGCAGTTCGTCTGGCTCTTCCACGGGTCCCACGAGCAGCAGGGTCCGACCCCGGCCGGACGACAGGCGGCTCTGGCATACGCCCGCCGCGAGTTCCACGGCTTCCTGCCCCGGTACCTGCGCGAGGTGCAGCAGCTCATGGGCGCGATGGCCTTCTGCCCCAACCTGCAAGATTCGCCCTACCGGAGCATCTTCAGCAACCCCTCGGCATGGTCCGACGTAGCACATTCGTTCACGCGGGAGTTCTGCTCGCTGCTCGGCCTCTCCGCGGACTCGCCCTTATACATCGCCGCCACCGCCGGCGCAATCGCCCTCCCAACCCTATTGAAACTCCAGACCATCATGAAAGCCAAACGGACCGAGTGGACCACCGAGAACGAGCTACCGGTAAGAATGCCCCGTGAAAAAAAGAAAAAGCCCCCGCATACCGCGAGAATTCTAATAACGCTCACGCCCGGCAGGTCGAAATCCCCCTCCCCCCATCCTACCTCTTCCACTCCATCTTCGTCTGTCCCGTTTCCAAGGAACAGACCACCGACGAGAATCCACCCATGATGATGCCCTGCGGGCACGTCATTGCCGAGGAATCCCTCAAACGATTGTGCAAGGGCAGCCGGTTCAAATGCCCTTACTGCCCGAGCGAGAGCCATCCCCGCGAGGCCAGGAAGGTGTTCCTTTAGGTCCTTTATTCTCCTGTTCGAGTCATCATCAAAACCAAGGCCACCAGTAAGTACATATCACTACCTCCTCCTTACCATGTAATCAGCGGGCGTCCAGGGTCAGAACTCAGTACGTACATTGTTTCGAGTATTTCTTTTATCTTTATATGTCTCTTGTTCCTTTGCGGCGTTATTTGGAATTGTGTCGGGCTGGATATTCGGTGTTTCCTTGATGAAGCGTAGCGCAAGGGATGGAGTGGATGGGTCAGGTGTACATATTTCCTATTCGTATCTCATTGATATTGATAAAGATCCAAATGATTTCAATCCGAAGACAGTTCCAATTCTTGAGTTTTGTTCCGAGGTGGCTAGACGCTCGTGTGAGCCTAACCGGTCAGGAAACCTGGTTTTGTTGTAGTTGTCCGTGTAGAGAGCGCTGCCAACAGTTGGTGGTTTGTGACGTGGTCCGCTACCTACTAGGCTATATACATACATAAATAACGCTATCACAGCCTCAGGTTACGACCGACCGACCACCTGAGCCGCTCAAGTTAATCAACTTGACCAGCCTGGAAGTTTCCAGACACGGTTAGAACTTTTTACAGGAAAGATTCCGATGGAGAATGAGATGTTGTATTCCTCCAGTGTTGGGTTGCTAAACCAAGAACTCGCAAATGGCGCTAGATGTTGCCGTGCCGTCCTGACTATATCTAACTTATCACGCAGTGGAAACATATACTCCCGCCGTGGGTTCGGAGTTACGGCACACCCCTGGAACACAACACAACACAAATGTGGTATATACTAGCATCTGCTTTTCATTTTATTGCCTTTTCTTTCTCTCTTCTATAATAAACAGGGGGTATATAACTCGAGGCGCTGGAACAAATACAGCAAAGATACCTACTTGTTACACACGGAAGCGGACACGATTCTCCTCCACCGCCGAACGCGACTCAGACTCATACGCAACGCAAGTCAGCTCTACAGACCAGCCAATTTGCCCAGCCAGGATAGCCAGGAGCCACCGTTGCTGCTGCTGCTGCTGCTCTGCCTATCCTTCTCCCTCTCCCCGCGCACCAGCAACCGGACCCGCGTTTCCACGTCGGCGACGTGGCGTTCGAACTCGCCAAGGCCGGCCTCGACATCCTCGACCTTGGACTCGAGGACGTGGAGCTCGTAGTCCAGCTTGGCGCCCATGAGTTCGACGCGCCGCATGTAGTCCGTGAGGTGGGTGTTCTCCTCGGTCAGCAGGTCGGAGGATTTGCCGCGCAGCTGCTGGAAGACGGTGAGCCGCTCCAGGTAGGCGGCGTTGATCTTCTCGTAGCTCTCGTGCAGGCAGCGGTTGAGGTCGTCGACCGAGGTCACCTGCTGCTCGACCCAGGGGGCGGTCTGCTCGCTCAGCTCGCGGATCTGGGCGCTGAAGAGGCGGGCGTCCGAGGCGAGGACGTCCTCGTGGCGGATCGCCTCCGCCAGGGGAGCGTCGGGCCGCTCCTGGATGCTGCCGCCGCCGACCCCGTCCCAGCCGAGCACCACCTCTTCCACGGTGCTGAAGGACAGATGCCGGGGCCAGTAGTCGTCGGTCCGCTCGGGAATCGCCCTCGTCTCCGGGCCCAGCAGCTGGGCGCAGCTCCGTGGCCGGCGCAGCAACATGATCCCAATGTCGGGCGTCCGCTCCCGGTCGGCGGAGACGTCGGTCGAAGGGGTCCTCCGGCGGGAGTCTTCGTCGGGCACTTCTTCCTCGGACGGTGGCTGGAAGACTGGGACCTTGCGGGCAGACTCCGAGTCGGCAGTGTCCGGAACGGCCTCCACCGTGATTGCAGGTGTCTTTGCTTCGGGTGATTGCGGGGGCACCATGCTTGGTACAGACTCGGCAGCCGCGGCATCCTCGTTGAGAGCTCGGCTCTCGGACTCATAAATGCTTCCTTGCTCTGCAGTGTTCGGATCACCATCGGGCTTTTTCGGCAGATTCGGTTCGGTGTCACTGTCAATCGGAGGCAGGTGAGACGAATCGCCATAACCATACTGCCCCTCTCGCGAATGCTTCGACGGATGTGATCGTAGGCCCACCGCATCTTTGAATCTGCCAAATCCCGCTCGCGCGTCTGACACCTTTCCACTCACGCCTCTCCGCACGATGCTACTCAAGTTCTGATCCTTCTCGTCGAAGGTGGCGGCTGATTCGGAAGGCTTCCGTGGGCGATCCGCCTCCGATGGCTGCCGATCCAAGGTCATGTCCTCTTGAGAATGTCTCTTCCGCGTCGTCCAAAGATAGCCGCCTTGCTCGTCGTTGGTGAAAAGCATGTCCGCTGCGCCCGGGCCGCCACCGAACGACTCGCCGATGGCACCCTTGCGTGGTTTGCCCCTCCACAGCCACTTTGCCCTCTCGCCTTTGACCAGACGCGCAAAGGTGTCAATGTCCAGAGTCTCGATGTCGGCGATCCCGCCCTTTTCGCGACCCCGAACCATCCCCATCACCATCTCACCGCCATGCCCGCTCAGCTCGGCCACCGTCGACTTCACCGCGTCGGTCCAGCCCTCGGCATTCGCAGCTTTCGCAGTGGCTCGATGTAATCGGTCCAGGGTCTGGCGGTCCAGCCGTCTGGTTCGTTTCATCTTCTGTGATTTCTGGAAGCCCCCGATCCCCCGTTTGAGGTTCGGGATATCGAACGCGTCCTTGCCAACGGGGGCACCGAACGCATGCAGCCGATTCCGGGCCCCGATGAGAGTTCCGAGAAGAGCCGAGACCGAGATGGGGCCCAGCATACTGTCGCTAGGTTCGATGTTGTACAAGTCCATCCCAATCTCGGTCCACCAATCGGCTATAGCGGCCTCGGTCATATCACAGAGCAAGCCGTCGACATACTCCGGCGCCAGGTTGCCGAACATCATCAGGGCGATCTGGCACTGTTTCACCAGTTCAACCACGGCACTATAGAGGGGTACTCTTTCGCTGGTCCGGTAGAGTTGGTGGAATTTGGCTTCGGTAGCAGGCGACGGGGGCTGTAGCTTCAAGCTAGCACGGCCCGAGCAACCTAACCTCTTTAGATTTTCATTGACGATGAAATCGTCCTTGTGCTTGAGGACATCGCCGTCCGGGACGGGTATGAGTGCCAGGGCGCACGGAAAGATGCTGAGATCGGTGACCATCAGCGTCCCCAGGGGAGTGTCTCGCTTCTGTGCCTGGCATTGCACCACAGCGTTGAAGTACAACCGCAGACGGGGCGACCACGTCGACTCATCCGTCGGGACGCTCAGCACCCCGACGGCGACTTTGTGCGACGGATCTCCGGTGTAGGTCGTAATAATGAAAGTCGGATGGATCCGCGTGCACGCCCATTGCTCAACAATGTAGACCTCGTACCCATCCAGAGTCATTCGCCGATGTAGCACAATGGTCGCCGGGTCCTCCTCCAGGTAGCGGAAGGCAACCGGATCGGTGAAGACGAGTTTCTGGTGGCCCGGCCGCGGAGGCGGCGACTGTCCGTCGGGGCCGTTCGTTTGCACGAGCGGACTCTCTTTCGGTACTATTTTGGTCGGCTCTCGTGCTGCTACTGCAGCAGGCGTGGCAGGCCCACCGGTCTGCGTGGGAGATGACGGTGGCATGGTGTAGGAAACGGTACCAGCTTCCCTAACACATAAAGGATGAGTACAGATTCGATCTCTGGGCGAGGGGGTAAGCGATGAGACGAGCGTTGTAGAACCGGCCAGGGAACTAGAGCTCAAACGTGGTAAGAGTGAAAAGAAGAACGTGACACAAAATGGTTAACCCTCCAGGGGTGTTCTCTCGATTGGACCAGCGATGAAGAAAGCAAGTGCCATTGACATATCCGGGAAACTGGATGAGGGGGGAGGATGGGGGCGCCGATGGAGCCTCAAGCTTCAACGTGAGGTGCCAAGCTAGGGGCCGTCAGTCCATGTCATCCCGTGAGGATATATTTGGCGAGGGTGAAAGGGTAAAGGAAGAAAAGCACAGGCGTTGTTGGCCGCAAAGCGGGTGGTTGTTGCGGTGCGGTGCAGTGCAGTGCAGTGCATTCGTTCCCTTTTGGTTGCCGGGCATTGCAGCCGACGACGTCACAAGGGGATTTCCAGTGCAACTTATCGGGGGCGGTGAGCTGAGGGTTTGATTGAGACGGTTGATCAACTCGACTCAATAAGATCCAGATTATCCTGTGGAATTCGTAGTAACTCCTTTGAAGAGTTCTTAGAATAACATGGTTTAGAACTCTGTAGTCTGAAGAACTTCGTATTGCCTTATCAGGACTGGCTTCTAGAACAATAAGCGCCACTAACGGTGCATTAAACGCAGCTGCCTACCGGTACGTTGAGTTAAGTGGTCCAGTCACAGAAACCATCAGCCACAGCTCAGCGTCCCAGCCACATCTTATGTCATGCTCGAAGGGAATATCTCCATCCTTCCTTTAATGCAGTAGCTCTACCTGGACACGAGCAATAAAGACAGACCCTTCACATTCAGGATAGATTTCATTCCCAATGCTATCTTATCCTATAAATCATTCCCACTTTCTATGCGAGAGACAATGTCATCCAAAATGCCAGAACCATGTCATCACGGGCAAACGTAGCGCAAGAAATCCTGACGATATGCACGCACAACTTTCCCCGAAAAAAAAAAACAACAGAAAAGACCCAATCAATTATACAAATACATAAATGAAAACAGTTTTGAGCCCCAGAGTATATCAATCAACAATTTACATGCCCATGCCCATGCCACCCTGTCGGTTGGCGGCCTCACCCTGCATCTTCTCGCTGACCTTGATGTTGACCTCGAAGAACTTGGACACGCAGCGGTCGAGGCAGACGGACTCGCCCTTGTTGAGATCGCCTTCGCGGTAATCGTTGGGGATACACTTCTTGGTGCAGGACTCGGTCAGGCTAGTTGAGTATCGGTGGTCAGTTTCACGCCGGTGACAGACGGTGTATGGAGCCGGGAGAGTGGAGAGGGCGGTCATCGAGGGCCGGAAGGGCAGCTTCACGCAGAGCTTTCAGGCTCGGGTCATCGGTCGACTCACCGGTTGAACATGTCGGAGATCATCTCCACCTCGGTCTCAGCGGCAGCAATCTTCTGCTCCGAGGACATCTTGGGGGCACCGCCAAAGAGGAAAGACATTGTGATGATGGGGGGATGTGTGAGAGGTGGAGTAAGCTAAAAGTATAGGTTAGCAAGATCTGGCAGCCGATGGAGAAGCTTTGGGGAGTATAGCGCTCACATTTGAAGATCAAACAAGGTTAAGAGTTGTATAGTTGGAACTCTCGAGTCTCTCTCGTTCTGCTTGTTTGAAGCTCCGGGAGCGGAAGGAAAGTCGGAGCGGGCTTCCTGCCTCTCACCGCCTCAGGATTTTCTGTCGGCTGCCTTTTTCCCCTGCTTCTCTTCCGCACACAACCTGCTCTTGTTTTCTTTCCCGTCTTGCTGCAAATGATGTGAGCACGTAGTCCTTGTTATTTCTTCTTTTCAATGCAATCAATCCGCCCGCAGTGGGCGTCGCGGCTGAGAGCCGGAAGGCGTCTGTCCAGGTGAGTTAGCCTAAGCGGCACTATTTCTGCCTTGCGATTGTTCGTCATGATGAGACATACCTTTCCATTTTTCAGAACCGCTGCACTGAATGCTTGGAGGGAAGCCTCCAAGTAATGAGCGCAACTGGAAGACTAATGTCATCTGATTTCAATACCTTTTTGTCGTCTGCCACGCTTGCATCTGTTCATCAAGTGCTATTGCTAATACGGCATCTTCAGTGCAGGAGCACCCATCTCAACCCGTACACAGATTCTGCAGGCCAATGGCCAGTTTGCTCGAGTAAATCAGCGCCTCGCTGCTGCCAATGCGTCAAGGCATAGCAGCAGCGCAGCCTCCCCGGAAAGAGTTTTCAAGGAGCGTCTGCAGGAGGTCCAGAAGACACTTTCCGAGGCATATCCTCGGCTTGAGAGCAATGAACACTCCATGAGCACGGCGGAGTTTCGGGATCGCTACTACCACCTAGATTATAATGAAGTAGAAGGAGACACGGTTGTTGTCCATGGTAGGTCTCTGCCTCAGCTGGCGCTCTACCACATGTTGTCCCCGTACTTAGATCAGTAGGTAGGATACGTACCTCTAGACTGGCTGGCAACAAGTTGATCTTCTTCGATATGTCGCAAAATGGCCATAAAGTGCAAGTGATGTGCAATATCCGTCAATTGGAAGGGGTGACTCCCGAACACTTCAGAGATTTTTCGCGGCTGCTTCGCCGGGGCGATGCCTTCTGTATGTTCCATCTACCAGTACACCCGTTGTATTCCTTCGGTCCTCGACTGAACGTTCTCCCCCAGCCGTAACCGGTAGGCCTCACCGCACCGGACGAGGCGAGCTCACCATCCTGGCGACTCAACTGCCTCAACTGCTTTCGCCTTGTCTGCACGATGTGCCTTTGGACGCCCGTAAGCACGAGACCTCCCCATATCCTCGTCATGTTCAGTTCCTGGCCGATCAGCGAACGGCAGACATCATCCGCGCCCGGTCGGCTATCATCCAATATGTTCGCCAGTTCTTCGTCGACCGAGACTTTATGGAAGTCAACACACCGATTCTTGAGGCAGTAGCAGGGGGTGCAATTGCACGCCCCTTTCACACATCTGCCACCGAGTTTCCCGACCGGCAGCTGTCTCTGCGCATTGCGCCGGAACTGTGGTTAAAGCGGTTGGTCGTTGGAGGGTTCGATCGAGTATTTGAGATAGGGCCCTCGTTCCGCAACGAAGGTAGGAGATTTTCGCGTGGACCACGATGTGGGCAAGAGTGCTGACAGCGGGAATTCAGGACTGGACAAGACCCACAACCCGGAGTTTACTACCTGTGAATTCTATCACGCCTATGCCAACCTGGAAGAGCTGATCTCCATTACGGAGAAGCTTCTCTCGGGCTTGTCAACCCGCATCGACGAGGTGAACACCAATAACACGTTCACCCCCACCGAGGCGAACTTCACTGCGCCATTCCGTCGCATCGACTTCATCACCGGAATCGAGGAGGCCATCGGCCGCAAACTGCCGGAGCTTACTTCCCCAGATGCCTTAGCGCAGGTCAAGGAACTGTATCGCGACCTCTCCCTCCCCGAACCCTCAAGTCCAACCCTCCCGCGTCTCCTGGACGAGCTCTGCAGCACATTTGTTGAGCCGCAGTGCATCGACCCCACATTCATTATCAATCCGCCCGAATGCCTGTCTCCTTTGTCCAAGTCTTTCGTCGACCCAACAACGGGCCAGCGCGTTGCCGCGCGTGCCGAGCTGTTTATAGAGGGCCGGGAGGTGGTGAACACCTACGAGGAGGAGAACTCTCCTTTCGAGCAACGGCGCAAGTTCGAGGACCAGGTGCGGTTCAGCAAGGAGGCCAACGAGGCTGAGGAGATCGACGAGAGCTACCTCGAGGCGCTGGAATGGGGATTGCCCTCGACGGGAGGCTGGGGGTGCGGAATTGATCGGCTGTGCATGTTGTTCACGGGGGCCAAGAAAATCAGTGACGTGCTTCCGTTTGGCAATCTCCGGCAGGTCACTCGTCGGTCTGAGAAGACTGAGAAGGTTGGCGATGAGGAGGAGGAGGGGGAGGAGAAGGCTGTTGAGAAGGTTTAGTCCTCTCTGAAAGGGGCTTTCGTCGGCTACACCAATGCATTGTACATTACCACAAACTGTACCCATAGATACCACATAATCCAGATCTCTCCTATCGCCAGATATCTCCATCCATCCCATGCCAATGAGTATACAGTATCTGTATCTTCCTTGGCAAAGAATGGGCTGACAGCCGATAAGCCGTTGATAAGCGGGCATCGGAGCGGGCCGAGCCAAATTTTTGTCTGGGGAATTTATCCCAGGAACTTGATTTCTTTTTTGTCTTTCTCTTGTTCTTCTTTCTTCTCCTCGCAGGTTATCTGTTGGATCACAGAATCAAGACGACTTCATCATGACTCTCGAGAACATCCCGCAAGGCCAGGCCGTGACCGTGAGCTTGAAGGAGTTGATTGATGGTAAGCTGGACCTTACCCTACTAGCATCCACCAGCATCCATCTCGCGCGCGATAGCATACATCCCCTCACTATTCCCCTCTCCCCCAAGCCACCGCCAAAGCAACCCAAACCTGACCACAGAACCAGGAACCATAACCTTCCCCACCCTAACCGAAGCCTTCGGCCCCTCCTCCCTGGGCATCATCATCGTCAAAGACCTCCCCGCGAACTTCGCCCAGCTGCGCGCCCAAGTCCTCTCGAACGCCTCCTACCTCGCCGCTCTCCCGCAAGAAGAACTAGGTGCGCCCACCCCCCACCCCCCACCCCCCAGCCCCTAACCACCTTAAACCAACTTGAAACCAAAACCCCCTCTTCCTCGAAAGCACCCACCTCTAACTCCCCAAATAGAAACCCTCACCTCCGCCTCCGCAAAATACCTGGTCGGCTGGTCGCACGGCAAAGAAACCCTGCGCCCCGGCGTCTACGACACCCACAAGGGCAGCTACTACCTCAACTGCGCCTTCCACCAGTCGCCCGAACTCCAAGGCGCACCGGCCGACCACCACCCCGATTTGAGCGAGTACACAGCCCCGAACATCTGGCCCGCCCCGAAAAGCCTCCCCTCGTTCGAGCCCAGCGTCCGCGCGCTCTGCAGCTTGATCATCGACACCGCGGCGCTGGTGGCGCGCGCGTGCGACCGGTTCGCGGCCGAGAATGTTTCGGGCTATGTGCCGGGGTACCTGGAGAAGGTGGTGCGGGGCAGTTTGACGACGAAGGCAAGGCTGTTGCATTATTTCCCGACCAAGCCGGAGGAAGAAGAGGGGGCGGCTGAAGCTGAAGGGGACGACGACTGGTGCGCGACGCACCTCGACCATAGCTGTTTGACGGGGTTGACGTCGGCGATGTTTGTGGATGAGGCGGACCAGAACCTTGCGGACAGTGAAAAGCCACTGCACGAACTGGCGGCGTCGCCGGATCCCACGGCCGGCCTGTATATCAAGTCCCGCACGGGCCAGATCGTCAAGGTCAACATCCCTCGGGACTGTTTGGCGTTTCAGACGGGCGAGGCGCTGCAGTTGATCACCCGGGGCCAGTTCCGCGCGGTGCCGCATTTTGTCAAGGGGGCGAGGACGGGGTTGGACGGCCGCAGGATTGCGAGGAATACGTTGGCGGTGTTTACGCAGCCCAATTTGGAGGAGGAGGTGCAGCCGGGGGTTTCGTTTGCGGATTTTGCGAGGGGAGTCGTGGCGAGGACTTATTAGTGGGAGGATCATGGATACCATGGATAGGTAGAGAGGGGG